ATTAAAAGGTGGCAGGGCTTTGGTGTGAGAGCACTTTGTTACCTGCATTGAAAAGCGCAATAAATAAAGTATTATTATTATTATTATTTGACAATCCATTCAGTTGCTTTCAAGATTCAGGGTCACTGTGGAAACACAGTCTGCAATCAAGGTGACTTTTTCCCTCGTCAGTTTCCTTCAGCATGAGCTTCCATGCCAACAAGAAAAAAAATGGTCCCTGCGGTGTGTCTCAGGTTTGTTTTGGGTTCTTTTCCAAAACCCTCAGGTGCAGCTTCCCATGGGCAGCCCACCCTGTGAGACCTTAAAGGTTTTCAAAAGACATTCAAGTTAAACTATTTGCTCTTTTCTGTAAGGTTCAAAGTTGTCGTTTATCTAATCTTGCTGCAACTGCTATTTTTTGTTAGTATACTGATGCAATTTATTCTTGTTTATCTTACAATCTACTGTATCTCCCCTCACCTGGACAGGTTTACAACACCGTAATGCACAGTAGAGTTTTAGCCTCCGAGACAGCAGTCCCCCTCCCACTGGCAGCACTTGGCACCTATGTATCAGGAACACAGCCTGAAACAGCAGAGTCGATAAGCCAGCACCAAAAGAGTGACATTCTCTGGGGTTCTGCTGCACCTTGATATGGTACCCCTGATTATCACAAACAGGAAAGGAGACAACGCACATCCTCGAGTAAATCCAACACACGTTTTGAACTTGCTGGAGATAGTGACAAACATCCTCCTAAATCCGAGGGCACAGAAACTCAAAGACTCGCAGCCATGGAAAACATGAGCAGTGGCTTTTTCCAAATCCTCAAAGCACCTACAGACTAATCCATGCAACAGTGAGGAGACATGTCAGCCACAACACCCCTAACAATATCCAGAGCCGCAGGATACCAGGATATGTTGGCACCGTGCCACAGAGGGGCCTGATTTACATTATGTGAGTTTCTGTAAACGGAGATACAGATTTCCATACTGTTCTTTTAAGCTGCAAACAAATTCAAATGTGTGGCTTCTCTGAAACAGTTTTATTTTAAAGAATTTTTCATTTACATTTGATATGCATCTTCAATTTTTGTGCAGGCTTTATAATTTTAATCTTTTTAATCAGCTGCTACAATGACCAGATGGTGCCTATAGCAAACAGAATGTAAACAGAACACAAATATACATTCTCATATGATAAAAAATAGAAAAAATTAAATATGGGAAGATAAATATTTACTATTTTTTGACTAATATTATTATATAACACCATTTCATACCATTTCACAGAAAATACTGTGACAAAAAATGGGACTGTTTTCTTTGGTTTTATAAAGAAACTCAATGAAATAGAATATATCAATGATATAATAAGATGTGTTATTATCTCTTTAAAAAGTGCCTCACCTCATGTAGTAGATAATGATTTAAACCTTTTTCTAAATGGTATTACCTGTTACTTTATAGACGTATTATTTGTTTGTTCATATATGAAAAGCTACTGGAGCTTTTTTGACAGCGCAACAAGTGTCTCCATTGTCGTCAATGACAACTGCACATAATTGTGTTAATTAAAGATCAATAATATGATCCCACTTTTGCCCTCACTGTGCATTGGACTGTAGCGTCTCAGTGAGAAGTCAACTTAATGTTGTCCTATTCCTCTGCAGGATTTGTCAGAGCAGCAGAGAAAGCCAGGCGGACTATGCAGGACACTGCTGTTCAAAACAAAAGAGCTCAGTTTGCTCCCACCGATTCCTCCAATTATCGAGACCCTTCCCCCGCCTAATCCTGACCTCTGCTCTTTGATGGGCCTCACTTTGCTCTGCTCCTCCAGCCCTGACATTCCTCAAGTCAGGTCAGTCTTTTGTCCTCAAGAAATTAAGGTGCAATTAAGGTTCTGTACTTCCCTTTCTATAACCTCTGAGCTGTTAACATGACAGAGAGCGGTTTAACTTTCAAGGAAATGTGTCCCGCAGCCTGCGGGGGCTGATGCAAATATTTAATTAACTTTCAACCATGTGTCATTGTGCACACAAAGAGGCTTTTCTTTCATACTGTATTGCTTTATGTAGCCCCAGAACTTTGAGAAGCATAAAAAAATGTTTTCCAGTTTCTACTTGTGGAAAGTGTGGTAAACACTCCAGTTGTTGGCATATGAGAGGTTGAATAAAAACCCTGACATAAACTCTATCCCTGTTTCAACTTTCCCCTGACTGTGACTGTCCTACTTACTGCTACACTATACCTGCAGATTGAACAGGCAACCCGTGGATTTTTTTTTGCTTTGAAACAGATTGGTGGCGCATGGAAACATGTTGAGGTAGGCAAATAAGAAAAATAAGAGACAGGAAATGATCTCACAAACACTCCCCCCTCCTCTCCCATTGCTCCCATTTTCCAGTTCAGAAAAAGAGTGAGTAATGCTGTCTGCTGCTCTTTAGGCCGCTTCTCTGTTCTCTGTTCCTTCCACGGCATGGATCTACTTAGGTTTCTACTTGCTCTAACAACACAACATAGCATTGTGGATGCCTGCTCTAATGCCCTGCAGTTTCCACATGGTCTTCATTTCCCTGTTTAAATGGTACCACACTTTTGCAAAAGCAAGATGAGTCCCATGAATGTTCTTCATCACCACTCTTTGAACTTAGTTTCAAACTTCAAAAAACCAAGAAAGGATATCAGCGATAATACAACATTTTCTCAGTAAAGTGCAACAAGAGTCCGAGCTTAAAAGAGAAAACAGCTTCATATGAGACAGAAAATAAATCTCAAAGTAACCAGCTAGCACGCTGACACACAACCCTTTGATCCCTGCATGCAATTACAGTCTTTATAATTATATTTCAGCTGAATGTGAGGTGAATGACTAAAGAGGGCCTGAAGGTTTCTTCAGAATCAGTCCCTAGAATACATGCATGGCAGGGAGAAGATAACTGAGCCAGTATAGGATTAGCTCATAGGACGCCCTTAAATTAGAGCTTGAAGAAATACTTCATGTCAAGATATCCTCACTGGGTGTGTTGAGGCAAGTTTAGGACACAAGCGTTAAAAAGTGTCTGGAATCCAGGTCAAAACAGTGTGTCATAGTATGTGGACTACATGCAAATATATTTGAAAGCAAAGAGAGGTTACTCTGCTGCTCTGACAGCTGATAACTTCAGGTAAGTGTTTTATGAAAACCAGAGATAGCGGTTTGCTGGGGCGAACAATGACAGGCGTGGCAAATGAGGTTGTTTAAGGTTAAAGGATTTTGTTGAAACTTCAGGTATGTAATAGTCAGACTGTCATAACTGGAAAAGCTGTAATATAAACTATATTTTACCTATACTATAACAAACAGTGAGGCGCCAGCCTCAATCAGGCATAAATTACAGTGTCAGGACAGGTTTCTCACCACTTCCTTTGGTTTAACTGTTGGATGGCAGTCAGTGGCCGCAGAGAAAGTTACAGAAGTACTTTATTTGTATAGCACTTTTCACAGACAAATGAGTCACAAAGTGCTTCACATAGACAAAAATAAAAATGTACATACTAATTGAAAGGCCAAGACAACAACATTGAACAGTCATAGCAGCCCCCCCAAAAATTAAACAAATGCCTGAGCAAATAAATAAGTTCTGAGTTTGCTTTTAAAGGAGTCAATAGAGTCAATTAAACGCAGAGAGAGAGAGGAAGATCCTTCCAAAGCCTGGGGGCAACAGACTGGAAGGATCGGTCTCCTCTGGTCCGAAAACGAGTGCGCGGAACCATCAGCAGATTCTGATCCATGGACCTCAGAGCCCGAGAGGGGGTGTAAGGCTGTATCAGATGACAAATATAGGTTGGAGCTTGACCATGCAAGGCTCTAAATGTTAGGACCAGAATTTTTAAATTGATCCTAGAGCTTTAAGAATAGGGGATATATGAGTCCTCCTATTAGCAGAATTCTTAGGTTAGAATTCTCGCTGCAGAGTTTTGCACTGACTGAAGACGAGACAGCTCCTTTTTGTTTAGACATGAAAATAAACGTGTTATACAATAAATTTAATTACTGATGAAGTAGTAGTTGTTAAAGCAAGGTTACAGTGATGTGCAATGAACATCTGACCTTAATCCAGGCTTTTGTCATCTTTGGAAAACTATATTTCTCAGTAAATTAAAAAATCTGTTTGACCTTTTACAAGAGCTGTAATTGAAAGCATGCAGGAAGGTTTTCACTCACTATCACTGTCTCAGATGGACTCACAGATCTCAAAGTCACACAGTGGCTAGTGTGAACCAAACATTTGGGTCTTTCTTTTTTAGATAGAAAATTAAGAGCAGAAGAAAGCATGTTTGGTGAACTGAAAATCCCTCAGACAATTCTGATAGGTCAGAAACACTAAAACAAAATCACTACATGCACATGTTTAATTGAACCTGTGACTGAGTAAACAATTGTTTCAAATCCCTGAATGTGTGAACCTAAGACGATACAGAGAAAAATAAATGCTCATTTCTGTAGTGTTTGTGGCTGCAACCTTTTGTTAAGTACAAGACCGAAAGTATACGCACACTTACACAGGAACCCATATCGTTACAAGTGATAAATATAGAAAGGAGGAGTGGCAGCGTGGTTTTCACATCGTCACATTATTCCTTTTTGCATGTAATTTGATCCCTCCATGACTGCAGAGAAAGAGCGCAAAGACAAAAGATGCCGCCTGTGTTCATTGTTTTCAACAGTTGTTGAAGATTTTCTGGTATAATCTGCTCAAGAGTTTTTATTTTTACTAAAACAGTACCCTCCTTCGATCCATTGTATAGATTTGAGATGAAAAATCAAACGTTTACTGATGGATAGTAGACATGAAAACTCCGGTGTTAGAGTGCAGCGCTTTAAAACAATTGACCAATCAGCGTTGATGTCTACAATGGGCGGGACGTCTTCTTAAGATTGACAGGATATTTAACCAATAGCATACTCCGCTAGTTGATTTCGTCCAATCGTTCGCGGCTTCGACCCGCTGTATCCAACGAGAGTAGAGTTTCAACGAGCTCGGGAGAAAAGCGGAGACGAGCGGACATCATTTCTCTTTCAGCGTCTCTTTGGACTAACCACTCGAAAGCAAAGTGCCGAGAAATTATTTTTTATTCTCGACAAGGATTATAATTTCTACATCAATTTAACGAAATAAAAAAAAATGGCCGACACAGCTGTTGACAAGACCGCAACTGCAGAGGTAACCGTTAAGGTAGGTTTCATTCAATTGCTCTCCGGCTGAGGTGTCGAGTGAAAAGATTTCGAAAACTTCCAATTTAAAAGTTGGTGTTTAGTTTGTGTTTTAAGTACAGTAAGCTTCAGTTAAGCAACGTTAATTGAAAGATAAATGTTCCTGTCAACAGTGTTAAAAGAGGGGAAATTGAGAGATACCTCAAGTTGTCTTTAAATGTCACTTTTTTAGGAAAGTAGAAAGCTTAGAGGTGACTTAAATGAGACTGTGAGGGGTATTAGTTAACTATTGTGTCTTAAAAGTCAATCAACGGTTGTGTGGTTAGTTAAATGTATTGTTGAAGCAAACAAAGCGGTAGAAACGATCCAGCTGGTGAAGCGCTGCTGTGGGCGGGAAGCCTCACAAACCTTCATGATACATTAAAAAACGAGCTTAACATGACATGTAAAGCGAAATTCTCCACTGTAGACTGTTAAATCACACATTAATGCAACTTTTTGTTCAATTGAGAAGAGATATTTAAAAATTCATGGCACTAAAGAGTAAACTATTCACCAATAAACGTTTGTTTTCACTTTTAAAGGAGCTGAAAGAGAAGAAAGAGGTCGAGGTGGAAGAGGAGAAGAAGAAGACTGACAACGGAGACGCACCTGCCAATGGCACAGTAAGTTGGAGGGACGAGAAGCAGCAGCCTCATGGCCTTTTGTCTTAGCAGCCCTCATCATGCAGGTGTCGCTGCGCCTCCCCTGCCTCCCTGCCTGCCTCCCCCCCTCCTGTTCAGCTGCTCTCCACCGCTTTGTTTGGGTTCTTGAAACGGCACAGATGTTAGTGTGCAAGTCTGAGGACGTTTCTATTGGTGCTCTTGTCAAGCTTGGTGGTTAATCCCCTTGGGAGTAATGAGAGCTTCGCACACATGCCCTTTTTTCTTTTTTAAAGCGCCCCCCAAGGAGTCTAAACATACAAGACTGTGGGAGGATTATGTCAAATATGCTTAGGATTTGTTTTTTTGTTTTTGTTTTTAGATATGGTGTTACCTAATGCACTTTTTTTTTTCTCTATCCAGAATGGTGCTGATCACAGTGACAAAGTGGAGAAAAATGGAGAGGAGAAACACAAGAATGGAGATGGTATGTTAGTTAACACCAGGTTTGATGTTAAACAAACAAAACTCGGGCAACTTTGCTTAAAGCCGTAATTTTTTCCTCTAATATGTAAGTATGTTTCTATAAATCTGGTCTTATTTACATAAAATAAAAGGATTCATAACTCTTTCTTCAGGAGATGCAGAGGAGGCGCCCCCTGCTGAGGAGACTGACGCACAGCCGGTGAAGCGTGCAGCTGAAGAAGAGGAGGTGGGTTTTCACCAGGATGCAAAACTACTAAAGGAACAGGATTATTTTTTTTATTTTTCACGTAAACTAACTCACTAAATGTCCTCTCTCTTTCATCAGGAAAAGGTGGAGACAAAAAAGCAGAAGACAGAGGAGAACGGAGATTCAAAAGAGGCAGAAGTGGAGGCTTAGGTCGAGTCTGCCTTGCTACTTGTTTGCAGCACTGTTTAACCAGCCTGGTCAACAATTTGTTATAGAGCTTGTGCTTTCTGTTCCTTTGAGAAATCTTTCTTTTGTTTGCTCCCACATTATCACATTGCACTGGAGTCCTGAAACATAGTGGCCCTGCATCCTTTTTTTACGAAATGTTATTTATTGGTCTTTAAAATGAGCTTTTTTTTACTTGTATAAAAAGGGCCACACCATGAGATCAGTTTGTTTTTCATTTCTTGAGGTTTTATACCAGTAGTATGTTTTGAAGCACAATCTCTATTGTCAGTGCTGACCAGATGATTCATTCATACAGGCAGCTGCTCACTCCCTCAAAGGCTCATGTTGACCTCTCAGACTCACTTAATGGACCAAAGATAAGTTTTAAGCAGGGGCTAATGGACAGTTGTTAGCATCATTAGTTGAGGCAAAAATCTTTGTGTTGAGCTGCTACTTAATCCTTGGCTTGGCTGCCCTGTGTTGATATGACAGAAGGTGCAAATGAATAAAGGGGCTCTGTATTGTTCCTCCATGATAAGATAACTTGAGCTTGTATAATGGAGGCTGGATTTTGCTATGTTAATTAACCCCTCTTAAACCTTAAAGCTTTGGTCATTCGTTCTGTATGCATTCCACGCAAGTTTGTACCATTTATACTTTGTTTTTCTTGTGTTTTCAACGAGTTTTATGTTATGGCTGGGTAGCCTAGTTTTGTGTCCAAGACTGCCTTTTTCAGAAACAGAATGACATTCGGTTACTTCAGCCACTGCTTTGTATATTCTGATTAAAAAATAAAAAGTTGTCTTTTTACTAAGTATATCTGTCTTGTGTATGTGAGCATGTCTATGTAGCATGACTCCTTAAAACCATGTTTTAATAAGCAGATGATGTCACTTGACCCAATTTTTCTTACATGGAAAATGGCTGGCTAAGATGCAGGAAGGAATAGGAATATCTCACTTGACAAAGCATGAACAGAGTCAGTGGACGCTGTTGTCTCCTGGCTCCCTCATGTGGTGTTTTTGAATATTGCATACTAATTTTCCTCAAATGACCTCTGCTAAAAACTTAAAAGGATACAAGTACCAGCGCAAAATTAACGACAAAGGAGTCAAAAATGGCAAAAGGTCATTTTAGTTTGAACTGAACCCTGAATAAAGGCTGTTACATTAACACTGCTAAGATTGAGCAATAGGTGGTATCAACACAAAACATAGTTTTATTTTTATTTCAAGCAAGCTGCAATAGCATGATCCACACAGTACCTGTTTCCTCAGAAACATTTGCATGGCGTGCATTCAGCCAGTCCAGGAGGCTTTAATAGTAGGCGGTTACTGACGTCCTGCTGAGGCCGCAGTTCTAACCAGCACCATGATGTGGTTTTCATTACATGAGCCAGTCAATAATGGTATGTACTGAAGTTAACCTTGTGAGAAGGTCCTGCTGTCAGGCTGAGCACCTGTGCTCAGGACAAATATAAAGCATACTGTTTGCAATGATCCAACAGATGTCAAAAATATGAACCATTTTGCTAATCAAATGGCTTCTTCTAGATGGAGAGTTAATTGAGTTTGAGCATCCTGTAAGGAATATGGCTAACACAGGTCATCACTGTACTGGCTTGATGGTCTGGGAGCATGGTTGAGCCAAAGCCTACGTCTTAAAGCATGCGCCCTAGAGATGAAAATGCACTTGCTGCTGGCTCTGTGAACCCAGTCTTTTCTTTCAGTGTTGTCCGCCTTCAGGGTTACCCATAGTTCACATGAGTCTTCTCCCTGTTTGCTGTTCTTCTGTTTTGTTCGGTTTCCAACTGAATGCAGATTCACACCCCAGTTTCAACTTCTCCTCTTCCTGATAATGACAAGAATCACTGTCATTATTACAATCGCATGGCCAGGAGAAGGATGACAGCTTGCAGCTGTCCATGGCTTAGTGAGGGCCCAGACACCACTAGCCACCAGTATAACTTGTTTGTTTCTATTGGATTTTGAAAGGTAGTGTTGGTGGATAAAAGCGTGTTTGTGTGTTTTTGTGTTCGTGTGTGTGTTTACAATAGACTTGGATCTATACTAAGCTGGAATTGAACATGGGATTTTATTAAGATTTACAAAGCACCAAACTGTAATTCCAGGATTGTGAACTGCTAAGTCTCGTAATGAACGGACTGTGACAAGTGATGATCTTGTTAGCTCATAAAATGTGAAATATGTGAAGCCCTTTTAAGACCGTAGCTGTGATTAAGCTATGTGCAGCTTAACATGAATATGAAGAGCATGTCTGCTTAAATACTATATGTCAGCTTTTGACTAAATGAAGGAGTGAGTAAGTAAATAGTCACTGGCAGCTCATTCATTCAGTCAGAAAAATCCCACCTAAGGTGAGACACTACCATGCTAACTCAGAGAAACAGGCAGGTAGACATTCCCTTGACCATGTGACCAAAACAAAACATCAACACAAGGCTTTTGAGAAATTACTTGCAGCTCATGCAGACATTAGGCAACTGATAAGAGGAAGAAAAAGAGGGGGGAAAGCTGTGGTTAGCCTGCACGCAGAGATTGACATTTCTAAACTAGACACCAAGAAGCAAGAGAAAATGATGTAAGACTTCACAGAAAAGAAGTGGACACAAAAAGAGTTCAGGTGAGTCTGTACTCAAAGAGGTCACACACAGTCTCTCACACATCCATCTGTCACGCTGCGCATTCAAAAAAGTCACACACATTTGTTTGTAAAAGTTAGGAAAAATGCATGGAAGTATACACACACACACACACGCACACATATGAGCACACTGGTCAGGTACACACATATCGGAGGAGTGGCCAATGTCTGTCTGTCTGTCTGTCTGTCATGCTCTGAGAACAGTGCTGAAAAGTGTGTAACACTATACTGTGTGTGATTGTGGTGTGCAGCAGGGGTGTACAGTGTGTCTGTCCTGTCAGTGCTGTAAAGGTCAACACACTCAGACACCAAGCAACAGCGTGAGAGCATGAATGCCGTCCAGTATGAGTGTAGATGTGTGTGTGAGAGGTAAACTACATCTACAGGCTTTACTACGTGTTCATCAAAAGTGGCTGGGTCTCGCTTTCGGGGGGCTCACCCTCAGGGGGGGGCAGCTGGTACACCACGCAGAGGGAGGAGTACAGGCAGCCAACGAATGACATCAGGCTTGAAAAGTACATCACTCCCTGGGCCCCACCCACCAGTGAGGTCAGAGGTCCCATCGCCACAGAGACCAGGATCTGAGCCAGGAAGTACTGGCAGCTGAGCAGAGAGATGTCCACCCCCATCCCTCGTTTAGTCCCTTCCTCTGATGTGCCACAAAACTGAAAAATAAAAGGAAGTTATTGTGCGATTTGGTCGATCCATGTGGGTGCAGACACTGCAAACAAGGACAAGACAAAGCCCTGTATTAAACCTGCAATCTCTCAAACGACCAGAAGATGGAGCCACACTACGAGGAAACAGAAGTCTGACTACATGAGAGAGAGAAAATGACTTTTCTTTTGAGTCACTTCCATAGAATGTATATAGACTAGTATATACAGTCCATGGTCATTTCGTCACCACAGTGTGCATCAACTAATCGGATGAATAGCTGTGTATATGACGGTCATCTTTTTAGTTCACAAACAGGGTAGGGAACTTAAATTAAGTCTTAAAGTGAAAGTTCCAGTTCATGAATGTATAATAAATTATGATATATATCAATAAATTTTATCTAAAACGCTCTTTTACAGGTGCTAAAAGACGCTTTACAAAAAACACAATTCAAAATACAGAAAATTTGGAATACTAAGACCAACAATGTAAAAAGTTAAAGACACAATATGAAAAGACAATAAAATCTAGAAAAATTAAGAGTTTCCTAGCTTCCCCTTCATTCAGCTGTAATGTTAGCTTGCAATTGATGGCTATCCTATTTAAATGTGTTACACTACTTTGCTGTAATATTGGATTTCAGCTGCTTCCTAGCTCACTGTGCAATAAGAGGCTGAGTGCTAACATTAGTTATGGTCTTGACATAGCTAATGGGTTATTTAAAAGCGTATTTAACTTGAAATACACACAGTTCTCTTTAGTTTAGTTTTCAAATTTCAATATAACAAACAAACAAAAAGAGAAATGATCATGTTTTCCTCCCGTTCCATACTAATATAATTTAGAACCTGAACACAGAAGTTTAACCTCACAATCTGAACATGATATCAGCGGAAAACGGCTACTATGCAGATACATTTAATGCACCATGATGCTAATTTGAAAATAATAATCATATTTAAAGTTTTATATAGTTTAGAAAGGAACTTGTTAACCCTGATAGAGGTAGCAGTGAGTACCCACTTCTTTGGCCAGATAATGAGTCATCTTCAAATACTTCCTCTTATCCCCTGTGGCATTTATGGTTGCAGCACTAACACTGATTGTGCCTGAAGAAATATTTAAACATATTCAACAATTGGCTTATTTGCTTAATGAGACGGAATTAATCGGATAGAAACCTCAATCATGACTGATGTTAAGATGAGGCAACAGTGACTTGCTTCAAATGAAAACTTCAAACTTACATATAACAATAAGAACTAACAAGTGCAATAACTGCATGAGTGTTTCTATACAAAATCCAATTAACAGAATTAAAAAAAGAGCTACAAACATGGAAACAGGTTGCTTATAATTCCAAGGTTACTCAAGGTCTTAGCACCTCCAAAGCTCATGAAATGGTCAGCCGTATGAGCCCCGTTAAGCCACAAAGAATTGTTTTTTTTTTACTTCGCTTTTGGTACAAAGCGAAATCACTTAATATAACTTGCTAATTGGAGAGATTAAGAGTGCCAGTTTTGTGGATTATGTTACCGTGTTCCAGCCTCTGTGCAAAGCTAGCCTGGCTGTGGCTACCAATTTAGTTTGCGGACGTGGCATTCCAATCAATCCTCTTATCCGACAATGAGGAACAGAAAACATAAAGTGAGGTAATTTTGCATAATGTTTAGCTATTTATTTAGGTTGATTCCAGGAAAATGTTTGGAAACAACCAATGACTTTACAAATGAGTGAGTTTCGTTTCTGCGTACTAACCTGAGGGCTCTGGTAGTATTCACACAGCAGAGAGTAAGGCAGCGTGCATAGAGAGGAGAAGAGCACCCCGTAGGTGACGCACAGAGACAGAACCACGTAGAGGTTGGTGGAAAGCGTGGTTAGACCGGTGCCCAAACCAAATGCCAGATAGGCGAAAAAATACAGCGTGCGAAGGGAGAAACGCTCCTCGAGTTTCTCCAGTATGGCTGAAGGTCACAGCAGAAACCCAGAGAGAAAAAGAGGTAGATAGATGTGAAGCTTGCTGAGGAGGGACAAGAATATCCAGAGTATTTTCTGGTTAGGAAATGAGGTTTTTACCTGAGTAGAAAGCAGCACTGAATGCATAGATGCACATGCCCCAACAGCCCATGCTAACACCAGCATTGTAGCGTTCGTACGCCTCAGAGTCATGGGGCGCCTTGGGGTCTCCTTTGAACACAACTTCCCCCATGAAGTCAGTGTAGAAGAGCAGCATTCCTTCAAAGGACAGCCAGCCTAAAGGAAGATAATAAGTACAAACTCAGATTCTGTGAAATACAAAAACTGGCTGTTTTAAAGGTGTTGTGTAGGGTTTTTGTTTTGAAATCTACATCCTAAGTATCCTCACCCAAAAAATGATTAGTGCATAAACTCCGCAGAGAGGGCGGCATCCTGTAGATGGCTATACACAGAAGCTTTAATGACATTTGGCATTCTCCGGTCTCCACATTCTGAGTCAGACCACTCTCATATCGCACCCCATTCAGCAGAATGTTTGCAACCTTCATTGGGAAAAAAAAACCAGACATTGATTACAATGCTGAGACACAGTTTTTAAGATTTTCAGAATAAAGGCCTGACCTGTTGGCTGAAGGTTACTGTTCTCCTGCGACCGCTTTCTGACTCAATCTGGCTTGTTGAGTTGTCTGCAAGTGCAAGGCTCTGTGGTCGCTTCAGGATACCGGAGGAAGAGCGTCGTGTTCCCCTGTAGGGTTGAACCCCGACAGTGACCTGAGATGCTCCATGAGATTGTGCATCTCCCTCAGGCTGTGGCTCTCCCGGCTCTTGGGTTTCTCCTGCTGGACGAGGTGCCGCATCTGTCTGGGCGGCGTGATTCCCTGACCCCTGTCTGTGCTCATCAGGAGGAGGGGACTCACCAGGAGGCAGGGGTGCGGTAGTTGGATTGGCGGCCATGCCCTGTGGAGTCTGTTGACCGGTGTAGCAGTTTATGAGCACGCTGTCTATGTAAGAAGTTCCTAAAGAGGAGGCAAACTCATTGATGCCATTGATTGAGCTGTCCCTGCTGATAAAGCTGCCGTACTTTGGGGTGAGGGGGCTCAGGGGTGATATCGGGCTTGTTAGGCCAGCACAAAGGCGCGCATTGGCACTACAAGAATGGGCCATGGGGTCAAAATTACATGGCTTTGTGTAATCATAGCTGTAAAGACCTTCCTCATCTTCCTCATCCAGTCCAAAAGCAGATCCAGAAACAGGAGGAGATGGAGGTAGAGGGAGGTTGGGGCTTTTTAGATGAGTTTTATTGGGGTTCTTATTTGAATGGCTTTTTGGTAGGGGCCGTTCGGGGATACTTATCAGCGTCAAGATTGTGGCAAATACTAAAGTGACACTTGTGAACATGAATATGACTCGCAGTTGACCTCCCACTGACTGTCCAAATCGTGTCTGGTCCCAGTTGATGCCACCCACAATGTAGCCGAATCCGCCTCCTAGCCCTGCAGAGGGAGAGTAAGAAACAAACAAAATGACCTCCTGGAAAGACGAAGTGGTCTCCTATGGTCAACTTACCCCATACACGGGGTAAGTTGACCATAGGAGACCATTTTTTTGGCATGCTATATTATCAAGACAGTTCTGTTTACACTCATTCTGTTGGTTTGGACAACATCTTGAAATATATGCAGATACACTAGTTAGAGACAAAACTATGATTGCCTTGATGTAGTGATCCGAAACATGAAAAATGTCTCATCTTACCCCACTCTCCTGTATATCTTCCTTTTTTCCTTTTACCTGCTAGTAGCGCATGGATGTTAAGCCCCCGGTCTTGGTCCTCTGGGCCGCACACATCCATCATGTACGCGTGGCTTGGGTTGTCCGATGAATCAGCGCTAAAGTCCATCAGAACCACGCCGCACACCGTCAGCAAAATCCCCCATCTGTGATTCGTTGGTGTGTCCGATATCACCACGCCGATGTCTCGCCCATTCAGCACCAAGGTAAGACCAATTAATGCCCCTTTAGAGGAGAGAAGCAGCAGCAGTTTTCTGACATTAGCTCTGGAGGTGAACAGGTTTATTCCAATTTGGGGAAGTGTGCCTCATTCAGGCCTATATATGCCAAATTTACATCGAATTCACTAGACATGGTGAGTAATAGAAGCTAGTCAAAGTGGTTGTGAAATTTTTCCCGTTGATGAAGAGGAGATGTCGAGGTGTGTCAGGAGTTGGAGACAGAAACAAGTTTCCTGCTTACGCTATGGGCTTAAAGAGATGACAGCACCAGGTGAAACAATAAATGGTTATACAACGGTGAGTTTTGACCGAGTAATATGATTGGGCAGGTTCTGACACTGTCTATGACTATATCAGTGGTTCTCAAGTCCAGTCCTGGAGGCCCACTGTCCTGCATGTTTTGAAAGTTTCCCTGCTCCAACACACCTGATTCAAATGATCAGCTCGTTATCAAGCTCTGTAATGGCTTAATAACGAGCTGATCATTTGAATCAGGTGTGTTGGAGCAGGGAAACATCCAAAACATGCAGTACAGTGGGCCTCGAGGACTGGACTTCAGAACCACTGGACTATATTAAGATTATAACTAAGCCACGAAAGCAAAAACTTTGTTAAATGAGCGATTCAGACTGATGTATGCAATACTGTAGCTAATCTACATCAACATGAAGACAAACATAAAGTTAGAGTGCAGGAAATGTCAGTTCAAGGCCCAGTTCTAGTCAGTTTATAATAGTCATATTGGCCAAGAAAAACAAATGATTACATAAAAATCTACAATCATTTGTATCTTAATGATGTTTGCTAATATAAAGCTGACAGGATTGTTGTGTGGGGGTAATGTCACACTGAAAATTGTGACATTAAACTGTGATTATATCTCAGCCGTGCTTCTAATCAGAATGAAAGCACTTCTCATTGAGTGATTTCGCCTCAGATCCAGCTGCATTATGGGAAGTGTTTTAACTTTAGGGGTATAACATAAGGCAAAAATATAAAGGAATCCCAGACACATACTGCTTATATGTGTTTCTTACCTATAGCCAGGGCTAAAATAAAGGGTCTCCTTCGCCCAAACCGGGATGTGCACCGATCACTCCACGCTCCAATGAGAGGCTGAACGAGGAATCCTACAAACCGGAGGCAAAGATCAAAGTAAGAAGCCCTGAGAAAAGTTAAACACATTATATGTTGCTGATCAAATATTGCTCTGCTGTTGACTTACCCAGTATAGGGCTGATAAACCACACCAAGCTGTAAAACTGATCCGGCAAGCCCATCTGCAGGAGCACCGGGGTAACATAAGCCGTCTCCATGGCATAGCTGAACTCAATACCAAACATGACGCAGCCATTGAAGACCAGCTCTCTGAAGGTGCGTCTTGGGGGAAGCTCACTGAGGTCCAGCTGGTCCAGGGGACAGGGGGTATTAGGTGGAGGAGGTGGTGAGGGTCTTATAAGCTTCTGGCGCTTTGGCTGTCTCTGAAAGTTGTTGGCTCTGTGACTGAGATGCCGAGTTGAAGATGTTGGGAAGCTGGCAGTTTTGGTTAGTGAGTTCCTCCAGCTAATTTCCTGAGATGTGGATGATGCCCCCTCTCCTGAGCTGATCAGAAGGGGGTCACTTGGGGTGCCCATACCCGGGGATGACATCTCTTTCAAGCCAGCTTACACTGCAGAAAACGAAAGGTTGAAACATGATGCTCAGACTTGATTTGGGTTGAGTTTCTCACACATAGAAGGTCATTGAGGATCATCAAAAACGCTCAGCAGTCATGTTGGTAACTTCGTGTTAATGGTTACATGGTGTTACCAGAAAGGACACTGCAGTCATAAGCAGTGATGGGCACGACGCACTGCAACCAATGCGCATGTTAGGGTTGTGCGCAAAGCCCATGTGCTCGGCGTGGCTGACTACAGCAGTGTGGGATGCGGCACCGCTCTCATGTAGCCTGTTTCCATTTTAATTTTTTATGGGGGACGACCAGATCGGACACAATGGAGCCTCAGGAGATGGTGATGATGTCTTTTGAGGCAGTGACAGGGCTAACCTATCATTATCGCTTCAAGCATTTGACTAAAATAGACCCTCTCTGTAGCCACGCAGACGATCGGCTGTTTTTGAGTGAAGTCTACTCGACAAATAGGCTCGTTATTAAGATTTCCTGAACAAGTATTTCGGGTCTAAAGGTGAAGACCACACAATCGACTTACGACGACGAAGGCGTGCAAATGGAAAGGTGAAATATGATAATTACCTTGTCGGAGTGGCTCGTCATTTAGTGCGGCATACTGTGAAGGTAAACAGAGCGAGCGTTATGATCTGCCGGTATAAATAGAAACGGCAGACGGATTACAGGAGTCATGTTTTTTGTTTGTTTGTATAAATATATATATTTTCTTTTCACGCAGCCATCCCCCTGCTCTCTCCTCTGTCCCTTCTCCTTCCCCCTCTTCTCGTCTCCCCCCCCACCTTCGCCTCCTCATCCTCCCGGTCTCTCCCGTGACGTCACGCCCCTCCCTGCAACATCAGCACCTCCATAACATCCAAGTACATCCTCAACTACACCCTATACACACACACAGGAGATACACAGAGAGAGAGAGACTTTTGAGGTCAGAACCACCCCAGTTAGTATAAATGTATGATGCACAAGCTTTGTCCAAACTGCATTGACAAATTTCTTCACTGACATGGTTGCATTGTGCTTGGAGAACTCATTTACAAAATATGTCTCAAAAAGACTATTGACAATAGGGGAGACCGGGGTTTGTTGTCACATGGGTAAGTTGTCACATTGCAATTATCTTTGACACCAGAGGGCGCAACAAAAAATGGAGAACTCGTTTTCTTCCTTTAAGGTCTTTTCACACCAGGACCGTTTTTGTTGTGTGATTATTTCGGACATCAATATTTTTTTTCGAACCCGTATCCTGTCAATACAAGCATTCACATTAGCAACGTTTTCCCATCCTGCGATATTGAGGCATTTATATTTTCGGATCATGGTCGATTTTTCTAAAGTTTCGCATACTGTATGTCCACTCCACAATCAGATTTCGTGTTGTTGCGACGTCTGACTCGCCGGTATATCCAACATGGCCGACCCGCTGATTGTTTATGTGTCTGAGAACAGAGTGCTTTATGATAAAAGACACAAACATTACAAAGATAACGAACATAGTGTCGGATCTTTCATATGACAATGTTTTGTGTGCTTTAACAGTTTGCTAAACGTCTTTGTTTTAACTTTCATCTGTGCTAACGTAAGCTAACGGTTGTTACCATAGTTTCATGTGCTTATCTTATCGCCTCTGATTGGCTTTAAGGGCTGACTGTTTGGCTTGAGCATGTGATGACGTTTCCAGCTTTTCTAGCCAATCAGAGGTAAAAGAGGCGGGACTTTGCCCGGGAAAAGTCTTCCCCAGGAAGAATATTTTGTTTTGAACACAAAATATATACCTGAGACTTTGGTCTTTCATGTGGTACACATTTTGTTTATATATGATGTATTGATTCCAAGACATATATGAGTGTAAAAAGAGTGACAATAAGCCCCGGTCTCCCATACTTCTGTTCTACTCAAAAAGCATCTGACTCTTTCAATCAAATTGTCACCCCCATCTCTTTTCTTTTTGGTGGGTGTCCGGAGACATACAGACTTCACATCTAGAGGTTTTTTCAAAGCTGTATTATGGATGAAAACAGCCAGGCCATTTCATGAGCAGAGGAGCAATGCAGTGACAGTGACATATGATGATGGCAGAGGCCATGATCTGAATGGCAAATGACAAGGACCGTATGTCCTCATACCCTCCTAAATACATTTCTCTGCAAAACAGCCAGATATCCTGACATGGCAACAGATAACTAAGGCTGTAGAGGGGTAACCTTAACCTTGAGAATGTGAGTCAGTATTGATCCCTTGTGGGATGCACCAGTGAGAGGCTGAATAATGAACCCTAAGCCACAGGCAAGGGTCAAAGTAAGAGGCCATGAACAGAATTATACACAAGATGTTGCTGCTATTGACTTACCCGGTATAGGGCTGATAAACCACACCGAGCTTTATTCAACATTTGCCAATCCATAACAAATGTAATCTCAAGACATTTCACCAAAGGAGCTGCTCTAGGCCAAAGACCCAATATCAAGGTTAGAGAAGACTCTGGTTAAGCTTCATATGTTACAGTGGTGAGGAAGAATTTATTCTAAACAGGTAGATACCCTGAGCAGAACCAGACTCATGCTGAACAGCTTTCAGCCGCGACCTTTTCCTTGAACCTGGACAAATTCACAGGCTATGGAGGAAATGGATAACCCATCTTAACTAAATGTCATTTTATCACACCAGGAGGCACTCAATGACAACTAATAATGTGCTCTTTCATTTTTTTTCTTTATTTTCTTTTATGCTTGAGTACAGTGCCCCCTACTGTCCTATTTGATATGCTCTCAAGGTGTTGATGGGCACTCGGGAGAGGATATTTCTGTCCTTTTTTTGTATGAGAGACAAACTATGGACAAATGGAACAAAAATGACTGGAACATCTGTAAACCCTGGACCTTCCTCTTGAAATGTACACACTGTTACTGTGATTCATCTCAGTATGTAACAATATATTTACATATATATATATATTTATTTCCATCTGTGCCTTCTGAGATGTTTCCTGTTCTTTTTTAGTTCTTTTCCTTTATTTAACTCTTTACAAGTATTTTGAAAAAATGAATGTATTCATAGAAATAAGGTTAAAAAAAAAAAAAAAAGAAAAGAAAGAGAACAGCTTTCAGCCACAGCTGTGGTGGGCTTGAGTTAAACAGAGGAAAATGCTGAGAGAAAAAACAAAACAATTTTTGCAAAAAATCTTTTAAGCCGTATCTGGAGTTACAGAATCCCTCTTCATCTGTAATTTGTATTAAACTGGTATATACCAAAATGAGAAACCTTTAAGTCATGTTTATTGTTATCATCTTTTCTTTAATTTCATTATTCAGTAATGGTTTTATGTAGAAGCATTGTTATTTCAAACCTTCAAAACGGTAATACTTGCTGTTAATGTAGGCTCTTATTTTGATCCTATGAGAGATTAAAAGTGCACTGGAAAAATTGAGTGGCACAGGGTGAAACAAAGCTACTTATATTTGTTATTAAGGACAATGGCTGAATGAATTTGAACTGTATTGGCTGCCAAATTTGGTTTTTAAGGTTATTCGGGGGTTAGTAGAAAACTCTCAGATTAGAGGAAGTTTACAGCTATAAAAAGAAAATCAGAACAATCTATGAAAGCAAACAAAGGCCAAGCAATAAATAACATTACCTTTGAACTGAGCGGTGATATACCTTATACAACCCTTATGCAATATAGAGTTTTGTTATGATCAAAATTAAACCTAAACATGCCAAGTTTTCAATTACTATACTACTATTTTCTCAAAACCAGTCAGAATGTGTTATAAGTGTGAAATAAAGTGGAAAAAACTCAATATTAAGAGCAAAAAAAACACAAAATGAAGCAACACAACAGACGACATCTTACTGTAGATTATTAACTACAGAAGGGAGGGGGTGCACGTGCTCTATATTGCCTTCGCTTAGCCCCGCCTCCATTCCGAGTAGCGTACGCTGTCATTGGCTGAGTTCTCTATATCGGCCGAATCTGATTGGCCGTCACCGTTCAGCAGGCGTATCAGGATGTTCTCGTTTTGCAACTATTATGCGGGCGTTCCTCAAACATAACATTACTATAACATTATATATACTGTACGAACTCAAAGTCACTTAGTTCGTCGCCCGTGTGTCACCATCTTAGACAAAAAAACAACATGGCCAAAATCGACCTCGACAAAATTGGGAAGAACTTACTGAAGAGCGCTGAAACCGGAGAGGTAATATAAAATACATCTGAGTGAGTGTTTACCTTTGAGAGCTGAAAACATATGTTTCAACGGTCTTTCCTTATCGTTTGAGTTGCTCTCTATGAAAAAGCCCTGCTGTTAAAGTTGACATATTATTCCTTTGAGGCGCTTGTCTCCTGCTGAGAGCTAACTACTGCATTTAACTTGTCATTAACTCCCAGTGTTGGTATAAATGCTGTCAAATAACCTCTCTGGGGTGATATAAAGTGAAGTGATACATGACAGTGAATCCTCATTTAACACTGTTTTGCTTCTATGATATGTGATTTTTAGAGATTACTTTTTAACTTAGTAGTAATCCATTCAAACATGCCTCATATGTAATCTATTCAGTACCTGTTTTATGATGCCATGGTGGATTATTCCCTTTCAGAATGTGGAGCTGCAGTCTCTGTGGCAGGACCAGCCCGCTGTCCTGTTCTTCCTGCGCAGGTTCGGCTGTCAGGTGTGTCGGTGGATGGCATTAGAGGTCAGCAAACTGGAGCCGGACTTAAGAGCCAGCGGTGTGGCCCTGGTAGGCGTTGGACCGGAAGAGTTGGGCTTGAAGGAGTTTAAGGAAGGAGAGTATTTCAAAGGATGTAAGCTGTTTTCACTCATCTAATACAATCGGGGGTCTTTTTCTGTGTTTCTGCAGCACTGACATAACACTCTAAATTGAACAATATGTGTTGCTTTCAACGATTATGAAAAAATAAATCTGTACACAGGGCTTAATTGCAAAAGTCTTTAATCGGATAACCAAACCTACTGTTACTCTACAGCCTTAATTGGACGTTTTTACTTTTGTATAGCCCCTCATTGCTGAATATTAACCGTTTTTGGTTTCCAAACATGACATGCAGACATACTCACTGTTGGGCTTTTTCTTTGTAAAACTGTCAGTAATCATCAATCAACTCTCTCTTGCAGCTATCTACATGGATGTAGAGAAGAAAACTTACAAAGATTTGGGCTTTAAAAGGTGAGCACAGCAAATACAAATGTATGATGACAATTTTGCTGCAAAGATGAGTCGATTAATCTTCCAATCAAACAACATCCAACATAGCTTTTTTTTTAAATGAGGAATATATCCATCATTTTAAAGCAAATAAGGAGTACTCTCAAACAGTACAGTACATCTTCTGGTTTTTACAATGCTGTTTAAACAAGACAAGATCCATAACTCAAGTGTTTACACATTCAACCAGGATTTAAATACTTGTGCTAATCTCTTTGTATTAGATTAGCTGCATTTAACTAATCTCTGTCTGAATGATGTTTTGTTTTTATTTTCAAACTCAGGTACACAGCCATCAGTGTGGTTCCTGCTGCCATGGCAAAAAAAGTACGAGATGTAGCTGCAAAGGTAGATAAATTCTTAATTATGTTGAATTTTTATCTGCTTTATGTAACCGTAGGTGACAGGAATGAAGTAATGAAGTTGCTGATTGAGTCACTGACTCCTGACTTCATGTTTCCTCTGCTGTTTTCAGGCTAAAGCTGGCGGCATCCAGGGAAACTTCTCAGGAGATTTACTCCAGAGTGGAGGCATGCTCATCGTGGCTAAAGGTAAAGCAATATCCAGCAGGGGGCGATAGTTCCAATACATACCTAAGGGGCAATGATAAGGATTAATGATCTTGAAAGCATTAGTTGGCTGTCCAGCAAATCAATAAATGATAATAAAGTAGTTTTTGGGTAGTTTGGCCTCTAGAGGGCAATGCTGCATCACATTACTGGAGCAGCATGTTCACACAGTAAGCTATCTTAACCACCCACTGTGGTCCTGACTAGACACATCCTTTGTTTTCCTATTGAGTCATTGAAACACTTAAACCACACAAGTCAGAGCAACCTGAAGATAATTTTCAACAGTATTTTATTTGTAAAAGAGCGTGTGACAGCTGAAATGAGGCAGAGGAAAAAACACTCTCTAGAAATAAACTGATGTTGTCTTTTATTGTGGGGTTGGACACAAGAGTCGACATCTGCTGTGTAAACCTCCCAGTTTGAGACTTTGGCTCTACCAAAAGCCACATCTCCTGCAGTGTTGCTCCCCTCCGCATGTTCATCAGAAAAAGTTGTCAAAGTCCTCACCTAATGTTTTTTGTCTTTTTTTGTCTAATGTCTTTTAATCCTTAAAGGCAGTGTCGCTCCCTTCTGCATGTTTATTTGAATAAAAGATTAACAAACATATATATATATATATATATATATATATATATATATATATATAAATATATTACATCTGGAGAAAGTAACTTAAAAAATGTGTTGCAAACGCACATTTAAACATTTTATTTCTGAATATTGTCACATGTACCTGAATATGAAATCTTTGATTGAAATGGAGAAAGTTGACCAAGTCCTCAATGATATATTTTTTATGTCTTTTACTCCTTAAAGGTGGAGAAAAGGTCCTGCTGCACTTTATTCAGGACTCACCTGGAGACCATGTACCTCTAGAGGATATCACCAAAGCTTTGGGCATTTCTACCCAAGTTAAAGCAGGAGAAAAGCCAGTGGTAAGATATCTCAGAAAAATAGATCACAATAATCCCTGTGATGCATTCTTTTACTGTTTTACTTTTGTTTTTCTGACACTTTTATCCCCCCATCCCTCATTCCAACCTCAGTTTAATTTTTAATTAATTCAAAGATGAATAGTGAAAGAGAAAGTGGTTTTGCTGGGTTTACTGAAGCACACTTGGCTGATGTTTTTCCTGTAAATTCTGTTTTACGTCAGCAACACACACATCAGAACAGCCTCTTCAAAGACAATTTCACACTTATTACTCTGTCTTCATGGTCTGTTAGTGTTGGTGTCACAGCCCTGAAACATTTCTAACTTGAGCAGGGATCTCAGTCTGTAAATAATTGTATTTAAAATGCTCAGCAAACACAAACAGAAAACAAATACCATGTAATACCCTGAAGGGGAAATCCAGGATTTATGATCTAGCACTATGGGAATGAAGTTTGACTCATTGAGGTGTAGCTCTGAAAAATGTTGGCAGCCTTTCACAAAATCTATGAAATGTTTGTTTAAATCTGTTAGAAAGACTATAATGCAGCTTAAACAGCTCCTTACAAAGTCAAATATCCCTTTAACTGAAAAGCTTTATGGGACCGTGTTGATATCTAAGATAATCAAATCAGTGAAAAGACTCAGTTGGTAGGCATTTGATCAAGCATTCAGGATTTCCCATAATTTTTAATAACATAATAATTGTTAGCCCTCTATAAAATTTGACTTACTTTATATTTACTTGATACAGAGCGCTGTAAAAAGAGAAAAATCTCACTAAAATTCTTTCTTAGAAAAAGAGGATTATATTTTTAATGCCGCTGTCAAGACTGAGTATTAAAAATTATGAATGGTTAAATGGGTCAGGCGAGAAAAATCTAACGATAACAGAAACAAAAATGCAAAACAACAAGTATTTAAGTCTGGATTTTAATTAAGCTGGAAAATTCCACAGTTTTTTTTTTTTTTTTTTTTTTTCTTTAAGAATTAAGGATTAGGTTTGAGAATTTAGGACTCACAGGTTTTCATTTATTTTCTAGGATTTACCTGAATGTTGTACTTAAATCTTTAACAAGAATTTGAGCTACTGTTAGCAAGCTCAGCGCAAAAACCGCTTGAAATTAAACAGCTTAAAGATTCTGTCGAACCGTACCGTTACTGCTCACACATTGACACACTATAATTTTGTTTGTTCAGCACCTTGAAAAACGTACCCTTCTGGCTTTTATACAACAACTGTGACATAACGATTGTGTTTATTTTGAGCTTAAGCCGTGCCAGAGGGAGAAGTTTGAAACAGTTAGAGAAAACGAGGCTAGCATGTTTTCCTTGTTTACGTTTCATGTTTGCTAAACTAAGATAGCCAACTGTCAGCTGTGGGCGTCTGTTTGAATGACAGGAGATATAAAAGTGGTTTCAAACATCTTATTAATCATTTGACAAGACTGAGAAAATCATCTTCAACAAAAATCAAATCTGTCTCTAATTTTTGAGCAAATCCTGTTATTGTTTCAGTGAGAAATGTTGTGAATGAGAATGGCGCTCATTCAGTTAAATCTTGTGTTCAACCCCTTTGAACATGAAATAATTTCAGTCGCATTGCTAATTTCCCCACTGTGGGATGAATAAAGGTTTATCTTATCTTATTTTGTTACTCAGTCAAGCTTGATAGCAAAACTAAGCAGGATTTCAGCTCAAGAAAAAAATAATGAAAGATAGGAGTCCGATAAAGTTTGAAAGTATTAGACGTGGGAAACAGTTGTACAGTTGTCAGACAAGAATATCATTATATTTTAATAATTCTGTACTTAAACTTATTGAGAATACAAAACAAACCCAGAGGCTATTCAAATATTTACAAACTCTTCCTGTTACTCTTCCTTTTACCAAAAATTCAGCCTCATAAAATAGGAAGTACATCCTGAATGACATATCCGTGTCACACCGCAATACGCATTGAGATATTCCTCAGTGATCATTATAAAATCATGGGCATCATGGGGCCCATCCTGTGATCGGAATCAAATCAGGGCCTCCCTTCGCTGTCACACTCAGCACATGGACTTTAACGTGTTTGCCCCGCAGCTGAGTTTGCTGACGTCCTGCAAAATGCACCATAACACAGATTTTTTTTCTTCTTGATGGATTGAAGTGTGGCAGAAAATAAGAAGTCACAAGCTATAGGGCCCTGAGTGAGGTCAATGGCTGATGGAGATAACAAAAAGTAATATTTCCCAGTTCAAGCAGCTGTTTGTCAGCGTTCTCATGTCTGTGTCCGTAGATAATCTTACACAAGTTTCACCTAAAGAACGACATGTCCATAAACACATGAGGCACCCCGTCAACCTATGCAGACAAATTTGTAAAGAAAGAAGTCTTAATCTCAGAAAATTAATTGAAACTTACAGTAATTACCTTCTCTTTTATTTGTTAAAAATCTACCTTTATTTGTCTAAACATAGTAATTTGCAAAATGCATGGGAACAAAATTTCCTTCTATTTTTCGGACATTGCTAACTTTTTCAGTGAATCATAAGCACTGCAGTAAAAGTTATCATGTTTATACATTATTTTGCAAAAAATATTCAGCTTTGCAAATGTAATATTTGACAATTTCATTTTAATCTAGGACTGGAATTTTACAAAGTTACTTTTTCTCTTAACTGGTAGCTACCTTTGGTCCAGTATTGTCAAGAAGATCTGATTGATATCTCTCAAAATTTCTCACACTGTGACCATGATGAGGTTCCAAAATTGCTAATTTGTTCCCGACAAAAGTCCTTAATCCAGAGGTGTTTTGTGTGTAATAATTGAGAAAAAAGAAAGCAGCAGAAGTAGAAATTCACTTGCAAAAACACAGAAAATTTTCCTGTCTGATCATTGTTTAATGGACAAACTGTTTCAGCTTAACTATGAATGTTTAGATAATTGAGTAGGTGAGCTAATGAGCCTGCTGTGATCCAACTTAACTTACCTTAAATATTTTCATAGATGCTATCAGCATAAAGTCAATCATTCCAAAGACCATAAAAAAGATAGTTAGTTTACACTGATTTATTTCAGCCCCAGTGAGACAACAGAGAAATGACTTTGAAGCATCACTTTTAGCACAAAAAGTCATTGGGAGACATTTTCTATACTAAGAATAAACCTTATAAAATCTGACAACAAAACTTCAAATGTCCTGGTGTTACTTAAATAGTTATGGAGTTCCAATGAGTACTGTTTTCTGCCCTCTATACTGACCTACCTACCTACGTACTTACCTCAGTCCACTGCATTTACCTCAACAGAACTTTGCTCATAATTGATCACACAGTAAGCTGTTTTTGAGCTGTTGACATTAAGGATTGATAACTCCTTTAATTCAATAAGAATTAGTGGGAGATTAGTTTAATTACCCGCATGTAGGGGAGTTAAATGAAAGCTGTTGTGTGGCCTCAGTTAGCAACCTAATTTATAACGTTATTGTTCATCTCTTTTGTCAAGCATGTCTTCTTCTGTCTGTGTTAGCACTCTGTTAAAACCTGAAAAGGATTGTGTTCATCCATCTTTGCAAAAAAATCATCTTAATCTGGTCTTTATGTCGTGTTTATTTCATGTACCCTCTCTTGCAGTGCAATGACGATGTCTGCACCCGATGAGGACAGAGCTGCCTTTCAGCCACAACAGTGGGCTGAAACAGAAGATTAGAAAGTGGAGTAACAGCAAATGCTCAAGTGAACTTGTGAATGTCTGCCAAAATTCCTAATTTGCTTGAAAATCCTTTGTAATCGTGCTCTATTATGTTATATTATGTGATCAACAGTGACACTCCATTTTAACAGGTACCTTTAAATTGTCATGAAACACTGATTGTTTATCTTTTACAAGCTGTTTGTTTACACTCTTAGCCTTAAAATTAACATATTTTTTATGCATCTGATATCAATAAAAGTTTTAACTTGGTATTTAATTCAGTTCTTACGTTATTCTATACAACCATGAATGGATTATTAAAGGTGAGGAAATGTCCCTTTGAATCGCGGCTGACAGATTCAAAGGGACTGTTGATGAAGTTAAGTGCTGTTCTCAGCATTATTTGTGGCTATAGAGTGGCGTTTTGGTTGAGGCTTGTTTATGGCTCCTCAGACGGTGTATTGCTATCGTGTGGTCGTTACTAAAGTTGGTGTAACTAGAGAAGCAAGCAGTCGGCAACATTCATCTATTGACGGGGTGTCTAACTCAATGTTCCCGTGTGTTTGACCCTAAATTAATTTTACGCCGGAATATCTCTATAACGAAGGACTGCTTCTCAAGGATCCCTGAGCCCACCTGATGCCCATTTACAGACTATGAAGTGAAGTATCACATGGAAACACAGAGGTACGACTTTGAACACCAGCATAAGAAATATCTTTACCACTTTGATCTTTTAATTCTGAACAATGAGCTCTATGTGGAAAAATACTATTTTGACTTAAATTGGTCGTAGTTGCAGGAACAGTCTGCTTTAACTAAATTACAGTTCGATGTGAGTAGCCTGGTAACTACTGGCTAGCTAGCTTATTTTAAGAAGGCCACTGAGATAAATAGCCGTAGATTCATCTTGTGCTGAGGGTATCAGAGCATTATAAATAAAACAAAATACAATAACTTCTAAATAAACCTATCTGTAACTGTCCTCAGATCAGTAAGTGGTTATGAAAATATCCTGACTGTGTTATCCAGCTCCTTGCCTGGCTACAGAGGATACATTTGGTACAAACTATTTACTTTTCTGGACATTGTCTAATAAGGGTGAATTAACACATTGAAAGGAAGACTGGAGGTTGTAGCAGTAGCAACAGTCACTTTAATGGCACCTAGATAATTACATAGCAGCAGGAACATTCATAAAACATCTTAAACATCTGAGAATCTGCGAAGCCATGTTATAAATATTTATGAAGACAAATAAAATCCTCTGATGGGTATACAGATGCACATGGGTATATATATATTACAAAAAATGTATTTGTTCTTGGCTTTTTCATTTCTTAAACAACACAGTTTCACCCAATGAGAAGCTCCAACTAAGGCAAGAAATATAAGCTCTCTCTCTTGTCTAGTTATGAGTCTTTAAATGTAAATACTGCAGCATAGAACATTGAGTATTTACAGTAAAAATGTGTGTTGTTTCCCTTTGTGTTCACTCCACAATTTTCAATGTATTTCTTAACAGTGAGATAAAACACAGGAAACATAAACAACAGTCTGAGCTCTAGCTGTTCTTCATCGAATGACATCCCCGTGTTGCATGTTAGCTTATGAATTCTCCTCCAGCATTTCTTAGGACCGGAAATGTGGCCTTGTTAAGCTTTGACATTTGAGGAACTACACTATCTTCGTATTTTGGTAAGATTGGGATCAGGTTTGTTTCCACAGTTGAGCCTGTCTTGTGTGTATGAAGCTAGGAGATAGCTAGCTTAGCTTAGCTTAGCTTAGTTTAGAGCTAAGACTGCAAGAAGTGGAGAACTTGAGCTCTGCTAGCTTGGCCTAGCTATTTCAAAAAGTTAACAAAATTCCAAAAACTTAAGCTTAGGGTTTTTCAGGGCTCGATAGATGTGTGTGAATTGTAAAATGTGTTTAGGGGCACATGTGTGCATAAAAATAAGCCGAGGCAACAAATGTTTTTTTAATGTGAATACTGCGGTGAATTTAGTTTTAGGTTGGATATTCGACGGCCATTCACCGCGGATCTACCGGTATCTCTCTCTCTCCATTACTGCTAATAGCAACAGCAGCGCGGTTAAATCTAAACTGCGGTGAAGTTAGTTTTAGGTTGGATAGTCAACGGACATTCACTGAGGGTCTACCGGTGTCTTCTCACTCTCCATAACCGGGAATAGCAACAGCAGCGCAGTTAAACCTACTCGGCACCTTCGCTGTCAACGTTGAGTGTTGGATAAGGGACCATCAATAAATTACCGGTTGATGTTCTCAAAAAGGCTGTTTTCCTTCGATAGCTTCCATGTCATGTGACCAATTTACCTAAAATTGATTTTTAAATAAAAGTACTTATGTCAGCCAATAAGACAAACATTATATGATCAATTTTCATTTTGAGGGAAAAAAACAAGACGGTCTCTCTTGGTGTGGGTTGTTCAGAATCAGCTTTCCCATCTGTGTCAGAAAAGTAGAATGTGGAATTATGTCCTGAGACAAGTTGTTTAGCCTTTCAGCCAACCTCAGCTTCAAATATGTTTTTCTTGCTCCACTGTAATAACGAGGAGCAGTTTCACCATGGATACCAAAAGTAAACTAGGAGGTCCAAAAATTCTTTCCCAGCCTATAACCTCTAATAAACTGGTCAATTATGTCCTTACACAAAAATACATGTTGATTTTAGAGGGTCCAGGCAGATCTTACTTACAGTCACAATGCTAAGCTAATGTAACCATCTGCAGGCTGTAGTTAACAATTCAGTGACAGCTATGAGAGCATATGATTTATTTCTTCCCACTCTGCCAGAAAGGAAATTAGTGTACTTCCACATATGTCAGGCTTTAAATTTTAACAAGGCAGCACATTTACCACGCTTACATTCTTGGTAAAGCAGCGCTTAAAGCAACAGTGTATCTGAATATGTGAAGACTATGAGACAGACTGAAGGAGTAAAGCTTCAGAAAACACATTCAATTCCTCTGCCTCTGCTGAGGCCAAAAAGTCAATTTAGTTCAGCAAGGCATCCTGAATTCAACCAACGACAAGCAAACATTCAAAACAGGCTGTTTTCCTCAATAAATAAAAGCTCTGTTCAGCACAAAAAACCGTGGCTTCCTTCAGCTGCCGCTTTGATTCTCCTGCCATTACTTGTTAATAAAGGTAGAAAATAACAGTCCTGGCCCCAGCCATCTCTTTAATGACAAGTCCCATTCTTCAGCTTTTCTGCCTGCGGGCTCCTGGTTTCAGCTACGAGCGGTCACCCCGCTTCAGCTCACTGCACTTCATCCTTTCATCTTACACCGCAATGATCAACGAGAGATCAGAGGGCAAACCACTTCATCTGCTGCTCGTCCATGTGTGATGTTATCTGAGGAGGTCTCTCCTCCCGGCCATCGTAGGATGTAATTGGCTTTGCCTAGAGGCTTCATGTCTTGTAATCACTGAGTGTTCACATTGCGCAGCAGTTCCTCAGCAAATCATTCGGTATTCAAGTTAAATGTTATCTAAGAGATATTGTACAACAGCAATTGAAGATTTCCATTAGGTGCCTTCTTAAAAATGACGCGTTTAAACAGTTTGATCGGCCAAACATTCAGTCCAGTTTGAACACATTTGACCTTCTAAAATCATGCTAAAGGTTAAATCAGTTTGGAGTAAGATTTAAACACATTACAGCCATTACGGCTGCAAAACCTACACCTAAACCCGGCAATAACCAATATGCATTTAAGTGATCGTTTTTCCTTATTATTATCACATCACTCTGCCACTAACAGGTGTATTCGAACAAGCTACAAAGCAGCAGGCCACCAATAGTTTTATAAACATCTGGAATATGATTTCTTACAGCGAACAGTCATGACGTACATTTACATTTCTGCATTTCAGCGACAAACATTTGCAGAACCCGATAAAGAAACTCAGAGAATAAGGAATCTCTAAAAAGTAAAGCTTTGTGAATTTAAATATCTATCCACTCGGTACATGTAAAAACGATGAGAGAAGCAGCTTCAGCAGAATATTAATTTAAGGTTAAAGCTGCAAAGATTTAACAGTCTTAAAGTCTTTAGATAATTTGTTAAATGTAACAGTGAACGAACAAAACTCTCAGAGTGTGACTAATTCTACTGGAGCATTACTTCAGCAAAGCCCACAGCTTTAATTCATTTTATACTCTTCTCAAAGTTTGATTTTTTTTCAACCATGTCTCATCTGGAATGGCACCAGGTCTGTAAAACACTAAACCAGAGGGAGGCGACTGAGTGCCAAAGGTTATGGTACTATTTTCTGTAGAAAAAACAACAACAATGTCAAACTCATCCAGAGACAATACTTGAAGCTTGAGAAGATGCCCAAGCAAGTTTCTTTTTAAGATTAAAACATGCTTTCAGGTGTGATCCAGGATGTCATCCATTTAAATATTTGATATCCAAATATGTTGGAGTAAGTATAATGTCTCTGTGGGTTTCACAAGGACGTGTTCTTTCAATTTGAGTCGTCCTCATCAACAAATAAATATCTGTAGAGTGAAACTTTCTACCAGACGCGACACTTCTGCTCAGGGTTCATCCGACTCCCCCTTTGGCACTGATAAGCTTCTGAGAACGCTTCGAAATTCTGGAGAGATCCAAGAACCCTAAAGATGAGAGGAGAGCTGCACGTTAATGAGCCGATTAAATGTCAAGTTAAGAGAGAAGCACTGGTGACCTACTTGTTACATATCAGATTGGGTTCTGTATATGTCCGTATGTAAACTCGACATGCTTTGTCTCCATACCTGTATTCTAACGGGCTGTGTGAGTCAGTCTTGATTGACTGGCTGGCATACTCAGGCCGATAAGCACCGCACCACACCTAGAAATGAGAAAAAAGTGTAAAAAGACTAAATCTTTATTAAACATAGGGCTGGGCGATAAAATGCTAACGATATATATCAAAAATTAGTTTCCCTCAATATTAATATAAGACATGGTCAATACGCTTTTCGATAGTCGGCATTCCGCCATGTTTTGATAGACTATAGGAATAGCCTATGAAAAGGGGAGTTGCTCTGGGTCCGCTTCGCGCTGAACCAATAATGTGCTGAGTTAGAACCGAGGAGCAAACAACTGTGTATTAGCAGGCTGCAGCTACACGCAACCATATCACTTTAACACGTGAAGCCGACAGCACCGTCAATGAGAAAAAAAGAAAATGAGTGCTATCCCCGCAGAAATGCAGATGAAGGCTCAACAGAAGTATTTTAGTTTTTCGAGATCGGACATGAAACAGAGTAATGTGCACCGCAAATTATGTCGAGTACATGTTCTCGTAAAGTCAGGGAATTCCTCAAATCTTTTTTACCACCTGATGCAGTGCCACATGGCAGAGAACACGCAATGCAAAACGTTACAAACCCTGAGAGGAGCAAGGAGCTCATATCGCCTGTGCAGCCGAAACAGCTGACGATTCGGCTTTCTCTTGCGCAACGTCTTACAAAACGTCAAAGAGACACAAAAACCTCACAGATGCAGTAGATTATTGTACTGCAAAAGACATGCTACCAATAAGCACTGTTCAATTTCATTTTTTATATTGTGATATATATCGATATTGACTGATATGAAAAATATATATTGCGATAAACTTTTTCCCATATCGCCCAGCCCTAATTAAACCCCAAATATACTGGCTGTGTTTACAACAATTTGCTTCAAATAGTTCTCAAAATTATAGCTTTCTATCAGTGCAAGTTTGGTAACACATATTTTCTGAGGTACCACTTGACTAGCTGACAACAACTAAACTTGTCCACCTCTGAGAGATCAGCTCCTGAAAATTCACTCAAGGGTTTCAACCTATTAATTTGTGGCTCACAGTTTTCTGCTTATTCTGTAAATTCGCCAGGATGCTCTTTTCTTTGGCAGCACATCTTGTCCACTTTGTGTGAAGCTGAACTCTGATTTTTTCCTAGGATTGCTTCAGCATCTCATCCCCTGACACTCTCTTTTTCCCCCTCCACTAAAGAAACCATTATCTGCCCTCTGTTTACTTTAATGGAACATTTGGAAATCAAGTTTCACCTGTTATTTCTACTTACTTGGGCAAAGTTGAGAAAGAAGAGTTGCTTGTGATCCATATCCAGTCCTGGTAGACGTGGCTCTTCACCGTTTATATCCACCCACTTTAAATACGCCTTTTAACATACAGAAACACACATTTAAAAATGCTGTCTAAAGTCTGTCTAAGGAATGACATATAATTTAGTATTTATGCAGTTGCTGTCCGACCTTATATGCCTGACGAACCCCTCCATTGTCTGCTATGTTCTCCCCCAGGGTGCTGATACCGCTGACCTGCATTCACGACACATCGACACACACGTAGTCATTTAATACACAGTTTACACTATGAGGGATTAGAGTAAAGAAAAATAAATGTATAATTGCATATATGTCCCTTACATTTTGTCCACCTGCAAGCTTCCAGTTGAAGTTGCCGTACTGTTGCACCATGCACTGTGACTGCTCTTTAAAATGCTCTGCAGAGTAATTACTCCACCAGTTTAGCATGTTACCATCCTTGTCAAAATTACGCCCTGCAAAAAAAAACAACAAAAAAACATGTACTGTTATCTAAATGTAAAGCATGTAACCTGCTACAGCTGTTAGTGAAATTCAACGAAAGCGAAACTGTTATAAAACGACTGAAAATGATCGACTGTGTTTATTTGTCCAGGATAAACAACATTTCCACGATGAATCACTCGTGTCTCACCGTTATCATCAAACCCATGTGTGATCTCATGGCCGATAACCATCCCTATCCCTCCAAAGTTGAGGGCTTGATGCTGCTGTTTACTGAAGAAAGGCGGCTGCAGGATTCCTGCAGGAAACACTGAGGGGGAAAAAGTAACAGTGGAGAAAATAAGAAAAGTGCTGACAACATGAAAGAGGATTTAAGTAAGGAGTTACAGGGTTTAATAATAAAACAAATAAACTCTTAAAAACACCACAGAGGCACTAGGTGGCCTCATTCGTTCTCATAAAGCTCTTACCTATTTGGTTTCTGTTTGGTGAGTAGAACGCATTCACTACAGCAGCACCGATGATCCACCTGAGGAGTGATGGGAGAGTATTTGTAATTAAAAAAGACTTAACCAAAAAGACAAAAACGTCCCTTTAAACTATTTACTTAGAAAAAAAACAACAGTTTCTTTTCCAGTGCATGGATTTCATATTAGATCATCTGTAGTATTTGGCTTCACTTACAGTTGTTACTAACCTTTCAAACAGGGAAATATGTACATTATGGTGTAATCTACTTAATTTCAAATGAGTGCTTGATTGTTTTACACGGTATACTTAATGATACAGACGAGAATTAGGGCCGAAGGAAGAGAAAAATATAATAACGGGGGGAGATTTTTTAAATTTCCATTTCGAGATTAAAGTTGAAATTTTGAGATTTAAGTCAAAATTTAAAAAAGTCAAAATAAAAAAATGAAATTTCTAGATTAAAGTCAAAATTTCTAGATTAAAAAATTGTTAATTTTTATTCATGACATTTCGTAATCTTAAAATTTCGACTTTGATTTTGAAATTTTAGTTTTTGATCTTGAAATTTCAAGATTAAAGTCAAAATTTCTCGATTAAAAAATTTAAAATTACAGTAATAAAGTAGAAATTAAAAAATTTAATCTCAAATTTTTTTATTTTTATTCATGACATTTTGTAATTTTGAAATTTTGACTATAATCTTGAAATTTACATTTTTGATCTCGAAATTTCAAGATTAAAGTCAAAATTTCTCGATTAAAAAGTCGAAATTACAATAGTAAAGTAGAAATTTAAAAAATGTAATCTCAAATTGTTTTATTTTTATTCATGGCATTTCGTAAATTTTGACTTTAATCTTAAAATTTCCATTTTTGATCTCGAAATTTCGACTTTATTGACATAATTTCTATTTTTTTTAATCTCGAAATTTTGACTTTAATCTCCTTCCCGTAATTACTTTTTTTCTCCTTATGTGGCCCTAACACTGTTTCGTATCATCTTCTGAATTATTTATTGTAAAAAAAAATTATTAAATTGAAGGTATAGGAAAGCTTACAGGTCAGGGTCGACTGGCTCTCTGAGCTTCTTCAGGCTCTTCTGCGCCTCTGACCTGAGGTTCTCCAGAATGTTCTCAAAATAGTGCTCTTCACTAAAATTAAGCTGAAAATAGAAACAGCTCGAATCAGTGACGAGGACATCCATCTGTAGACGGCCTGGAAATAAACCGGTTGTTACTTACATGAGCGTATTCCTGGTCAAGCTTCTGGTTGCTCTCCTGCAGGATGTGGTCTGGATAGCCGATGTGCTCCTTGATTGCCATAGCCTATAAAAGACACAGAATGACTTTAACATCAAGAGCACAAACACACTTTATTTTGGATTACGGACGTTTACTTTACCTTCTCTCTTGCCTTCTCCTTTGAGGCAGCATCCATCCAGTTTAACTCCTCCAGTGTTTCCACATAAGCCTGCTGGATCTTACTGATGAGGTTACTGACCTGTCGAAGGTGAAATCATAGTTTTACATCATTATGGGACTCAAGTTTCAACATGATTCAAAGTCAGTAAAACAGATTTAACTTAAAGAAAATTATTATTTTTATGACATTATGCACCAAACTTGATATGCTTTAAAGGGATATTCCGGCATAGAATTAATTTAGGGTCAAAGTAATGACCCAGTAATGGACTGGTCAAAGTCTCGCCACAAACAAGCGGCTGCTGTAAAGAGAGCAGGTGAGTTGTGTTTAATCTCTTTGCTAAAGAAATTAGTCAAAGCTAAAAAGATGTTTGTTGGCTAGTGCTGTGGCTGTGACCCTATCTGTACTGTTGATGAAGTTAGGTGCTGTTCTGAGCATTATTTGTGGCTATAGAGTGGCTTTTTGGTTGAGGTTTGTTTATGGCTCCTCAGACCGCTGTGTATTGCTATCGTGCGGTTGTTACTAAAGTTGGTATAACTAGAGAAGGAAGCGGTCGGCAATATTCATCTCACAAGGGGTAGTCTAACTCGGTGTTACCGTGGGTTTGACCCTATCTTAATTTTACGCTGGAATATTCCTTTAAAGCATATCAAGTTTGGTGCATAATGTAGAGGGTTACAAAGATGGTTCTGGAGTCAAAAATAAAAATGTGATATGTTGTAGATTTTCTGCTGGACTTTAGTATTTATGTGAAGATTTGCATCATTTCTAAATATGCAGCTTTTCCCGCTAATGAAAAAGCTCTTGATCTTGTTGAGGACTCACCATTTGTTTGCTCTCTCCAGCAAAGGTCTCTTTCACATACAGAGCCCCCACTGCGTTCTCCATGCTGCTCTGAACGTAACGGACACAATCCCTCCACCAGGCGTCCTCCACGGTGGTCCCATAGAGAGTCTGATAACACATGCAGACAGACAGAAGGACGCTGTGATTTAGTCATTTGAACAGACATGTACAAACGTGTGCTCCCACGGTGCGTCATCATGCTCACTATACCTTCCTGTAACGAGCTCTGGCATCTTTGAAACGGCGGCTGAGGCTGTTTACTCGGTCAATGATGAGCTGCCAGGTGAGGTAGTTCTGCATAGTTCTACAAACGTAAATAGTTTTAGATTGTGACAGCGGTTCTTTCATGATAAGATTTTCATGGAGCAGTTTTTCTATAAAACACTGGGACTGACCTGACACTGTGTCTAGAGAGAACATCATTCATCTTCTCAAGGTAGGGAGAGCTATAAACCACCACCTCCTCCTCCAGCTGCACCTCGATGGACACACCAGACAGCACACCTTGGAGAAAGCGTGTCCAGTTAAAACCCTGCAAAACAAAGGAAGGTGTGAGATTTTCTCTTATATGAATCAGTGTTTTTCAGGAAATTGGGGTTGAAGTTTGTTTGTCTCTTATTAACTCAGTGACCAGTTTATGTTGCATGCAAGACAAAAAAGTGAAATCACACCTACATTGAGGCTGAAAGTGCTCTGCAGCTCTGCTAAAGTCATTTTATTGTAGAGGACGGTGACATCTTGGCGCTCCTCTGCTGGTGATGTGGCCTATCCAGCAACAGGAAGGAAAAGTTTTTCTATGAAGTGATACTTAATAATATAAATATTAACATTTCGCTCTTATTTCGTCAGCAAAGTCTTATTTGTCATGCTCTTGACAAGCACAAAAAAAAGACAGGTCAACAACTTGGCTGATCTCCTGTATTCAGACTGAATGTTTCCTAGTTTTCTTATTTGATGGAAGCAAAGAGGAGGTGCTCAATTTTCATCTTGTCATATTCATTTTCTCTATCCCTCTTCACATTTCCTGTTGTGGCTGGCACTCACGTTGGCGATGTCTGTCTCCAGCTCCAGCACTTGCATCATTTCCTCCCACACACGGTCGTCATCCTGAGTCAAGTTCCTGTCCTCTCGGGTTATCTTTGCGATAGAAACCATGAAATGAAGGTAGGCCTCTCGAACCTGTGATGCAACCGCAAGCTGTAAAACTTGTTTCCGGAACAAATTTGAGGTTATGTCAGGACAATAGAGGTAAATCAAATTAAAGATGTCGGGCTCGAGAAAAGAAAGATGCCCTGAGAGAACTTGCCACATGAGTTTCACATTAGATTTTCTTGAAATTGACTCAATTTGATTTTTACTTTCTGTGGTAAGAAGTTCAGATTAAGCAGCAACTTTAAAATGCTGGTGGAAGTTTCACCTCAGTTGCATCTCAAATGAAAGTTATATATATAAAACCTCCATACTCTAAATTATCTGAACTATAAGATCACCTGTAAATAACGTGGCAATATATTTTTGTTGTTGCATTTGAAATAGTTAAACTGACCTTTTTGTAATTTCCATCGTTGAAGTAATAGTCTCTGGATGGCATCCCAAGTCCTGGCTGGTCAATCTAAACACATAAGAACAATAAAAAAGGGTTGTTTTGTGTCCATAACCTTTGAAACACTTGATTTAAGTTTATTAAAGTTTTAGTTTCTAGTATTGTCAACAAACCCAAATAAAAAATAAATAATAGATAAATGTCTCTTTTCTTTACTGATTGGTGTCACCAAAGTTTGCTAAATTAATAAATAATAGTTAAAAGTTAATAAATTAAGTTCTTCTAATTATTATTCTTATTCTAATAAAATCAAAGAAGAACTACTGGAAAAATAACATGCGGCCACAATGCTGCACAGAGTGACATGTTATTTCATTATTATATATATATTATTCTGATATGATACCAATATTGTAGCCTTCAATATTAACCAATACTGATATTGGTATATATATTCCATATACACAGTCAATAGAGGGAGAATATAGAATTGGGTGCACCAAATCCAAATCATCCTGGTTAAAATTAGGCCCAGACTTGTACACATTATTAACTCATGTTAGAGTTTTTGGCTGGAAACTGCGACTAGACTATAATGATCGGGCCTCTGAAACATATAAGACTTTTTATTTAGTCTTTAAGGTTTATAAAATTGATTAATTTATTGATTTCCGCAAGAAACCACTCAGCTTGGTAGTAGTATTATAGACGAATGAGGATTGATCAAAGGTATGAATGGATAGATGAATGTTGCCCTTCTATTTCTGAGATTTGTTTTCACGGATAAAAAAAAAAAAAAAAAAACTGTAAATGTCGGTGAAATAAACTTTTGGTTATTTTGATCCAATAGTAGGTAATCTTACATAAATGATGTGACGCCGAGAGTCACTGTCGTCCGTCCACACGTACATGTCCAGCAGAACCTTCTTATGGAAACGACCGGTGAGGGTTGCGAGTGTGTCCTCCAGGCTCCACGCTTCTTCTACATCAACAGGAGAAAAAAACCCGGTCTTCAATTTAAACACACTTTAGCTGTTAAGAGCTTTTCAATATGACAGGCTGCAAAAACCATCTCTGCCTCTGTCGCCCATTAAGCTAGCTCTCTGTGTAAATCTGTGTGTGTGCGGATGCAGCTGTGTGCGGTCAATTTGGTTCGAGCAACCCTCCATGATTGCATTTAATTGAAGTGGCAAGAGCCAGGAGCTTTGGGAAGAGCAGAGTAGACTATTTAAAGCCTCCTCCAGCACAGTCCTGAGTGAGGCCCTGCTCCTCTGCCCACTCATCACGCTCCCAAGCTCCCCACCCGACTGAAGAGCATCAGCCAGCCTCTCCATCCCGCCAACAAAGCCCGTACTCAGCATTTCACTGGCTACAAATATAAACGCACGAGCTTCTGTGTGAGCACATGTATTTGAGTGGGACTGTTTGTGTGGATGTGTTGCATGTGCAGAAGAAACTGTAAACATGAACAGAGTTCAGAGGCGTTTCTTCGACCTGTTGTGGTGTTCCAGTCTTCTGATGCCACAGGCCAGTCTCCGATACTGTCGATGAGTTTCAGGAGGGGCTCAGAGTCACGCTGCTCTATGAGGCCTGTGGGTGAAACACACAACAACTTCAAAAGACGACAACAACACTGTTATCGTTCTCTCTGTGGATGCATCCATGACTGCTTGAAGAGAGGAAAGTTATTAAAACAATTCAACCGCAAGAATGAACCTTTGACCTCTACTTCTAAGCAGATATGGGAGAGAAGTGTCCAAAAGTTTGAGAAGATTTGAAACTTTAACTCATCATATCCTTGACAATTATGCAGCTGAAGTTAGGGAAAGTTTCCAAAAGTAGTGAATTCCATTTTCTTCAAAATATTGGAGGAATATTGGAAAATATTGTAAGTTTCATATTTATTGAACTAAAATTGTCACAGTTCGCAGTAAAAAGATGAAAAAAAGGGAAAAGACCCAAAATGCAGAACAAAAAAAAAAGGATTTATTTAAAAAGAACAAAATAAAAAAGCAACATAAAGAGAAAAAATAAATAAATCACTGGGGCAAAATCACAAAGAGCAACTGGGGACACAGACAAACAAACAATGAACCAACAAGGACAGATAGGAAGACAGGAGCTGTGTCCAAAATGGATCCCTAACCCCTATATAGGCGACTATATGGGGGTTAGCGCCATCTTGAGGGGTGTCCGAAACCTGAGTGATCAATTCCAATGCCCCATATAGGTGACTCAAAATTTCCCATGGAGCATTGCAAAATGTAGTGACCATCCGATGGTCACTCAGCGGTGGTGGGCATCGCATCATGCATTGCGTCTCCAGCGGCAATTCAAAGATGGAGATGACAAGAGCAAGAAGAGACAGAACCCGAGCTCTAGTTGCCTAGCCTGGCTGGGCCATCCTGTTGCGTGAATCACTTGCCGTTCCTTCCCACAACAGTGGGCAGTCCGAGCAGTGACGTCACGACAGTGCGCCATGTAGTGTCCGAAACCTCTGGTGATTGAGCTCACTACATAGTCAACTATATAGTGAAACCCCATATGGGAGTTAGGTAGGGTTGCCAACTGTCCCTTGAAAAACAGAACAAAATGGAATCAGCTCGTATTTAGAAACAAAAGTATACATTCTGTATTGAGCTGAAAAGGGATGCATCTACTTAAATTGTTTTCACACACAGAAAAGGGTTTGAAAAATTCACCATGGGAAGGGTGAAGGCAATCAGGCCCTGCCATTGAGGTGTCCCTTATTTCTTTTTTAGGGAATTGGCAACCCTAGCGTTAGGAGTTAGGGATTGAGTGATTCATTTCGGACACATCCAGAGATTATATACACACTGGGAAATGAGCAACGGGTGAAGTAGATGAAACACAAGGAGGGAAAACTAGGGAAGTAAAACAAGACTAGAAACACAAGAAATCAACTACTACAAAATAAAACAAGAAAAAACTGAAAACTGGTCTAAAGAATAAAACACAGAGAACAGGAGGCAAACAGGGTCAAACATAAACTGAAAACTCACAAGACTGGACTACAGGGGAACAGAAACAACAGGGAACAGAAACACTAAGGACAATACACAAAATGTACTCAAATAAAACCAGGAGAAGAAAAGTAAATAAACAGAATATCATGACAAAAATCCTGCAAACTATTTTGTTTTTTGTGCAGTCATGTTTAAGTGTGGCGTAAGATTGTGGGATTACACAAACTAAAAGTGGAATTATTTGGAAATTTGAAAGTGAGAACCATGAGAACTTTGAAAAGACAAAGAGAAAAACTTGATGTTCAAACCAAAAACCAAGGACATATAAACAAATAAAACTGAAATTTAACCCCGAATTACACATAACATCTCAGATTCTTGGTTGCGCAGTGGAGATCTGGTTTTCTTCCTCTGACCACCGAGGAAAACAGAAATATTCAGAAATGCTCCTGAAGAAAAACAGGCTTTGTGGGTTGTTTGATTTGGATGAAATGAAAACCAAGTCCCATTTGTTTTTGTAATGTTCAACATGTGATGATCTGAGAAAAGTACTGTTTCGTGAAATCGCTGGTTGAAAGCCAGTTGAGCAAAAACTGGATTGACTGCTTGTTCAATACGTCTCCGAAGCTCATAAAGGAAGACGATAAAGTCTCTTTAATAAGTGTATACTCAAGTGTTAATGTATACTTGGTTTTTACTCTAGAGTGTTGATTCCTGGTGTCATGTTGGCTCAGACTGGCTGGTTTTTCAGAGTAATCATTTTTTTTGACTGATTTGTCTGTTTTTCATACTTTTTTGTTTGTTTGTTTTCAGATTAATTGTTTTTTCTATTCTCTGGGATCATGATCATTTAACACTTTCATTGGATGCTTTTATCCCCCTCTGCTTGATTTATTGGGAGCATTCTTTGGGGTTTCAGACACTAGGAGATACTCCTTTCTTCAAGTCAGATAGACAGAATTGGCATAAGTTTGTCTACTTTGAGCAGGCACCTCAGGATTTGCAAAATTTATGTTTAACTAATAACATGCCTTACTCTCATTGACCCCGTAGTCGAAGTTATTTGGGAGCTTGAGAATCCACTGATTTGGAGCAGCCACGGTGGTTAACGTTATCTGATTTTACGAGATTCTTGTAGGATTTTGAAGTATCAGGGGAAAAAAATAGTCTGGAAAAACAGAAAGACGAAAAATAGTCCAAAAAATAAAAAGATAAAATAATACGAAAAACAGAAAGACTAAAAATTATAAAAAACAGACAGACGTAAAAAAAATTGTCCAAAAAATAGAAAGACAAAAAAAAGGAAAAACAGAAAGATGAAAAATAAAATAATCTGAAAAAACAGCAAGACGAAAAAATATAGTGTGAAAAACAGAGAGACGAAAAACAATACAAGAAAACCCCAGAAAGCTGAAAAATATATTCCAAAAAACTAGAAAGACGAAAAAAAAATTCCAAAAAACAGAAACATGAAAAAATTACGAAAAACAGAAAGATAAAAAAAATAGTCTGAAAAACAGAAAGACAATAATAATATAAAATAAAATCATATTCTTTGGAAAGGAGAAAAAAATGTGCTTTTTGTAAGTGAATGCAGTACGCTTCCACAAGAATGAGTTTTTGCATTTAATTAGTAGAGGATGAGTGATGCTGTGACACCAAGACTCTCCCCTTTACGGACTAACGTTCAAACTGAACAAAGGCAGGTGGGATAAAAACCTCCATGTTAATTCTATAGTCAGCTTCAGCTCCTCTCCAACAGGGGCGAATTAAAAGACGGGAGTCACAACAAATTTCCAGAAATAAGCGTAGAAGAAGGAAGTGAGAGGCTGTGAGCCACAACAGAAGTATGTTATGGAGATCTGAGGTCTTACCAGTCAAACAAAGTCAATAACAGGGTTAAGTGTGTGTAACTAAGAGTGAAATTTCTTACTATCATTCATGCAGGACCTGTAGAGGATTTTGGCCTTCTTGATGGCATCTCTGTCATGCTCTTCCTCTGTCTCAAGAACACCTGCAACAACAAATACACACAATCATTACTCCTCTGAATGAAACCCCCACACACAGTTCCGAACAGAACTCTGCCGCCCACTGACCACCTGACACCGAGCTGACCTTTGAGGACAATCTCCAGTTTGTCCCTCAGAATGTCAAAGACGCTGTGGCGGGAGCTCGTCTCTGGGATGACATGTCTCTCCAGCCAGCCCCCGCAGGCGTACTGGTAGAAGTTATCGCAGGGTTTGGCTGACTTGTCCATGTTCTGCAAGAGTCGGGCGGCTTTAAGAGAGATTCAGAGAGGTGTCAGGCTTATTTTTTGTTTTTGGCACGGTAGTGGGGTTAATGAATCAGAGGAGAGTAAAAGAACAAACCCTCTCACCTGCAGTCACACAGTCTGCAGTCGTGCACACATCTGGAGGACTTGCGCGAAACAGCTGGCCTGTGAAAACCATTTATGAACATTTATGAGACGGCATGTTTGACAAATTACACCTGCGCTTAAATAAGTGAGACAGCTTAGGCGACTCAATTCTGTGTAGCCTTGATCCACGGCACAGTCTGTGTGTGTGTGTAAGAGAAAAAGGCAAGCAATGTCTATGTCAGCAGTGACTCCGCTCACTTTTGTGCGGCTCTGCTGATGAGGCAGTAAAGGGAATTACAGTATTACAGGGTGACTATCAGAAATGCAGCCTCCAACATGACACATGCCAACCCACTTGTCCCACAGCTTATCCTGACTTCAGTTTACCGGATTAGAGTGACCGACGCTCACCTTCACTTGTTGAGCTCTTTGACACACTCGTCCTGGTGTATTGTTCTGGAGTGGATGAAACAAATGAGCGTTTAGACGACATGTGGCACATTAAAAAGAGATTTAGTCTGAATTATGTTGGAAATAGCGGTGTGTATTTTTGTGTTTGCAAGTCCACGAGAGGTTTTAAATTTCTTACACAAAGGTTAGGTTTCTTTGGGTATTTTCTCTACATTTTTATGGTTAATTTTAACATCCAAACTTGTTTATCCGTTGACATTTATGCATCAGTTTTGTATAAACTTGTCTGAAAGCTTCTCCAGAGTTGAGATCTCCTCATGTGTCTACTGCGGCTTGCAAAAACAAGACCACACAGATACTTGTTATTACTGCTGCCATCTGTAATATCTAGATTTTTCCTCACTGAGCCGACTGACAGAGACGTTTTACCTTTCACAACTGACGTGTAGAGGACCACCAGCCCGGCCAAGGCACAGCTGACCAACAGCAGCAGCACGGACAGACCGATCTCGGCAACGGTCCAACGACGCTTTCCAGGTTTACTCGATTTCTCCATGATATCCATTTGGCTTTCGGATTTGCCCATATTCCTCCTGACTGCCGGCTCTGTGGGAAAGACACCGTGTGAGTGTGGGATGGTCCAGGCAGAGAGCTACCAGTGTGCGTATTTATGTGTGTGTGTGTGTGTGTGTGTGTGTGTGTGTGTGTGTGTGTGTGTGTGTGTGTGTGTGTGTGTGTGTGTGTGTGTGTGTGTGTGTGTGTGGGCTGTGCAGTGATCTATTGGAAAACTGTGCCAGCTGACCTGCAGTGAGTGAGCTTCAACTGCTGAACACCTACAACTCCACTGACAGGAAACTGTGACAGGAGAATAATTGTGAAACTGTGCGTCTTGTTGCATGTTTGCACTCATGCATGTTTTGAAAAATTGTTCATGCACATGTTTTGGAAAACTTTTTTACAGCCTTGACATCGCTGCTTTATGAACTTGCACAGAGCTGTCTCTGGATTGTCCCATTATACAGCTTTTGAAAATCTTGATTTAAAGTAAGAAGCTTAAAATGAAATCCCTCTGATCTTCATTTGAAAGGACTTGAAAAGGAGAATCAACTTTGAAATTCAATAGAGTTTTTGTCAGTGCTCATTCTGTCAAGAGCAAAAGGACCAAATTGGGGTTGGATCACGAACTTGGGGTGCAAGAATAATTTTTCAGAGTCCTTTTCATTGATCCATTTTCTTGCTTTTTATCTTTTCAGGAGGTTGCAGGGTTGCTGGAACCATCTCCATCACACTACTGGAAATTAAGAATGGCCGATTACCCTAATGGACCTGTCACTGGATTGTGGGAGGAAGCTTGAGTACCTGGAAAGAGCGTGCAAAGAGGGAAAATGCCCCTTACAGAAAGGCCAATGCCCGGCTGGGGATTTGAACCTTCTTGCTGTGACTAATCCACCACTTAAACTAAGATTTATTTCTCACAAAATACTTTTTCCTTTTTTCACACCATCTCATGTCTTTGCCATACACAGTTTTGGATATTTTTAAAGCTCCTGTGAGGAACCTTCAGTGCGTGTCAATTTTGTCAATCTCCTGCAGACAAAGCGGTCTTTACTTATCTTGTTCTTTACATGCGTAACTAAGTTTAATCTTTTTTAAAATCTTATCCTGCTGACATTTGACAGTCAAATGTATCATTAACTGTATTTATTTCATATGGGAAAAAAAGGGCTGTTTCTTCAGCTGTTTGGCTGACACCTACCTCCTCACATTGTTTTCAGGTGTAAAAAATAAAAAAAATGTTCTCATCCTTATCTGTTTTTATGTGTATAGTTTAATTCATATTTGTTTCTGCTTGATGGCCAATTTATGATTTTTTTTTGTTTGTTTGTTTTTTTGTGGAGTTTGTATCCAAATATTAAAAATGAGAAAAATAAACAAAATAAAAATCTTAAATCTCGTCGCTGATGGTCTTCTTCACTTTTGGCTGCCTCAAAATGAAAATAACATGAATTTCAGTCTATTTCAGAAACATACAAAAAATCCTTATAGTAGCTTTAAGTTCTACTGTACTCACCCTATATTTCACTATTTTATGGCGTCCACTAAATTCGATAACATTCTCTCATTCTCCCATTTTTGCCCTCCATATGGTCCAGTCCTAACAACATATGATGCCTTGGTTATTAAAATGATTGGTTTACTATAATTATAACAACTCTCCAGGGCTCAGCCCACCTGTTTTAATTACCTGAGAATATGAAGTACATGGTGTCCAGAGTATTTAAGTTTATTTATGACATTACTTGTTATTAAGCTCCATCTGTTGTTCATAAAGTTTTGGGCAGAGCATTCATTGAATGTGACATTAATCCATGGACAATGTCATTAACCATTAAATGTACTTTCTGTGACCATTGTAGGTTTAAATATCTACTTCCAACAAACACACATACACATGCACACACACCGGGTCCCTAGCTGTGCTTCCAGAAAGCCAATTTCTATGCACAATAATTATGTATGTGTGAACACAATATTGCAAATGAGCATTTGTGCAGGGGACAAAACCACAATCACCCGTGGCTTTCAGTAGCATTGCTTTGCATCTATTCACTGCGCAGCACCTGTTTCTCCATAACCAGCCCCATTGCCCTATCATTAGGTTTGACAGAGGCTGCGCTGTAAATCACACTGCTGTGGCCCATTAGCCCTGCCTGATGAATACTCATGGGCACATATCTGGCTCTACAGTGATGAAGAGCGGGCAGGGGCTTGTTAGAGCTTACGACTGGACAGAGACGGCTTCTGAGGCCAAATCCTGTTCAACTGCATTAAAGTCGAGCCTCAATTTTATGGAAAAAATGTGGAATATTGGCACTCGGCTGTGTCGGTACAAGATTAGTTGTCTTAAAGTGAGAAATGAACAACTTTAAATGTCAGCAGATTGCTGTGCTGCCACTCTTTTTTTATGAGTATTTTTGGGGTGATTTTTGCCTTTATGGAAAGGACAGTGTGGAAATATGGTTAGATAGAGAAAGAGAGAGGGGGGAGGACATGCAGCACATGGACAGGGCCAGACTCGAACCCATGACCGCTGCAGAGAACCCACTCATGAACCCACTCAGTCAGTCTTTTTGACTGAAAAAAAGCAGGAATTAGTACAATTTTTATTCAAATAAACCACAAATAAATCAAGAAATACTGTAAACTGTTCTCTTCCTTGTGAAACGGTTCTTGATTACAAAGAAAGTCAGTCTCTGAAACTAAGTATGATGTTTTTGCACTTAGTTCCCTGGACTGAAACAGATAAACCCCCCAAAAAACTGTCAAATTGCCCCCAATAAAGTACATCAATATTCATTATTATTGAACAACAAAAGCTTTACAGATTTATCGTTAACAAACAAACATTGAAGCATTTACTCTTGTTTGATTTCTTGTCAAGATTCTGTTTTTTTTTAGTAACTCAGACACGTATATCTCTCTTTGTAACGTCAAATGAAAATAATATAAAGTAGAAAAAATGTAGTGAGGCGTATCAAGCAGTTCATCGTGTTTCTAAAGACTTCTCAATATCTAAAATTAATATGCTAAATAGTTTGACATTCATCTCAGCAGATGGAAAATCACAGATCTGGAATATAGTTGCGATAGAGTTACATGAAGACCTGTTTGCAACACAAAGAGATGAGTCACAAATGAAGGATTATGTAACATGAACTGCAGTGAAGTAAGAAAAATGACATGTTAAATTTGAGCTAATTCAATCTTCTGATAATGAAGACAGTCTATCTGCACATATGGACAATGTCAAGTGAGTGGTTCTGTTTTCCGTGCTGAGCGTTGTTTGGAGATCTTTCCTCTTAACTAGTGAGAACTACCTCCGTGTGGCCTGGCAGACAAAACCCAGGGCAAAATAAAATCCCCATGTAGGGTGCCAGTCAGCCCTAAGAGTCTATTTCCATTTTTATGAACTAAAACAGCAGAACAAAAAGCTGCAGCGACAGAGGGAATGTGCTTCTTTCCAACAGCATCTCAGTGCGGCTCAGCAGGCCTCTGCAGATGATTGGTTCACACAGCTAGAGATCTGACTAAGGCGATTTCATTAAAACATTACAGTAACTATCAATACAAACAACACATGCTGCAAATGTGCATCCATACAAAAAAAAGACAACAAATCCAGTTGCAGGGACACTGAGCTGGAGCACTTTTTTAAGGAGATATTTGAGGTCAAATCAGCGCTGCAAACTTTCAAGTCAAGACCAGAACCTTTAAAGGATACAAGTTGAATAATGCATCTTTTTTTTCAAACTTAATGTAAAGCTACTGATCCTGTTTGGATTTGGAGTTAGATTATGGATGTCAAGCTTTAGAGTGACATTTTTCACTTTTTACATCCTCATTTTGCTGGAAATTTCTCAACATATGCCCACCACTTCATGTCTGAGCAGGACAAACATTTAAGTACACATGTTAAAGGATGTTTAAAACAAAGTTCTGATCCTCTAACAGGTCAGTGTGTCAACACATAAAACACTTTGTCTACCAGTGAGGCTAATCTGCACTGAATATTTTCAGGTTTTAGGATTACATGTGGCTGAGCTCACTGACCGGCACTGTTCTTCTGTAAACTTGCAGACAAATAAGGATTAAACTCATGTGGGTCAGGCTGACAACAATACGCACACTTCCTGTTGACACAAGTATCCAATATTCCTGAGTATAAATGTCCAAAAAGGTCAAATCTGTGCAAATCACACAAAGCACTTTTAGAAGTTTTTCTTAGGCCTCCTGACAATCTGACATTTGTGATGTCTGAAAGCTGCAGTTCAACTTCACTTTGATACTTAGCGGCGAGCAAGAATCTTATCTATAAGAAATCCACAGGCTTACCTTTGTTGTATGTGGATGGCAGAAGTCCCTGAGGAGTTCCCTCCCCCCCTCCCACAGTGTGCTAATATCTCACACACCCCTGCTGAGCATCCACTCAGAGCTGGTGTGAGGAGAAATGAGTCTGTGTGCTGCGGGGCTGAAGGAGACGTTTATCCAGCTCGCTGTGCTGCTCGGGGAATGAGTGAGGCAGCAGAGAGAGAGAGAGAGAGAGAGAGAGGGAGAGGGAGAGGGGGAGAGAGATAGAGATGGAAGGAGGGGTGAGAGGAGAGAGCAGGGGAGGCAGATGGGAGGTTATAGCACCGGATTGTTTTCGATTACAGCCCTGTGATAAGAAAAAAATCAGGGACGTTCGTGTTATGAGGCGGTGATTAGGGTTATGAAATGTGTCTAAAGGGGTCAAGAGGATGTGCCGCAGCGAGCGTCTGCATCTTTTTCCTCCAGGTGAAAAGAGTGGAAAAATTAGGAAAGCTTTTAAACCCCCTACAGACTGACAACAGAGTCTCTAAACCCCTTTTCACAGCCACAAAGGTACACGATTTAAACCCATGTATGGCTGTTTTCTTTCCTTTCTACTCCTGTGACCTGGAGGACTCACCTTCAGGGAGATCTCAGGTGCCCATAGTGTGCTCACCCGCTGTGGATCTGAACCCTGGCCCTGGTGTCAGATTGAAATGGCATGGTGCCCAGGCTCATTATCAGCCTGATTAACCACGCTAATTAGCTGCTAATAAAGAGGAAGTGGGGCCACGGTGTGTGTTTGGCTGATGCTCACAGACGCCCTGCTCCTCAGGTGGTCCTGCTGTCCAGAGACAAACTGAGACTTCAAAAAATTTAAAGCGGAGCTAAACTAAAATATAAAACGCATTTAAGATACACTTAAAGATCCCTGTGTGAGACCATTTAAACTCACTAAAGAGGAATCTTGAAGAGACACCTCGCTGTGATTTATCAACAACATGACTGACAGAGCGCATCACAGCAGGGAGCTGAGGTTTGCTACTGAGTTAATCATTTATTTATAGATTTTATTTAGCAGAGAGGATGGTTCCTCTCATGTACTCACTGTGGTGACTGAGCATTTTGGATCAGGTGTAATTTCATTTATTTTAATCATCTCTGAAAATTGAATGTGACTTCCAGGGTCACAGATATTATTATACTCTTTTAACGTGGATATTCAGGGTGAATAGTCAGAGGCACGGCTAAAAACTGCACCACTCTCAACTGCCTGATGTTTTTTGGTGTGTTTACACAATATTACAAAAACAGGAAGCAAACCTTTTTGCATGCTAACATCTTTCTCCACTTTGCACTTTACAGGCTGGTCACAAGCAAGTGTTACAACTCTAAAACGAATCGAATATCTTCACTTAAAGACAGGAAAAAATATATTCAATTTATTTATCGAGAGTGCTCTTGTTTTTTTGTTGATTTTTCCTGCTGGTAGAAATCATCTTGCTTCTTTTTGAGCAACTTTTGTACAACTAATTTTGAAGAGGTGGTATTTCATTTTCTAAAAACAATGTCAGAACTAAAGTGGGGTAAATATCTGTTGGAGTGACTCTCTTGACTTGTGATGTCTGAGGAACCTGTGAACCTTTAAAGAGCGTACTGATTATCAAACATATGAAACAGAAACATCCTGCTCTGTTCTTTGTTACTGGAGATTTTCTTGTCATTCTCTTTCCAAACTTTCCAGGGTCAAGTATGGGGTCTAAAACATATGGCTTTATTTCATAGTTGTCATTTTCAATAGACATAATTTTGTAGATAAAGGCAACAGTGGAGGAAGCCTCTGAAAATGAGCAGACCCCAAACAAAGACTCTTTTAATCAACTAACCTTAAATGGTTCTGGTTGGCATCTGTACCAAAAAAAAAGAACTTAGTTATAATTTAAAGCTCCTGTGAGGATTTTTTTGACATTTAAGAAATAGACTGAAGTTTATGTTAAAGCCTTTTTATGATTAACAAAAGCAAACAAGACCATCCATGACAAAATTGGCCATTTTTATCTTGGAGTTTTAATGTCTGAAACTGTCATGAGGGGGTAGGTGTCAGTGGAGCCACTGCAAAACAACACCATTTATGAATATGATAGAAAAGGTAACTCAATGTATGTAACGGCAGTGCCAGAGTTGAGTCATCTGAGTTGGTAGGATTAGTCCTGATTGCAGTTTTGTTTAATTTAAGTAATATGTTTAGTTTATTAAGGGTAGTCCTTGTTCTCTTTTGACCAGGCTGTAAAATGTGAAGAAAAGATGATAACACTCTTTCATTACGTAATTTTTTGTACTGGAAAAAATGCACGTGGTACTGGCTTTACTCATTTATCTTCTTTTTTAATGAACTGTTTTTAAATTTTTACCAAAAAGATTTGTCATTAATCACTATTGAATTACAACATGGCATGCATCTTACTCTTCACTCTTATTTTAAAAGTAAGACCCCTGTTTTTGCTGACTTTAAGGACTGTTGAAGGTCTACTTGTTTCTCCAGAGGACGAAAAGTCCAGAGATCTTCCTCTCACATGTCAGAAAAGGCCAGAAAGGAAGCTGGTGTAATCGAGCACAAAAGTGTTTTTTCTTCCCCGTCCCTCTGAACTATGACATCACCCTGTGCGGATGGTGGAGATAGGTGCTCTGCCAGCAGGAGACTCATGCATCCATACATGTGACTGAATGCAGCAAAGAGCCGTGAAATCAGATTGAAAATAAAATGTGTGCATCTGACTTTCCAGAGAGAAGCTGCGTGATCTTTCGCAGAGGGGCCTCTGTGTATGACCGATAACTCAGGTTCATTAGAAATAATGGAGATCTGAGCTTTTACATGGTGGATGGGAGCCTCTCTGAGATTTTCTTGTCATTCAATGTGTAGCTTTTTCCTCGTCTGCCATGGTCATTATATAATGCTTAACAAGTTGCTTGCACTCATCACATCTTTATTCCCCTGCAGTCTGAATCCTGCATGTTACAGACTCGATTGCAGAAAATACCTCTGGTTTTTGTTTGTCATTATGTTTTAAGCAGGGGGGGCCTCAGATTTGATTATTTCAGATTTATTTTGCTGCGAGCCGGTGTATTCTTGTTCGGGCGCAGGCTGTAAATGAATATTGTTATGTCTCTGTGATTAGTGGGTCTGAAAAAACAAGCTTGAAAGCTTTTTAATTAGGCTTTTGATGATGAATGCTACTGTACGTATTTGATGGAGAAGGCTGCTCAACTTTGCTAAAAGCTTGTGGCTGAAGATGAAATGTGCGCTTGGGAACTCGAGGAGAAAAAAAAAAAAAAGGAAGACGGGAGGTTTGCTTTTTCAAGATGATGGTTTGGTTATTTCTGTTTAAAAAAAAAAAAGACGTCTCATAACCAAAATTGTTATCAAATGACTAGTTGCGTAATGTGTTATTTTCTTTGGCTGCAACAAAGGATGTTACAACATCTTGCTCTATTTCCTGCTGGATAAATACATCGATCTTTTAATGTAAAGCTTTTAAACCATTATTTTTCAGGTTTGTGTCTGATATATCTTGCCAAGCCTGCAGCCTGACAAAAGTCATAATCACTGCTTTGCATTCACTTTTCTGTTTTAATTACAACATGTCGGATTAAACTGACAGTCAGCTTAACCGGAACAGAATATTTGAATTTTTAATTGCAGTGCTTTTGACTAAGACGCTATTTTATTGTGACTTTTGTAATGAGGTGATACCATCTTGCATTTGTCCCTTTTTGTAAACACTAACAATGCCACAGACTCGGTTATATAAGCCTGCAGTAGCGCCTGAATGAAATAGTGGCACTGACTGTCGTTTAACGCTGTCTTACGTGACGGTGCAAGTTGTCCTAACACACTCTCTGTCAGCTTGGTGGCGCTCAGCGAGATTCATTGTCTCCCCTCGGCCTGAAACAAAGCCTGTGATTAACTGGCATGTTCCCCCTCTGCTGATTTACTGCATGTGTTTAATAGGCGTCAGTGCAGCACACAGGTCATTAAGCACAGCAGTGACATTAAAGACACAATATGAGGTCCCACTGCTGACTAACTTAGAGGAACCGAACCTGAAGCAGACCTCATGGTGCCCGCCCTCGTCTCGTAAATCAGCATCCATTAGATCACCGTTTCTAGGTATAATGGTAGGGACAAAGACGACTGCTGCTGCTGGGGTTGCTGGGGAAATCTTCGATGCTTCTCTTCTCACTTTTATTCAAGCAAAACCAGATGGTTTCCATGTATAATTCTTTAGAGAAAAGTAGGAAAGAATGCCTTTAAGAAGGAGAGATCTACAATGAATGTGTACTTTTTTTTTTTTACGTAAATACGTGTTGCGCTTACTCCTTTAAATTTGCTTTTTCCAAGGCCCCTCACAACAGTGTAACAAGTAGGGCTCACCTCTAGCGCAACGCCTTATGACAAAACGTCAAAGAGACACAAAGACCTCACAGATGCAGTAGCTTATTGTATTCCAAAAGAAATGCCACCAATAAGCACTGTCAAATTTAATTTTTTATATTGTGATTTATATAAATATCGACAGAAATGAAAAAATATATATCATGATAAACTTTTTCCCATATCGCCCAGCCCTAGTAACAAGCTAAACGTAGTCAGATCATCCTTTGATTTCAACTGTTTTATAGAACACGAACAATAAATAGTTTCTTTCATTAAATATTATGTTAAACTGATAAAGAACTGAACAAAGTTCACTGAAATGTAGTCAAAGAGGTTGAGTGTAGTGAGGGCCGAATGATAACCTTTTGTGGTTTGAAAAGAAGCCAAACAAACTTTGATGCTCTCAAACGTGTCTCATCCACTGCGGAGATAGTTCTAGTAAAAATAAACAAGTGTGCAATTCATCTCAGATTATTTATTTGAGGACCGTTATCAGGCACAATTTGACGTAAGTTAGATGTCATAGTGTGTAATGCACGATTAGCCAGAGGCAAACACGTGTGTGCATAAACAGAACACCAGTGTGGTAGGTCTTTCAAAGCCTGGTACCACTCTCTTTTCTGCACGTTTTAAAAGGTCATCCATGCTTTTATCTCCTCCAGACTCAACTATTGCATAACACTTGGTATCAACAGACCACACAGATGCTGAAACTTTTCCATAGCAGTGCTTCCAGGCTTTTCACACTTTCTTAAATAACTAGTTGTTGCAGCTCCTAATTGGTTACCTGTGAGCTTAAGCATTGATTATGTTGTTATTTTCTAAGCCTCATGTTGTCAGGCTGGAGTCTATACCTGTAATCCTCAGAGTTTCTTTTAAACAGATGAAAGGTAGAGATCTTCCTGCAGACTGCTCTAATGGTGCTGAAATCTGGACATGCAGTCTGGGCCCCTCGGCTGCGCACAAGGTAGGAGACTATCAGGCTTTAACAAACTTCCTTTCATCTCTTAAATCTCCTCTCAGGACTCACTTAGTTTTTCACTGATTCTCCATAAGCAATGTTTTTATCCTGTAGCTGTTTTAACCACTCAATCGAGTTAAATCTTAAATTAAATCTTAAAGTGGTAACACTTTACTTGACGTCTATCTCTATAATGCATTATGAATATATGTATAATGCGTTAAAATCACGTTATAGCACTGTATAACTATAGATATAAATGCTCATAATGCTTTATAGCAATAATAATAACACATTATAAAGCATTTTATCATGACTCACAAGGTCAGGTATTATTATATGTTATAACTGTTAACAACTCACTGACAATGCCCACATAGATAATGCAACTGTTGTTATAACAGTTATAACACATTATAATACCTGACCTTGTAAGTCATGATACAATGCTTTATGTGTTATGATTATTGCTATAAAGCATTATGATCATTTATAAGTGTTTACTTATACAGTGCTACAACATGATTTTAACACATTCTAAATATATTTAGAATGTGTTATGGAGATAGGCGTCAAGTAAAGTGTTACCCTTAAATTGATAATGGCAAATAATAAAAAGTAAATAATGTGTCAGGTGAGGTCAAGAAGCCAGCGGGATCATCCAAGGGACCAAACCTTTCTCCATAAATAGATTAAAAAAAACAACACAGTGATAAAAAATTAACAACACAATTTTAGATAAACATTACAAAACATGAGAGGGTGATAAAGAACATACAAATATCTATAAAAGCCAATTTGGAGTTGATGAAGAAAACAGGAAAAGAAGACTCTACGATTGAGATGTGATAAAAAATCTCCTTTTAAAACTTCTAAAGATGGGGAGGGGAGCTGTTAATGAAGTGACTTTTGGCATATCAGAGGGGAATCTGAGCATATTTGGTTTATAATGAGGAAGATGAAGATCCATGTGAATGAATCAGAGAATTCAGCTGGTGAACGTTTCTATGTGATAGTACAAAAACAGTAAGAATATATAGTTGTACACAAAAACAAAAATATATCCGATTAATATGTATGTTGTACACTCACTGAATGTTCAGTTTTTAAGGGGAAATTTCCTTGGACCATTTAGAGAAAACATGAAGTTTCTCAATGTTGCCCAAACAATATTAGCATCAATCAAATAGAGATTAATCACAGACTCATATAAAGTTAATGAACAATATGAGAGAGATTGCATGTTTCATTTCCTCCTCTAACACTGTACTTCCTGCCTCTCCCTGCAAATATAATGAAACATTACTTTTTAATATCCATTGTGAGCTTATCAAGTTTAAACTATCTTGTAACTCTCACCAATTCCTCGTTTGTATTGTTTACTAGGGTGTGTGAGTCACTATGAGGTAAAATTATTGTGGCATTATCAGCAGACAAAACAGTGGAGGAATTGGTTACATGTTCATATTGCATATTCTGATGACATATCATGAGAAAACTAAATGCAAAATTGCATTTCTGAGTATTTCTTCATTCAAATTGCTGAGAATCTATGGCAAACCCAAACAGCAGGTTTAGAAACAGTGAGATTTCATATGTAACCAATCCAAGCTCCGCCCCCGGAGCCCCACTATGGAGGCCACACTCTGCAGACAGAGGACAATTGTGAAACAAGCATGTGTGTTAGCGGATTACAATGATTGTAAGAAAGCTAATTATGATATTAACTTTCATCATGTTCCTAAAGACATTAGTGTCTGAGAGCTGAATAACTCCTATGTTACCTGCCACTTATACTACACCAGCAATGTTAGGCTGCAAGCTAACGTGAAGGGGCGTGTGAAGAGGAGTGTACAGAGCAGCGCTGTCTCCGCCTGCGACTAAGACGCGAATTGCGAATGATCTACTGGAGCTCTGCAGAAGAAAAGCCCTTGCAAATTACACAGGTAACAGGATTTTTGGTAAAAACTTCATAATCACAATTTAAAGACCACTGAGAACACTTTAAGTAGTAAAAAAAAACTATCGGAGTGAGACTTCAAAGCACAACCATTGATTCCTGCTGATTAAAATGTTAGAGATTTGTCTGTTTGTAAAGATAAACAGCTGCTAGTGAGTTAGAACTGTTGTTTTATTTGATTGCCTTTAATCCAGACAATATCCTATTAAATAATCAATCTCACATGGATCAGTCCCTTTGGTCTCTGAAAGGTGAAGTGACAACAAACCCTCCTGGATGTGTTTTTTTTTCACCTGTCCCTCAGGTTGTAGCGACTTGGACAGCCATGTGGCAGGTCTAATCCTCCTTATCTTAATGGCATCCAGCGCCATCAGAGCCAGAGCGGAGCGGACAATCGACTCTTTTCCTTTCTTTATCAGCAAAAACCACCTCCCGCGCCATCCTGTTTGCCACCCTCCTCTGTCAGACCCCCACCAGCTCCATCAGGCTTCTTAGCTGCTCTTTCACCGTCTGATATTACCTCAGCTCACCGGCGAGTGATTATTTGGAGTTGCCTGTTTCCAGGAAAGCATAAAAAGCTTGTTGGGAGACCTTATTGTAGAAGGACAAATGCTTTCCAAGAAACCTCTCACAAGCACACAGGGTAAGCAGAATGTGAGTGTGTACCTTGGCTCAATGTTATTTTCTTTGCCTCCTCTTATTCCCACCATGACGATGTCCGCTTCGCAGCATGGGAGTCAGGAGAAACCTCTCAGATCAGATAAAAAAGGCAGAGATAACTGTGAGCAGCAGACCATGTCGCAATAGCATCTTTTTTTTTTTTTTAAAGGCCTCACACAGTGTGGTTTGTAAAACCAAAACCTCTGGTTTCCTCTGACAACCACTCAACTCCAGATACGGTGAGAGATCATATCTGACCAGGCTGACTTCATGTCAGACTTTATGTTTGTACCATTCATACAATGAATCTCAGAGGGCTTAAAACTTTCTAACAGTATTTATCCAGATGGATTTGCCTGATTAAATCTGTCTGCTAGCTTACTTAATGTAAATAAACCTAAAAGCTCTTAATAGCACTGCAAATACAATTTACTACCTAGCCTTATCTAATTATAATTCCTTATAATTCAAACCAGTGTGCTCCTGTCAACTGGACAGAGAAATGTTAAAAGCTGGTGATAGCTGATTTTAATCTCCCACCATTTTCACTTTCAAACAGATTAAAACACAAAAACCACAGCTGAGCTTTATCTTGAATCTTGCACTTCACAGCCCAGACTCACCGCAAGCATTTTCCTCTGACATCAGGCTCGGGTTATGAAGCTCAAATACTGCTAAAGGTGTGTACCCTTATCATTCAGCTGTTAAACTGCAGAAATTTAAGCCTTTCTTTACAGTTATCATTTTAACACTGAATAAAGTAGCCATCATAGGCATACAGCCTCTTCCTACTACAGCTCAGAACTAGTCAGTCATGGTGAGTTTTCATTTTACAGAGTTACACATAAAGATTTTAATGATGAGATCTCTGCATGGTAACCGTTCATTCTTGGTTCCTTTCTTTTTTTCTAAGCAGCACGCTTAACTTTTCAACCTTTCACTGAAATATTTTTTGCCAAACACTAGCACTCGTTTTTTTTTTCATGAAAGTATAAAACAACCAAATATTTGTCTTACTGTAACTTCTCTGATTGGCGCCAATAGTGGAAACAATTCCTCAACATCCACAATGTCAGAAAACAGCATTTGTTTGACTGTGTGGTGGCCTCAACCCCCACTTTGTGTTCATATTTCTTTGTCTTTAGGTTTTAACACAGTAAATTTGTTTTTAAAAAATTTACATTACATACTTTTTTTGTTGAGATAAATTCACTTTTATTGCATTTATTGCAGTTGTTTTCTAATTTGGGTGCAAACAATTTAGTTAACAAACTGTCACTTGGTTTAATTTTCTACATCATGATTTAATTTGAGTTTGAGCTTGAACAATACTTACCTTTTTGTTTGTCTTTGTTTGAGCTGACCTGACAAAAAGCTGTCTGTAGCTCCAAGATGGCCTCTTAAGCCGACCCACAGGAAGTGGGACAGACCATCAAGGGGGAAGCAAGGAGGAGCTTGGACTTTTGATTCTTTATAAAACTTTTGTCTTTATTCTTTCAGTCAGTGCACAGTATTAAGGTTTTTTTCTGTAAACAGATGGTTTGGATAATTTGATGGTGTTTTTCTGAGTTTGTTAGATGTTTAGTTTATAGTCACCTTAGTTTCCCCCTTGTGTTTATGTTGGACTCGTCCTTTATCTATTTAAACCCCTGACGCGTATCACTTAGTCGGTCTGTTTGATTATGTTTGTTAGGTTGTAACTTTAGTTCTTTTTTTTGCTAAGTTGACCTCTTTTAGTGTGGGCCCAGATTTTGTTGATTTTCTACCACATTAAGTTGGATATTTTGTAGTGATGGCTAGATGAAGCCTCTTGAAGCATCAAAGCTTTCCATCCAATTGCTCGAGTTCTGGGCTGAAGCTTCGTTATTGTGCTTCATTTGCTCTACTGGACCATCAAGTGGACTATAAATGTAAAACAGGCAGAGTGATTATTAAAGACACCCCGAGGCTTTGGTGCGCGAAGCTTTGAATTGAATAAATGAATGAATGTGATGCCATGAGATTGTGATACAATAAACTCAATAAATTATGGAGAGGGTTGTGATGTGAATGTGCCAGTGTTACTTAGTTTGTTGTTTGTACTTTTGTTACGGGGACAACAAATAAAACATAAACATTTCATTTGTTCGTATTTAAAAACAACTTTTCAACAAGTCTCGAGTCTATGGAGTGTGAGTGGGGGAGGACTCCGTTGCGTTTCGCTGCCTGTTAAATCATACAACAAACCTGCGAACCGTTTCTTGAATCAGTTATGTGGTACAGCCAGACAGCAAGGCTTCAGACGTCATCAATTTTTGGCTCCGCCCCTATATGAACCAAGCCTCGATACACGCCCCCTTAACTACTCGACACATGCTTTGAAGCCTCGGCACGAAAGGACACATCACTTATATTTTGTTATTCATTTCTGCTTTTTTTGAGTAAAATTAAAAGGATCAAGATCTTTTTCCACACCTTTGTTCTACGCCTGGTTGCTCAGTCTCTTACAGACTGAATAAACTGGTTTATGGTTCTCTGGTCTTTAGCATAGACTGTATAAAGAATGGACAGAGTCTGCCTCCCTGCTGGGTGAAGCCACTCAAAGAACAGCACCCTCTGTTGACTGGCTGCAGTATAGGTCATAAATCCCACCTCCGCCAGCAAAGCTTATGGGGCTGTGGACAAACTTGAGAAATTAATGACACAGAACATACATTTTTCTCCCCCCTGGTTGTGATGTTGACATACAGTTATTGTAAGACTGGTTTGTGCTCAAGTCCTCTTTTTTCTGTTTAGCACTGTTTTTAAAAGTTATTGGTGGGGGTTCATGTTTTCTATGATTGACACCTGATACAGCCTATGGGCGTTCAGCGATTGTGTAGCTGTTCCGGGGGGATACGCCGTTTGAGGCGAGCATCATCACAGCGACTCTCGGCGACTGCACGGCTGAATGCGCGCATTGCTACTGCGCAGCGCTGGTTTTAGGAAATGAAGAAAAATCTCGGAAATACCGAGAGCTATTTGGCTTCAAATCCGTATACAGGCGGGAGGCGGAACCAAGTTGTCCATAATATATACAGTCTATGGTTTTTAGAGGTGGGATGACAGTAACTTAGAAAAGGAGGAACTTTTGGGCATTCAGATATTTAAAGAGAGTGTTAAGATATAGTTATGGTTTGTTCTTATAATCTATGCACCTCATGTAGTTACTCCTCCTGTGTGGATAAAGATTAATTAGTGATTGAAAACAAATTTGGCTCCAGAGCTGTGTATAAATTGTTCACTTACTGTATGTATTTTCCTTATTGCTGAAGTAATGAACCAGTTAAAAATCAGAGAAAGACACCTGATGCCTCTCTTCTCACCATGTCAAAACACATCTTCATGTTTCTCTTGTTCTGGGATTCATCTCTCCTTTGGTTACTACTATAAAAACACACCTTTGGTTCCTCCATGTAATGACATCAGGATAATGTTCTGATGGGATACGTTGTTGTTGTTGCTGTTTGGCATAAATATGAAGAATTCTGCTTTTTGACTGTTATTGTTGTTGTTGTGTCCGTTATCTTCTGTGCCTAATAAACGATGAAGCCTTCTGGCGGCAGGCCGTAATTGCTATGAGCCCAGCAGTGGGGGTGTAATTAGAGAGACAGGGAGGAGTGTATGACTTCATGACAAGCACCATTTAATGATAATAGGGTGCAACTCCACACTACAGTGGTCAACTAATCATACTGGACTGGCCTGGACGGTTCTCGATGCAAACGAGCCATGACTGGAATACTGAGCAGCAGCTCGCCCACGCAGTTCCACACCATTCGCTCTGCGGGGGATCAGGCCCATGATTATGCCTGTGACCCTGCACCACCTGCAACACTGTCATTACTGCCACCATGGATGGACAGGTTTAATGTAAATAAACTAATGTCATAAAGCCGTAAAGAAGGGGGGGTTTGTCCTTCAGGAGCCATGGGAGAAAAGAAAACATGTTAACCTTTCAAGTATCGGTCAACAAACCTGGCGTGTAATGCAGGAAATCAGCTAAAAAATACAACTTTAAGCTTAATCTGCTGTTAATCTGCTGTTTGCATTGTGGTTGTTTCAGTAAATCCTCATAACACGCAATGGTTGGATAGCCACAAGTCAAAGTCAAAGATTTCCATAATGAAATAAGAACTGAAAAGCCTCCTGTTAAGAAGTTTGCAAAGTTCATGGAGGTAACCGCCCCTGCGCCACAAAATAAAGGATTACTATCAGTTTTAGATCAAGCTGTGAGAGAGATTCCAACTAACTCTGTGGCCACAAGACAAGTGCGGTAAATGGAGAAGTTGTTCATGATCTAATCTGCAGCTGAATAAAAACAAACAAACAAAAAACTGCTCTGCTGTGCTTTTAAGGCATGAGAGTATCTTAGGATCACCCAATTCATTGGTATCGGTGATCATTACCTTTGCCACTTGTTTGTAGTGAGACCTCTGGCCAGTCCATTACGGACTGCAGCGGGGTGACGCAGCTCAAGGAAGAACATTTTTGATCACGACTTTATCATTTCCTTGAAGTAATAATCATCCTATTAATCATTTTGCACTGTAGACATGGTAGTTCTTCTACCTTAGGGTCTCAGTCTGATTGCATTTCCATGAAGAAATGATCAAAAATGTTCTTCCTTGAGCTGCATCACCCCACAGCAGTCTGTAATGGACTGGCCTGTGGTCTAACTACAAACAAGCGGCTGCTGGAAGAGAGTAGGTGAGCTGTGTTTAGTCTCTTTGCTAAAGAAATCAGGCAAAATTAAAAAGATGTTTGGTGGCTATTACTATGACTGGTACCCTATATGTACTGTTAATGAAGTTAGTGTTGTTCTGAGCATTATTTGTGGCTATAGAGTGGCGTTTTGGTCGAAGATTTGTTTATAGCTCCTCAGACTGCTGTGTATTGCTATCGTGCGATCGTTAATAAAGTTGGTGTAACTAGAGAAGCAAGCGGTCAGTATCATTCATCTCTTGAGAGGGTGTCTAACTCTGTGTTATGGTGTGTTTGACTCTGAAATAGTTTTACGCTGGAATATCCCTTTAACTGAGGTTTGCTGAGCAGGAAAGTTTTTTCGTCTTCCATTTCTGAACAAATTTGTAGTGAAACCACATTATATCGGTGATAAACTCAAATCGAAGTAACTTGAGGGGCACAGCACATATCAAAGTTTACTCTAAACGTTTCATAACTGTTGTTAAGGTTGGCTTTTTACAATGCTAGTTCTTGGTATAAGCTGATATGTGATGTTCAAAATTACACAAGTGTGAGCAACATGGCTAAAAACATACTTTGAGTGGCACTTTGATGAACTTCGGCTTGTTGTAAGACATGTACAGGAGTGTTTCCAGTGGTTGCCAAATCACTCAAGTAAGATAGCTATATAAATGTCATATTACCAAAATTGAAACGAAACTTGTATCTTGTTTGACTGCCATGCATTTCACTTTAAGCTTCAGATAACAGACACAAGCATACAGTAAAATCTTCCTGTATCTCTTCCTGTAAGTGAAGTATACGTCACAAAGGTTGTTTGTTAAACCATCTGTTCATGCTCTCATGATACCCCAGGGCCTATTACTTTTCAATGTCACCTCTCACAGCTGTTCATGTAGGAGGTTACTCTTCGACAGTTTCTCTCTTCTTTGTACTAAAATGTTTTTTCTGGGAAGTTGTCATGTCTCTGGGGTTTAAATTATACTGTGTAAGCCAAGCAATGCTTTGATGGTTTTGCTGTTTCTTGAAAAGACTTTCCTGTTCTTCCCTTGAATTTTATTATGTCATTTTCTGTCAGTCAATTAACAGATAATATTCTAATGAGGGTAAAAGTTGGTGAAATCTAAGTGAGGTTGGACCAATCAGAACTAAATTAAAGGACTATTCTGACCCTCACTTCTTCATCATATATCCTAAAAACTTTGCACATTTGTTGTAATAAAACATTGACATAACTAAACATCATAGTATCAAGATACCTAACCTTTGAATAGACAGCTGATCACAATGGGAACCTTCATGAAATGTAATTTTTTGTGAGCATGTTGTATTTTTTTGTTAATAACATTGAATTTTGCTGGAGACTGACAGATATTATTGAGTAAAGGAGAAGGGGTAGGTTTAAAAAAAAGCATAATGCTTCATCTTTTATCCATTTACAACCTTTATATATTATGCAAAAGAGAGCAATAAGGGTTGTTAATAAGGTAGGATTCTTCCATCATACTAATGAACTGTTTTTGAAATAAAGAGTTTTAAAATTTGCCGATCTAGTTGAATTTAGAACTGCACAGATAATGTACAAAGCAAGCAACAATCTACTCCCTAGTAATATACAGAAAATGTTTGGTGGAAGAGAGGACAGGTATGTATTAAGAGGAGAACGAAGAGAACGAAATTTAAAACAACCAGGCGTTCGTACAACACTAAAAAGCATGTGTCTTTTTGGTTGTGGGGGTGAAGCTATGGAACAGCTTGCCCAATGAAATTTAACAAAGCAAAACAATAGAAATGTTCGAATTGATATAGAATGGCCACTAACATTAAAATTGTGTTTTTTTTCTCTCTCTTTTGATGTTATTCATGCTCAATCTAAGACAAATATTCTATATTTTTCTTTCATGATAAATAAGTGCCTTGTTTGCTTGGTTATAATTCAATAAAAATAAATAAATAAATAAAGAATAAAAACTATGTAAAAAGAAACTAATCAGGTAAACGGCGCCCTCTGTTGACACCATCATGCCATTAAGGGTTCAATCAAATAAGTGCCTGTTCCTTTAAGGCAAAACCTTAAACATGCGCAAGGAATGATGGGTAGAATGTTCACAGCCAATCAGCTCATTGTTGTTAGTCCGTTGTTGTGGAGCTGGTGGAGTCGGATTTGAATCGCAGGAGAAGAATGAAAAACTTCCGCCTCTTGCTGTCGTCTCTGCATATGAAAATGTAAACAAAATCCTTAAAATGTCTTCACTAGATCGATTAGACGCTTTAAGGAAGCTGAACAAAGATTTACTGAAGCAGTTGAAGCAGCAGAGAGAGAAACTGGAGCGACTGAGCGGCTACAGTCAGAGCCGCGAGAGGGAGAGGGAGACCGGGGCGGAGGTGAGGAGAGACCCCGGGCCGGAGGTGGGGAGAGACCCCGAGGTTCTGACTCTGACCGGAGGAGACCCCGGACCGGCCAGGGCCGCCCTCGCCAAACCTACTGTGAGGTTTGCAGGTTAGTAACTCACTCGGTGTTTCACATAAAGCCAGATGGGGTATACTTTTGGTTCACGAATACAGACAAAAGCTGTTGGAAAAGCTTTAAAGTGCTCTTGTTGTTCGTCTATTCATTATACTCAAAACCCACCAGCTGCAACATAATGACACCATGTGAAATCTAATGTACTTCAATACAACAGCGCCCAACCTGATCATTCAGAAGCTTCCTGAAAGCAGGATTTGTGGTTAAGTTGTTGTACTGGGTTGCCCAGGTGTTCATAAAGTTGTCACTGCAGGTGTGTATTAGAGTTGTTATGAGTTGCTCAACACTTGATGCTTAAAAGTCCATCGACTGCAGCGGGGTGACGCAGCTCAAGGAAGAACATTTATGATCATGACTTTATCATTTCCATGAAGTTATAATCATCATATTAATCATTTTGCACCGCAGACACTGCAGTTCTTCTGCTTTAGCATCTCGGTCGGATTGCATTTCCATAAAGTAATAATCATAAATGTTCTTCCTTGAGCTGCGAAACTCCGCTGCACTCGGTGATCAACTCGTCGGGGCTCCCCCACAAACAAGCTGCTGCTGAAGGAGAGTGGGTGAGTTGTGTTTAGTCTCTTTGCTAAAGAAATCAGGCAAAGCTAAAAAGATGTTTGATGGCTGGGACCTTGTATATACTGTTGATGAAGTTAGGTGCTGTTCTGAGCATTATTTGTGGCTATAGAGTGGCGTTTTGGTTGAGGTTTGCGCATGGAGACATAGACTGCTGTGTATTGTTATCATTTGGTCGTTACTTAAGTTGGTATAATAACTAGAGAAGCAAGCAGTCGGCAACATTCATTTATGAAGGGGGTGTCTAACTCTGTGTTACGGTGTGTTTGACCCTAACTTAATTTTACGCCGAAATATCCCTTTAACTCGAAGCCTGCTTGTTTGCATATGATGTAAAGCCAACCCTGTACTCTGCGTATCACCATCAGATGAATGTGAAGTCCAGCACAATATTTTAACCCCATCCGCGACCTCCAAAAACAGCGGAGGGACCACCAAACATTCAACAGCATCAGACTTTTTCACACAAAGTGACACACATCCTGAAGCTCAACACGGCCTGCAGGATTCAAGGCCAAGCAGAACCGAGTCCTGTCAAAGCGAGGAACAGGTAAGGAAAGACTCATGTGGAGTTAAACATTCAGTGCTACATTTACCTTCATATCTCATACAAGCAACAGTCCAAAATATGTGACTCAAAACAATCTGATATATGGAGATGTAGACTCCTAAATTGAACCTCTGAAAAAAGTAACAAGCGTAGTACAACAGGGACACAAAGTGGACATAAGACCATACCACATTACGTTGCGTATGGTAACACCCCTAGGAAACCACATCTTCTGCTACCAGTGTTGCACTGAATGAGTATGGCATAAACAAAAGAAAGTCTAACATGAACTATTAATTAATTATTAAGAGCTTTACAGAGTATTCAACTGCAGGTGCCTCTCCACATTTTCTAGATGAGAACCACAGAGGGCGCTGATGAGCTTTAATGAAATTTTGTAATGTTGACCACTGAGTTGAGAGCACTATGAAAGCTATGGCGCCTAGTTTGTAAGACATATTTTATTTTGTCGATGTTGTTGATCTTTTCATTGAACACAAAGTAAGCCTGTAAGGAAAACCGTTGTCATGTCAGGGATAAAACATCTCAAAAATGATGTAACCTGCAAAAACACACAAAGTTGATCTATCCTGATTCATTAAGGCTTCAGACTTTATACGTTTATTTTGACTAACAAAACAAGAAACAGGTTTTCTTTCAATAAAGAGTAAAAATCTTACATATAAACAGCCCAACTCTTTTCAAACCCTGTGTGTAATTTGTTAACCAGCAGCAAAAAAAGCTGGTCAGTCATGTTACCCGCCATGTGATTTTTTTAAGAGGGAGGATGGAGGTGGAATCACGTTTCAGTCTGATGACAGTGAGGAGGTATCTGACTCAGACAGACATCATTTGCAGCCCTTACTGGGATATGATTGGATAGCAGGTAGGCTTTGTTACTCTCTTTCTTCTTGTCCTTGTTATACTCATGGTTTCATTCAGCAGCTCTAGCAGGTGTTGTTTGTTCTCTTACAGGACTCCTGGATGCCGAGGACTCCTGGATCGAACGCTCTGATGAATTCTTCAATGACCTGCGTGCTTTTCGATCGCTCAATAAAGACGAATGTGTCCACAGCCCGGACGCAGAGTGAGTTTTTCTCACGAAGTTGCTCTTGTGACCAACTGAGTGTGTGTGTTTGTAATCATGAAGGATCTTTTTTTGTCTCAGATTGCTTCAAAAGGACTATCCAGCCCTACCGCTGCTTACAGAAAAGGACGACCCAGAGGCTCACACAGACACTCATCAGTGTAAGAGAGATAGTTTAACAGGCCTCTCTCGTCTTTTCTTTTCCTGACAGCTCAAGTAGTCTTATATGTTCTCGCTCCCTTTTTTGTTCAGGTACGTTTTCTTACAGGATAAATAGCAGACTGTTCCCTGTCCCACTTCACTCTGAGGAGTGTTGCCCGGTGTGTAGAAAGCACAAGTCTTCTCACCCTCACACTGCAGCAGAGCCTGCTCTCGTCAGGTAATAATGAGCCTACGACTGGCACCAGGCGTCAGATGATGCTGGTGTTACTTCCTTGTCTGTAATGGTTGCTGCAGCCTTACAGCGATGGTGTTTGTTACTTAAAGCACAAAGCAGATAAACTATAATTTTACTGATTTGAAGCGTTTCAGTGATAATGTTTCAATGAGGGAGTTTGACAATCTGAGGATAAATAATGAACCACCAGCCCAGCATTACAACACATGGCATAAAAACTATAAAAGCTGTCAATTATGCGACTACTTTAGTCACAACCTGAATTTCAAAATTGTTGAGAATCAGAGTGAAATACTGATTTTGAAAAACAGAATTTGATGGCTTAAATTTAACTGAAAATAAAGAAAAGACTACCTACAATATGTTTAAATTCTATTTTCATCATTATGGATTCACACCACATCGTTTACCACTGAAGGAGCATTGTGACTGTCTCATCAAGAATCTCTTCCCCTTTTTTATTTAGGGTCAGCATTCCTCGCTCCACTATCTTGCCTCCTCACAAATACAAAGCTCATCGCAGATGCAGCTTTGACCCTTCAGACAGTTTGGGGTTACCATCGGTGAGTGAGTACTTCCACAATGAGAAAATCAGTGACAACTTAACTGTGCTATTTTTACTCTTTGATTGTTACATATCCCGTAAAAGCCCTTTTTTATTTTCTATTTTTTATTTGCACTTTTGCCTTTATTGATAGGATAGTTTGGAAATATGGGGAGATAGAGAGAGGGGGGAGGACATGCAGCACATGGTCGGGGCCAGACTTGAACCCGCCACCCATACGTTGGGCGTGCCAATCGCTCGGCCATCTGCGCTCCCCACCTTTTTTTTAAATTTTTCAATAAAAACAGTGATTGGTTTTCTGTCTGTATTCCAGCACTGTCTGTCAGGCTGGTCAAACAAAGGTCAGAGCGTGCCGCCGCCACCCAGCAGCCTCGACCTGAGGAGCAGTCTGGAGAAGAAGATCCCCATGGAGGTGAGATGCTGCACTTTTTAAATGTTATGCTAAAAAATACATTAAAAAAACTACTTTCTGTTTCATTTGAACTTGTTATGGGAGGAAAGCAAAGAGAAACAAACAACACCAACAATGACTCTGTTCCTTTAAGTGTCCCACTGAGCAATGACTGTACCAGCATGTGCAATAATAGGGTTCTGGGATTTCTTCCAAATGCAGTGCAGTCATTTTTGGAGTTTATAATTAAACCTGTTTTTTCCCAGCAGTGACGTATCAAAATCTCTAAATGTATTAAACCTCTGAACTTTAATGGTGTGATTTTCTCTCAGCCTAACCCGGATACAGAAAATATGAACATTAATAAAAGTCAACACTGAATTCTTAAATTTTTATAGGAATTTCTTGCACCCAAAGAGTCCAGTAACAGAGTCTCAGACCAGACCTTGGATGTGTCCCGCCTGGCTCGCCACAAATTTCAACACTTCTCTCCAAAAAGAAAACTAAGAGGCTCCTCTTACTCTTTAAGCTGACAGCTCACCAGTGTTATTTTTAAATGTGTTACGGCAGTTCTTGGTGGTCTTCTAACACCTAAAAGGATTTCCTTTTATGTTTTTTTTTGTTGTATTTTTGGAAATGTGTTATTTCCTGATACATCTGAATGCTTGGTATAAGACAAGTAATGATTTCAATAGAGAATGCTTGACTATAATAAAATTTTGTAAGCGCCCAGTCTTGAAAGATTTTTAAATATTAGATTTTATATGCTAGAAATACATGATGGACATTTTTAATATTTTCTCTGTCTTACAAAAAGCAGATTTAGTCATCACACGTTATCATCAGCAGCCTCGTGCACATGGAGCAAGAGAATCATTGTTTCGCCACAGTGCAGAGGACTTTCAACTTACAACACGAAGGAAGTCACAGTGAATCATCTCAGTTGCCCTCACACCAGTGCTTGTTTCCCTTTCCAGCTGTTTGCTTTGGCTCTGAAGTATCGCATACTTCTGTTTTCTACTTCCTTTGCTGCTTTTTTTTAAAACAGGACAGAAAACTCAGCTCAGCTAGACTCTGAGGCTACTGTCAGTACAGAGGTGTCTGTTCATGTGAAACCACAAAAGAGTTACTGATAATATAGCAGTCCCACCCATGACACTGAAGTTTTCCACTTTGTGTTTTACAATGTTATTAAATGTGAAGATGTTTTTCACCAAATTTATCAGCGCACATTTACTGAAATGATGTCAATTAAATGTTTTTTTGTTGCGATTAAAGTTGAAGAGGAAGATCTCTTGTGGTGTTTTCTTGTAATCTCAGCTTTTTGAAGCTTCAATACTCGGATGATTTGCAGCAAAAACAGCTTGTTCAAAGCCAGACGGCCAGACGGCAACGGTTTGCTGTTATCTGGCTGAGCTTCGTCATAGGACTCAGTTGCTATCACTCGGGTAAAGCTTTGTCTGAGATGAGGTTTTGTGATACCCTGTTTGATTTTACCACAAACACTTATGAAAGCACTCTCAACATCTTCAATATGATCTCATCGTTTAATGCTCTGTTCATTTTTACTTCTACACACTGAGCCAAATCAATGGAACAAGGATGTAACCCTAAGTTGACTGATTTCCTAGTTGTTCACACAGAAGTTTAAATATGACCTGCTAACTTTGTGTTACAAGAACACCAAAGACTCAGCTGACCCAATCAGATAAAGTTCTCAAGAGATACCATGGGACAGTGTTCATCGAAAGGAGATAAAGTCTGCAGCTAACGGCTGCACTTTCGGCTATATTTTTTATTTTTAATGTGGCACACAAAGCCCAGATACCTTCCAACTTCACACCAATTGTTCACCTTTCACACAATATAAAAATAAAGAGGATCTGAAACTTCCAATGACACAGATCTCCAAATAATAGAGCCTTCTCTTACTGCCCTTTAGCTGTACGCTGTCACTGCTTGGTGATTTTCAGAAAAGTACAGACTATTTTCATTATGCCTGACACAACTATTGTACTGTTTGTATGGAAATTACTCAGCAGAATCCCATAGTGTACGGGATCAACACAACGACACACGAAGGAAGACAGCAAAAGAAAAAAAAAATCCTTGCTGTAATTTTCCACACAGATTTGCCTCAACAGATCACGTTTTCAGCCTCAGCAACGTGAAGTGGAGTTGTGGTATTAAAATCAGCCTCGGAGAGTTTCGTGAAAGACTGAAGTACTCTCACAGACAAATCAAGAATGCACAATGGACAAGACTGCTGCTGCCGATGTGCTTTGAGAAGCAGAGAAATGCTGATGATGTGGGAGGGGGAACTTTATGGCGAAATGTCAACGTCTCATGCAAGACAAAGAAAGCATAGGGGCAGTAATCTGGGCAGCACAAACACTTGTGCAGGGGAATCGAAAGAAGACAGGTTTGACTGCAGTAGTCAGTCTGGGTGATGTGTGATGTGGAAAAAAAAACACAAGCTTGGTTGACTTGCTCTATTGAGTAACTACTTAGTTGAAAAGACAAGAAAACATTGGGAGTGGTTCCAATTTTTTTTTTTTTTTTTTGAATGAAGCTGGTTTGGACTGGAATTTGGGGAGCAGAAGCCGACAGAGAAAGGGACAGCAGTGTGTGCTGTGCTGAAATGCAAAAGTCTGATTATTTTAATCCATCAACACTTTTTACTGAAAGCTGAACCTTGGCCTGTGGGTCAGGAATGTGGAGTAACAATACTGTTATCTCACTATCTTCTACCATATCCTGTCACTGCATGAACAGACACAAACACACAATAGGAAGCACATAGAGCCAGCATTTCTCTTGAAAAACACTTTCAAATTCTATTTTTCTAATTATAAGCAAGCTACAATCGACTAGGCTGCGGTAGACTGAATTTGTCTGTTCCAACAGAAATAGAAAACAAGCAAGTCATCTTCCTGACACAGCACTGACCTCGTTTTTTTTTTTTTCTAACTATGCTACACATTGGCCTCAAAATAATATAACCCACATAAACCAAACAGGGAGGGAGTGATGTGGTACCCAAGACGTCATGTTATGAATGGCATAGGGAGATATTTACATATTCTTTAGGAGTTTAAATCCATAAAATTTTTGACACTGGATTTAAAAGATTTCTGGTGGTTTTAACTCAACTCAACTCAACTCAACTTTATTTGTTAAGCACTTTAAAACAACCACAGCTGAACAAAGTGCTGTACATAACTAGACAAAACAACAAGATAAAAAACAATCAAAAAACAATTAAAACAATGGATAAAATAAAAGCAGAATTAAAAGTAAAATATAGTTTCAATGTTTTTAAAAACTAATTTAAAAACATAGAAACAAATAACTAAAAACAAACCATAAAACACTAAAACAGGAGTTTAAAACTAAACTCAACCACCAAAGAAGTCCTGGTTTGACTCCACACGGGTTATCCACTGTAAACTTTCAGCTATGTGGCGTCTTAAACAACTGACTTCACCAGATGTGATTCAGTGATAACCTGCCAGAGGAGTTTACTTGTGCATCAAACTGAAATAGCTACATTAGTTTAGTTTTGGTTTAATTTGGTTGACATTGAACAATCCAAACTTTTACTTTAGGTGGTCCTGTGTAAATACAACATACAGTGGTGGCAGTACAGAATCTGTTTTTAGCGCCCCCCTCACCACAATCTAACTTCACATGGGTATCTTCACCTCAGAGCTGAGAAAGTAACTCAGAGCCTGCCTGCCTGCTCATTTCCTTCCTCCAAACACTCAGCTCAGTTCAAGGAAATCACTCCTGTTTTCACACACACACCGCCGGACCGCCTTTCTAAAATGATCAGTACAGTGCACACGCAGGTAGCTGTATCCGTCTCCGTTTGAAGAAGCGATGAAGGGTTTACTCGCGCTGCTGGTTCTGCTGTATGTCCGAATTATCGAGGTATGTTTTGTGTTTGTCTGTAAGCCTGTCCTGCATATTTTCAGCGTCTATCAGAGTTTGCGGTCAACTTGGACATGAGCCAGCCGGAAAGATTCTTTGGATGTCTAAAATACCGGTCAAAGACACTGTCTACTGTGAGTTTAGGCTTTACTTAAAAGACTGAATAGCATGGGGTGAAAGCTAAAAGAGAATAATTTAACTTGTTATCTAAAGTTTACAAAGTTTTATTTATCTTGAAGACTTAAAAACAGGCAACTGGACTGTGTAGAGTTAAGAAGACGTTTCGCCTCTTATCCAAGAAGCTTCTTCAGTTCTAAAAGTGCTAGTGTCAGGAGCAGATATTTATCTTACTGGAGAAGGGGGACAGTTAACGACTGGCTGGAGTTGAAAAGAATGGGTCGTAGAAACCCATCTCTCGGTGTTTCCCCCCCCCCAAGTCGTTATCCTGAAAGGGTCGTTAGCGACTCCTATCATGTGACCACATGACTCATGCCACCTGAGTCATGTGGTTCCAGGTGTGAATGTTTGTGGAGCTTTCTCCAGAGGGGGTGGACTCAGGCACAATCTCTCTGGCACTTACAATGCAGTTCTCAGCTCTCTCCCCAGAAAGCTCCACAAACATTCACACCTGGAACCACATGACTCAGGTGGCATGAGTCATGTGGTCACATGATAGGAGTCGCTAACGACCCTTTCAGGACAACGACTTGGGGGACACACACCGAGAGATGGGTTTCTACGACCCATTCTTTTCAACTCCAGCCAGTCGTTAACTGTCCCCCTTCTCCAGTAAGATAAATATCTGCTCCTGACACTAGCACTTTTAGAACTGAAGAAGCTTCTTGGATAAGAGGCGAAACGTCTTCTTAACTCTACACAGTCCAGTTGCCTGTTTTTAAGTCTTCAAGATAACCATGACCTGGATGAATGAGAATCTACATGGACAAAGTTTTATTTAGTTTGATGCTCTAAAATGCTGTTCTGTGTTCAGGTGTTGTCATAAAAAGTGTCATTAATCACAGAGTCGACAAACACAGGAAACACTCTCATTTTTTCCACATCGAATTCAGTTTTGATTATGTCCTGAGTGTGATAATACCATAGAAGTGTCACTGTATGCTTGAAAAGGTACCAGTTGTGGTGAGGTGACTCTGGATGAATATTTGGTTTCACTTACTCTCTATCTGATGCACTTTCAGAATGAATGTCTCATTGTTCAGACTCTCGGTTATGAAATAATGCAGACACACTTTTCTGCTGTCCTGCAGTGTCATTTGCACGCTTGCCAAAGGAGATGAGTCAGTCTAGGTAATTCTTCTTCTGAGCCAGGAGAAAAAGAAAAAAGGCAGACAGTAGCTGATCAAACTCGACAGGTGTTTTAACTTTCTCATCACATGCACGCTGCCAGTGGCCCACCACAAGAGAACCCTGTATACTTTTCAATCTAGGTCTCCTGTTGTCGCCTCTGCTTCCTGTTATACGAGAAATACACTGCTGCCGTCAGCGTATTCTGACTGTTGCTTGTAATTGGAGGGCAATTACAGGCAAGTACCTCTGCGGTGAGAAACTTTTTACTCTTCTTGCACGGGGCAGGTGTGTGAACCGTGCACTGTCACAACTTCTCAGCGCAGCAGTACTGTGGTTCTGGGTGCAGTAGTTAGGATATTTTGGTACACGTGAGGGTGGAGTTGTACTTTAGGCGCTGCATGGTGCATGTGTGAAGAGCCTGCCTACAGGACTTTAAAAAAGAATCAGAGGGTAGAGTTAGCGTATGGGTGAAATCCACCTACTCCAACCCAGAGCAGAGACGGCCTGTTAAGCAAGGTCTACAGCTCAGGCCAGCTGCAGTACCAGAAGGGAAAAGGTGGGCACAGGTGTGGGTGGTCTGGTTCTACTTAAAGCTCCTGTCTAATAATGAAAAAGGTGATAATGAATTAACCCCCCTTCATACTGGCTGACTCTAGACAATCATAATGTACCGATACAAATGTGCTTTTCTGGCTTATGTCAAAGTAAGAGGCACATTTTCTCATAAGTAATTCAAAGATTACTCAGTATACAGTAAAGCTCAACACCCTGAGCAGTACAAGCTCAGTACATTTGAGTAAGAAGGCCACATCAAAGACGAAAACGCTCCTCTCTGTCTTTATCAGATCAGTCGAAGATGAGTTGCTATAAGTCCTTCACCTCTTTTTCCCACAGGTCTGCTCTCAGCCTTATCAACCGGACTCAGAGGGAGAGTGTCGCGACCGAACGTTAGAGTACCTCGTTGATGATTTAAACCTTTGCTGCAAGAAATGCCCCCCTGGTAGGTGCTGTCCAGTAAACACAACAGGGACTGTAGTTAAAGTTTAAAATATAACACATATACTGGCAGTCATGTTGAGTGTTCAGAATAGAATACAGTATTTAAGGGTGATGCTGCTGACTCAGGGGGAAACCACAAAACAAAATTGACAAAAGTTGTGAAAAATGTCGATAAAGCTTCAGGAAGCAGGGAGGTACGATGGAATACACAATGTGGCTCACAACTGTGACTCTTAATACTTTATAAATACTGATGAATCAAACAGGGAAGTGTATATGCTGCAGAAGCAATTAATGAATGCAGTGTAAAAATACACTTCCCCTCTTAAGCAACTTAGCATAAAGGACCAACCAAGCAAGATCTAAATACAGCACATGACAAATCTGCAGAAACTAGTTTATTTTATTTTATTTTATGCTGAATGTCTTGAAGATGGTTTCATGGTTACCTTTTAATAGGAACCTGTCAGATCCCATATATCCCATAACTCTGACTTATCTTTCAAACAATAATTTCTCTATTTTAGTCACAGAAAGAAACAATAAGCAGAGAATTAGGGTTAGATTAGTATTAGACTTCGACAAATGTTGATTTTGTCTTAACTTTCATATTTCATTAACAGATTTTACCAGATGAAGTTAACTCCTCAAAAAAAAACTTGATAAGCTGATACAGAAAGATGAGGTAATAGCTCTTGGGAAGGGTTAGTTTGTTCAATTTTGACAACAGTTATGAGATAAAAAAAAAAGATTTTTTTCACTGATAGCAGTGTAGCTGAGTATGGCTGACTAGCGTACACAGCCCTACATGTTCACACTTCCATACAGAAAGTTTTGACACAGATGTTGAGAGATATGAGAGTTCAGGCTTGTCAGATAACAAGGGTGCCTTGCAAACGCACTACTTTCATTGAGCTGTGGTTGCTGAGTGTAAACTTCCCCAGATCTAATCAAGAACAGGATACCAGCCTTTTAGGTCTCTGTAGTTTAGCTTATACACCACTCAATGAGGACAAACTTCTCTGTGGATGTCCTTAAAACACACTCTTCTGTTTCCTTCTGTGCAGAAAATGAGGGTAGAAGTAAGTCTTCACCTTGGTGTCTTTCAGCTGAAAAATGCATGTGGTACTCCGTTGCTAAGTCTTAGTCTCTCACTGTACCTGAACCTCCTGTGGGGAGTTTTTTGACGTCAATAAAATACACTGTAACTCATATCGATCTCTATCTATGATAAACAAAATCAAACGTACATCTGTGACATAACAGACAATTGATATGCTACAATTTTTAATGCACGAAACTGCTGCAAAGGGGGAGGTGTTGACAGAGCAGCTTAAGAAACAGCCTTGTTTTTACATTTACTCATCAAAATTTGACGATAAATGATACATTTGACTGTTAAAAGTTAGCAGCATATGATTTTCTCAGAAGATACTGTTTAAGTGAGTAGAGGACATGATAAGTGAAGACTGCTTTGTCCACAGGGGGCTCCAAAAAGCACGTCAGAACTTGTTACTGCATTAAAAGAATAAAAATATGAGTATTCTTTGTGACTGCATTAAACTCAAAGAAGCTACCCTGGTAAAAATGACAAGTATGTAGGTAGTCTGACTTGTCCAATAACAAAGTTTATTGTTTGAGTATTTTATTTTTAAAAGTGATTATTAACACTAGTATAAAGATTTAATGTTATTTCTAATCGTGCCAAAATTAAGTCAAATCAAAATAAGTGCAAATATCACAATATTTTTGATGACACTACAATGACTTCTGACTATGTATCCGATTTTAAATCACAGCATGAATAAAAGCATTTAAATTTTTTACTCATGTTGTTGAGCTCCTACAAAGAGATTATCCTTTTGCTCAGAGGATATTGGTTGTCACAGGAAGTGTGGCAGACACATAAGGGAAGTACGATGCTTTGATTTCCTGAATAAAAGTAATCATTCTTTGCAGTTTATCCCTCATACCCTGATAGCTGTACTTAAATCATATAGAAAATATATCAAAATGTATCGATATGTACACTAAATAACACTTGTTTCTAGATAACTATTCACTAATATCTGCTAATACATCATATACAATATATGATACTTGAATACAAAAAAATGTGTGAGGCAATAAAGTGAATTGTCTTAATTTTCAAGTTGTTAGTTGTTGGGTGACAACTTATCATTTTATGTTTCAAACTCATGTTACAATCAAGTGAATGTACGTTATAAAATCTATTGATTAATCATAGCATACTTCATTGCAGGGCATCGGCTACAACAACAGTGCTCTGAGATGAATGACACTGTGTGCACACCATGTTCAGCGGGCCTGTACATGGAAAAACACAACTACTCTCCAAACTGTCGCACCTGCAGCCAATGCAGAGAAAGTAAGTGGCTGCACTTCAAACTCCAAAAATGCAAATTCATGTATTGATTTGTTTCATTCATAAACACATCTTAAGCTCGACATTTTCTCCCCAATAAAAAGTCAAAGGCCTGCGGTATGCCCGGGCCTGCTCTTCAACCACCATGTCCAAGTGTGAGTGCCAACCGGGGATGTACTGCATCATAGGATTTGATAACCCATACTGCCAGGAATGTAAAAAATACCGGATATGCAAAGCTGGTTTTGGAGTGTCTGTGGCAGGTATGCTATGCACTGAATATTTTTAATGGTAACAACCATGGATGTATAAATAAATTGATAATTGGATGGAGATGGATGAATGGAATTAGTTGTTTATATAGATGAATGGCTGGCTGGCTGGATGGATGGATGGATGGATGAATGGATGGAAATCAATTGATGGATGGTAAGATGTATATGTAGACTAATTACCAGATGGATGTATAAATAGATTAATGAGTGGATGGAGATGGATGAATGGAATTAGATGTTTATAGATGGATGGATGGCTGGATGGATGGATGGATGGATGGATGAATGGATGGAAATCAATTGATGGATGGTAAGATGTATATGTAGACTAATTACCAGATGGATGTATAAATAGATTAATGGGTGGATGGAGATGGATGAATGGAATTAGATGTTTATAGATGGATGGATGGATGGATTGGTTGATGGATAGATGGATGGAATTCAATTGATGGATGGTAAGATGTTTATGCAGAGTAAATACCAGATGGATATATAAATAGATTGATGGGTGGATGGAGGGATGGCTCGATGGATGGATGGATGGATGGATGGATGGATAGATAGATGGATGAATGGATACATCAATTGATGGATGGTAAGATGTTTATACAGAGTAAATACTAGATGGATGTATAAATAGATTGATGGGTGGATGGATGGATGGAAATCAATTAACGGATGGTAAGATGTTTATGTAGAGAAATCGGATGGATGGATGGATGGATGGATGGATGGAAATCAATTAACGGATGGTAAGATGAATATGTAGAGTAATTACCAGATGGATGTATAAATAGATTGATGGGTGGATGGATGGCTTGATGGATGGATGGATGGATGGATGGATTCCTTAATCCCTTTGATTACTGACAGAACAGCTACAGTGATTTCAGTGTTACCCTCATTCTAACGGTTATAGTGGGATTAGTGACAGTTAAATGCACTAATATCTGCTCATACTAACAGTAGTCAAATGTGTCATAGCATGATTTTTTTTTGTCAGACTTCTTAAGTGCCTGTAATTCATGTTATTTCCTATCAATTTTGAGTTGAATTAATGCTTTGTGTGAAATGTGACTAAACTGTAGAGTGTTACTGTGTGGTTTTCAGGGACGGCTGACTCAAATGTGAGGTGTGTCAAATGCCCAGATGGCACATTCTCTGATACAGTCTCTGACAAAGACCCCTGTCGCCCTCATACTGAGTGAGTTAAGGATAGACACATCTGTACACAGCTGTTTGGAGCTCAGATTTTGACCCTGCGCTCTCTCTCTCTGTCTCTCCAGCTGTCATGGGAAAGCTGTTCTCAGGAAAGGCAACGCTACATCAGACACTGTTTGTGAATCTAAGCCTCTACCATCCAGCGCAGGGCCTGAAACCCCAACAACAGAAATCCATGCTGAAATTTTTTCCACAAGTGCAAAAACAACATTGAACACAGTTGCAGCAACCTCGACCTTCAAAGCCCAAGGAGGGCTGACAAACTCTACACCACATGTCACCCCCTCTGTTCCAGGGGCAGTGTTCAGCAACTCAACAAAGAGCCCACCATCGAGCACAGTATCTGACCGAGAACTGGGTAGGTGGATTGATTGGTTTCTATTTCGCCATTCTAGTAAAGGTGTGAAGTCTGTGGGTATTTCAAAATCTCCCTCTTTCTGTCTTGTGCATGTATTTACCTCTCTGTTAGCTGCAGTCATCGCCACTGTCATCGGATTCATTCTCCTTTTCATCGCCATTATGCTGGTGTGCCTTTGTAGAAGAGTCAGGAAGAAAGGTAAATGTGCCCTAGAAAAAAAGAGGAATAATTATGTCCTTGGTTTGTTGTAGAAGTTGTGACTTTATCTAAAATATATCCTCCAGTTAAAAAAATAAGAGCAATAATTACAATGACAAATGATGGTCATTAACCAGAACTGTGTGTCTGATATTACTCACCCAAACTGCATGTTTGCTCTCCTTTCTCTGAACAGATAATGCAAAATTTGAACCTAAAATAGATGCAAATGGAAATTGTGAGGCTAGCAATAAAGTGAGTATGTCTCATGCTTTTCATTATAGATACTTTTGGTTAAATTTACAGCCAAACAGAAACAAAAAACTAACTTTGCCATGTCTTTCTACAGCAGAACAATGGTGGTTATTTGGGAGAAACCCAGATGACTTCATTTACCAGCACTTTACCAGAACAGCAGTATCTGCTGGAGAAAGGAGAAACCAGCAGTGACCAGAGTCAGTCTAGTAATACCACTGATAGTTTAACCAGAACAGAAGCCTGCAGCAGTGAAGAGTCCATTGGTCCTCTGCAGTCCATGGGATCTCTCCACAATCCCCACTCTGCGCTGTCAGAGCCCATGCCTTTGCTCTCTAACACCGAGTCGGACATTACACAAACAAGCGTCCCCACACAGGTCTCCTCTTCACAGCCCACTGTGACTACCAGTCCTCAGGTCAACGTCAACATCACATTTAACATAGGGAATGGTTCTGCTGGGACACCAGCCGTTTCGCCTGTAGACTTAATGCAGGCAGACTTAAAACTCCCCTTTGGCGAGGAGGAGGAGTCATTCAGCATCCCACAGCAAGAGGATGGAAAACAATCATTGATGTCAGCGGAGGAGACTGCAAGTTATAGGGCATGAAGGACCACATACAGAAGTGAACAATGTTTGTTTTACGTTGTTGTTAAAAAAAAAAACATTGAAAACAACCTAAAAGGTGACATGATGCACTTTTTGGTTATGGCTTTTTCAAGACAAGTTCAACCTTAATTTTGTTCCCGTATCTGAGTTATCATTTGCCAGGTTGTTCATGTATATAGAAACCACTGTAAATAAAGATGTGTATACTGTATTTCATTCAGAGATGTAGAGATACAACCTTTGCAATATAAAATGTATATTACGTATGCTGTTATCTTGAATGTATTTGAATTAGAATTTACAAAGTTTTGTACAAAGAGCATACAATTTGTTGTTTGCAGTATGTTGATGGTGGAAAAATGATTTTCAATCCTAAATGTAAATAGTAGGTCGTGCAGTCATGATGTAACTCAGAAGTATGGGTGAGTGTGGAGTACAACACACCTATTAACAACAGTAAAAGTACTCACTAGGCAGCTGAAAAGCCTCGGAAGTGTTGTTATTTATTCAACCAATTGCAAAGATGCATTTCTGTGTAAGCAGAATGCTCTTCTCAATTAGTTAATTAGTACTTTAATTGCCTTGGAGCATGTGAAATAAGGCACAGCTGGTATTGATTAAAATTTACGACATTTTCATTTGGGGTATTTGGGCGAACATTTAATAATTAGCGAAACAGGGAACAAGGATGTTGAAAGTGTATCTGGAACTATAAATGAAATATTCAGGTTACTTTAACATTAATTTTGCTCACCAGCTTGACAGAAAACATGTTGCTTTCTGTGGACGCTCCTGGCACCTGCTGGTTGAAGGTGGACACTGCAGTTTAAGAGAGCTGCTTTTGGTCGGCACAGATGGAGGTTTCCCTAAACAGTGGTCGTATAATTTGACGACAATTCTTGCACTAGTCTGTTTAAAATCCAGCTCACCAAATCTATCCGGTTTGACTTCATATCTTTTAAAAAAATATAACCGTTTGTTGCTATCAAGGTGGCTAACCGGCGATGCTAACCGGTGAAACAGGGGGCGAGGAAGACTGGTCCACTCCTTTAACAGCGGGAGATACAACTTTATAGTTTTAGTTTGTTTGAAAACTTAAAAAAACAAAATGATATTGAGTTCTGGAAATGCGTCTTATTGAACTTATTTACCAGTTAGAAATGTAAATATAGGGAAACTGCCGTTTACTTATTAATAATATGCTTGGTGAGTCCCCCCCTTCGTTCAGCAGAGTTGGTTTCGTCTGTTGCCGCTGTGTGTTGCTCTCCTTCCTGAAAGACACTTGCAGTGGAGACTCTGATGTCGACAAGCTTGAGCTGGTAAGTACAGGTGTTTTATGGCGATTATCATCCTTTCTTGTACTCAATTATTATATTTATACTCGTCTCCCTCCCAGGTAATTCCCCTGAATGTAGCGTCTTAAATATAAAGCTTTAATTTAGTGTTTTATTCCCTTTTTTCTGCCTCCTTTCCTCTGCTATCCTCCCGTTGTGGGTGCTGGTGTCGTGGTCCTGGTTCGGTTATGTTTACAAATTCAGCTTGAGAGAAAGGTAGAGCAAGTCAGTACGCTGAGCTACGTGTGAAATATTGGCTCCAGAGCTTTTGTTAAAGGGTGGTAACAGTTGTACACCTCAGTCCAGCCTGTAGCTTCCCTTTTCGTTTTAAAGGAAGCTTGTACACGCCGGAGTGGGAGGAAGAGAGTCGTGGAGATTATACCGCTGCAGGTGTTTCCTTGTTGCCCCGTGGGCTGGTGCCCACTGTGGGCTGTGGGAGACATCGAATTCAACAAAATTAGAAGGGACGAGGATGCAAGAAATTGGAGAACAAATAAAAGATATCAGTAAAGACAAAAAATTTAATAAGATAATCAATTATCAGGAGTTGAAATGGTGGTTGTTGTGGTTGTTTTGACTTCATAATGGTTTAATAGTTTTCCCTGAGTTGTTGTTTAATGTTTTACAGTTTAATTTTTAATAATTAATAAATAAAACACTGTTCAGTCGGTGTTAAAAGTGACAGCCAGCTTTAGACGGCTAATAAAATTTTGATAACTCAGATAATAAACGTCCTTGTGTTTTCGTCTGTTTTATTATTGTGCAACCGTAACTATCCACCCCTGTTAATGATTTCTTTGTAATAAATTCATCAGACCTGATACGGTGCATAATAAAGATAACAGGCTCCTAATTTGTGTTCTCTCTTTTTCCAGCAGAGACCATAAACTCCAAAAAGGAAAAAAAGATTTCTAAAGATATTGTGAGCTTCCACATGGCACTGAACCACTCAGTTAAACATTAATCCGAGTTTACCCTGCTCCAGAGCATTGCCCTCTTAGATGCCGCTCACTCTCTGTCTCTGCAAATGGCTTGTTGTCTGAAGGACGAGCTCCTCTGTTCCATCTGCCTCAGCATCTACCAGGATCCCGTTAGCTTTGGCTGCGAGCACTACTTCTGTAGAAAGTGTATCACCGAGCACTGGAGCAGACAGGAGCCTCACGGGACGAGGGATTGTCCTGAGTGCCGCAGGACCTTCACTGACCCCCTCCTTTCGCCCAGTCTCAAGCTGTCCAACATTGTGGAGCGCTACTCAGCTTTCCCTCTGGACGCCATCCTCAACGCTCAGAGGAGCTCCTACCCCTGCAAGGACCACGAGAAGGTCAAGCTCTTCTGCCTCACGGACAAAAGTCTGGTGTGCTTCTTCTGTGACGAGCCGGCGCTGCACGAGCAGCACCAAGTAACCACTATCGACGAAGCGTACGAGGAGATACAGGTCAGTCAAAGCACTCATGCACCCCAACAGCTCATTAGGAAGGGTGAGACGGACTTCTTAAAATACATCAGCACTCTGAAGCACATGCAGGCAGTTGCACTCATTCAGCCCTATGAGAGATGCCCAGACAGTTCAGGCTCAGACCTCTGCTCCCACAGAGCCGCTCCACAAGGGCAGTTTGGGGATTTGATGCTGTGCTCATGAGTACAGATGTTACAGAGGAATGAAATGTATCTAATTGAATTTGTCCTCGCCGATGCCTTCATTACCTGGTTCATCAATGAGTTTAACTGGGTACTATTCCCTCTGAACTCATGCTATTTTCACACGTCTAAGAGCCTCCCTTGCCTTTGAATGCCTTGCCTGCAGTGTCTGTTGTCTATCAAGAACTTGACTTCTGGAAATTTTTCAGAACAAGTCCTCCAAAAATGCATTCCTGCTCTCCTTTATATAAGCTAGAACTACTGAAAAGGATCTGGAAACAAAGCGAGTTATTGTTGAAATCAGTGCAAAGACCAGGTCTGGGTGAAACATTTCCCTCATGACAGTAACTTTTTTAGCTTCTCAACAAAGCTATTAATATGTCATGTGCTTTAAAGTTTAGTCATATTTTCCACATTAACAAGAAGGGTTCTGTTTGCTTTCAGCTCACTGTTTATATAATTCCATTCCCACTGAGCCAAAATCCAATAACTGCGAAACAAAGCTCTTAATCCTGTTCCTTCTTTGCCCGAGAATGCAAAGAAACACATTCCAGCCTAATTTCATGTATTCTGTCTAATGTCTTACATCTGCTGATACTGATGTAGACGATGATCTGCCCGAAGCAATATGTAAACATTTGGTCTGCAGGTTTTTTGGCACATCAACATGCACTCTTTTATAAGAAACAGACTGAAGTGTTCTCAGCTTGGTGTGCGTATGAATGCTTTACACTTTCCCATCACAGCTGGGAGTAAAGCTGGGTGTCACATTTTCATAATCATTGCTGAGGTTCCCATATTTCAGTGAAACATCATTTCCAGTTATTGAGTCATTTTTGGCAGTATGTCTCCACCTTGAAAATACCACTGAGTCTTTCACTGGAGTGCTTCTGTATAATTTTGAGTCCACCCTTGCTGCAGACGCCGTATCAATGAGCTCGCCTCTGCCTTTTGACTATTCATTACACTGGCATACAGCAGTGCTGCGAGTGTGTATCTTTGACACCGGCAGGCTTTTTCTGAACTCTGAATCCGTGAGCAGATTTCATTGCACCCTGAACGATAAACTCCAGCAAAGAAAAGCGAGATAAAGCTGATACATTACAATACCACTGTTTTATGACTTCATAAAATAACAGCCTAAAGATATCTACAACAACCATTGACATTCAACCTAAAACTCTGCTGTCGGCCTGTCTGCTAACAACAGTTTCATGTTGAATGTCTGGCTCAGAAGTTTGTTGCTGGAGGTCAAACTGTAATCCTGTAACACAAAGAGGTAATAACAAGCCCTTATTCATGAATATACTATATTAGAGCTCCTGTGAGAAACAGCAGACACCAGCCAGCCAAACACACTGTCAACACAGAGCGTCAAGGAGACGGTACCATGACGTAACATCACTGTGATGTCTATCTGAACTGAACCCTCTGGGAATTAAGTTTTTGAGGACATTTGAAGGCTGAAATTTGATATAAGTGAGTTAAAGATTTGTGAAATCACGCATTTACTTTAAGTAGGGCTGGGCAATAAACCGAAAATTTACCGATACTGAAATTTACGACAATAACGGACGTCATTTTGCCCGTGTCAATATATTCTGTGTCAAAATGTCAATATTTGGCTTCCTCCATAGACAAAGCAGAGCAATCATTTTTTTTCCGATTAGGGGTGTCACAATATCCGGATTTCTTCTCATAGTTATCGTGGCCATAAAATATTTCAACAACAATATTATTGCAATATTCATGGAAAACTTGAGGATAAAACAATACAGTTAGGTAAGAAGAGGGCGGTCACATCTATAAATAGGGCTGGGCGATAAACCGAAAATTTACAGATACAAAAATTTACATCATTTTGCCCATGTCAATATATTTAGTGTCAAAAAAATACATAAATAAAAGTTGGTTTTGGATGTATGTAGGTAGGCTATGGTCTCATGTCCCTTTTAAGACGCTGTCCTACGTTGGAGACCTGACTCCACCCCATCCAGTCTGTGAGAAAGAGGAAAAGACAGGTGAGGAGATGGAGGACGGTTCAAAAGTTGTAGCAGCTGGAGCAGCGGATGAAGTAGATGAAGTTAATGTGGGAGGGGGTGAGCAGCTTGTGGAGTAGTTATCATCCATTTATCATCATCGAGGTGAACTGCTTAATATAACGTGATATTGATTTGAGGCCATATCGCCCAGCCCTTTATGTAAATGTTGTAAGGCTAATATCATACAAAGCCCTGACATCTACCAGTCTGGACACATGTGTTAGAAGACGATCTGAACAGCACAAAGGTTGAGCTGTTGAACCTTTGTACTGTTTTTCAGCACCAAAGTTTTTGGCTGGAAATTTTTTGAAGTAATGACAAGAATGGATGAGATTGTGTAACCACACTGGTGAAAGCAGAATAATTCACTGTAACCTGAAAAACAGTTCCTGCTCCTGTAGCTGTTACTGTAAGCGTCTCTTTGTTTTGAAAACTAAGTCTCTGAAATACATTATCTTAGCTGCTGATACCTGAAAATGTCACTGCTTTAGCTGTTTAGATTGTTTTTCACATTATGTAATTGACGTCTCAACTTCGTTCTTTTCAATTTCTGATGCTAAAACATAGTCCTTTTATACATCCTCATTAAATAAAGTCTTACTTGAATTCTGCCAGGTCAAAGAAAGAAAACTGAAAGCATCCAATCTCATTATCAGCTTTGTATAAACACCTTTTAAGTTTTTTATTATTCTTCTGTTTCAGGGGATCACAACCCTGCAAATTTTAATTGGATAATAAAAAGTAACTCCACTGAGTTGGCTTTGCGGAGAGAATGAAAGTATAAAACATTAAATAAAGGACGAGTATAATAAATTTAACTAATGGCTTTAATATAAACAGAGCTGTACATCTGCGCCCTCCTGTGTTCTGCATTAAATAGAATTAACAGCGCTGTGAACATCAACGCTGTCCTCTTCATTTCCAATCAGGCTCTGCGCTGGAAGCCTGAGAAAGGTCAAAACTGTAATCTTGGAGCAGAAGTAATTAGGCCCAGCACAAGATGTTTCTCTTTTCTTGGACACCAGCTTGTCCCTCTGTTTGGAGCTCTTTTCAAGGCGGCGATCTGGCATTTTGTACTCTGCCAGGAGCTTTGGAGCCCTCCCAGATCTACAACGCCGAAAAAGAGTACGAGTACACATAGGCCTCATCGGAAAACAGCCATGTCCCATGATGAGCTTGGCACGCTTGCCTCTTTAGATTTACAAGTGGCTGATTTGTTTCTTGATGTCGTGTCCATACTGTGCAAACACTCATTATGAGTGTGTGAACTTCATTCTCTGCGTCTCATTGGACAGCAACTATGGTCTATTTGCTCTATAGTAAGCAGACAGAAGTTGTGGTGGACACGTATATTTCAAACTTAACTTTTTTAAGCATGAGGCTCAACAAAAGTGCCAAAATAATACGCTGAGGATGAGTTCAGGCCCAGTAGCAATCAGCTCAGAGTTTTGCACATGTCATGCCAGCTTGGTGGCCTTTGTTGAAATGAGCCTTAGAGTTTTTTTCAGGGTGGGAAAGTTTGCAGAGGAAAAGGATTTGGTAGGTCGAGAGCCAAAGCTTGGCCTTCTTGTGTTGAATTGTTTGACACTTTGGCACGTCGGATTTAGGATTTCGCTGGAACTGTTCATGCTTTTGTCTCTCTAAAAGTTGCCTCAACTCATTATTTGTGGGGTTATGCAGAACTACGACTCCACGCAGAGGGGAGGTGCAGACTGTTGGTGACTGCAAATGTGCTGCAGAGATTCATGATTTTATTCTCAGTAAAAACAAAAGAAATCTTGCTCATGGCTGAGCTTTAATGGTTTACTCTTTCCCAACAGCGGTTACAGCATTACCTCAGCTCATCTCCTGCTGGAGGAGCAGGATGACACAGACACGTCCCCTATCACCTTGTTGTTGTCAGCCCAGCTGTCATCGAAATGGGAACATGTTTCACAATCAGAGCTGGCTTTACTATCTACAGAACACACTCTGGAGTACAAAAAAACATAAAACAATGTCTGGTGACCTAGAAATTGTGAGTTCATTTTAAGGTCCGTCTTGCCAAATAGATCTGAAACTAAAAGAGAATCTCTGAATGAATTCACCCCTAATTTGGTCCCTACACATGATTTCACAAACCTTTAACTCACTTATGTCACATTTCAGCCTTTAAATGTCCTAAAAAAACTTAATTCCCAGAGGGTTCACCTAGGGCTGGGCGATATGGCCTCAAATCAATATCATGATATATTGAGTAGTTCACCTCCATAACGATAAATGGAAGATAACTACTCCACAAGCTGCTCACCCCCTTCCACATAAACTTCGTCTACTTCAGCCGCCGCTCCAGCTGCTGCAACTTTTGAACCGTCCTCCATCTCCTCACCTGTCTTTCCCTCTTTGTTACGGACTGGATGGGGTGGAGTCACGTCTCTGACATAGGACAGCATCTTAAAGGGACATGAGACCATAGCCTACCTACACACATCCAAAACCAACTCTTATTTATGTATTTTTTTGACACCAAATATATTGACATGGGCAAAATGACGTAGTTTTTTGTTGAAAATTTCAGTATTGGTTAATTTTTGGTTTATCACCCAGCCCTATTTACAGATGTAACCACCCTTTTCTTACTTGATTGTATTGTTTTATCCTCAAGTTTTCCATAAATATTGCGATAATATTGTTGTTGAAATATTTTATGGCCATGATAATCATGAGATGAAATCCGGATATTGTGACACCCCTAATCGGCAAAAAAATGATTGCTCTGCTTTGTCTGTAGAGGAAGCCAAATATTGACATATTGACACCGAATATATTGATATGGGCAAAATGGCGTTGGTTATTGTTGTAAATTTTGGTATCTGTAAACCTTTGGTTTATCGCCCAGCCCTACTTAAAGTATATGCATGATTTCACAAACCTTGAACTCACTTACATCACATTTCGGCCTTTAAATGTCCTCAAAAAGACTTAATTCCCAGAGGGTTCAGTTCAGATAGACATCACAGTCATGTTACATCACGGTACCGTCTCCTTGACGCTCTGTGTTCACAGTGTGTTTGTTTGGCTGGCTGGCGACTGCTGATGAGGGCAGCCTGTGGTGGCTCTGCGGCCGCCTGTAATCTCCTTAGCCTGGCATGTCACTGCGTTGACCTCAGGCCCTGAGTCCTGTTGCTGCATTGAGAGCTTTACTTCCCGCTGATTTGCATCCCCCTCCCCTGTGAAGCACTCCTGCAGCCAAATCTCAAATGCACAAACACATCCAGCAGGGGTGATGCACACACATCTGGCAAGCATGCTTCAAATACATAATTACTTCCTCAGCATTAAGGACGTGAAGGTGGCGTGGAGGAGGAGGATTTGTCTACAGCAGTGCCATTTGAGATTTCACAAGAACTGAGCGTTCCTATTCACAGATGGATGTCCTTTACAAGAATAGAAATCATTTTTGATGCAAAATCATCTCAACCTAATAGAAGTCAATATGAAAATGAGCCATAATCAGCGCTAGACATCTTCAAGGTTCTTAATACACACAGAAAGTCATTTTAATTTGTTGTGAATTTCCTCATTTGAAGTCACGAAATGAGGTTTTAACCATAAAGACAGATGTTCTTATCTGCAGAGCTGCATCGCTCAGCTTGTAAACTTTGTGCTCTATGTTCTGTGAAATAACGCCTTTATTTCTGGCAGCATGTTTAATGGTGATGAGATTGTAGTGCCCTCCCTCAGCCATGCAACACTTGGCGCCATCTTAAATTAGAGGTTGGCTGGATCGCTGGGACGCGAAGCTGTGTCCTTATTACAACGCCGCCGTGGTCCAAAGTTGGCAGTAAACTCCAGCAGAGGACAAAGTTGAAGCCACAGCAGCCACTATGTCTTAATTGTGATGATGTGGGCTGTCAGCGAGCAGTTTGTGTGCGTGTGTGTAGGTCTGTGTGTGTGTGTGTGTGTGTGTGTGTTTTGGGGGCCGGGCACACACTCCTCCTGCTGTCTGCTCACCCTGGGGATGTGTTTCCGCTCTAGTTGACCGTGCTGTGAAACCAGATAAGAAGGGAAATAAAAACTGCTGCCGCTGGTTATCATGCATATTTGGGCACTTAATTTTGCTCTTCATTATATAGATCCTGTGGACGGTACAGCAGCAGCAGGCAGCCACGCAGCCTTGGCGGTCTGGGTTTGACTGAAGCCCACGCAGACAGAGAAGGGAATGATTATCGGGGTGTGAGTCACCCACACAGACCTGTCACTCAAAGCCTGCAGATGCACCTGTACGCCGTCCTTGAATAATCCTGTCTTATACCTTGTTAACTCTTTCTTATCTAACCACACGTTGGTTAATCACCGAGACGTTCGTGAATGTCTTGTCTGTCGCGCAGAATGAGCGCGCCAGCCTTTTGAAGTGTCTCTCTGGTGGTTTTCAAAACAGGCCTGTCTTTCACTCTCCTGCTGTCAGAGCCAAGCAAAGAGCTCTCTCCCCCTCTCTTCCTCCCTCTCTTTTTCTCTCCCCGAGCCTGCCATCACCACGCATGGCCGTGCTGCTGCAGTAATGAGTCAGGCAATTTCAAGGGCACCCACGGCTGCCATCACCCCTGTGGCTCATCTCAGCCCGCTCTCCTTTTTTCCTCTCGCAGCTCCATCTCTTCCCTCCTCTCAGTCTGTTTTTATTTTCCCTCCTGCGCTCTCTCACTAATCTCCTCCTCGTTATCCAAAAGGTATGTGCTTTATTGAATGCCACACATCTTCTCGGAGAGCCGGGTTCTCAAGCCCCCACCCTGCTCGTTTCCCACCACGCACCCACCCTCAAATAAACAAGTTGGTCCAGCTTGCCGGTCGGTCAGGGTGGTGTGGCAGAGAGGCTGCGATCATGTAGAAATGGAGCCATGGGGAAGACAGAGCAGTCATGTTCTATTAGAGGAGTGCTGGCATATTATCATCCAGAGAGAGACAGTGGCCTCTCATGCACTCATTACTGATAGCACTGACGATGCTCGAGGCCGCCGCGCAGAGCTGAGCTGCATGTTTACTTGAGCTGCATTGATGGGAGCGAGCAGAGCTGAAGCTATGTCAATCACACCCAACGTTTTGTCTAGTTTAGATGATTACTTTGTCGAGCTCTTAAGTTAAGTGAGTCAGATGACTGTACATCTGTTGTGCATTAGGAAGATCCATGTAGGACTTCTGCTCAGAGGGGTCTGTTTTGCAATATGCCATATGTTTTTGAGCAATAAGTAAAATGACTCGTTATACCGGAGGGCAGGAAACATCTATTTAAAGGTGTTTACAGATATATATCCTATAGGTGGAAAGACAACAAAGCAAAAAAAAATCACAAGGCTACGACGACAGTAAATTCTTGTAAACACTTGCATGTTTGTAACTGTAGGCTTCTTAAAAGTTCATGAACCTACAAAAGGAACCTCAAAATGTAACTCCTCGACACTTTATAGGTGCTTTAAGAGCATATAGGTCCCGATATTATCAAGAACTTGCTGTTCACTCTCGCAGAGGGGACTCTTCCCTCTCCAACGCACTCTCACAACTCAGTTTACAGGTGCATCTTATTATGTTACAACACTGTGAAATACTTGAAAATGTTACATAAATCAGAATAATAATGCATCAGATTTTATAGCGGTTTTTATCAATGACCTCAAAGTGCTCTACATTGCATCCATCATTCATTCGCTCACACAGTCAGGGCTGTAATCAACCAAAGAAATTCTTGGTTGATTAACGTGGACGCTCCTCAATCTTCCTGTCTTCAACCAGTCTCCAGTGGGTTGGGCGAATTCTAAATGGTGAAAATAAGGGGGGTGTTCTGAGACAGGCTGTTACCTGTGAAACGGGTGGGGGGGGGGGGGGGGGGTTCCCGACTCTGATGGCAAACCCTTCTGCGGCGGAGGATGACCAGCTCGGCGGAGTGAAAATATACTGATTTAAGCACAAGAAGGCAATTCAACACAAATATTATATTCAGCAAACTACCTGACATCGATTAATGTGGACGCTCTTCAATCTTCTTGTCTTCAGCCAGTCTCCAGTGGATTGGGCGAATCCAGAATGGTGAAAACAAGGGGGTAGTTATGAGACAGGCTGTTACCTGTGAACTGGGGATGCTCTGAAAACGACCCCATTACAACTTCCTTCTGATGAAATTAACCATAGACTGTAAATTAACGCAGAAAAAAAATGGGTGACACCCTGGTGATCATAAAGTACTTTTGTAGTCAAAGCTGCCCTGGGGCAGACCGACGAAATCATGGCTGCCAATTTGCACCTACAGCCTCTCTGACCACCACCACACATCACTCACAATCATACATTAGTGGAGGACACACACTGGGAGCAAGGTGGGTTAAGTGTCTTGCTGAAGGACACAACAAACAGACTAGGGATAAGTGAGGATCGAACTGCCAACCTTCCAGTTATTGGACGACCGCTCTACCTCCTGAGCTACTGCTGCCCTGAATGTTTCATGCATGTCTGCTGAAAGTGAACTACAGCGCAAAGCTCAAAAATGTAAAGATGCGTACATCAAAATAACAGAGTGCTTCATGTCAAATTAAGTAAATTACTGTTCACACAGAGTAGACACCATGTATCTTTGAGTCGAGTTTAGAGCATGCAGCCACAAGCATTAGTAGAATCGCTGACTTGACAGTTGTCCAGATGACAATCACTGACACCCTCCACAAGAAGGGTAAGCGGGGGAAGGTCATTGCTGAAAAGGCTTGCTGTCCACAGAGTGCTGTATTGAAGGGAATTAAGTGAGTGAAAGTGTGGAAACAAGGACAAGGTGCACAAGTAACAGGAAGGACTGCAGCCTTGAGAGAATTGTCAATAGTCGATTCAAGAACTTTTGAAAACTTCTCAAGGAGCGGACCAAGGCTGCCAGTGCTTGATGACTTCCGGGCTTTCAGATTGTTATTGCCAGTTCTCTCTTTTTATTCATGAACTTTTTGTTGTGTTACATCTTCATTTCCAGGAGGCACAATCAAAATATAACAAACTGCAAACCGATGAGTATGAAACAGAGGCATTCACGCTGGTATAGGATATACTGATGCAGTTTAATGCAGCAGCCGTGCTCCTTTGTGAAGTTTATAATGTTCAGCTTCTGTTTGAGCAGTTTTAATAAGGCTTTGATTTCACTTTACAATCATTTTTATAGAAGGTAGTTATGATTGTGTTGGCTTGTGCTAATAAGTGTTTCAAGTGTCTTTAGAGAGGGTATGAGAGGCTCTCAGCTTAGAGCAGTGCTCATACTACAGCTTTTTAATGTTAAACAAACACGTTATTATTACTCTCATAAATAAAGCAGTTATTGCAGGGTGGTTGCAGTTAAGAAAAGAAATTAAGAATTAACTAAGCGAGCTGTTTGACAAGTGTTTGCTTACATGGTGACTAGGGATGGGCGATATGGGCTAAAAAATTTATCACAATAAGATTTGCTATTCTGGCGATAACGATTAAAGTCCAGATATAAAATGTTATAATTTCAATCCATATTTTTGACTCATAACAGTTGGAGTAGTCAAATATGATACTTAACTACAAGTTTAAGTGGTAGGTTATTGAGAAAACTAGTGACATCAAACAAGTCTGAAATGTGATAACATTTTCAGCATTTGTTGAAAACTCTAATTACTCTTAGTGAACAGCAGCAGATCCACTGTCCGATGTCCGGAATACCTGACTACACTCATCTAAGAAGGAAATCTCTCATGGGGAGCCTCGTTCGTTAACGAGCTGCTCAGAAACGTCGGCTGTGTCCGAAATGAATCACTCAGTCCCTAACCCCCATATGGGGTTTTACTATCTAGCTTACTATGTAGTGAACTCAATCACCAGAGGTTTCAGACACTACATGGCATGATGGGATGCCCACCATGACCATGACCATGAGATGTCACTACATTTTGCAATGCTTTGTGGGAAATTTTAAGTCGCCTGTAAAGGGCACTGGAATTGATCACTGAGGTTTCGGACACCCCTCAATATGGCGCTAACCCCCATGTAGTCACACATATAGGGGTTAGGGATCCATTTTGGACACAGCTGTCTTCTTTACCTTCAGCCATGTTTGTTTGTTATTCTGCTCTTTTTTGGCTACGGCTGCGAGTCTGTCACTTGCACTTATATCATCAACTTGAATTTATCGTGTTTATCATGAGTTTGCAAACATTTATCATGGAGGATTTTTCTGTGAACAAAAATTTATCGCCCATTCCTCATGGTGACATTATGAATAGTACAATCCTCAAAAATAGCACTTTTTTTTTAGAGTCGCGTTCTGCTGAAGTGGAAGTTGAACAAATCCCCACACGTGACGTGAGTGTACCCTTGTGATTCATCTGACATTTATGTTTTGTACCTGCTGTACTGTGTTTAAGTGTCTGAGCGGCTATCTCTCTGTACGTACATGAAGGCAGAGAGTGAGTGGCACATGAGCGCTAACAAGTACAGAGAGGGAGAGGGAGGAGGATAGATTTACTGGCCGTCTTTCTTTGTGAAAGGGGAAGTGCTGTCCTTTAAGTTTTGCAGCTTAAAGTGAGGGTTAATGCCGAGCTCAAGAAACCCTAATGCGAGGAAGAGCAGCCTGCACACCAGTGACACTGCTATAAAGATTTCATTAAATGAAAAAGACCAGGCACTCAGAAATACTGTGTAAGTGGGTGCTTTTTCTTCAGCTTGCTTGTAGGTAGAATAGCCTCTTAAAAACCAATGAATGTGAAACGAGAGTTTGAGGGAGATGCTTTTTCTCAGCTGAGAAAATCGCAGATTTTGGCGTAGGTTAAAAACCCATGATTGTGGAGCGATTGTAGAGCACATTTTCAACCCTTTTTTCTGTCTGTGTCAGTTTGATGTTTGGGTGGATGTGAGCCGCTGAACCGCTGCAGCCATGAGACGGCGTTGCTTGATTAGCAGGGGAATTAAGACAGATTACAGTCCATTGTTCTCGGGTTTATGGGCAGGGCAGGACCAGGCTGTAATCTCTTGTAAAGCCCTGTGTCGCTGATTTTCTGCAGATTATTTAATTAGACTTTCCGCAGATAAAGGACCCTCTTTCATGGCTCCCAGACTCAGATGTGACCCCCCTTGAGTTCCCTAGACACTGGGAGAGAAGAAGCCTGAAGATATTTACCTGCTTGGTATCTCTTCTCTTTTCAATGAGAGCAGTGCCTCTGTTTCACCCACAAACCTCAGTTAGGTTTCGGTGTAGGAGGACTAGAGATGACCGATAGGCTGACACGTGCTGGACGAGCTCGCACATGCTCAGTCCGGTTTGAGCTCGTGGGATTTCAGAAAAACAATTCTTTGCAAAACATTTTGAGATTACCAGAGTAGCGAGAAAAAGGCAGCTTTGTAAATAAATAAACAGATTTAGGGATAAAGCGTGGGATAAAAAAAACAACCCAATGAAAGCGATTTAAATGTTTTGCATGACAGCCCTGTTTTTTTTCCTTTGTAATAATTGATTTCCTTATTAGCCATTTTAAACGGCGTAGCTCTTAAATTCCTTGTCAGCGTGATGTATGGCCAATTTAAGTTTCTCCGGCCAGGCTTTCTTGGAGCTTATTTTTATTCCTATAATGCATTCAGGGTGCTCCAGGGTCAGGCTAATCAGTGGGGAGCAGCCAGCTGTATAGTCTGTTCTCACCCTCGTTCCTCCACTCTTCATCATCGCCCTCTGTTTGCACATTAACACAAGCTTCCTGCTCCAGCAGCTGTTAACAGTTTGGGCATTTAACTGAGTATTTTTTTTTTCCACTGTGACTTACGGTAACCTGTAAAACAACAAGTGAGCATTTATCAAACACGACCAGTTGCTGTAGGCTATATCAGAATCTTCAGAGGAGTAAACAAAGGATCTCTCAGCCTGATACTATGTGCACTACATTGGCGGTGTTTCTGTCTAAAAGTGTACATTTAAATGAGAAAAAGGACCAATTAAGCTTTTGTGCTTTGTTTCACCTGATAGGCTCTGTAACAAATTGTACAATACTTGTGTTTTCATAATGAGGGGACTTCATGCAGGAATATTAATCCAAATAAAAGCAAACAAGTATCATGTTTGAATATAGAATCACAATCGCAATCAAATTCTGATTGAAGAGAAAATACGCCAAATAGAAAACCAAGTAATTGATTTAGCTGCATTTGAAAGTAATCACACAGAACAGGAGGAAGATGAATAGCAAATTATTAAATTATTATTCTGTCTGTTCCACTCCTTACTGATTACTGAAACACCAGTTTGTTGTTTTCTGAGGGAAATAAGACGAGAGAGAGATCGAGCTGCATCCAAATTGTTCTGATGCAAACATGAAGCCAGAGAATTCGACATCTAATGACCTAAAATCGCTTTTAATAAACCACACTGACAGTGAATCTCTCCAAACATCACACTTGGACGCCTTGTTGGCTGTCATGTTCATCTGCACTGGCAAGTTGCATGACATGTACTATTAGGCTCTACATTTTACTCCTTTTCCATGTATACATTTATTAATGATGCCAACTAAATAGGCCTATGTGTTTTCTCTTATAGAAAACCAAGCAACTGACATTTTAACTGGTGGTGCTGAGGCTTTATGGGACGTAACGTCCTTTCACATGTCCGACCATGTCCATAATGTACAACAAAAGTGTTAAACAAAAAGATTAGCTTACTTTTGTCAAAGTGTGTTTCTGTAACAGTCTGTTACCACTCTGCAACAGATGTGGATAACTCGATGTGCTGTCTTCCAAACTATCTCAGAGGATATCAGGATCAGGTAGGTAGATTATGCCCCCATCTAAAATGAATTTGGACAGCCTCTAGTTTGCGATTTATTTAGTATAGTCATCCAGTGTAGCCTTTGGTTCAAGGTTGAACAAACATGATGCACGTCAACGGGCAACTAAGTCCAATTTTACTGCATTTGTCACTATAACATCACGTTCAGATAAATAATGTTTTAGTTGAGGAACTAAACTGATCTTTCTCCAGTGCGGCCGTCTTTCAGAGCTGCAGAGCATGGTACAGAGATTGTGTTTAGACGCTTTCAGTCCCGGAATGCAATGGCGGTATTTGCAAAACGGGTTATGAAAAGGGAGGGGCTTGAAAATACTTCCTCCCCCCAAAAAATGGTTCTACAGGAACAGTTTGGGAACCAGTCTATGGTTGAGACAAACCTTGGTTTGAGACATAAACAGTGGTTTGCTTTAGAATCGCCACCATAGACTGTATATAGAATGAACGCCCTGGCTACACTACTGTGCAAATGCAGGTTTCAAGAAATGGCGAAAATTCTCGAAATAGCGAGAGCAAATCGGCTTCAAATTGGAACAATGATGAGAGGCAGAACCACGTTGTCTATAGTATATACAGCGTATGATCGGCACACTCACTGAGGTGTTATCAGGGAAGGAAAGGAGCCAGTAGACGTTCTTCCCAGCATTTGATTAGGATGTCTCCTGGGCACCTTTCGTTGGAGGTTTTCAGGGCAAATCAAACTGTTGGGAGATCCCAGGATAGACTCCGAACAGGCTGAACAGATTATACCTTTCATTTGGCCTGGAAAAGTCTTATTACTCTGCAGGAGGAGCTAGAAACTGTTTCTCAAAGAGTCTTTTTTTAAAGAGGTGATGCGGAGAACAGAAGTCTTGACCTAATTTTAGTGAGCTTTTGTTCCACTATTAGCTCTTCATGTACGGTTGATCTCAAAGTTTAGTAAGTCAGTCTTTTGAATGAGCTGATGCAGAGATCTGGATTTTTTTTTTTATTGGTTTTAAACTAAATTGATGTCTGGTACATATGAAAAACGTGTTTATAGATAGGAAATCGGCTCCCATGTGTCACTTTTAAAGGGATAGTCCACTTTTAAAGTGAGATCACGTGACAAACCTGTCAGTGGTAAGTGTTTTAGCAACAGGGTGTCCCTCTCAGCTTGGCCCCTCTGCTGAGAAAGCAGCGGGAGAACCAAAGAAGCTTCAAACAAGGCTATCGACCTGCAGACAGGGTTGGCTGCTCAGCTGTATGCGTGTTTACATTCTACAGTCATGTGACACACAGATACAGACACTTCCTGTACAGCTATCAACGAGGAGATGGCATTATGTGATTGCGATGTTAAAAGGATATTCATGCCTCAATTCAGGGTATATGTAAGATTTAGTTGGACATTTTCAGAGCTTTACTAGCCGTCAGAAAGCCCACTTGTTTTTGCGATATTCTCAGGTGCAACACAATCGCATTTTTCTGCCTGCAGCTGGAGGGCCAGTACACTCAGTATTGACAAGCACCCCCCACTTAAAAAAAATGAATCATTCCTTTAATGTATCTCAGCGCTGAAGTCTTTGAAACAAAAACATATTGTTTCGGCTTTTATGGGATCTCACTAAATGCACCTACAAAGTAAAATGAGTCCATCAGGTGCTGTTTTGAGGAATGTGAATGTAAAGAGATTGTAACTGAGGTTTAACAGTCTTTTTCTCTGTTTGCACAGTAACAGTACATGCTTTGCTTGTTTATGGCCTCCAGTTAGAATCTGAAAGTTATAATAAACTACATCCTTGCGGGCCAATCTTTCACGTATTCAGTTTTTAGTTTCGGAAACCTGATGTGGATCCGCATTGGTCAAAACGACACAAAAAAATGCATAAATTAAATGTGAACAGATTTTTCTTTTTACTGCTCTGAGCCTAAACAGAGCCTGAAATTCGTTATGTTTGTTACTTCTGATGATCCAGGCTACAATATGTAGATTATGGGGAAATTATCAGAGGATTTAACAACAGGGAGTCCTGACTGAAGGCTATACTTAAAATTCATGGAACTGTTTTGATGGTTTCTACACACAGCGTCTGCTATTTTACTGTGTGACTTGCCAAAAGAGAAATACATCCCAAATGTTTTTCAGTGTCAGGGGACGAAGTTAAAAGAGGGAGACACACACCTTGGGTAGGATAGCGGTGCTTATGAAGCTCATACACCGAAGCTTCAGGAGAATAACTCTCAGCTGGAGATAAAGTAGGAGCCTGAGAACGAGTTTGTTATCCCTGCCGTGTTCGTGCCGTGCTGTGGGCTCGCATGCAGCCACATCATGCTTTTGCGCCAGATTTATGCGCCTGACACGTACTACATGATTTTTTTTCTTTTTTTTTTATGAACAACATGGTGACTATTAGAGGTTTCACTAATCCTAAGAAGCTTTTTTCTAAAAGATGACACGAGCTTGTATTTGGCTGTGGTGAAAATCTGCTGGCAGTCACACGAGCCCAAAGGTCATTTTCAGGGTTTGTTTACCCTGCAGGAACTCTGAGTGAAATCTCTGTGTGGGAGTTTTTTCACGCCTGCATAGAAGTTCAGTTTCTGCATATAGTCAGGTCATCCTACATATAGCCTCAGAGCCTGAATCTGAAGTTTCTCCAACTCTTAAAAACTTCTGTCTATAATGTCATTGTCAACATACCTGGACTCAGTTCTGCCCCTCCAATCACCTCCTCTCTAATGTCACGACTCTCACTTGTAATGTCCTCTGGCATCCTGGGAATGGATACTCTTTTTAAGGTAGTTTGAAAACAATTAAACTAGGGCTGTAAAGTCCCAATTGACTGGTCGACTTATTGGTCGATACACATTGAGTCGACCAAAATTCTGATCGGTTGACTCGATTTTTCACCGTCAATTTACTGTCTATGGTTAATTGCATCAAGAAGAACGTACCAAGTGCTAATGGGGGTGTTTTCAGAGCACCCCTGGTTCACAGGTAACAGCCTGTCTCAGAATAACCCCCTTGTTTTCACCATTTTGGATCCGCCCAACCAACTGGAGACCGGCTAGAGACAGGAAGGTTGAAGAGCATCAACGTTAATCAACGTCCGGTGGTTTGTTGAATACAATATTTGTGTTTGATTGCCTTCCTGTGCTGATATCAGTATATTTTCACCCCACAAGCTGCGCCATTTCGATTTTTGGTCGGAAATTTCAGGGGTTTAGTCGACCAAGAATTTCTATGGTTGATTACAGCCCTAAATTGTACCAAGGATACTTTTATTTTGGTGATTTTGATTTAATAGTAGATGTATTTGGAATTATCAACACTCTTTCTTCAAATAGAGGCAGAAAGTTTTAGTTTTACTTTGGCTTGATACCCAAGATCACAAACAAAGTTGGTAGCCAGATGGAGCTTTTATGTAGACTGCCCACTCGAAACTAGTTTTACTAATAATCCCTATCTTAGGACATAATTATAGCCCTTGTTGGTGATTCATGAGAGAAGCTCGTGGCTTGTTTTGGGTTGTATGTGATCTCACAGTCCTCGAGGAAGTAAATTCTCTCTATGGTAATGGGTTTTTCTCTTTCATCAGTTGCCTGTTGAGATGATATATAGCTCTCTCAGAGATTAGCATCTTGCTCTTGGCAGGGCTGATTGATAGCTCTTCTGAGATTGGCTGAAAACGGCTGCTGTAGGGAGAATATTCTGAAATTTCATATAAGAGGCAAAAAGCATTTAAACCATCTGTCTGTCAAATGAGTTCACAGCTTCAGCTGTGAAAATTGTGAATATATCTCGGGTTGCTTGTTGGAATAGCGGTGTAAAAGCTAGTTTTTCTCAGCAGAAGTGTAACAGCCTCAGGACTGATGGTGAAGCACTGAGCAGCTTCTATTATCAAGCAGCAGGCTCTTATCCTGCTCAGATTTCCACTGCACTGCTGAAGACAAACTCTGTGTTCCTCTTGAACGGCTCGTGCTGCTCTTTGTAGATTAGTGACTAAAACATTGATAGCTTGGAGACCTGTTTGTCTTTCTGAAAACATGCAGACATCCAGCTGCTCTGCTGCCACACTCCTTTCACTGTACTCTCTCGGCTCAGTGTGGACTAACCTCTGCTTTTCAAACATCATGAATCTTTTTCACTCTGAAGACACGGTTATTATAACTGACTTGCAGTGTTGTGTTTCCTCTCTGTCCTCGGCTATTCACGTTTGGGATAATACATTTGCATACTGCTTGCCCTTCCTCGCTCCAGGAAGTGGAGCAGCAGCCTCTGAGCATTCATCATTTACATGACGTGGCCTATATTCAGAGGAGTGGAGAGGCCCGCCAGCATCAGCACTTCCACTCATCCACACTAAAACCAAACGTTTCCTGTAAAAGAGTGGTTTTACATGCGAGGGGTCATTCACAGTTTGATACAAGGAACTGGAAACTATCACAGGGGACTGATTTTAATCTGTCAAAGAGAAGTTCTCAAACATAGATTATATAGATTTAAAATAATAGAATCTGTATTTGCAGGGCGAAACTCTGTTCTGAGAATGTTCTTGGTTAGTTTGTTTAAAGTCTGAGTTAAAGTCAAACATGGCTGCAGCTATTGAATATTTTAGTAATCGAGTATTCTACCAAATATTCCATTGGTTAATCGAGTAATTGACCCCAAGCAGCAGACTCAGATACAGTGAGATTTCCTACATCACAAATCCAAGCTCCGCCCCCAGAGCCCCACTATGAGACTCAGAGAAATCGAGAGGACAATTGCAGAACAAGCGTGTGCGTTAGCAGATTGCAGTGCTCGTAAGAAAGTCACTTGTCACTTTTACCACACCAGCAATGCTAGGCTGCATGAAGAGGAGAGTGCAGAGCAGCGCTGTCTCCGCCCACAACTCGAAGTGCGAAGTGCTAATGATCTACTGGATCTCTGCTGAAGAAAAGCCCCTCTCATCATTCATTTTTTCCGCTCTGCAAAACCAAAACCACGCTCACTCCTCCTTCTACCGTGGTGACGTAAGCGCAATGTGTCACCTTGAAAATAATCTGTGCGAAACCGTGACAATTTGAGTTTATAAATGAGTACTCAATGCGGAGAAATTTCCTTGACTTTTTTTTTTTTTTTTGTAATTGAGGTACTCAAGGAATCTTTTCAGCCCTTAAGTCAAATTTACAGTGAAACTGAGACTCACTAATAGATAAACAAGAGCTCCTTCAGGGTGTTTGTTCTCAACCTTTTTGGGTCATGGCCCCATAAACAATATTGTTTTTTTAGGACCTTGGTATTTCAAAAATGTAGGGTCAGTGCTCTTTCTTTTTTTTTTTACTTCGTGCTTCACACCATCACTCAGACTGTCAGGAACAGCTCACATAAGATGAATTATGCCCCTTATACAAGTGATTTGATGAAATAAAGTAAGATGTGTTATTTCATGTCATTAATTCCCCCTCCTCAACCATCTGGCGATCTCAAGAAATTATCTCACTCTCTCGTGGGCGTCAGGACCCCCAAGCGAACCTCTGTTCCAGAGGATGAAATGAGCCAAGAAATGGCAGCGTGAGTTTTACACCCATATCCGGAGGAGCAGATCTGGCACCATCGTTGGCACCGAACACACAGTCACTCTTCGAGTCGAGGACTAGACTGTAAACAATACGGCTTATGCAGAAGGAAGCCTTTGCTGGAAGTCATTTTTCAGTCAGCGCAGACTTGAATCTGTAAAGTTATGACAATCTTAATAAAATGTGGACTGAAAAAAACTGAAATAACACTAAAGCCATGGACATTTATTAAAGCTGATAAGTAGTCAGATTTAATTAGTCAACGTTAGTGAGAGCAGTGAATAGAAAATAATTAAAACTCTCCTATAAAAACTGTCATTTCTTGACATATTAACCCCTGAGACAAGTATCTCACAATCATACAAAAGACTTAAGTTTTTCCCCTTTTTTTCTTTTATCATTTTTAATTAAATTTATTTTGGTTTTATTTATTTAATGACAGATTCTCCAAAGTTCAACTCTTATTTTCTCAATCAGGTTTTCTTTTTGTATTCATCATCTGAATAAGTCCTTTTTTTTTCTCCTTCAAGTGTCTGAAATATTCAAGAATTCGTCTGAGTTCAGGGTTATTTCTTGAATAAACTTGTTTTTTTTCTTCTATCAGACATATTGAATAATAAAATAAAATTCATACTTGAATGTGATTTTTCTAAAATTCTTAACTTGACACACTGAGTTATTGAGGAGGTGAGAGGTGTACAGTAATGTGACCCTCGCCTCGAGTGTTGATCTGCCTTCTTCTTGAACCTGATTCATAAGTTCCTCCTCACAGCGCCGGAGAAAAAGAACTCATTCAAAAGTCCTCTGTTATTGTAGCAGAGGACTCGCAGGGAAGGACTAAAAATTTCAGTAGTTTTTCATCCTGTCTTGACATTAAATCCAAACATACCCTTGTCCTGCTCAGACTGTTCCTGCCCTCGACTGTCTTTGTCTCACCAGGACAGATGTTTTTTTTAGGAGGGAGGATAATGTGTCTCTGTCCTGCAGCTTTGTAAGCCAGCCCTGCAGTCTACAGTCAGCTCAGCCGGCCTCTGTCTGCTCCGCTGGCTGAGCTCAGGCTGCAGTGACTCGCTTGGACCCCTGGAGAGGCTGTGAGGTTCTGCTTATGCTCCAGGAAACAAGGCCTGGGGATGTATGACACAGCCAGAGCTTAGTTTTTCTGTCCTGGAACACTTTCACCAAAGCTGTACGCCTGAGACAGCATTTTTTTGAAGCTCTGCTTTTTGTTTCTTTTTTCAAGTTTTTGGTGTGATAGCCACTTCCTCTCTTCCTCCTCCTCTCTGCACTGTGTGTCAGAGAAAAGGGGAATATCACACCAAACAGACAGGTGACACATTTTTCTGATCTTATTGGCCTGCAGCTTATCATAACTTTGCTAAAACACATCAGTACGACTTGTATAAAACACGGAGACACATTTTGAAGGGCTGCATGTTTACACAATGTGCAGCTTTCCCAGAGGTCTTTGCTCTGCAGGTTCAGTTGAGTGACACTGCCTTTAAAAACAACATGTCAGAGGAAGAAAACCTCAAAACACAAAAAAAACGTTCCCCCAGGCTGCTCTCAGTTTGGCAGAGAGGGCTGTGAAGTTACATGCCTTTGTGTACCTGTGAGACAGCCGCAGTGTGTAGACATCTCATTAAACATAACGCTATAATGAAACAAACTTTAGAAACTGTCTTGTTACAAAGATATGTTTATTTAGTTGCTTATTCCAGCGCATTTTTGTAACACAGTGCAACAGTGAGATTGCAAACTGCTATTAAATAACCAAAGAAGAAGAAAACAGGCGTGCCAGCGACCTGTAAAATGAGCAAGAGTGCTTTGAGATGAAGAGTTTAATGTAGACCTTCAAAAAAAAGATAAAAATAAGGTAATGGTCAAACACTGTCAGGTAAAATAGTGTAAGTAAACAATTTTTTATGTTAGAGATGGGATTTTTGGCTCTTTGTGGGGAGAAGAATCTTTCAAAGAGCCGTTCAAAAGAGACTATTTATTTTCTAGAAGTCAACCAGGGGTAGTGCTGGACGATAATTCGATAACAATATATATCGATCGATAGACGTGTGGTGCGATAGAAAAAAAACGGGTCGATAAAAAGTTCGATAGAAAAACACAGTTTCCCTTTCTTTTTCATCATAGCCTATCATGTAGCTTTTACTACAGTCATTACTTCCTCCCAACCAATCACAAACGCAGACCCAGGTACGCTACCGCACCAAGCCCAGCCCCTATCAAACCACAACAGACAGCACGTGTATTAGAAAAAATGATACAGCAAGGAGAAGCGGAGGACATTGTCCCGAAAAAAGGTTTCAGTAGTTCACCAGCATGGCAATGTTTTGGTTTTTGGAAGTCTGACAAAAAGCGACCAGCGGTCGTTTGCAAAATTTGCAGAGAATTAGTAAAAACCAAGTCTGGTAACACGACCAACTTGTTTTATCATCTAAACCGATCGCACCCGCAGGAGTACGAGCTGTGTCGGCCGCGCCGCGGCTCCACGTCATCGTCGGAGGAATCCTCTGGAACCGCTGCCAGCACCAGCACAAAGCATGTGAAGCAGACCAAACTGGACTTCGTTTCTTGCCAAAATACGACAAAGCGTCCGAGCGGCATAAGGACATCACCCATGCAGTAACATGCTCCATAGCGAGGGACATACTGCCAATAACTACCGTTGAAAAGCCTGGCTTCGACCAGCTTCTAGCCACTCTCGACCCGCGATATGAAGTGCCCGGCCGCAAGTATTTCTTAAACACAGCGCTTCAGGCATGAAAATGGGTCAGGGGTTGAAAAGGTGAGAAGGGAGCGGAGGAAATACATTTCCGTCCACTCATTAGCTTCTTAAAGTGGAAGAAAATGAGCTCATATTTTACAAAGACGCGAGTATTTGGATCATGGCTACTAGCAGGGGGTGCATTCGGCATGGGTGCATTCTACGACACAACACCGGCGTGGATAAGTCCTGCTTCTCGTGCTTAGTTTGTGTATTAAGTCAATCACATGATAATTAAAAAAAATAAATCTCCCGACCCCGGGAGAAATATTTCAGTGTTCAGACACCAGGCTGTGGGCAGTTTCCCACACAGTTAAAACTGGTAGTATGCTATTCCCACCTAAAGCTATTCTGTTTATTTATATATTTGTTTGTTTTGTTTATTTTAATCAAAAGACTATTTAAATATTTATTTATCAGATTTTCTGGTCACTTTAGTCTTTATGTTTGTCAGTATTTACTGACGTCACTCAGGCCACTTAAGTTGATTTCTTTTTTTTTTAGTTCTTTTTTAAAAAACTTTCAGTTGTGGTAAAATAAAAAAGGTGGTTAAATAAAGGTTTGAATTTGAATTCAGTGCTTGTGTGTTCTTTATTAAAAGTAGGTCAATAGCATAAAACATCCAGGGCTGCAATTAAAATATATGTTAAATAATTATAATAATTATATCGATAATTATCGATATCGATCAATATGATTTATTTTTTATCGATATGCTTTTTTCCTATATCGTCCAGGCCTAACCAGGGGTACACACGGGTGGGAATTATTCCATATTATTGATTTTAATTTTATTTGGCATGTGTTTTCACTGTAAACACTCCCTAAGGTGGTGCCATGTCCCCATGCTTTGACAGTGAGATCACTGTTTTGAATTTTTCCCTCATCTAAAACAAACTTTGTGGCACAATAAAAACAATGAAGGCTACAGATAACTGATAACAACCTGGTGTTTGGGGCACACAAGTGATATGTGAAGGCAGCACGGAAAATTTGCAAATGAGAACAGCTCGCAAACGAACGGCTCGTTGCTGCGAACCAGTTCTCTCTTACTTAGAAGAGCCCCTAAAAGGACTGAGTCGTTCGTGAACATCACATCTTTAATTCATGTTGTACCACCATATTAACCACATGTATGAACAGTCATGGGTCTCTTCTAGGGATGGGCGATATAGACTAAAAAATTTATCATAAGTTTTGCTATTCTGGCGATAACGAGAAAAGTCCAGATAAAAATATTATAATTCCAATCTATGTTTTTGACTCATTCTGTCTTGAGAACACCAGTTGGCATAGTCAAAGAAGATACTTAACCACAAGTTTAAGTGGTCAGTTACGGAAAAAACTAGTAAATGTGAAAACTCTTTAAACATTTATTGAAAACTCTTATTGCACAGAGCGAGCAGATCCTCTGTCCAGTGTCAGGCGAACCTGACTGCGCTTGTCTAAACCCCAATCTTGAAGGAAATTCTTAATGTGGAGCCTCGTTAAGCAGAGACGTCTTCTTCATTACCTTCAGCCATGTTTGTTTGTTATTCTGTTCTTTGTGGGCTATGGCAGCGAGTCCATCGTTCGCGTGTACGTCATCAACTTGCATTTATTGCGTTTATCGTAAGATGGCAAATATTTATTGTGAAAGATAATTTCTCGCCCATCCCGCGTCTCTTCTTTCGTCAAAGTCTGCCTTTGTGGAGATGAGTCTACATTTGTGTATGAGTACACATTAAGTTACTTTTGCTTGATATGCCGACCCCTAATCATGAGCATAATATTCCATTCATGTCACATATACTACGAGCGGCAAATAAGAGAGGAAAAAGCAATTTAAAATACAGTTGTTGTTTTTTTTACTTTCATATTTTTATATCTTTCAAAAAACTTCTGTTGATCCTCAGTGTTTCTATGGCTACAAACCAATCTTGTTATTATAAAGGCTGCAAGGCTCATCCCCTATAGAAAAGAAGAACTCATAATTTAATAATGATGAGCAGATAGATGAAATTTCAGTCTTACATTTAGATCATGCAATAATAACATTTACCATCACACAACCTTGGGGTGAATCTACTCTTAGGCGACTTCCTCGGCTAAAAGCATTTTTGGTTTTTAAGCTCACACTCGAGTGTAAAGAGCCTGAAAGAGTCTTTGTACACAAACTTATGTTCAGGGATGTCTGATTCGTCATGGGATTGCTGCCTCACCAGTGCGCGTACTTCCTTTGTCGTATTTCAGCCGGTAGCCTTGAACTGACAGTGTGTTTGTCGCCCCTGTGACTCTGTACCTCAGTGAGGACGCCATATTTCAAACCCAGTTCATGTACGAGCAGAACAGACCCATAAAGCTTACAGCCGTGCAGCAGCGTGATCACTGTTATGTTACTGGCTGGTATCCTGTTTTCCCAGCCTGACAGAATTACACCTTCAGCTCGCCTGAGGTTACGCCAAACTCAAAGTCTCCTGCAGCACAGCGAGTTATCAAGGGCTGTGCCGTGTGTAATGATAAACAGATGAGACTGATCCTACGCTAATTATAAGCCTATGAAGCCCATTAGCTTCTGTTAGCTGTTCAGATAGATGATGAGGTGCAATACCTTCATGATTATGGGTTTTTCTATGTGAATGAAATCACTGTAAACCAGTTTTGTCTGTGTCTGTGTGTGAGTGCAAAATTCTCCACCCGGAAGGCTTTTTATTATTCATGCTGTGACACCGCATTTTGTTTTGTTCGCCACTTCATCGAGCTGACAGTTTGAAGCCAATAACGCTCTTTAAATCCTGAACGAGCTGCCGAATGTAATCGAGCTCACAGCTGTAAGAAAAGTGCAAGGGACTTTTGAGCTGTGAGCACATTATCACAAAAAATCAGGCTGGTACTCTATAATTCGATCCATTTATTTGCTTGTAAATATCCGCCAGAGCTGCTAACATGACAGGAGAGGAAGAGGAAAGAAGAGGATGACAGCAGGATGAAATGAGTTTTAGATTTATAATCCTCCAGCCGTGACCCCCATTTCCTGCGTTTTGACGTCTCGGGGAAATGTCATGTCAGACTTGCGTTGGCCAGATGAGACGGACAGGAGTGTGACACCTCTTCACATGACAAAACCACACTCGCCCTCGCGCTTTGTGCTCATGCAGACCTCCCCGTCACAGTCCCCGCTGATACCAGCATTCATTCACCTGCGGTTTTTGTTTTCGTTTTGTCTTGTAAAAATGATTTTCTAACCGTCACGCTCGTCTTTCCTCTGGGGAGAGAATCACATTTAATTCCGATCCCTAATTCCTCGCCCATGTGTGGCAACCGACACTACAGCTGTGCCTGTTTTCTCTGTTTCAGCACAAATCTCCATCTGTAAGATGCTCAAAGGACAGTTTTTGCTTCCAGGAAGATTAAAGAGGATTATGTAATTGCACGTTATGGAGGAGCTTTTAGGGCCTCGGAGTGTGTAAAGATGATTTCACCAGAGTTGGTTTTTGCCGTCTTACACTCATCTTAAGCAGTGATTCCATATAACTTCAGGGACGAGTCCTTTTTTTGTGATGAGAAGTGATGGAAATGCGAAGTTTTTCACCCCCAAAACTTCCCGAATGTTTGTTGAAAGGAACCCTCTGCAGAGGATTTCAGTGTTGAGCACTGGCGTGAGAGCACTAACAGCTAAAGTTGCCCTTGTTTGCCCAGTCGGTCAGACTGTGTGCAGCAGGGGAGAGTGAAGGAGCATGTTTTCTCTGCCAGTCTGTCAGTGTGCGTCTGTCTCAGCATGTGGGAGCAGCCTTTGACCTGCTGCAGAAGAGCGTGTAGCGCTGAGGCGGAGGAGAGCCATGCCGCACTCCTTATCATTAGCATGGAGAGTCACGCTCTCCCTCTGCACCAGCCATTGTTTTTCCACCGTTTCTGTCTTTGAGAAGAAACAACCTTCATCTACAACAGCCCACATTTGCTCTTTTTTTTTGCTGAATTTTTTTCTGATAATTGGGGTCGAGGTCTTTCTTACACATTAAAAAATGGCACATGGCTCGTTCTATTCCCCCGTCAGCTGATATATTAACCTTTTTCCTCGCGCTCTAGTTGCTTAAATTATTATGTATTGATGTCACCGGAGATCTGTTCAGGTTTTTATTTCCGCCCGGTAGCAGAGTGATGGCTGTTTTCTTGGCCCCACTAAGCTGACAGTTCCATTTGGTGGATTTCTGCTGGTGTTCAGAGAAGGTGACACACAGGTTATATGAGAAGAGAGACCAGCAGCAGGGGTGGCTTAACGGGGGGTTTGAAATAAATTAGGCTTGTGCCATTTTGTTCCCTTTGATTCAATTTTTCATTTCCCTCTGAATCCAAGCAAATGAAAGGAAGGAGGAAGATGGATTTTTACTATCGCGTCGACTCTGTATTCTCATTTTGTGCGTGAGGTTTTGTCCGCCGCACAGTTGGCGTTTAATTCAGAGCTGTTTCGTGTAGCACAGTTTGTATTCTTGGCTTGTTTTGACTTCAGGATGTGATGGCTTACTTTCCTGATCCACGGCTAAAATCACACTGAGCGTAATGGTTGGTTTGCTTAGTTAAAAGTGCATACCTGGTTCATGCTTGGATCAGAATACCTTTAAGTTCTTGAAAGTTAGGCCCATGGTGCATATCTTTTTGATTTAAAATGTCTTTTTTTGTCGCTATTCATCATAAAAAAAAATTGTTTTGTACTTTACTTACAGATGCAGAAGAGTTTTAGGATGGTGGATGAGGACAAAACAGTTAAATACAAGTGCATATGTATTCTGTGTGGAAACTCCCTTTTTAAACCTGCACCCTTTTTCTGCTTTTTCACACGGTTTGCTTTCATCCAGTTGTTTTTGTGTCTTTTGCGATGATAGTTTTCAGTAGAAACATTGCGGATGGCAATTTTCTGTCATTACAGGCGCTGGTTTAGACCTGTGGTGGGATCATGTGCCTCACACAAAAGGGTTTAGAGGCTCGGGGGCTGTATCCTGAGATGTCCCCTTCTGTCTGAACATTAGCCAGTTTTTTTCCATCAATAAAAAGGGAAAAATGGCTGAAAAAAATCTCCAGAAAGATCCTTTTGTTAAGCCATAAAGGGTTCAGAGTAAAATGACTCTGTCTTACTTCCAAATAATCAACCAAAGACATTCTTGGTCGACTAAAACCCTGAATTTTTCAACCAAAAATTGACTAACCCCGGATTTTTTACGCATCCAGAACGGCTGCGATTTTCCCCGTACACCAATTCCTACCGGCAAATTTCATGGTGCGTTCGGGTAACCCTGGAAGTCAGATGTCTGAGCTGGGAATGACGTCACGCCGAGTTCCCAGTGTTTCAGTTACAAAGTCGGAAAAAAGCAAAATCGGAAGCAGAAACAAGATTGCCATATCTACGAAAGGGGATGCTAAAATAACTTAAAATAACAAAATAAAAAGCACTAAAATAACTTTCGTAGATGTAGCCATCTTGTTTCCGCCTCCAATTTTGCTTTTTTTCCGACTTGGTAACTGAAACGCTGGTAACTCGGGCGTGACGTCATTCCCAGCTCAGACATCTGACTTCCAAGGTAACTTGAACGCAGCATAACCATAGACTGTAAATTGAAACAGAAAAAAATCGAGTCGACCTATCACATTTTTAGTTGATTCAGCACATATCGACCAATAAATCGACCAGTCGACTAGGACTTTACAGCCCTAATCTAAATTCTTTAAAATGGTGTAATACTAAGCTCAAAAGAGTAACTACAGTTAAATAATTTCAGAATTATTTTGTCAAAGCTGTTAAATGAGTTTGCAGTGCATTAAAATGAATACGTCCCCATTATAAGAGTTTGTCTGCTGAACCACTCCTGTCCTAAAAGCTAAATCTGAGAGCTCCGGTGTTGTTGGCTCACAGGACGGCTGCGTAAAAACTCTGCACTATTCGTGACAGCAGCCATCCCAGACAGCCCCCACAGAGCCTCCCTCCTGCCTTGGGGAGACTTGGAGGTGGCTGAGCGGTGCAGGTTCTGCCAGCGTGTGCCTGACTAAAGATGAGACCCAGTTTTTCTCTGACACAGCTCAACATCTCCAGAGATTTTATTTTATCTCTTTTTTTATCCCTCTCTCCATCTGCCTTGCTTGTTTTGTAGCCGAGGCTTAAATCTTTGCTGCCTTGTGCGCAAGCAAAGAGCTTTCACACAAATAAAACAATTAGAATAAATATAATAGAACTCGATCTTGCAGAAGCATGTCTGCTATAATAAATTGCATTTGCTTTTTGTTATGGGGAGTGTTTTTGCAGTCGTCCTTAAGTATAGGAGACAGTGAGGGCTTCACAGTCAAGGATCAAATACTTTGTTCTCTGGATTTTATATTTCTGTTAAACTGACCGGTTGTTTGCTGTTGTTTTGTTGCATTGCAGAGGGAGATGAAAGAGCAGCTGGCCACCCTGCAGGACAGTGAGAAGGGACACACTGAAGCCCTGCAGCTCCTACAGAGACAACTTACAGAGACCAAGGTACTGCAATAAAAACATCAAAATAAAACCACTTTTCTTATATTGATATCTCCACCAGCAGGAATGATCTAGTTGTGTGTGGCTGCATGCTTTCATTAATTATCTGTAGCTTGCAGAATATGCGAAATGACAAAAGTTGGCCGCTCTAGCAGGTTGAATCATTCTTTATTTACTCTCTAAAGATGGTTTACAAAAGAAAAGGCAGAAAAACTGTTCTTTTGTTTGGCTGAAAATAAGCCCTCTTGAGCCTTTTTGCTGCATAAACAGGTTATAATTGATTAGGTAATCAACTAATTGTTTCTGCACAAATTGCAACTCAAGCCGAATGCTTTAATGATCATTTAGTTAAACTGAAACAGGGATTAAAAACAATTATCAGCTCGATTGTCCTCTTTGTCTTTTAGTAAAATATGAGCAATAAATTAACGTCATCTGGATTTCTTAAAGACTTGAAATCCCTTTGGATGTTTTGTGGGATGATAATTTTCATTTCCAAAGACTCTTAACTGATATGATTGGTCAGTTCTGAAAATGACTCTTTTCTTCCAGTAGAAAAATCTCTTTATCGACTCGTTTGTCAGCTCTAATCTTTTGGTTTTGTTTTCTCAGAATTAACAGGATTTTGGAATTATCATCACCATCATAAAAATGAGTGATTTTGATTTGATGAGTAAGAAAAGACTCACTAACAAATGAAACTGGGAGTCGGTTATAACAGACTGTGCGGATATTTAAAGAAATGACTCTTTAAAAGCCAATTAGACACCGCGCGACTTCTTTAATTAAATCAAGTCATTATAAAAATATTAACCATCGTGTCGACGGTGTTTAACATCTGCTCTCTGTAGCCTCTGATTATCCATTTTTTCCACCGGACTGACCAGCATCGACATCTACACCCCCTCAAGTAAATGGGTCTATTGAGCTGTTTAATCTCAGCACCTTGTTTTAATCAGCAAACCATGAGCATCCACTCAATGTTTCAGTCCCTGAACCTCCCACACGCACCAACCCATCTCCTCCGTCTCCTGTAGAGACATCAGATCTATCGACCAGGGAGGGGTCTTTGGCAGAGACGATGTCGCAGCCATCAGCGTTATCTGTCATTGAGGGGACACATTCTCCTTTCGCTTGTTTTTGTACCTGCTGTCCAATGTCACAGCATCGCTCATTTTTCTCTCTACGCCGTGCACCGCCGGGGAGAGCGACCCTGTCCATTTCAGGCTGTGTATCGACTCACACAGACTGCTAGATACAGGCCTTTCAGCTGCCCCGACTCCTCACGAGAAATGGGCCGATCTCATTAGATTTACATCCATTTGCACAGAGCAGAACTCTGACTGGAAGAGAGCCACGCTGTGACCTCATTGATCTCTGATGCATTTAGGTAGCTGACAATGAAATGTCTCCTCCTAGCTCTTCATTTTGCTTCATTTAAGCTGACCTGATTTTTTTTCTTCTGCTTTGTCTTGACTTTTTTGTTTGTCGAAAGACTCCTCCGTGTACGTTTGCAGGCTTTTAACTTTACAAAACTTCCAGCAAACAGAGAAATAAACACAGATGAGGCAGAACTTGAAAATAGATTTGATATTTTCATCTGCCCTGTTAAAACTTAGCTCAAACGAGGGCTGGGTGATATGGCCTCAAATAAATATCACAATATATTGATCAGCTCACCTCGATAATGATAAATGGACGATAACTACTCCACAAGCTGATCACCCCCTCCCACATTAACTTCATCTACTTCAGCCGCTACAACACTCAAACCGTCCTCCATCTCCTCACCTGTCTTTCCCTCTTTGTTACGGACTGAATGGGGTGGAGTCACGCCTCTGACGTAGAACAGTGTCTTAAAGGGACGTGAGACCATAGCCTACCTACGCACATCCAAAACCAACTTTTATTTATTTATCTTTTTGACAGCGAATATACTAGGGACGTGCATTTCAAGCAAAATTACTTTTCGATAGTTGCGGGGTAATACTGATTATTAATCGAATATTCAGACCCCAACATCACCACCTCCACCACCAGCGGGAAAAACAGAAAGAGATCCACAATTATCATAACTCTGTCTTTTTATTTTGACAGTGATGAAATTCACAGTACAACATTATAGAACTGTTACATTGTTTAACCTCATTACACACACAGGATATAATTATCAAATTTGCCACCTCCTTTATAAACCGTTTTATATAAACTTATTTTAGTGCTTGCCTTGTCTGAACGTAAGGCAAGCGCTGAAATAACTTTCGTAGATGTAGCCATCTTGTTTCAAGCCTCTGATTTTGCTTTTTTCCGACTTTGTAACTAAAACGCTGGTTACTCCGGTGTGACGTCATTTTCAGCTCTGACATCTGACTTCCGAGGTAACTCGAACGCAGCATTAGATTTCTGTTAAGTCTGCTTCTGTCTGACTTCAAACCCTGAATTTCAACCGACTCAGACTCAAGTGACTTTCCCTTTATGATCCGTCAGTTTTTGAGGAGTGGTTGCTTTAGCCTTGCGCTCATTCTCGCTGAATACACCTGTTCTGTGCTCCAATTTGAGCCCTTTGCCTCGTGTGTGTCTCATACACGCTGTGTCCTATTCACATGCCCACCAGGGATTCACTTCATAATCACATGCTTCCCTGAGAGGTATCCAGCCCCCCTGTCTCCAAGGGCTGCAGACTCCCTCTCGATGCCATCACAGCCTGCTGAGCCAAAGCTGCAGACACGTCACTAGATGACTGATATTTTAGCTGCTGCAGTCCTCCTCCTCCTCCTTCTCCTCCTCCATACCATCAAATTTCAGCTCTTAGCTTGGCAGGAGGGCTGGGATACAGCCTACTTTAATGTCATAGTTAGCATACTTGCAGGAATAATGTCTGCAGAATTGGTTCCCACCAGCAGAGCGAGAATACCTGCCCCCCCTGGAAGAACAAGTGGAAACAGTCCTGCTGCGTAATTAAAGCTCAGATCACAGATCTGAAGCCCAGATGCTCCTGAAGACATCAGAGGAGTGATTTGAATTTTCAGCAGCAAAATCACACGTTTCCTCCGAGTCGTTTTGATAAATGCAGTGATTCAGACTTGATTGATTTTCTTTTTCTTTGAGCTTTCAAGAGCAGATGTCTAAATTCTTTTCTTCAGTATAAAAGAGTGAAATGATGACAGACAGGGAAGCTCTCAATAAACTGTCTGAACGAAGTCCGGTCTTTCAAGCAAGCGGCCGCCTCGCCTCGCCTCTCTGTGCGAGTTTTGCAGGGTTTTCACATCACACTCCTTTGTTCTGCGCCTCTGACGACTGCTAACACTCAGATGATTCATTCCCTTTGAAGTCCAGTTCCCATCTTTCCTCTTCAGCTACAAATCAGTTTCTTTAACCCTGCAGCTCCCAGTCCAAACAGCTCGGCTCTGTCTGTAATAGCTTCGGCACGGCTTCCTGACTTGTTATCAGATGACCTCACACAGAGAGAGGTCAGGGCGTCTTTTAAAACCTCCTTCTGGGTGTCTTCTGGGTTAGACTCTGAGTGGACTTTTGATAAACGGCCCCAAGAAACGATTGTCGCTCAAATCACTTCCTCTGATTGTTATTTTTTTAATTGAAAATCTAATCCTGCTGATTTTATATATGTGTCATTAAATAGTGTTTCCCCAATGTTCATAATTACATGCACCGCTTCTGAAATTTTACATGATCATTAATATCAATGTGCCACTAATGATTTCTACTCGCACTGTATGAGCTCAGCAACACGCAAAAGTTATTTTTGACTTGTTTTGAGTCATCAACGTGTGCATCAAATCCTGTCGGACCCTCTTCCATCAACATGAAAGCTAACGTTCAAGCTTACACACGGTCTATAGAGCGAGTAGCATTTATAGCATTAGTAGCATTAATATCAATGCTCCATGAATGATTTCTACTCGCACTGTGTGAGCACAACAACACACAACGTTATTTCCGACTTGTGTTGAGTTCTTAATGAGCGCATCAAATTCTGTTGGACCCTCCACCATAAACGTAAAGGGTAACATACAGGGTTGTACACAGTCTATATAGCGAGTAGCGCAAAAAACTTAATGTGAAAGCGTGGCTCCTTGAGCGTCCGCTGCTGAAAAAAATTCTTGGGGAAACACTGTTAAATGTGAGTATTTAATCAAAACAGGGCCACAGATCATGTCTTTGGTGGTCCTTTTTGCTTTAGGATAGCATAAAAAGGCATTAATATGAACTTCAATCGAATTTGTGGATGTCAAAAAACTCCCCATTGGAGCTTTAAATACAAGAGATTTTTTTTTGTTTTTCACAAGGTCTAGAGGTCTAAATGTTGCCTTCGTAATGCTTCTGTAATCCAGCATTAAGTTCAAACTAAGACTTCTTTGTCACAAACCAGGCTCGAGTGTAGAGGTGACAGGACTTTTTCAGCGGTTGCCCCCAGACTGTGGAACAGTTTACCTGACCGTATTAGAGCCTCACAGACTTTTAGATTCTTTTAAATCATCTTTAAAGACCCACCTTTCTCCGTTGCATTTGATAAATGAGCACACAGGAATCATAGGCACTGTAGCTTTTATTCTTTTACTGTCTATATTTTATTCTACTGTTTTAATTGTATTTTTTATTGTTATCTATCGGTTTATTTACATGTACAGCACTTTGTTTGGCTGCTGTCTTTTAAAGGTGCTTTATAAATAAACTTTGACTTGACTTGACAAAATCACAAAAGTTCCTATTTAGGAGATAGAGGTAGGGGTGTCCTGATCCAACTTTTTGACTTCCGATACGATACCGATATTGTTGCCTTCAATATTGGCCGATACAGATATTGATTCAATATTGGCTCAGAATTGTGCATGGCAAGTTTTTCACTCAGCTGCAACATCTTTTTCAGACTTCAACAAAAAATACTGCCACAACACCAGTGGCGATTGCTCTAAGACTGCAAGGGAAGCTCGGCTTCCCTTAAAATGTCACCCCCCAAAAAAAAGAAAAAGTGGTGAAATACGTACGGCTGTGTGTACATTTCATTAACTAAATACGCACTAGAAAGCCTTCATCTTTTGTTCAGACACTGTGATAAGAAGCTGATAATCACAGGTAACCGGCATAACTTCGTTCTCATTCATCCTCGCAGCGCCTCAGCGCTTTAAACAGTCGGACGCTGGGCTTCTGCTGACTTCAATGTGGAAGCTCAAAGTGGGTTGTTCCAGCAGCGAAACTAGACGGTCATTGGATAAATGCTGGGCTTTGTCCCACCCATCGGAAGCCCAGCTTCACTGGAGTTCTATGGCGAGAGGGCGGTCCCGACTTTCTCCCGGACTCCGAGCTTCTGCATCCATGATTGGATGAGCTGTCTGAGGCAAAATCCTTTTTTGATTGACAGCTAAACAAGCGAATCAGCGATCTTGAAGAATAAAACATCTACCAGAGCATTTTCCAAGTTATTCATTCCGTTGTTCTTCACTGCTCCAGAGACTTTACCGATCCTCAGCGACTTTTGTATTTGTTAAAAACGACTGCTGTTGTGTTTGGCGACTCTGTTCTGTTACATACTAATAAACAAATACAATTATGATGTAGGCCAGAAAAATGAGCTTCCCCTCCTTGAAAGACCAGCAGCCGCCACTGCACAACACCAACATCACTCTTACTCCTTGGTACTTTGTTCGTACCTTAGTAGACACTGTTGTTGTGATTACGTGGGCTCTGCTCATATCGGTTCGATATCCAATATCAATATTGTATCAGGACACCCCTGGATAGAACCAGCAACATTATTGCATTGATAATTCTAATATTTAGCATTCAATCTGCTTTGTATGTACCATCAAGCAATTCATTTTTTTAGCAGCTCATCTTGTATGACTCTTAAAGCTGCTTATTTTCTCAGTGGAAGACTGTTTTTGTCTTAGAGTCACTTTTAAATCAATACATGCCCAAGCTTAATCAATTAATGAATGTTAATGTAATATGAACACAATTTAGAGCACTTTATAAGTCCTTGAATTACTGACCCACGTCTAATTAAGAGTCAGGCCCCTGGGACTGGAAAAAAAACTCTTCACAAAGTCTTCTTCACATGCGGCTAACATCAGTTATTAATGTCCCAGCTGAGGATTCTCTTAAGTAAACCTCTTATTTTTTTCTCCCTCTGTCTCTTCAGTCCTCAGCTAAGAGTCTGCGGGCAACCATCGGCGATGCGTTCGAGCGCCTTCACCGCTTCCTGCGGGAGCGTCAGAAGAGCATGCTGGAGGAGCTGGAGATGGACACAGCTCGTAAGCTGGCGGACATTGAGCACAAGATCCAGCGCTACAGCCAGCAGCTGCGTGATGTCAAGGAGGGTATCCAGATCCTGCAGGAGCGCCTCAACGAGTCGGGGCGACACGACTTCCTGGAGGGAGTGGCCATCACATCTGAGAGGTGCAAAAGACGTTCCTGCATCATCAACGAGAATGTCATGACTCTTTATTTACTTTGCTCACACGTTTTCTCCTCACGCTAAAACTGAAAGAGGAAGATTGGAGTAACAGCATCATCTAATCCCTGAACAGATGGTGAATTAGGTCTAAAGGAAAGCAGCAGTAATGTTTAATCAGGGTTGAGGTACTTAAGGACAAATGAGTGGGGGTACTTGAGGACGATTTAATTGAACAGTTTAATATCTATGAGCGGATTAATGAAGCTGAATGAAGAACTGGTGAGGGTGTCACAATCGAGCACAATGTCACCACCACAATTTTACTTCATGTTAAATGTTGGTTGATATGAAATTATAGATATAAAGATAATGAGTCAAGTATTTAAACAATGATGTTTCACACAGAGGTAATTCGGGCTGTAAAGTCCGAGTCGACTGGTTGACTTATTGGTCGATATGTGCTGAGTTGACGAAAATTCTGGTTCGTGAACTTGATTTTTGTCCGGGTCAATTTATAGTCTATGGTTAATCAAGAGGGATGTACCAAGTGCTAACGGGGGTGTTTTTAGAGCACCCCCATTTCACAGGTAACAGCCTATCTTAGAACACCCCCTTGTTTTCACCATTTTGGATTCACCCAACTCACTGGAGACCAAAAAGAGACAGGAAGGAATTGCTTTCTTGTGCTGATATCAGTTTATTTTCACCCCGCTGTCAGAGTCGGAAAAATCCCTCCCCCGATTGGTCGATTTTTGTTTGAAAAATTTCAGGGTGTTAGTCGTTTAGTTTACAGCCCTTTTAGTTTACAGCCCTAGAGATAATCACGGTCCTGTTTCAGCTCCTCATGTAATAATAACACTACATTTTATTGAGTCTAAGCACTTAAGGCCACGTTAAAAAATAAATAAACAGCAACATAAAACAGCAAGATAAAAGCAATTACCGTGGCTTAATGAGGACAAATGTGTATTAATATTAACTGTAATTCATTTCATTTCTAAGAGTTCATGAGATTATCACAATAATACAATAACAGTTATTTCCTCTGCTTAATACTCTGTAAGTTATTAAAGTCCACAAACTCAAAGTGAGACTTGGTTTCATTCTGAGGTCCAGATGCCTTAAAAATAACTCGGCTGAATGAATTTATGCTCATGACCTTAAGTTTGCTGAACATAAAACACGAGTTAAATGCCTTTCATGAATGAGAAAATAATGTAACCAGGTCAAAAAGATTTCAAACTTAACCATGTTTTTGTTTTTATTGTCAAATGTAATTTTGAAATATCTTATTTATATGCTGAGATGAACTGAACACCATATCCAAATGTCAAACTTGAACAACAGAAAAGTACAAATATTTGCCATTTGAGATCACCTCTGACACTGACCAACAGAAAAATTGTATTATTCATGGTTTTATCCGATCGTGTCAGACAACACATCATTACTTACTTAATATTTCAGCACAAATATGAAAAGGTCCATTTTCTTACACGCCATTATTCTCAGAATTTTAATGTGATAAGTAACCCACTCAGCTTCTTGCCTGACCCCCGGACCTCACGTAGGAGTGCACTGAGTGATTCATGCGGAGGTTCCTATTGAATCATAATATAATGGTGTTAGAGCTGTTTCCCCCTCTGTCTCACTGATAGATTCATCCCTGCTGCTGCTGCAGATCCATAAAGCAGTTTGTCAGCTGTTATTCGTCAATAAAGGCCCCTTCTCAAAGACACAAACCAGAATAATTACTTTAGTTATCAAAGCTGTGGGTTGAACCACAATGCAGTTTCATTTGGAAAAAAGTACCCTAACTGGATTAAGACTGTTATTGATCGATTATTTTCTGTGCCAGGATCAAAGGAAAGATACATGAGACCAATCTGACGTATGAGGACTTCCCGACATCCAAGTACATGGGGCCCTTACAGTACACGATATGGAAGCTGCTATTCCAGGATATCTCACCAGGTATGTAACATGAGATGTAAGCCGCTCAAACAAGGAGTCATCCAACGTGACACGACACAATTGACAGTGAAAGTTGAGATGCTCTCTCAACACACTGGTCCCAGGTTCAACTCCTGGCCTCAACCCTTTGATGCATATCCCGCCCACTCTTTTCCTGTTCTTCCTCATATAGTCTTATCAACACAGGGAAACAAAACATTGATAATATTGGAGGAAGAACAGTGAGTCTTGGTTCTATTCAGTTAGTTAGCTTAGCTTGGCATAAAGCTGCAAGTGGCTAACATAGTTCTGTCCAAAGGTAACAAAGTCCTTCAACCTGAATCTCTCTAAAGATTACTCAAAAAAAGGTAGGGTTGGTAATCACAGCAAACCGGCATGAATTTGAATGTAGCATCTCCTCAGGACTTCATCTGTTCTCTTCCCCTTCCCCTTGGAGCTCCTCCAAAACAATGCCCCCGCTCACATGCAAGAGCGCTGCTGTCTGCTGATTCAAAACCACAGACTCGAAACTTTGGGACTTTAGATTAGGAAGTCTTAGCACAGCAGGGACAAAGAGGGTAACGTTAGCATTGGGATGACCACATAACTAGCAACATGGCTAAATACTTGATCAAGATTAAAAATCGCCCTGAAACAAACTCAACGTATCCTTCCAACAGAAATCAGTGACCATGGCATCACTTTTAAAGCCCTTGGCCTCTTTCAGTTCTCTCCATCGCTGAAAAGCCATCCCGATGTTGACTTTCGTTTTCGCCCGTGACCCTCCTGTTAAATGTTTTTGTATGAATTAAAAAAACAAGCCCTGATGTGAATGAGCAAGCAGTCACTAGCAGGGGTTTAGTAGCTTTCATGTATGGTATGTACGAGCCCATTTACTCAATTTCAAGCATGTCTTCAAAGCCACACAAACATTTTCTGTCTTTAGGGGATTCGTCGTCTTCTCTCCAAATCACGGACTGCTCCTTTAAAAACCGGTTCCCATGTCTAATTTGTGTTTGTTGGCTAAGTGTTTGAATCAGACACTTAAATGAGTGAAACTTTTCCTGCCTTTCACCAGGATGTCTGTAACAACTCTGTTTTTTTTTTTCTCTTCGGATGAGAAAAATTGTGGTCAAACCTGGAGGGTGGCGATGCCCTTCTGTTTCTGACAGCGGCGAGAGGAGCTCGACTCCCTCTGCCCCGCAGCCATCACTCACTCGCTGGAGATTATTCAAAATGATGTGCTGAGGAATTTCGTACTCCCTCAATCAGTTCTTCGCAATTCAGCCGGCTGCGGGGAGGCCAGGCAGTTTTCTGGCCTCCCTTGACTGCCTGCCAAATGGAACAATTGGTTACGATCCATCACCGGTGGTTGCCAGAGAAGAAATAAAGACATTCTTCCCATCATCCCTTATCCCTCATCCCTCATCCCCAATCCCTTGCTGATTGGTTAGCAGGAATAGCTATGAGACGCCATGCTGTTTTCTCCCTCTCATCCTCAGCAGGAAAAATAGTTTCGTGGCTGACGCATGTTTGATGGCAGGTTTCTGTCTTTGACACAAAGAAGCTCCAAGGTTATGAAATTTTAATGACCCGTCTGTAACAAACACTGGAAATGTCATTGACTAGAGGATGCAACGTCCTGTCCGCTGGCTGGACGCCAGAGTTTTCACCTCCTTTTAAGCCAGCTGATATAACACAGAGAAAGTGGAAAAAATGCCGTCCCACTGTTTCCATGAGTCAGTTTTATATGACAGGGAGCCAAGAGAACAAGCTGTTATTGTTCTGCCTGATATGGTTCCCCTTAATAAGCAGACGTGTTTGCAGATTCTCCTGCCCTGAAACCACATAACTGCACTGAGAAACGGCCTCCTACCAGCCCAGACCCTGTGGAGCAAGGTGGAGGGGCTCCACCCATCACTGCAATTACAGCCTCACTGTATTGTTTGCAACTCTGGCATGGTATGATGTTGTTCAAACGGTGCTGGCCAAACACATTCTGTCTGGGGAGCATTTGATTAAAGACTGAAGTTTATACAAGGAGGTAAAAACAGGAAAAAAAATGGATGGTGGTGGTGTACACAGTCACACTCCTTGCACAACTCTTTGCTGCATTTCCTGAAGGAGAAAAAGAGTGTTGTCGGGGGTCAGGTGCACTATGAAATAACAAGCTATCAGTCGTCTTTTACCACGGGGCAGAGCTTCGATCACCTCCTTAAACTCTGGCAGGAATGATTTACAACACAAACGCTCATGTCCCCGGCAGGAGGTTGGTCTCATGGGGGCAATAAATCAAAGTTTTTGAAGACATTTTCTCGCTGACCTTCTGTTCTCTCTTATTTTGATGGGATTTATCTAGTTTGGACACATGTAATTTTTTTTCTATAAACATAAATGCTTCCTCTGCTGGAAAAATAAAGGGATATTCCAGCGTAAAATTAGGTTTGGGTCAAACACCGAGTTAGACACCCTGTCAAGAGATGAATGTTGCTGACTGCTTGCTTCTCTCATTATACCAACTTTAGTAACGACCGCACGATAGCAATACACAGCGGTCTGAGGTGCCATTAACAAACATCAACCAAAACGCCACTGTATAGCCACAAATAATGCTCAGAACAGCACCTAACTTCATCAACAGTACAGATAGGGTCCCAGCCAAAGTACTAGCCACCAAACATCTTTTCAGCTTTACCTAATTTCTTTATTTATTCATTACTTTATCATTTCCCTGAAGTAATAATCATCATATTAATCATTTTGCACTACAAACGCCGTAGTTCTTCTGCCTTAGCGTCTCACTCTGATTGCATTTCCATGAAGAAATGATCATAAATGTTCTTCCTTGAGCTGCAAAACTCCACAGCAGTCTGTAATGGACTGGCCCAGAGGTCTCCGTACAAACAAGCGGCTGCTGGAAGAGAGTAGGTGAGTTGTGTTTAGTCTCTTTGCTAAAGAAATCAGGCAAAGTTACAAAGATGTTTGGTGGCTAGTACTGTGGCTGGGACCCTATATGTACTGTTGATGAAGTTAGGTGCTGTTCTGAGCATTATTTGTGGCTATAAAGTGGCGTTTTAGTTGAGGTTTGTTTATGGCTACTCAGACCGCTGTGTATTGCTATCGTGCGGTCGTTACTAAAGTAGGTATAACTAGAGAAGCAAGCAGTCGGCAACATTCATCTCTCGACGGGGTGTCTAACTTGGTGTTATGGTGCATTTGATCCTAACTTAATTTTACGCCGAATATCCCTTTAAGGTGAATAAAAGTTTGATCAAATCTAGCAACATCCCTCATCTCCAGCAATTTCTTTGGTTTCATTGTTCTCATATGTCTTGTATACAGAGGGGATTTCTTTCCTGATTTAAGCCCCCCAATGTCAGAAATAACAGATTATCCCCCAAATCCTCCCAAACACTGTTTTTTAAAAAAAAAAGCATTTTGCGAAGTACGGAGTATTATAAATGGAATTGAATTAACCTGTGTCTCAAAAATCCTCCATTCAAAGCGAGACCTGAATGCTGGCTCTCGATCGCAGCAGTCCAGCTCCTGCAGTCCCAGACTGGACAGCTGACTGACAGCAGAATTTGCCTGACTAAAACAATCCACAGGTAGAGTCCAGAAGGAGCAGACAGGAAGAAAGCAGCATCATTATTCATTTATTTTATTTCCCTTGTTGCCTCTATAGATTGATGCCTTTCATAAAAAAAAATGATTGCTTCTGTTCTGAGTCAGAGGGGTGATGAACATCAGAAACCCCGCTGAGGGGATTTCTTTTTCCACAGCGGAGGCAGAAACCTCAGCCATGGATGTCTAAACCTGTGGAAACAAAGCAAACCATTTTCAGTGACCTCCGGGTCAAAACGTAAAATCTAGTGTTGATGTTTTTGTTTTGTTTTTGTTTGTGGAGGATAAGTTCATCACCTTGACCCTACCTCTTCTGTGAAGCTGACTGGATGCATTTACTTTCTGCCTGATCCTCACACAGCATGTCTATAAAGAGAAATGAGGTGCAGAGAATGACAGTGCAGTTCTCATCTGTTTGGTCCAGCTGAGCCATGAAATACTGACGCGTCTGTCTTATTGTTGAGTTATTTTCCATCCTGCTGAAATCCATAACTGTCCTGTTTTATTCAGGCAGACTGTTTGTCTCTAAACTATCAAAACTCAAAGTGAAGTAAATGCTGACTCTCCTCTCTTCTCCCCTCAGTCCCTGCAGCATTGACCCTCGACCCCATCACAGCTCACCAAAGACTGATCCTCTCAGACGACTGTACCATAGTAGCCTATGGCAATCTACATCCGCAGCCACTGCAGGACTCCCCTCGCCGCTTTGACGTGGAAGTGTCTGTTCTGGGCGCCGAGGGCTTTGTGTCGGGCGTGCATTACTGGGAGGTGATGGTGTCAGAGAAGACCCAGTGGATGATCGGCGTAGCCAATGAGACTGTGAGCCGCAAAGGCAGCATTCAGATCCAGCCGAGCCGAGGCTTCTACTGCATCGTCATGCACGACGGGAACCAATACAGCGCCTGCACTGAGCCCTGGACCCGCCTCAATGTAAAGAGCAAGCTGGAGAAGGTGGGGGTCTACCTGGACTACCACAAAGGTCTGCTCATCTTCTACAATGCAGACGACATGTCCTGGCTCTACACCTACAGGGAGAAATTCCCTGCTAAGCTCTTCCCTTACTTCAGCCCGGGTCAGAGTCACGCTAACGGCAAGAATGTGCAGCCGCTTCGGATCAACACTGTACGCCTTTAAGAGCTGCACACATCTGCTGTCATGATTGTTCTGACGGATGTCATCGTACGCAAATTCACGGGACTTGTTTAGATTAAAAAATGTTCAACAAATCAGTTTAAAAAAAAAAACACTAAAAAGATGGTTCAGGTTTTTTCTTGTCGGGTTGCATGAGGTAGACGATGTATTATCTTCAGTCAATGATGGTCAGCATGGACCCTGTTTGAAGAATTCAGAGAAATAACGAGAATAGATGCTGCGCTCTGCTTAACCCAAGGCTGAGTATTGGACTTAAAAAGTCCCTTCCTTACAAAAAACAAGTCCATGCTGTAATCTAATGTTTTCAGACTTCAGATAGCTCCTGTCTTTGGCAATGAGTTTATGTCAACAATATAAGTTCTGTGTTTTTGCATGTGCTCTGCAATGTGTTACAGCCTCTTTAACCAAAAAGTACCATGGCAATATTGATATCGGATATCGGTCCAATATCAGCAAAGAAATTGAATATTGGGTTATATCGGCCTGCATCTAAAACGGCCTGCATCTCCGCCCTGGCACCTCTATCTAGCAGCGCCCTGATCCAGCATGCAAAGCCCACAAAATCACAACAACTGTGTATACTAAGGTACTAACAAAGTACCAAGGAGTAAGAGTGATGACAGCCCTGTGGCAGTATTTTTTGTTTAAGTCTGAAAAAGACATTGCAGCTGAGTGAAAAACTTGTCTTGCACGATATTGTGCCAATACCGGTATCGGTCTACAATATCGGTATCATATCAGAAGTCAAAAAGTTGTATCGGGAAGCCGCTAATGGCAAAATCTCAAACGAAAAATAAAACGTCACTCTTCCAAAGACTTTTAAGATCGTACAAACTTGTGTTCAAACAGAGCATCCTGGTCACTTTACTGTCTGTAGGACACAATACAAAGCAGCCTGCTGGATTCTTACTAAAAACACTGATTTATCAAACCATCTGAAGAGCTGGATTTTAAGAATAAAAAACTGAAACACCCCAACAGACAGCTCCCAAAAACGTATCTGTCCACTGTTTGCACGGGTTTATCCAACAATCCTTTGACTCGGCTGACAGTATTTCTTCATTTACATTTTTTAGTTTTAGGTCTTTTGTCTGTTGTCTCTTCTGTAAAATGCTGATTGAATACTATATGCTGCATAAGAACACACACACACAGCTGTGGTATTTAAAAATGTGCTAAAGAAAGAGCAGCCTGACATCAAGACAAAGCAGGAGAAATATTCAAATATGTCCAGATAAGCAGAGTCTCCTTTTGTTCAACATCCCTGTGAATAGAGTTATAAAGTTGAGCTGCTTCTGGCCAGCGTATTTCCAAACAGGGACTGTGCTCACCATTATTCACTGTACATAATATGAATAGTGATAATGACCTCATGCAGCCCACTTTAAAAAAAACCCAAACACTAAAGTGTGTTTGAAGTCTTTCTTTCGTATCAGTTAAGAGTTGTGCTCGATGTTGCTCCTCAAACGTGCTGTTTTTATGTGACTTAAAATGACCGTATCATAATGGCCTGCACTCAAGCCTCATTCGGCATCCTCACCTGAAAAGATAACACTAAATGGAGACACAGGGACCCCTGGGTTCCTCCGGAGTCTGTGGCAGTGATGTAAAAATATAAGTGATTTCCCCTCTTTGAAAGTGACTGTCCTAGACCCGCTTTGCACACTCCCAGGGGGAACCACTCTCCTTATCAAGCTCCTGGCCTGCCAGACTTGACGTCCCCTTTGCCCGAGCCTGTGGATGCTGTTGACCGGTCCCGTCTCCTTCGTGCTGTACAGTTGGCTTAGCTTTGTGTGTGGAATGTGATCGACAACACTCGGCTCCTTTTTACGGCTTCTGTTTAGCCACCTTGAACTTGTCAAGTTGTTTTTCTTCCGTGTTAAACCACAGTCTTGGTTCCCTTTTGCTGGATTCTCATTCACACGTGTGTGTTCAGTCTTCATCAGTGGGAGTACAGCTCCTCTTGTTATTTGTGCACCAATTGTTATTCATGTCACTGTAAACAATGTAGTTCATTGGATGCCCATCCTGTCAGCTTCTAAGTCCTTCGCACACATGGTGGGAAAGTCTGATTGGAATTCGGGATTGTCCAGAATTATGCTGCTATGATGGGATAAGAACTCGGATGTTTGTATTTAGAGGATGAAATGTTAATTGGAAAGTTTTCGCCGTACACATCAAGTTTGTCCTTCATTTGTGTTTTCTGTCCATGAATGCATTTAGTTTGTAAAATTATTTTTCCCGTCGTGTCGTTTTATCATTTCCTCTTGAACTCAAAGGGCGTTGGATCTGTATTTTATGTACATTGCCTCGTAATGCATAGATTTTCAGACTTTAATTCTTAAATTATTGTTAAGAAATGCGATAAAAAACACATTTTTTCTGTTCCAAACCATATCCAAGTGTAAAAGAGATCATGGCTTTAGAAATCATGTAGAAATAATGATGAATACATGGACTGAATGACACTTGTGTACTACCCCCCCGGTGTGACTGGCATTCCCCAGGCTGCTGCTGTGTTACATCATAACAAAATCACAGATAATTCCCCTGAGGCCCCCCCTCCCTCCTCATGTGTATTTCTTCACCCCACGTGCCTCAAGTGCTCTTGTTTATCGGCAGTCGTACACAAGTCCAGCCGAATCAGCTCCTAAGAGGCTCCTGTCACTTCGCCAAGTCCGGCATACTGAGAGATACAGTACATGTGCGCGTGGATGGGTGTGTTTGTGAAGCTATGATTTTAAATCCAGCTTTAGCACTGCTCAATAAAGTCCATTTGGCCGTAGAGACACACCCAGGCTGTGGCTAAAAGAGTTAACTACGAAACACTTACAGATCAACTCCACAGATTTTTCTTTGGGATAGTCATCAACCACAAATCAAAACAAAACCGAAAGAAACACCTCTCCCTTTGTTTGCCACCATTCGTCACCCAAATGTGTCTGTGCGTTATCTGTGTTGTTCATTTTTTCAAAAGAAAATGGGGCAGTGCCCTTGTTTTTGTAGGATGTGGATGTGGTATTTGCAGTATGACGCAAACTTGGGTCAAATTGTGACACCTCCAAGTTCTTCTTGATCTTTGTTATGACTTGCACAGATCTGCCTTCTGAATGACAATGCTGAATAAAACTCGGGCAGCTTGTCTGTTTTATTTTCCGCAAAACGCAACTCAGTAAAAAACCTGCATTATAAAACGGGTTCAGTAAACTTCTGTTTGATTGTTAAATGTTGAGAAGGTTCAGACAATCATGACTGTATTTTGTCACCCCTCTCTCTAAACTTGCCCCCTGAAAACAGGCGCTTTATGCATGTTAAAACAAACGCTTACATTTGACCTCAGTTTGCTTTGTTGTAGACTTCAGTGGAGTCTGTTTCTGTTTGAATATCAAGAAGGAGATTATTGTGACGTGGTGTTGGGTTCCTGGTGCTGAAGGTAATGCTAATGGTTTAAATGATTATAACAATAACTATGACACTTTTAATGATTATAATGATGATTGTGTTCTTTGATGATGGCAGCTGTGCACCCATCTTTGTGTGAACACACTCCTGTGTGCTTTTGCTGCTGGAGGTTTGTGGAAAATGTTTTAATGTATAATAAATTACTGCTAAAATCAGATGGTCTCGTTAAATTTGTCCTGATTTTAATCTGTAACAGTCACATTTTCACCCTAATTCAGATTTAGTATAAGCTGAACACAATAGCCATTTTCACATGTGCAAAATTTCTTGATTATCGGATTACAAATTTGAGGGATCGGATAATCTGAATCCACTGTTTATATTGGTGCAAAATCAAATAATCCGATCATGACGTGCGTATACATGCACCAACCTTCATTCAGATTAGAAGCATTTGGACATGCGCAGAGTTGTCTAATATCGCTTAAAACCGCAGAATTGTTTTGACGCCTGTGCTGTCAACAAACCAACAAACGCGGAAGTGGCTCACTCCATCCAATTCAGGAGTTTTCCCACTGTTAAATGTTGTCACTAGGTGGCGCCCTTGTGTACTTATTTTACTGGTCTGTCAAAGGTTGCTCTGTGCGTGCAGATGTGACATCATTACGCTGTATGTACGCCTTGTTATGTTACCGGAAGAGCAAACACAGCACCTGTGGTTGTGTTTTATGCCAGAGTGTTGATAGTGAACCTCCTGTACTTGCCTCAATAAATTAACCAAGGGCTAAAAAGCGAAGATCCAATTAGGTAAGAGAGTCACGATCGAAATAAGTGTTTACATGGACGTGTTTCGGAATAACTATCGACATAAACCACCCCCTCGATCGGGACACAATTTCTTTCCGATTGAGCCGAACTGTATCAGAATCTTCCGATCAACATGTTTACATGATGCATTTTTATCCCAATCGGGCATTTATTCTGATTATCTGTGCCCATGTGAACGCAGCTATTGACACTTATTTTTGTACACAAATTAAAATCTCTACACCCCTGTGAGCAAGTGACTGAAATAGATTTTATGAAGGAAAAAAGGGCCAGAAAGAGCTTTAAGTGGATGGGGTCAGATCATGGGCAATAACAACTAGCTATAAGACTTAAATTCCAACATTTTAACTGTTTTCAAAGTATGAAAAAAGCATAATAAAGATGCTGTCCTTAAGGATGGCAAAAAAATGTGTTATCAGCACTTGTCAGAGCTTAGGCCAATGTGATGCAGATTATTTTTAAATGCCAATTTCTGGCCCAATTAATCAGCTACCCGATTAATCACTGTCTCCAGTCTGGACACATCAAGATCTTCACCTTTTAAAAGGAGTGCAAAGTTAATTTGCCTCTTATTAAAGACTCGCAAACTACAGGGGTTGAACACCAATGCTAAAGAGATCATGCATGCCAGTTAGTTTGGTACTGAACTATGTTTAAATGTGTGAGTCTGCAGTCAAAGAGCAAACAAGCTCCACCACAGTATTTAAGACAAACAATACCAACACAGCTGTGATTGAATCTCTCAAAACAAAAACATATCTAAGAGGCAGATTAATCTTGATACGTGGGAGGACTTTTCCTCGGCTTGTCAATACCTGCTCCTTTTCAGTCAGAGTTTCCTGCCAGATATTTTAGTCGAGATATGCCAAGCTGTCAGCCCAGTTAAGCCTTCCTGCATGGAGGTAGGAGGTTGTGAACTCTTTTTATTAGCGTTGCCTATTTTGGCATAGGCAGACGTGATGTGATGAATAAAAAAAGACGCCTGCATGGGTTCAGTGCTCCTTTCATCGTCCTCCTCATTTACCATCTGTGACGCCTTAGAGCGACTGGTTGTTACTCTGCAGCGAAGAAATTTGTCATACAGCTTCAAATCTTGATTGAAAGTTTAGATCTGAGTCAAACTGCATCAGAAAAGCCCGAAAGTTGTGTTTTTGGAGTGTAACTTTGTACCCTTCTGCTTTATTCTTTCACACCCTGAAGCTATTGAGCCTTCTTGCATCAGGATTTCAGCTGTTTCACAACACAAACTCCGCAGTTTGAAGAGGAGCAGCGTCGATTCAAAGCAAACCCCCAGGACAAGTGGCTTCACATCCTCTGCTCTCGTTCTATAATCTCGCTCCTGTGATAGAGACATTCTTATCTGAGGAGGTGTCTGTCCTGTAATAGATGTGTTTTACCTGAGGGGTAAGTGTCCATTAAAAAGTCACTGAGCTCTCCTTTGAGAGATGTGTATCTGATTTCAGTCTGGTGTGGCCATCCTGAGGCCAAAGTTGGGTTTTTAATCTTGTAAATGATGGAAAACGCAGAAACGAGGGCTCTCATTTGTCATCAAGTACAGTAAAGAACATGTGCTGCAGCCAATGGCATGAACAGATAACATCTCCATTATTGCACATATTGCAGAAAGATACAGTATTACGGTTTAATTGATTTAGCAGATGCTTTAGTCCAAGAGAAAGGACAACACAACCGAGGATCTAGACAGAAAAGAGGACAAGTATGTCACTGCTTCATGTCCAAATCTTGTTGGGTTTATTTTCACATTATAACAGCCAAAATTTGGGGATTATTAAAACAATACTCATCTGTTTAGCACTAAGAATCATGTTAAATGGATATGACTTTCAGATTTCAGCTCTGTACGATTTCATATACTCCAAATATATTGAACATAGGAATCTTCTGGCCTCAGAGCACAGAGAAGAAAGCAGTCACATGGAGATGAATCAGAAGATTACTCACCAGGCTGGGAGCTGTTCAATCACTTGTGGGTGTTCTGATAAAGCACTCAAATGAAACACTATTAGAGTAAGAGATCTGTCCTCACCATACTGCTTTCTTATATTTCCCACAGAGCATCGCTCTTGCATCAAATGGCAACAACATAACAACTAAAAAATCCCACAGCAACTAAAACATTACGTCTGAATGTCATCATGCCCTGGAGGAAAATCTTTTGCACCCGTTAACCTTTTGTCTGTTCACTTCTCAGTAAGATTTAGGTTCTTACAGCTGTGAAGCAATAATTTTCATTGGGTTTAATCAGGGCATTTAAAGTCCCTCCATGTGTCTTAAAATAGGCCCTCTGATCTCAGTCAAGTCAGGTCTCTGTAGTTTGAGAGGATGTGTGCAGGCCCTTCTCTCTGCTCCCCCAGGCTCTGTCGTGGGTAGAGAAACCTTAGAATGACCTCCTCTGCCCCCTCAATCCTCCACATCCCTCTTCTTTGGCTTTAAAACTCATTTACCATATATGTTTACAGCCTCTGGGTCCTGCTGAAGGTGTCTGTTCCTCATAGCTGTAGTTCTTGTGCAGGAGTGCCCTCTAGTGTTCACCACTGTGGAGTGTATGTGACGCAGCTGAAACGATCGTGTTGACAGTGAAGGAGTAAAAAAAGAGGGGTATCTGTCCATTCAAGTGAATATAAGCCCCCGTCTACATCTTTATGTTGTGAAAGGTTGGGTTTTCAGATTCATTTTTGTTGTTGGCAGAAGCAAAAACACTTTTATCCAAAGGGAAACTGAGAATCTTTAACTCACCATTAAGCATTAATGAGATATGAGCAACTGCTAAGCTAGCTAACGTAACAAATAGCATGTTAGCTTAGCAAAACAGAGGGTCTTTGTCTAAATAAAATAACTAACACCCCTAAATATCACTTTTTGGAATCTTTTACCTCATAATATGATACATATAAAACTAGTGGACAAATAATAAACCTCTAAAGGGGGGAATTTCATGGAAAAAAATGTTTCCTGTAGGCCTATATCGGAGCAACAGTTGCTAAATGTAAGCTTTAACAGTGAAGTCATATATTTCTGTTAACTATTACAGTTAACTGTCTCTGAGTTAAGCTAAAAAAAATGTGTTTCATACAGAGAACTACTCACAAAGTGTTGATAGGTTCATATTTACATATTTACAAGTTTAAATGCTTTCTTTGCAGCTATTTGTTAGGGTTAGCAGATTATGCAGAATGTGTTTCTGAGGTTCATTTACGTTTATTTTGAGGTGTGACATGTAATCAGGGTTGTCCAGGATGTTAAGTTTTGGGGGTTTTGTTGTCAGGGTGACAAGATGGCTGAACAGTAAAAGCGCTGTTAATCTGTTGAGTTATCTGTCTCCATCCTGCTGTTTCTCATCATTTGAATTATCCAAACACCTTGCATCGGACCTTCACGTTACAAAAGTATACACTGGATATTAAAGCTTTGCACAGACTATGATACAAATGCAATACTCTTTCAGTGAGCATTTTCTACTACGCTAAGCTAAGCTCAGCTAAGCTAACTAGCTGATACTTAGATGTCAACATCCCATTCGCCTCTAAAACAGGCTCCGACTTGTTGCAAGACAAACAAGTTTGATACCAGTAATAAATTCATGGTATGTTTTATTGTACATTGGTTTCTAAAGTTAAATCTTAAACTTTAAAGAAAGTACAACACAGAGTAAAAACAAAAATATATTCCCAGGAAATAGTGCATTAGTTGTACAGCGACAGAAAATACGTAACAGCAAGTATAGTTCAAGTACCTTAGATTCCCTTCATTACAGTAGTTTGGTAAATCTTCGTGTTTGAGTGTGCTCTCCGAGGGGAAGCACAGTCCTTTGAGACTATCTGCTTTTCGAAGAACAGAGACAAAACTACAGAGAAGAAAAACGAAATCTGTGGCACACCCTCGAGCCACAGGCGTTGTGTTTATTTGTACATTGCTTTATGCAGGGTTTATGTGATGCAGCATCAGCACACTTCATACAGCTTCTCTCAAAGCCCTGTTTGCCCCTGGATTAGTCTTATTTCAATGACAGAGGCTTGTTCTGTAACCCATTGTGTAATGACAAATCGCTTCAGATCTTAAGGCTCTGTTCTATAAAAGCAGGCCTTCTAGCTGTCTGTTTCAGCTAGGTTTAGTGTCTTTCTAACAAGCAGGCCTCAACCTGCCTCTTCAGCACTTTCAACATATTATTCAACACATGAATATCTCCAAAGGGAAATGCTTATTTACCCTCAGTTCCAACCAATGTTGACAGGTAGGCATGCCATCTGCAAACATGCAATATTAATCTGGTGATCTTGTTGCCAACAGCACTTTGTCAGCGTCCAATTTCTGCTTCTCACCCTTCCCACTTCATAGAAGTGTTTCATTGTGTACGGTGGTTGTGTTGTTTGTGCCCGCCGCAGATGAAACTAAAGATTTGATGCACAGCTCCAGCAGAGTTTCAATAGTCCTGATCAGAAAGATGTTCACGCTGAGATTCAGAGGCAGTACAAAGATAGAGAGCACACCCACCAACCCTATCATTACATTTACCCCGGGGCAGGGAAAACCCCATTGTCTCCTGTGCTCTGAGTCCACGCGGTCTTCTGCTATAAATGTCAGAAGTATACTACTCTTTGTCCTCTCACTCTCCTGTCCTACCTTCCCTGCAGATACAAAGTCGGGTGGGATGAGGACAAAGTCTCCATAGTGACTTGTTGACATCTCCATGTTGTTCCAGGAATAGGTCCTGTGAACACTGCAGCTGCTCTTTGTTTTCTCTGGGTCAACACACAGAGCTGCCTCCGGTTCTGACTTCACATGCTCAGAGGGAACGAGGACAAAGTCTTGGAAGCAACTTTCACCGTTATTCTCATCAACACTTTTTCTTCTGTGCTTTTCTCTACCCATACATGCAGGGGTCTTTCGTAATGGTCTATCCAGGTTTGTGGTCATGCTGAGGATGAGCATGAGGAGCGAGAGGAAGGCCATGCACCAGCAGGGGTTTACAGAGATGGGCATGGGGCTTAACAGGTTGGGCAAACACCTGATGAGAGAGTTGGTCCTGCGCAAACAGGTAGAGGTCCACACTTCCTCCAGCTTCCATCTCCAGCTGACATTGAGGGCGACGACAGCCCACACTGACAGGCAGCAGAGGTAGCTGACAACCTGAGAAATCTTCCACTTCTTTCTTGTACCCTCCTCCTCCTCTTTTTCCAACGTTTCCTCCCAGATGTTACGATCTAGTTCATCATCACCTGGACCTGAACCTTTTGACTGATGAGCAACTGTAGATGGAGGATAGAACAGTCTGTTCAGAGTCTCCACGGCGATCAGAGGTATGGTCAGGAGAAGTACCACACCATATGTGTGGCTGAGGAACAGCAGGAAGCGCAGTGCAATAACATCCCCATGGAAGCTCTGATCTGACAGCCAGGGCTCAAGGATGCAAAGGATCGTCAGAAAAACTATAAAAGAAAAGAGAAAACGTAAGAAAGTTTGTTAGAGGGTTTTGGATGAAGGTTATGTGGAAATATTTTGCATATGCAGCAGCTTAAAATAGTATAAAAAGGATTCTGTCTGCATGTGTTGTATGATATGAAAATCCTCTGCTTGTAATCTGTTAAGTTTCACAACTTTAAACGACATCAGAGTTTTCCCCGAGGTGAAAAACCAAGAAACCTTGATGTGCCAATATTTCCTTCTGTGTTGCTGCAAAGTTTCTCCACACTGGTGTACTCTGACTGTACTCTGGAGGTTACAAGATTCAACAGCACAATAGTGAAAGTTTTCTCAAGAGGAAAATAAAATAAAAAAAACCTATTGTCCCCTGAAACAGTCATGATGTCACAATATCCTGTTCACTTGTGTAACTGACATTTCAGGTGAGCATACAGAAACTGCCTTTCATAAGAGAGAGCGAGTGAGAACAGTGCAAGACTCTGCACGTACATCAGGCTACACAATAAGGTTGGACTAAAAGAGAAGGAACATTAAGTAATCCTTTTCAAGAAACTGAAAGATTCAGTAAAAGGAATCAGAATATACAATTATAAAATATATATAATTTATCAAGTGTTTTATTTATTTTATTGTAGTTATTCAGTATTTTTTTACTTTATTGAATTTATTCAGTATTTGATTTATATATTTTATTATATTTATTTACTATTTTATTGTATTTATTCAGTATTTTTTATGTACTTTATTGTATTGATTCATATTTTAATTATATATTTTATTGTATTTATTCAGTATTTTTTATTTTCTTTATTGTATTGATTTATATATTTTATTATATTTATTTACTATTTTATTGTATTTATTCAGTATTTTTTATGTACTTTATTGTATTGATTCATATTTTAATTATATATTTTATTGTATTTATTCAGTATTTTTTATTTTCTTTATTGTATTGATTTAGTATTTTATTAATTCATTTATTGTATTTATTCAGTCTTTTATTTATTAATTTTATTGTATTCAGTATTTTCTTTATTTTTTTATTGTTTCAGTATTTTATTTATTTTATTGTATATATTCAGTATTTTTTTATTGATTTCATTGTATTTATTCAAAATTGTATTAATTTATTTTATTGTATTTATTCCGCGTTTTATTTATTAATTTTATTGTATTTATTCAGCATTTTATTTCTTTATTTATTTAATTTATTGTATTTATTCAGTCTTTTATTTATTGAATTTATTTATTCATTCAGTATTTTATTCATATATTTCATTGCATTTATTCAAAATTTTATCAATTTATTTTATTGTATTTATTCAGTATTTTATTTATTTTATTGTATTTTACTGGACTGCCAAGATAATTTAATTTCTCTTCTGGGATTAACAAAGTCATCTATCTATCTATGTCTATAAGCAGCTATGTACAACTCAGACGTGCAGAAGAGGAATATTGATAGTTGGATAACTGCTGATACAATAATCCAACATAAAAAATTGTATTTCTACTGATGAAAGTAAAGGTGATGCAGACCTTACTAACAACTGACCTAGAGGACTGAAAATAAAAACAGGTCCAGTATTTCTGTAGGTAATGGGTCTGCTTTTATCATAAGTGTTTCCCCTGTAAGAGGAGCAGTTACTTACTTTATCTTTATTTTTTCATTCATATGGATACAAAAGAGCACATTCAGAGCACCATACTAATAACACGTTATATTTCCTCCTTCAGAAAGAAGAGTTGGGGACCACTGGGCCAGACTGGTGCTGACCAGTTCATCTCAAACTCACCTGTGACCAGGAAGTCAGTGAAGAGGAGGTGACAGCAGCAGCAGAAGCTGACCGGACTCTGGGATCCGGTCAGTGAGGGCAGGAAGAGTAGACTGCAGGCCAGTTTACACGCACACAACACGGCTGCTCCTTCCAACACACCATCCATGGCTACAACAACAACAACACACACGCGGGTTAACGCACAGGCAAACTGGTTTTCTGTCGGCCTCGGGGTAGAGGAGGCTCAGGAATGCTCGGCACTCTGCACACAGTAAACCCCACAAAAACGTGTTAAAAATATCTGTAAAGCTTCCCTAAAGTTCAACTAACTCTCAATGAGTCATGGTTACTCCTCTATGTATGATTCAACCTTGAGGGTTTTTAGGGTTGATATTTTCATTGTTGACATTAGAATTGAACCCTGGACCAGACCATTGTTTACAGTGGATCCAAAGTGAGGAAATTTAGCTGCAAGTTCAGTTTAACATGCATGGTATCTCCAATTATTTTCAACACCAATAACAGGCTAAATTCTCATAAACCCCTCAGTAATGTGAGCATTTGTACAGTACACCCTGTTGCTGAGCTGACTGTAATTACTCCCCCCTCCTGAACATGATACTGTACAATCAGACTAGATTAATAGAGAAAGGTAACCCTTTTATTTCTTTAAGTGATTAGCATATCATATCATACAAAGATCTAGACCTGGAATAAAACTGCGGTGAGTTTGTTCAGCTCTTACCTGGACTTACAGGAGCCTTCAAAGCAGCATGTTAATATGAGCGTCAAACGTTTCATCCGTTTCTCTTCAACCCCTACACCTATTGCTCCACCCTCATGGGGATAATGACCCCCTCCTCCCTCCTTCTCTCACCTCCCCCCTCCTGTGCTCCCTGCACCTGGTCTGTGTGGAGGTGAGGGAACATGTGCACCTATGAGGGTGTGGCTGTGTTTGTGCAGGCAAGAAAACCAGTCTAACTAGCTAACTATATGTGAGGGATGCAAAGTGCGTGTCAGTGTCAGTGTATGTGTTTGAGTGTGAAGATAAAAGTGTTGACATCGGTTAATGATAAAGATGTTTTTGTACTGACACTGTATACATTCCTGCGTTACACCCTCCTTCTGCAAAGTACAAGCTTGTTATTTCAGAGGTTAAAGCAAATATGCACGTGCAGAGTGTTGATCAAGAACCAGGACTAAGATGATGCCATTTCCTGGTCACATTTGCAAGTCTTCACAAAGAAATCATCCTGCAATATGAGCTGTTATCCATTTCCAAACTTTATTTAAAGCTCAAACCCTGTTTAAATGTCCATTTTATGAAGTTATCTATCAGTTTTGACATGTGCATTGACATCCAACCATCTAAAAGGAGTTACATTGCACGTTTTGTTTCTCCAGGCTCTCATCAGAATAAGAAAACCCCTTTTTTTTGAGGAGAGGGGTGCGATGCAGATTTTTCTTGAAAGGCTGAAAACAATTGTAACAACAGTGCACCGAGGCATCATTTAAAAGACATTATTAAATTTTTTTATCAAGCTTATAGACTGTTTCCTCCAGTGCAGAGCAAGAGGACATGCATGGCACAGTTGCATTAAACGCAGAAGAGAAGATAATTTTCACCTTCATTCTGCGAAACAGAGAAAAAACAACAAAGATTTGTTTTAGATCTAATGTTATGACGGATGCTTCATTTCTCTGTCATCTCAATGACAACAGTCTGGAAAAGGATTTAATGCGTTTATATGCGTCTCTGTGCAGCAGTGAGTTGACAGTTTTGGAGCGCCGCACATTTATACTTCTTTAGTTTCCTTAGTCTGACTCACACTACAGATAGAAGCTCAGGTTCATCTGGAGATTTGCATGAGCTGTGGCTATGCAGGCTTGATTTGAATAAGTGAGTGAGTGATCTATCTTGTTTACCAGGGTGTAGGTAAGAAAACAACTGTGTGTGCAAGGTAGGTGCATAAATGCTACTTCTGTTTATGTGGGGCCTTGCTTTTGTTGACATTTTCACATTAATTTGTTAAATGTTTAAGATAATTCTGTTGTAGTTTCTTTACTGTTTTATTGACTTTATTAGAGTTTTGATGCTGTTAAACTTAACTGGGCGGAAAACAATAACTTAAAACAGATGCATGCCCCCTACAGGTTAGATCACTAAAGACACTCTCTAATGTTCTGTACATCCCCAATGATAAAAAGTGGTTTTATAAAATCTACATGTGCAGTCAAAAAAAATTTATTCAAAAAGTAAAACTTCCATATATTCTAGATTCTCCACTTACACAGTAAAATATTTTGAGACTTTTTGTTTGAATCTGTATGATTACAGTCTTCAGCTAATAAAAAATTAACAAAAATCCACTGTCCTACAACATTAAAATATTGTGGAAAAGTCCAGTTTCCTGTCAGTTATTTCAGCCCTGAGAAGATCTCTCATCAGCTAATCAACTCTGAACACCTGCAAAGGTTTACTGAGCCTTTATTCTCTCACTCTGGTTTAGTCAATCACACTCAATCACAATCATGGGGGAGACTGCTGACTCGACAGTTGTCCAGAAGAGGATCACTGGCACCTTCCACAAGGAGGGTAAGCCACAGATGGTTATTGGCTGATCACAGAGTGCTGTATTGAAGCAAATCAATGGAGGGTTGACTGGAGCCAGGAGATTTTAGAGCACCTTATACTCCTATCTACTGACAAGCTTTATGGAGTTACAGATTTCCTTTACCAACAGGACCAGGCACCTGCCCACAGTGCCAAAATTACCATAAGCTGTTTTCCGATCATGGTATGACTGTGTCTGACCTGAACCCCATAAAGAATCCCTCTGCTATTGTCAAGAGAAAGATGAGAGACTCTAGAGCCAACAATAAAGATGAGCTGAAGGTCATTATCTGTGCAGAGGACCAGACTGATTGACTCCATGCTACGTCATATTGATGTAGTAATTTGTGCACAAAGAGCTCTGACCAAGTACTAAGGGCATAAATGAACCTTATATTATTCCAAAAGGTGGAAATTTCTGTATAATAAATCATTTTCTTTGATTGGGGTTTTGCAATATTCTAATGTTTTGAGACAGTGGATTTTTGTGAGACGTAATCAGGATTCAAACAATAAAAAATATTGAGATATTTCACTATAATGAATCTGGAATATTTAGAAGTTTCTCATTTTTTGAGCTGCACCTGTGTTCCCACAGTTTTACACAGCAGCATTTATCGGTATCATTTGGTTTTTATCACTGAAGGAAGTACAATCCCTATAATCCTGTATAAATTATAAGTTAAATATCAAAAAAGGAAAGGACCCAAAATGCAGAACCAAAATGATGATTTATTTAAAAGGAACTAAAACAAAAACTCACTTTTCAAAATGTCCAACTCAAAAATCCAAAAACCAAGAGGAGACACCGGAGTCACACAGAGCAACATCCAACACAGAGGCATAGACACACAATGAACTGACAAAGAAACAGGGGAAGACAAGGGCTATATATACACACACAGAGAAACGAGCACCGAGAGGCAGGTGAGACACAGGTGAAGACAATTACTAAGGAGGGAAAACTGAGGAAGTAAAACAAGACTAGAAACACAGGGAATAAACTACTACAAAATAAAACAGGAAACACTGAAAACTGAGGGAACTGGGGTCAGACACAAACTGAAAACTCACAAGACAAGACGACAGGGGAGCAGGAACAACAGAGAACAATCATAAGGAAAATACTACGGTGGCCGAGAACTGTCACTGCTGCAAATAAAAAGAGAATGCAAAAAAAAAAAAGTCACAACGGAAGTTAACAACACAAAATAAAAATATAAAATTTTTAAAAAGTGGTGATAGAAAGAAAACAGCTACTTACTGCGAAAATAAAAGGATGCAAATTTTAAAAAGCCACCGATCTAGGCATGGAAGATGACGGCGAGAAAACGAGCAAAGAAGTAAGTGGAAAGGTTATTGTTTAACTTCGCTTCATGTACTTTTTAATGTGTCATTTGGTTAAGCCATGTAGCGCCTGAGTTGATATAGAGTTGAACTGAAGCTAACACTACACCGGCATCCTCCAGACCAACTTCATATCGACTCAGGCACAACATGGCGGAACCAAATGACACATTGAAAAGCACAGAAAGCGAAATTAAACAATAACCTTTCCGTTTACTTCTTTACTTCTTCTGCATCCTTTTATTTTCGCAGTGAGTAAATTTTTCAAATTTTATTTCTTTATTTTTTTATCTGCACTGCCTCTTTTTTATTTGCAGCAGGCTTTGGTTTCTTTTTTTTTTCATCAGTAACTTCCATTGTGGCTTTTTTTACTTGCATCCTTTTATTTTAGCAGTAAGTAAATTTTTAATTTTTGCATCACCCCTTTTTTTTTGTCGTTAACTTCCATTGTAGCTTTTTTTTTATCTGCACCGTTTTTTTTCTTTTCTTTTCTTTTATTATTTTTATTCATTTATTTTTTTCAGCGGGCTTCGTTTTTTTTTTTTTTTCTTTTTGCATCAGTAATTTCCATTGTGACTTTTTTTTTTTTTGCATTCTTTTTTATCTTCAGCAGTGGCGGTTCTCGGCCACCGTAAACTACACTCAAGCGAAACACAAAACCAGGGAAAAACTAAACACCAGAACATATCATGACACACTCCCATGTATTTCCAACTGTGATTCAACCTGCTTGCTCTACCTGAGCCTGTTTGTGTGGCAGCAGTGCCACCTCCTGCTGAGCTCAGCACAGAGCACATTAGCAGCCTGTCATGCTGCTCCTGCTGCTGAGAGGATTACACATCATATCTACTGTACATGACCGAGGTGACCCGAGGAGGCAGATTGGGACTGATGAATGACACCTGCATGCAACAAATTACCCCCACTTTATACTCGAGCCATGCGAATCAAACAGCATTATTTTCCATTTTATTCGACACTATAATGTAACAGTGAGAGAAAGTCAGCCTCACGTGTGCTACCGTACTGTTAAAATCAACTCTCCATGCGTAATTGAGCCACTGCAGCGCACGAGGCGACGGCAACATCTGCGAGAAAAACTAATTCAGGGAGAAACCAGAAAATGGGTTAAAAAATCAGTTTGTGTCCCTCGCCTGCAGCACCCAGAAGTGAACAGCAGGCGACCCGGAAGGTTTGAAGTCCGACTGAGAGCGAGCAGAAAGAAGAGTCCAATCCTGTATAAAATATTTCTTCTCTCGCTGCTTCAGGTATGTTGGCCGCTCGATGCAAAAACCTCTCCCTCCTTTTTAGCTCTTTTTCTCTCACATGCACCTTTCCCATCTCGCTTCGTCACCCCTTTTTTTATTTAAGTGACGCAAAAGTTGCATTAAAAGGAGACTATTCGCAGCGCAGAGGTGTTCAAAGATTTCGTTTCTTCTTTCCGTGCGAATAAAAACTCTCATTACGCGCCCGGAATTCACGTCGACGTTTGGATTTATGGCTCGGCAGCTGCAGAGCATTGAGCTTCAGCATGATGATTGTTGTAGGAAGTGTCAGGCTGTGTTTTTTTTCCTCCTCCTAAAGCCGGGCTATTCAAACCTGCAAATCAAAGTAAACAATCGTTCGTACGCCTTATGCAAATAAGCCACATCCCGACGCATCGCCCGAGCGTTTCAATGCATGAGGAGATTCAGCTCCTTATAATATTCGGATCTGCAGAATATGGCGTCCACTGCTTATAAAAATAAGACAGGGCTGCCATTTTTGTTTTCCTTTTGTCTGAAAATTTTTAATAAACTGTCTGAGAATGTGGGAGAGGCGGCGGACAGAGCGAGGCGCTGCGGAGGACAAGATGATGCTCTCATTTACAGCTAGGTTACTCATCCGCTTCTCTGTCTTTTATTTTGGTGAAGGAGGGATAATTCAGCACATCAGACACAGAAAGAGGAAAAAAGGCAAAAAGTTAAGCCTAACTTTTGCCTCAGACTTGTTTCTTTTTTTGTCAATCTGAGTGTAATGGCTAAATTTTTGAGTAGTTTGAGTGAAGCTGCAGAGAGGAGGCTTCATTCACACTCTGATTATAAATAAACTATGTTAACTCTGCTGTTAGGATTCATATCAAACCTACAAAAACATCACCCACACTTATAAAAACTGTCCTTACAGAGTCTACAGCAAGTTAGCCTTACATTACTTCACTCCCACTCCCTTTATGTTTTGTTGGTAGGTTGTTCCAGTTTGCTTTTTAAAGCTACTGTAAGGAGTTTTTGACTTTGATGCCACAAACACAAACAAGATCACCAGCAATAGCTTTGTCCTTAATAACTCCTCATGCCTATGACTGCTGTTATAGTTAGTGGATGTCAGATGAGATTTACAGCACGGTGAAGAAAACCTACCCTATTTTTCGCACTATAAGGCGCACACATAGACTGTATATACTATGGACAACTTGGTTCCGCCTACCGCCAGTTTACGGATTTGAAGCCAAAAAACTGTCCGTTTTTTCTGGGATTTTTCTTAATTTCCTGAAACAGTGCTGCGCAGTAGCAATGCACGCCCGTCAGTGTGATGGCGCTCGGCTCAAACAGCGTATCCCCCCCGGATGAGCTACGCAATCCCCGAACGCCAACTCTCGGCGACTCTCCCGCCAAATGCGCACAACGCTACTGCGTAATATTGGTTTCGGAAAATGAAGAAAAATCGGCTTCAAAAAATTTCGGCTTCAAATCCGTATACAGGCAGGAGGCGGAACCAAGTTGTCCATAGTATATACAGTCTATGGCATAACTTTTAAAAGAAAGCTGGATGTCTTTTTTGTCATAAACATGACCTATGAATGTGCAGGACAACATTAGCAAAAAGATAAGCAGTATCACTTTAAAAAATCTTTTTGATTTTGCACCTTACTAAATTTTTTTATCCTTCACGTCTGCAGTTTAATGCCTATGAGTCCCACTGAGCATTTTTTGGTCTAAAAGAGGTCTAACAGACGTCTAAATGTAGCCAAGACGACTGGTCTAAAATCAGACTACCACAGGTCTAAAAATAAACGTTTTTTAGACATCTAAATTTAGACCGAGTTCAGACTAAATCTATGTCTGGGCTATATCGATACTACACTGTATATTGGTCAACGGCTATCATAATTATTTTGGTTAAGTACTTGGAGATCAGTTATGCAACTCACAGTTGCTTTTTTAAATAAATAGTTATCCAATAATGGGTTAAAGTGCAACATCTAAATTTGTCTAAAAATATACAGAATCTAGACGGTTGAAATTAGGTCTAAAAAAACTGGACATCTAATAGTCGTCTATTGCTCAGTGGGGTGGATGAATTTCAAAGTAAGCAGTAAAGCCTGTTTTTAAGATTTTTCCCAATGTGACCGACCAAAAGTTATTCTTTCAGGCTCAAGTTGGCCACAGTAATTAAAAATAATAATAATAATAATAATAATAATAATAATAGAGCTCCAGCATTAAAGCTTGTTAATTATTAGTGTATCAGACCAAAGTACAGATTCAATATGGATTGAATAAATGAAGCAGTTCAGCAAATGTACTGAATCTGATCCACTATAAATCAAGCAAATACTATTTAATATTAATTGCATTATAGTCTAGCATCTTTAAAAATAAAATGTTCACACTTTTACATGTTTAACATCTAAAGAAAATGAAAAACAAAAACAGACTTTTTACATACAGCATCTTGTGCACTGGGATGTTATAAATAGAGATGAAATCAGTTAATTTAATAAAATTAAAATGCAGATTATTTAAATGTCCAATAACAGCCCTTTTAGTGTAGGATGCACCTGCATTGAAAAAACAAGTTTATTTACCTTAACCTCAATAGCTGTATAAGCAGTATTAATCTATTCAGCTTGATAGAGACCTAGCTGTTGTTCTCCAAGATACAAAATCAGGTTTAACCGTCTCAAGTGCTCCCCAAAGTTGTGCAGTCAAGACTACTATGGTTATGGTCCTTGCTAAAGTTGGAAGGACTCGTATAGTGTGAAGGACTCCTGTACAGTAAAGCCTTAGAGGGACTGCATAGGAACTGTTGACCATACATCTCTGCCATTTATCATTTACGGTGAAGACTGTCAGATTAAAAGTGACAAAGATGTCCAGCAAGTCTTAATCCTGCTCCTGTGAGGCAGAGAGCCTCCAGGAAGTGAAAGTGATCCCCTCTGGCATCATTGGAGAAATATTCTGTGGGGTTTACTGTACGCCTGTACCTCTGAACGTATCAATTTTGTTTCTCTTGGCCCGCAGACGGGGACTGTGTTATGCTTCTGCTAAACCAAACAGACTTAGGAATGGTGAAGTGTGCCAAAACACGCAGAGTTAAATGTTTTATAAAAAGAACTTCAGAGACGAGAGGGAGAGAAAGGCCTTAAAGATCATATATTCAAGAAAACAGCTCCATGTAATAAAAGAATGAGGATTCAGCCCTTATAGCCTTTACCCCCCTTTTCTATTTACACCAAAAAGAGCGTCATTCAGTCACATCCTCTTTGTCAATCAATGCTTTTTATGTAAAAGTATGTTTCACTTACCTTACTACTTTATACAGGTCCTGTTTTGCTCCAACGGTTTGCCTTTAATCCATCAGACTGTTCACCGGTCATTGCCCCATGTGTGTCGAGCAGCAGACAGATTAGCATCTGTGCAACATCACTTGTAACATTTCTGTTTTCTGTGATAATAACCGCTCTGAAGCTGTTACAATCATGTGAGAGCTTATCTCTCCGGCAGCAAGCCCATCATGGTGGCCTGTGGTTGGAAATGCTAAGAAAAAGCTGACCGACTTCTTTGTCACCTGTAAATTTCCCATTGAAACAGTTATGAGGAGCTGTGATGAGTCTTAAGAAGCATAGAAAAGTGTGAAAAACACAAAGATCTCCTCTTCTTTTGGAAAATGTACCGTGATCAAACTGGGACTAATTGAACGGTCAGCTGCTGCTCGGGTGGAGGGCTGCTGACACAAACTTTTCAACGAAGACTCTAACAATAGATCATCACATCATTTTACTAGAGGCAGTTTCGGGGAATTTGCTAAAACCCTGGACTAAAAACAACCCGAAACATAGTTCGATTAAAAACAGGAGATGAAGTTCATTTCACACAGATTCACATTTTTCTGTTTCTTTCAATTTCTCCCTGTCTTTTATAGTTTTTGAGAAGTTATGCATTTCAAAGATGAGAGTAAGAAAATTGAGTTACTCACCTATTCAATGTCTGTTTGAAGGGAAAACTGTGTTGTGAGTTTGACCGAAATGTCCTGAATGCTTGTAGTGATGCTAGCATTGACTGCTCCCTTCACTTTCTTTATGACCCTTGTGTTTTATTTCAGGATGGCTGAACCGCGCTTTAACAATCCCTATTTCTGGCCTCCACCTCCTGCCATGCCTGGCCAGGTGAGTGATGCTGGTATTCTGTCTCCTGTACACACACATTAACCTCGACCAGCAGAGCCTTTTTTATTGTATGCTTTCTGTGTAAAGGTTTCTTTTGTTTGTTAAAGTATTTTGGACAATTTTCAGTTTAAAAGGAGTTAGAAATCTCATCTTCTGTGGTAGGAATTACTTAATCAGATTAATATTCCTCTCTGACTGTAGTTTTGATTTATAAGAAACTGCAGCCAGCAGCAAAACAAAAACAAACTGACAACAAAATTCTTTTATTTTCAATAATTATTTGGTATTTTAGACTTGTCTTGGGTTCAACTCTAAAGAAGGGAAAATTGAGAGTTTAAAGGGATATTAGTTTAGGGTGAAACACACCATAACACCAAGTTAGACACCCCTTCGAGATATGAATGTTGCTGACTGCTTGCTTCTCCAGTTATACCAACTTTAGTAACGACCGCACGATAGCAATACACAGCGGTCTACGTCTCCACGTGCAAACCTCAACCAAAACACCACTCTATAGCCACAAATAATGCTCAGAACAGCACCTAACTGCATCAACAGTACATATAGGGTCCTAGCCATAGTACTAGCCACCAAACATCTTTTTAACTTTGCCTGATTTCTTTAGCAAAGAGACTAAACACAACTCACCTACTCTCTTACAGCAGCCGCTTGTTCGTAGTGAGACCTCAGGCCAGTCCATTACAGACTACAGTGGGGTGACACAGCTCAAGGAAGAACATTTATGATCATTACTTAATCATTTCATGGAAGTAATAATCACCATATTAATCATTTTGCACTGCAAACGCGGTAGTTCTATCCCTTTAAGACATGCTAGTTGTCAGATTTATTTACTTTGGAAAAGGGCCATTCTTGCTGTTTCCCACTGTGCCCAGTAGGGATGGGCGATATGGGCTAAAGAATTTTAAACAATTAGATTTGTCATTCTGGCGATAAACGATTAAAGTCCCAATAAAAAATACAATAATTCCAATCTATATTTTTGACTCATTTTGTCTCGAGAAAAACCAGCTGGAATTGTCAAATAAGATACTTAACCACAAGTTTGAGTGGTAAATTATGGAGAAAACTAATGAGATCAAATAAGTCTCAAATGTGAAAACATTTTCAACATTTGTTGAAAACTCTTATTGCACAGAGTAAACAGCAGCAGCAGATCCTCTGTTCGATGTCAGGCAGACCTGATCGCACTCATCCAAGCCCCCAATCTTGAAGGAAATCCCTCATGTGGAGCCTCATTCAGTAACAAGCTGCTCAGAAACGTCTTCTTAATCACCTTTGGCCATGTTTGTTTGTTATTCTGCTCTATGTGGGCTATGGCTGTAAGTCCATCGCTCGCGCTTACGTCATCAACTTGCATTTATCGCGCTTATCATGGAGGATTTTTCTGACAATATTTCTAGAACGATAATTCACTGCCCATCCCTAGCTCCCAGTTCGTGTACTATCTTACTCCAGCTGTCTTTAACAACATCTGTCCTCTCACCCTGTAATCAGCAGGATGCTGTTAAGCCCTCTTGTCAAAAAACCAAGCAATTAATTAAGACTGGGATTCCCAAGCCAGGGTTATTTATCTCAGCCCAAGATAAAATTCAGGGGTCTTTAAGTGATAAGTGTATCAGATCAGCTGAGACCAAATGTAGATACAAACATTAAACACAGTGTCATGAAAAGATTACTCCACACTAACCAAAAAGTAAATGAAAACCTATTAAAAAAATACAAAACCTACGGGAATGACTTTTAAAATTAAAAAAGAAAAACTGATCTTCTTATTTAATTAGTTGAAATTCATTTAAAAAAAGATATTTTAGATTAACACATGTTTTACAAACCCCTTGAAGATTTTGCTTTTATTATTTCACCTCTGCTTGTTTTGAAATACTGGATGGTTTTAACCCCAGCCCACAAATAGTCCATTAGCTCTTGTAAAAGCTTGTCCAAAGGGAATCTCTGGGTAGTATTTAAGTTATAGGTGACAATAACAGTGAGAAAGTTTTGGATGCAGTGACACATACCAGCCACTAGAGCCTACAGCCTCATAAAGTAGCATTGACTGAACTGATTGCTGTTTTCTTGTCACAAATGCCGTTTCCTGCCTGTCAGCTGGATAACCTAGTCTTGATCAATAAAATCAAGGAGCAGCTGATGGCAGAGAAGATCAGACCACCCAATCTGCCCGCTGCCTCAGTCCCCTCCTCCCAGCAGTCCTTACTCCCCCCACACAGCCAGGCGGAGAGCGTCCATCACGGGATGTCCAAAGGCCAGCAGATGCCTGTACTCCACAGCCCGTCTCAGCCTGACATCGCTCTGCACGCGCGGCCCGCCTCCAGCTCTGTCACAGGTAGTCTGACCCCTCGATCACATCCACTGACTTCACTTTATTCTGATCCTGCTGCAGAGTTCAGCATCAGCCTTTATTTTTTCTGTCGTAGCATACTGTTATGGCGTATTTAACAGCTCTGAAAACACACTACAGTCTCTGGAAAATCTTAACATCTCCTGTCTCTCTCCAGCAATTCTGTCTCAGGCAAAAATCTCCATTATACCTCTTTAGGAACTGAAGAAAACCATTGCTCGGGATCACAGTCAGGAAATAAAAAATGTTTTTAATGTGAATGAAAATTTCCTGTTTGTTTTTCCAGGTCGTATTCTGGGGGATGTGAATTTGAATCTCGATGATAAGGCAGCTATTAAAGCCAGAGGATTATGGGAAGACTGGCATTTACGTCAACTGATAGACCACCCCTCCAGAACAAACCACGTTTCAGGTAAGGCAGCTCGCTCATAGAGCCGGTGTGAGGTGTGAGGGAACTTCACTGACAGCGTCTGTCTACATTGTGCTGGATTTAAACTAGGGCCCGACAGATATGGAATTTTTGGGGCCCAGGCCAATACCGATTATTAGGGGGGAAAAAAATCTGATTATCGATTAATCGGCCGATTTTTGAAATTTATTACGTTATAAAATATATATATATACAGTATATATATATATATATATATATACCTTTTCAGAATCTGGCCCGACATCTCTGAATTTACCTAAAAAAAAAAAAAAACTGATTTCATTATATTCTTGTCTTCACCTTTGCACCCATCAGGTGTCGCCGTGCAGTATGTGGTGCAATTCATATTTCGCACATGATTTATCAAACTGTAAAGTAACAATTACTTTTTGTTTATTTGCACATTTTTTATTTATTTTATTTTTTATTTATATCATATTTTTTGTTTATTCGCATACTTTAATTGTATTTTTATTTCTTATTTTTAAATTTTTTAAATTATTATTTTTTTCAATTAAAGATAGATCTCTGAATTTATCTTAACAAAAATAACTGATTTCATTATATTCTCCTCTTCACCTTTGCACCCCTCAGGTGTGGCCCTGGCATCCAGAACAGGCAACCTAAACACCTCGGAGATCATCACTCCTACCACCCCCACCTCCAGCAGCCACAGCCGGCTGGGTGGAGCCCCCACACCTCACCTCATCTCAGGATTAACCTGCAGCCACAGCCTGGATCCCGGGAAAAACACCGGGGGACTGGTGGGACTCCTTGGCCCTCCTCCAAAGGAAGAACGAGGGCGCAAGAAGATCAAAGCTGAGAACGGGTCTTCACTTTTGGTGGTGCCCTACCCAATCCTCGCCTCAGGCCACGACCAGTGCGTCACCATCACCACCAAAGAGGGAAAAACCTACAGGTGTGTGTGAAGTATTTGACACTCTCCTCTTACTCTCAAATAATTATAACACTTCCATGCATTATACTTGTTGTATTGTAGACATAAACGAGATACAGATCCTGCAGAGGTAGCAGTAGATCAGTCTGCAGGGACTGGGCTTCGGTTACCAGTCTGACTCTTATTATAAACTCCTAAAACCTTCTTTTTTCTCATTTGGCAAACTGGTGAACTATGAGACAATTGCAAGTTTGATAAAATTAAAGTTACATCAGAGGAAAAAGATTCAAGAATGATCATCGTAGACATCATCGTGGTAGTAAAACAGTGTCTGTGCATAGCTCTAGTTAACACTTTTTAAAGGTTAAAGGTTTAAAAGTTATTTCTTTGTCTTAGACTTATAATGCTATTGAGTTCCCCCTAAATGACTGACCATACTTCAAGTTGGGGTTTTGAGCAAGATCCTGTCAGAAACAGAAGTGGTTAACTAGCCTGGGACCTTGCTTCTTTCTCAATTATGCGGCTAAAAAGGAAAAAACATGCAAGTCACCGTTTAAAGCAAAGCAAATAGATCGTCACTTATCTGACTGAGCTTCTCCTGTCTGTTTCCAGGTGTAAAGTGTGTCCGCTGACCTTCTTCTCCAAGTCAGACATGCAGATTCACTCCAAAACCCACACAGAGGCAAAGGCTCACAAGTGTCCTCACTGCACCAAGTCCTTCGCCAATGCGTCGTACCTCGCCCAGCACTTGCGCATACACCTGGGCGTCAAACCTTACCGCTGCTCGTATTGTGAGAAATGCTTTCGACAGCTCTCTCATCTGCAGCAGCATACCAGGTCTGATCCTTTAGATTCCATTACATCCATTATTGTTTTTTACCTGATGTTGTGCATGTACCAGTGCAGCACTCTGTTTTTATAGATACTAAATCTAAGGAAGATTCACTTTTATCCTTCTAATGAGCCTTAGTGTTGAGTCGTTCGCGAATGATTTGTTCAGAAGAACCAGATCTTTTTAGTGAACGTACTTAACCGAATCACTTCCTCAAGTGATTCGTTTATTTCTCACTTCAGTTGAGGGCAGCCGCCATAGCAAGCAGCAATGTAGGGCGAGCAGCCGACAAGCGAGGGACAGATGCGCCAATGCGTAAATCACTTGGTGAACAAATCACGCAGTGAATTATACTCTCTGGAATCATTTTTGTCTGAGGGATAGACTTTCATGGCGACTGTGTTCCTCGTTGTTTTAACAAATTTAGTTCCCAAATAAACAATTTAAAACGTTTGGCTGGCAGTAATGAGAAGAGAGCTGTAGCAAACTCTTGACAGGAGCGACGGAGGGAGATAGGGGTGTGTTATGTCCAAGTGTACCTCAGAGAAAGCTAACTTTTTTTTAAACTCAGCTAAATTGACACCACAACAACTTGCATACAGGAGGACACAGCATGTAACAAATAGTGTATAAAACCCGCAGTTTGAGAAATGCGTGACTGTCTGATCCTATCACTGCAGCGATTTGCGAGGGAACGGTTCATGTTCAGTGTGAATTCTTCTCTGAATGTCCTGTGGGGTAAACATTCAGTGAATGAGTCACTCACTGAGCCCAATTTACTAAGTAGATAAATAGCATGCCATTGGACAGAACACTCAAAAAATCATGATTTATAAACAAGTTCATTTTTATAAACCTGTTTATCAAAGTAACACAGCCACAACACTCTCGTCTGTGTATCAGTTCAGGAGGTCGGAGTCGCAGCCTCCGCTGCCAAGCCATGAATGATTCAGTGATTCGGTGAACAAGTCTTTTGAACAAATCTTTTTAGTGAACTGATTCTAGTGATTCAGCACATCTAAAAGAACTGCCATGCCCATCACTTTTGACCCTCTGCTGTATGAATTTGAGTGGAAAAAGGGCAAATTTGACCTGAAAATCATCACACTTACAGTACATTTCCAGCTTATGAAGTCCACAAAATGGCACTTTTTTTTGCAGGGTAAAAATGCAGGTACTTTTGGAGTTGTTCTGAGAATCTGTGGCTGCTTTATTTCACGTGTGTGTGCCACTAGGGAAAAGAATAAACTGTGCCATCCTGTTTTTTTCTACTGCAGAATCCACACAGGAGAACGACCGTACAAATGTGCCCATCCTGGATGTGGAAAAGCTTTTACTCAGCTGTCTAATCTGCAGGTAAACATCAACTCCTCATCCACCTCTTTGTAAGTACTTCAATTCACCTCATCCTCATTGTTTAATTTTTGTTTTTTTTTCCTTTTAAGTCTCACCAGCGGCAGCACAACAAGGACAAACCCTTCAAATGTTCCAACTGTTATCGTGCCTATTCAGACTCCGCCTCCCTGCAGATCCACCTGTCTGCACACGCCATCAAAAACGCCAAGGCCTATTGCTGCAGCATGTGTGGCAGGGCATACACGTCTGTAAGTAAAGGAGAAGACTTAAAAGTTTGAGCTCTCGGAAACTTCAATATATCTGAAGATATTTTCTTTCTTTTCCTGCAGGAGACGTACCTTATGAAGCACATGTCCAAACACACTCTGGTGGAGCATGTCGTATCCCATCACTCCCCTCTGCACAGGACAGAGTCTCCCGCCATCCCTATACGGATCTCCCTCATCTGAGCTCCTCGTTAGCGTGACCCCTCTATGGACTCTGAACCCAAAGACAGGTTCCAAAAAAAAAGTGCCGGATCGTTCAAGTATGTTGTGAAGAGGAGCTCTTTTAACGAGTTTTCCCTCAGTTCCTTTCATGCTGACCAGATAGTATTATCGAGGACATCCAAAGATGACTTCTCAGCACTTTCAGGCCTGAAAATGACGGGCCTTAAAATTTCTTTTTTTATGTGACTTAACAGGAAAAAAATATTGTTCTGGGCAGCTACATGGAAAATCTTTCAAAGTATTATGTTATTACACATTAGGGTGTTTTTGTCCATTTTTTTTGTTTTTGTTTTGTTTACAGAAATGTCTTTGCAAAAATAACTAAACAAATTATACACCAGAAATGGTCTTCCATTAGCTGGGTTGCCAAGTGAACATTAAGGTGAATGCTTATAAAAAGTGTATTCATGTATATTGTGCTACTTTCTATGTCTGTGTTTGCAACGTCTCACCAGTCACACTGCGCACATAAATCACGAGTCAATGTTTCTGTTGTAGTAAGTCTCACCAAGTTGCCAGCTTTACCCTGACCTCATAGAAACATGGATATATAACGATGGTAACACTTTACAATAACCATCATTTATAAATGGTAAAATGACCATTTATAAATGGTAAGCAGATAATTTATTAATATTTAATCATCATTTATAAATATAGCATATGGACCATTAATAAGTTGTAAATTTTACAATTTTAAAAACCCAACCCTAAATTTAAGTCATTTCAAAGTCATGTTTATAGGTGGTTTATAAACCAAATATTAAACATTTACAAAGTGATACTGACACACATTTTAATCTAGATGTTTTACAACCAATATTTAAACCCTATATAAACCTTTAATAAATAGTCCATTAATAATAAATGAAAATTATTAAAATTATTAAATTATTAAAATTTCATTGCTTGTTAATAGTAAAGCAACTGTTAACTTACATTAATAAACGATCTATTTGTCATTTATAATCGGTCTATATGCTGATTTTAAATGATAATTAAACATTAATAAACAATCTGCTGACCATTTATAAGTTATGGTTTATGTAAAGTGTTACCATAATGTTTTTTTCTTTTAATGCTTTAAACTACACTCAAGCAGTCCTCAAGGTTAATAATCTCAAAACCCCGTACCTAAGTGTTTGGTGGAAAGACAACCTCACTAACTCAAGTTAGACTCTGTTTTCATGTACAAGAAGAGTTAAAAAATGTGTTTTGTAAATTTTACTGAAGCCCCCCTGATACTCTCATAATTTACTTGCATTAAACTTGCTATATTCACGATTATGTTTTATATATTTTATTGAAAGAGTACCTCTTATTGTCCGAATTTCATCTGTGCTATTACGTAGTGATTAGACTGAAATGTAACATTCACTGTGCTGCTGCCACATGAACAGATGTGGCACTTTCCCGGAAATCGTCAAGTTTTTGGGGTTCTCACTGAAACAGCATCCTTCTTATAAAGATTCAGTTTTATGTTGTTTGATGAATAAACACTAGCTGGTTTATATGCATTTAAGCCTTAACTTTGTTACTACTCTCGGGTCCAGGTTGTTGTGCTGACACTTCTCAGTTGCCCTTGATGTCATTATAGCATGATATATACTTCTGTAAATAAACTATGTTAACTGTTAACCTGTTTTATAATAAATAATTCTATTATTATGAGAATATCAGAAGTTTGTTTTCTTCTTAATTAAGGAAGCCTTAATGAAGACTCAACCACTGATGCAAGAGTAGAAAGAAGTGTTCAAAGTCAAGCTGTGATCACCAGAGACAGACTCAGGCTACTGCTCATAGACTGTAATTACTATGGACAACTTGGCTCCACCTTCCGCCAGTATACGGATTTGAAGCCGCGTTTTTTTCTCGATTTCCTAAAACCAACATTGCGCAGTAGCGTTGTACGCATTCAGCGGGAGTCACTGAGAGTCAGTGTTACGATTCTCTGCTCTCACATATATATATATAAATATATATATAAATATATATATATATATAAATTTTATTTTATTTATTTATTTAAAAAAATTTTTGACGCTTGGCTAAAATAGCGTATCCCCCGGTGAGCTACGCAATCTTCGTACGCTCATAGGCTGTATCAAATGTCAATCAAGGAAAACATGAACCCCTTAATAACTTTTAAAAATGGAGCAAACCAAATGGAACAAACCGGTCTAATAATAACTACATGTCAACATCGCAAGCAGGGGCAAAAAAAATTATATTCTCTGTAGTTAATTTCCAAAGTTTGTCCACAACTCCATAAGGATTGCTGGAGGAGGCGGGATTTATGACCTATACTGCAGCCTGTCTCCAGAGGGTGCTGTTCTCTGGGTTGCAGACACAGTCCATTCTATATACAGTCTATGCTTCTGCTGTTTGACTGAATTGAATATGTAGATCTTCTTATTGTGGGTTGAAGCTGTGAGGAGACAACTCAAACACATTAGTGCTCAAGATATGGATTGGTATAGAGGCCCTAAAATATAGACCATTAAGTAGTACAATGGGAATGCTGACAGGATGAAATAAACAGATGAACTGCAAAAAAATTACTTCATTTCTTCATTTAAGTCACTGTGTTACAATAGATATGATATCAGGTTTCAAGTGACAATAATGAAAGTTCAATATTGACAGGACTTTAACAAATATGGTAATGTGAAAAGAGGCATTTGTGGGGAAACACAACGAAATAGAAATAGAGACAGATAAATCATCTCAAAGTTTGGATGTAGGCCATGTGTACTAGTGGTATCTATTGTATTTTGGAATTAGAAAGACATGAGACTTCCTCAATTTGTGAATAGCTAAATAACTGTGTATATTCAACAAACTGTGAGAGAATTAAGATGTCAGAGGGCTGAAGGAACAAACCGCAGATGCATAGAGGACTTTGGTCAGTTTCCTTTTAGCACTCAGAGAGAGAAGAGCATGTTTTTATAGCCTTTAGGAAGTGTTTACAGATTCACTTTGTTGTTCTGCTTATAAATGTAAAATGTAACCTGATCAGTTGGCTCCAATCAATCTGCACTTAGCTTTACTGGACATGGTGCAAAGAAAAATTAAAACATGGTTTTGTACTGAGTCTCACAAAGTCAGAATGTCTTTCTTGCTCATTTGCACAATGAAATGTGAAAGGAATTTTACAGAAGAAGGAAAGGGACGATTAAAAAAAGCAAAAGAGCCAATTGTACAATATAAATATTGAAGATGAAAGTATAATACAGAAGCTGGTGTTTGCCTACTTAAGTGATCCACACAGTGTTAGTCTAAGGTGTCTGAGCTTGTATTAAAGATAAAATTCTTCATGACTGCTGTCAAATGAAACTTCAAACTTCACCCTTGCTTTAGATAATGTTTCATATAATTTAAGTTTGATAAAAAAATAAAAAGGACTGACACCTATGGCTTCAAATCTAAGCTGCTGCAACCTGCTTTTAGAAGTGTTTAGGACTCCTTTATTCTAAAATACATCGACCTTGAAAGTACAATCCTTGAAAAGATTGGATAGAAAGGATGACGTTTTGAAGATGTCTTTGAGTATCTTGCAATATGATTCACCAAGTTTGAAAAGTTTGAATAACAATGGTTGTCAACTTGAGATTCTGCAAAAAGCTCTGTCACCTAACAAATATAACAAAAAATCAGCATACAATTGTGGATACGAATCTACCATTTCAACAACCAGGGAACTTCTCAAGTTGCTAGTTGTTATATGAATAATAACAGGTACAATGAAGTCTTGGTTGGAGGCCTGTTGTGGGATCACTGCCAGCTCCTGCTCATAAACTCTTAGCTGTCATGTCTCGATGAATATCATCATCAGAAGAGAGCTGACAGGTTCCATACTGCAACATACCCAACCAAACTTACAGTGTACGACTTCATATTGTCCTTTTACTGTTTGTGGGTCCTGAAGCTTTTGAAAAACTTAATTTATTCTGCTTTAACCAACATTTACTTTGAGAGTCTGACTATAACAACGTTTAGCCGACATCAGTGATACTAATTTAGGATATGCCATAGATAGATAGATAGATAGATAGATAGATAGATAGATAGATAGATAGATAGATAGATAGATAGATAGATAGATAGATAGATAGATAGATAGTGTCATGCTTACTCTGGTTTCCACACGAGGGCATGGTGGAGTCATGTCTTTGTGTGTTTGGAGTCTCTCTCTCCTTCACAGAGGTTGGGCGGATCCTCACCAGCGCTGGCTCCTCCCACACCTTCGCACCCGCACCTGATTCACCCTATTGCCACCTGCTTTTAAACTCTGGGTTAAAGGCTGCTTGTTGACAGATGATTCCTGCTTGTTTAGTGGTATTTTGGCCAGCTTCTACAAAAGTTATTTGGTATATTGTGAAAGTTTAAAGTGTTTTTTTTGTGAGTGATTAATCCCCGCTGTCCTCCTTTCTCCTCCAGATTTACTTAGTCTTTCTAATACAAAGCACTTTTCACATTCACAAATACATGTAAGTGGATGTAAAGCAATCTAAACAGTGACCAAATGTTGTATTATACACATTTTTGAGCAAAGAATTGTTTGTTCCCCCTGGTTTCATTCCCTAACTGATCAGTGACTGTTAGCAGTTAGCAATCCAATGCTCATAGAAACATATGTAGTCCTTGTAGAGCACAATGTCACTTGTTTTTTTTAAATCAGGCTTTTATTGTGGTTGAAATGGCAAAACAATGACTTTGTTGAGACTAGTTTCCCACAGAGTGCTTCACATCAGCCCTGATCATCTCTTCAGTTGTATTATGTTCATTTGTCAGTCACTTCTTGGACTGACAGTAACTAACATATAGGCTCAAACAAACACACGCACACTAGTTGTGTCAAAATGGCATTAAAGTGTTAAATAAAAAGCTTCTAATTAATAAGGTTTTATCATTATCCTGTTTTTTTAGTGTTACATTTCACCCCAGGGTATGTTACAACTAAACCAGACTATGGAGTAAATTGTGACATTTCACTCCTTGTGTTTGAGACTAAATTATGCGTTGTCTGTTTGTGTTGCAGGGGTAACTGTTTATAGCAGACACATATACCTAGTTTGTATCACAGTTTGAATCCATTGGCTAAAAAGATCTCTAAGATACAGAGAGAAATGTCAAAAATGTTACAACCATCCCCGGTCTCCCCTACGTGAAAGAAACTATCTGGTGCATGTAATTCCTAAAGATGGAGGTAATCATTAAAAAAAGAACATCTATATGCACATCATAGTTTTACACAATTATTGTGGATAAAGATCTGCATGTTTGGATCTTAATTGTTTATTATCTCTGTGAATTTTTTCCTAATTTTATTTTTGTACTTTTTAGTGTTTTTGGGCTACAGATGACCCAGAGTTCCTTTCATTGGTTATTGAACGAGTTTCTTCTCACTCGTGATTATCCGGCACAGACACTCATCTACTCAAAGTTACTTCCTCATCAGTTTAAACACCGTTCAGTATTATACGGGCTTCTGAGTTAAGCAAATCAGCAGCGGTGAAATGACACAATTTCTGTAGCATCCCTGATCAAGATACGCCCTTTTTTTTACTTGATGATGACCTGAACATACCTGAGAGAAGCTGCTCCTTTTGACTTTAGACTCCTGTAACCTAAAGGGGCTGCTGGTCTGGACAGAACCGCAGGGACAACACTGACGGTACTTTAGGCACAAGTGCAGTTTCGGCTGTGGCACCAACTCTCAGGTAGGGTAGGGGAGACCGGGGATGGTCGTAACATGTTTAACATTTCTGTCTGTATCTCAGAGCTCTTTTAAGCAAATGCATTCAAACTGTGACACAAACTAGGTATATGTGTATCCTGCAACACAAACAAAAAAAGCATAATTTAGTCTCAAACACAAGGAGTGAAATGTTACAATTCGCTCCATAGTCTGGGTTAGTTGTAACATACCCTGGGGTGAAATGTAACATTAAAAAAACAGGATAATGATAAAACTTTATTGATTAGAAGCTTTTTATTGAACACTTTTACAGCATTTTAACATAACTGGTGTGCGTGTGTGTGTTGTAAATATGCATCAACTGAATATACGTAGGCTATGTGTGTGTGTGTTTGCAGTGACTTCAACAATTAAGCAGCATTGTGTATGTGTGTGTGTGTGTGTGTGTGTGTGTGTGTGTGTGTGTGTGTGTCTTTTATCAACATTTCAATATAACTAACTGAACTATATTTTTAGAGGTACCCCCCCGGTCAGTCTTTCTCTTCCAAAAAATAACTCAGACCCTTTTCACCAGAAACTAGCTTACTTTACAGCTAAAAGCTACAACTTTGGCATGAACAACTTGCAAGAAAAATATGTACATAGACACACAAAAAACATGATTTAAATTTGATAAGTTCAACTACAAAGCAGGCAATGCTATCATAAAAATAACTACATCAAAAAAAAAAAATTCTTACCTCAAAATTATTATTTTTTTTCTCTTAAAACTGTCTGAGTCTACCGCAGGAACCTTCATGTACACATGAAGGTCTTTACACACCGGGAACGACGCAAATATACGATGCGAAATTACAAAATATCCGGAGGCGAATTTTGAGGAGAAAAAAGACGTGTCCCGGGTGGAAGCAAGAAGACTGACACAACAGCAGACTGAGTGTTTTTCAGTTCTGATTAGACTCTAGTGTTGAGATGTCTGTCTGTCATGATAGCATGTACTGAGTCAGGGTCAGTACCAGATAAACACATTAAACTATAATCCATAAATTTAAGGTAACAACCGAGACCTATTGGTGCTGTGACAGCAACACGATTGAGTTTGAGACAGTGAAAATACATATGGTATGTTGCATCTGAAGAGGTTAGCTTATTAGCTAAAGTTACTTAGCACAGATGAACAAAGACGTTTAGCAAACTGTTAAAGCATGCAAACCATCGTCATATGAGAGATCCGATGCTATGATTCTCCACGAGTTGTCCTTCAGGTCGTTATCTTTGGAATGTTTGTGATTTTTATCAAAAAGCACTCTGTTCTCCGACACGTAAACAATCAGCCAGTCGGCCATGTTGGATATACCGGTGAATCTGACCCCTTTGGCCCCTTTACCACGCAGTAAAATCCAGTAAACCCTGCTGAAAAAAACTTTAAAAATGAGCGGTCATGTTTAATTCTGTTTATTGATTTATCATTAAAAAAAAACAGTTTGTATGCAGAAACACTTTGATGTATATAAAAGCTGATTTTCTTTCTTGTGTTGCTCTGTTCAAGAACCTACAGTCGCCCCAGACCTCTTACAACCATGAGGTGTCAAAGGTATTTAGATTTATAGGTGTTGATGCTGATGTCTTAATTTTGGTTAAAGTCTTAAACAGACCGTCTTTGTCTTTATTCCTGCAGGTTCTCTGTGAATATTAAGTGTGCTCTAAAATGTGTGCTTTTCTTGACTGCTGCATTTTGTGTTCTCTACTACGTATTTCTTTCTCAGAGGTGAGTACCAAACCAAAGCAGGAGTGAGGCAACATTAAACTGAGAGGGCTGTAGGAATGGCTGCATAGCAAAGCAGTAAAAGATCAGATTGGTTTTTGGTTTGACTTGAGTTGATAAGGATCAATGCTGAACTAATAACAATCTCAACATGTTTTTGACGCCAGAAACTCTACAGACCTCGAACCAATGAACGAAGAGATGATGTTACGGGAAAACAATCAAAACATCAATCTTGATCTTGGGTAAGACCATCATGTTCTTACTTCTAAACAACCTGTTTTACAAGGGATGTTTTCTAACCTTTCGTTTTATTAGCTGATGTTTCATTTCACACGTAGCCTTTAAGCAGCGGTGCAGTTTGAACACCCACACCTTGGATGACCACAGACTTTGTAGAAAACTGTTACTGGTGACAGAAGTTTGTGGTGTAGAGAATTTCCTGTGCTGTGTGTATGTGTAACTGCTGGCCGTCAGTGCAACTCGATTGTGATCTTCATTAAAGTAATCCATAAATTACAGGTAGTTTTAGAGATAGATGACCCCATAACAAAGTACAGAAAAGGATTAGGACCACTATAAGATATATATAAAAATATAAAAGGTCAGGTCTTTGTGTAAGAGTAAAGTCAGAAGTCTGAGACAAAAGTCAAAACTCTGACCTTATTCTCATAGTTCTGACTTTAGGCTTTTTTTCTAAATTTTAGACTTTTCTCTAAGAATTCTTAGATTAAAATCAGAAGTCTGAGTTATTTCTCAGAATCAAAAATAGAAAAAAGTCAGCATTTTGAGTTTTAAGTCGGACTTCTATTAAGTTTTGAGTTTTTGCTCAGAATTCTGAGAGTAAATGTATAATTCTGACTTTATCATGATTGCGATTAGAAGTGTTGAGCTGAGCTGCTATCTCAGTACAATGAAAGATTCGAAAAGTTTTGATTGAACACAGGAAGTTGTGTCTAACCACTTGAAACCACAACAGATGGCTCCAGCAGTTCAGAATGCAGCAGCTCGGCTTTTAACTGGTTTTAGTCAATGGCCTCTTATCACATCAATTTTAGCCTCCCTTCACTGGCTTCCTGTCAGTTTTAGAATTGATTTTAAGATTTTGTTGATTACTTTTAAAGCGCTCAAATGACTTGCTCCGAGCTACATTTCAGAGCTTTTGATACCTTATGAGCCAACTCGTAGCCTCAGATCCTCTGGTGAAGACCTCTTGGTCGTTCAAGAGTCGAGGCTCAAAACTAAAGGTGATAAAGCTTTCTCCATCAGAGCTTTGGAACGACCTGCCAGAGGAGATAAGGCGTGCAGAGACAGTCACTTTTTTAAGGTCAAATTTAAAAACTCACTTTTACAGACTTGCTTTTATGTGATGCCCTCTTTTACCTTTTTTCTTTTATCTCTTTTACCTCTATCTTATTCCACTTACTATCCTTTTGGCCTTTGTTTTACTTATAATCTTTTCTTATTTTACCTTTTAGGTCCTTTATTGATTTTATTGATTTTTTCCTGCTCATTTTTATTATTCCATTTTATCATTAATATTACCATCATAATTTTATTATCATTATTAATATCCTCTTTTATACTTACTATCCTGTTTCCTGCTTTCTGCCTCCCTTTTCTATTTCATTTCGTCTTTCTTCCTATTTTATGTTTTTATTTTGGTCCTCATGGTCTCATTTTATGTTGTAGGGTTCTTGTATTGCCTGGGTTTCTTATGAAAAATGAAATTGGCCTTCAATTCGGAGGCCTTGTTTTTAACTGAGCTTTTGTTTTTATTTGTTTTTATTTTCATGTGCTGATGTTCTATGCTTTGCAACTGTTGTAAAAAGCACTTTGTAAACTTCTGTTTTTAAAAGTGCCATATAAATAAAGTTATTATTATTAAGTGTAACACTGCAAAAAAGTGAAAATTTAACTTTTCTAAATGAGTCTTTGTTTGCATCAGTTCCAGGCTTGATGTGAAAACAAGCACAACTTGGGGAGCTCCAATCATGTGGGAAGGAATGTTTAACCCAGACATGTGTGACCAAATTCACAAGAAAGAAGGATCCTCTGTGGCTCTGACGGTGTTTGCAGTTGGCGGGTTTGTTCTCATAATAATATATCCTGCTTAGGTTTATTTAGCATATTTATGTCCAGCATTATAAAAATAAAACTGACATTTTTTTGTCTCCAATTCTGCTCCAGGTACCTGGATGTTTACCTGGAGACCTTCCTGAGCTCCTCAGAGCATCACTTTATGCTGGGTTTGCCTGTCACATATTATGTATTTACAGACATGCCAGATAAAGTGCCGGCCATCAAGCTTGCTCCTCAGAGAACTATGAAGGTTATTCAAGTGCAGAGGCACTCCAGGTGGCAGGACATATCTATGACGCGAATGAAAACTATAGCAGAGGTCATAGACGAGCAAATTCGCCACCACTCCACGCATGTCTTCTGCTTTGATGTGGATCAGTTTTTTACCGGACGATTTGGTTCAGAGGCCCTGGGAGATTCCGTGGCCCTCCTCCACGCCCACTTTTACAGACTTCCAGTAAATCGTTTCACCTACGACCGAAACCCAAAATCCAAGGCGTACATGGAGACGGGGGATTTCTACTATCATGCTGCAATCTTTGGAGGTTCGTGGAAGAGTGTGAAGGCGCTGGCTGAGGCCTGCTATCTGGGCATCTTGGAGGATAAGAAGAACAATGTGGAGGCCATGTGGCATGATGAAAGCCATCTCAACAAGTACCTGTGGCTTCACAAACCCAGCAAAGTGCTCTCTCCAGAGTACTGCTGGGACACCAGTATCCCTGACTCAAGGGATATACGAGTCACTCGGCTTCAGTGGGCACCAAAACATTATGATAAACTACGCTCCTCCTGAAGTAGCTTGGGACTGAAGAGCAAAATTACCTAATGAGGATTTCTTAATAATAATTTACTGGGTACCTGTTGGCTTTATCAATCATTTTCATTCAAACAAAAAGTAGCAAAGTCTGGTCTCTCTGAATTTTCTAAAACCTTTGCTCTTTTTTTCCCCACATTTTTGTCCTTTTTCTTTTTAGCTGCTGATGGATATTTGTTTTGGGGGTCAGAATTTACTCAGGAGAAGAACTTCTTTCATTTAGACGGAGCAAATCTAGACAATATCATCTAATTCCAGTAGACATCTGGAGGTGTTTTCATGGTTGTCGTGCTAGTGCAAAGGTGAAGTCAAAGTTGAAAGCTCGGAAATGGCGTTATAATATAAGCCATGGGGAAACATCAACTCAGTGCCCAACTAAAGTAACAAGCTGGAAATATGAGTGAGGACTGAGAAAGCAAACTGTGAGTGCAACTCGGACTCCAGTGTGGATCTACCTGGTTTCACTCTCATAAGGTCGGACAGAGATGCTGAAGCTAGTGGCAAGAAGACAGAAGGGGGTCTGGCTTTATTTATTAACCAGAGATGGTGTAACTCATAATACATAACTGTCAAGGTGAAGTTGTGTTGTCCAGATATTGAACTGTTGGCTCTTGCTCTTCGGCTACAAAATAAATAACAATATTTGCATTTATGTATTCTCCATGATGCTGTTGCTAGGATACAGACTTGAGACCTCAGCCATGTCACCCGCTCCTCTCACTTAACTGGATTTACAGTTTTTTTTTAGCTGACCTACCAGAAAAAAATTTGCATGTAATTCCAGATAAATGAATTTCCCTTTGAGGATAAATAAAGTTCTTGTATTGCACTGAATTGAAATGGAATATCCTTTCTCCCTTGTGTTTTCTATTTTATTTAGTAAGGGCAAATATTTGACAAGCTTTCATATGAAACCAGTTTTTGTAAAAAGTAGTTAGCTGAGGTGATGTCTGTCATAAACGCACCATAATCACCCGGCACTGTAAGCACTTATTACAGCATAACCCTAAAACTTAATACTACTGGTATTTTACATCCATATGTTGCACCTTATAAGTTTCACTAACGGCTTCTGATGAATTTATAATCATTCTGGTATATTAATGGTTTTGGTTTTTGGTCATTCCAGACACACAATCATGCCTCCTTTGACATTTTGTTGTGACAACAGGTGTTTAAAGGTGCAGTGTGTAATTTATAGCACCATTTAACAGAACAGACTTGGTAGACATGGAATATAATATGTTTAAATTTGTGTAAAATCAACTTAATTGGTAACTTAAAGGTCCTTACACACTGGAAGGGTTTTTTTCATGCGATTATTTGAATGTTTTTCTCAGCATCCAGGGAGCGCACCCTGTTCCTCAGGGCTCTGATCTCCAGATCCAGACAATCATTTAGCTCCTTGGTCTTTCGCAGTTCTACCAGCTCTAGTGAAAAACAGACGGATAATGCACTTTCAGACAGTAGAGTTATCACACATTCATCTTTAAAGTGCTGTTTTACAATAGACAATTCCAACATGATGCATTTTCAGAGTTAGGGTTATAATTCTGGACAAGATGATATCTAGTGAATTGTAAATAATGTGAGGCACGATCAGTTTGAATATGTTTGTTAGTGAGTGTCACAGACTCCTGATCCACTGCATGCTGAGATTATATCTAACCCCTGAGCAGGTTTAGTGAGTAAACTCATCAACTTGAAGAAAGGCAGTGTGGGTACAAAAATGCAGATTTTTTTCCATGTGTTTGCGAGACAAACTCAACAGCATATTGTATACACAAATAATTTAAAAAAGCTTGCATACCATATGTGAATGAAATCTTAAGTCTGTTTATGGACTTTGGTCGGTAATTTGGATTTGATAACGTTAACCAGACATTTGTTTGAATATTAACTAGTAAGTCAGCCACTACTATCAGGCCAGAACTGGGCCTTAGAATAAAAGTTAATTTTAGTTAAGGTTCATAAAGAATCATCAGTTCCAATAGTACCTACAGTTAATAGACTCACTTTTGTTGGTACAAGGGGAGAAACAGAAGGACAAAGAGATGAACCTCATGATGGTATTTGTGCCAGTTTAGTGATGAATCTTAAAGATAAAAACTGTGACTGTGAAGTAGTGTGTGGGATGTTTTTTTTTTCCTACTTGAAGAAAGTAAAAAATTTGGGTCAGCTCAATGTTGTGCTCAAAACGTGGCTGGAAATGAAACTATGAGAAGCAGAAAAAAAACTGGTGTTTAATTAATTTATTTACTTACAAATAAAACAGTGTCTGTAAAGTTTAAATATAGAATGGATAACAAAAAAAGATCTCAGGAAAATGTACTATTTGAGCTGCTAAAGCCAGCCAAAGAGGCGGAGAGGTCCGATCGGCTCTGAGCTGAAGTCAGATTCAGGTAACCCATCTCAGCCGATCGAGACAGAGACCGAGAGAGGAAACACTGCAGAGGAGGTGACGTTGCATCAGACTGCTTGGATTGAGCGCTTTCATACAAGCCCTGACTTTTAGATGGCTCAGACTTCATCTCATTAGGGCTGCAATCAAAGTGGACAAACATGTAGTCATGATTTAAGAAGAAGGTAAAAAAAAAGGTTTTGCTTAAGGGCTTTATTGGTATCCAACCTACCTCTGAGGATGCACATGAAGACATTTAAAATCTTGCACTGGACTGGATGTTTTTATGAGCTCCTGATAAAAAAAGAGAGATGGTTTGAATTTTTGTGCATCTGATTAAACTATGGCTGTAGTCAACCGGTTGGGTCACAATTTTTGTTGGTCAAACACTCATTCTTATAAAATAACTATGACAACAATGATTACAGTTATCAATATTATACATTTAACACACACACACACACACACACGCACACACACACACACACACACATATATATATATATATATATATATATATATATGTGTGTGTGTGTGTGTGTGTGTGTGTGTGTGTGTGCCAATTAAGAAAGATACATAAGAACACAATGAAATTACATCATTAGCCCCAACGTTTGCTCAAAAACTCATCAGGGTCAGGGGAACTTTTAAGTTGGATTACCAATATATTTATCTAATCATTAGGTTTTTTTTTGTTGTTGTTGTTTTTAAGTCTTTATTCATCGGTTTATTTGGGTGGGGGTTATTCCTGTATTGAGTGAAGAGGATGGTGGGCGGAGAAATGTCTATGGCCATGATTTGACAGCTGAGCTAAACCAGTACCCCAGATTTTAGACATCGAAGCCATTTCTGTGGCTCATCTTAGCCATGAGAGTGAATGTAATTTTCTACATTATCATACAAGCATATTGCAAGTGGGTCTGTGTGTTACAGTGTGCTAATGCCAAAGTACGGATGTGTCAGATTTAGCTTTACGCGATACCTCAGTTAGGTGGAGAGCCTGCGTGTTTTGTGAGCGGCGCTCCAAGATGGCGAGCTGGCTGGACATGTGGAGTAATTTGTTTCCCAGTTTCCTGTTCTCGATCTCTAAAAAGTCTACCCTGAAAAGAGAAAAATGCCCTCTCAGTGTAAGTGAGCGGGTACTTAATAGAAAACTTTGAGGAAAATCTGATCATTATAAATCATTATAAATGTCCAGTACCTGCATTTGGACAAAGACGCTGTTAGATGACAGTCCTTCTTGTTGTGCTCCTCCTCATTCAGCTGCTGTAGTAGTCTTCTCCTCTCAAGGAGTAATTTGTCATTTTCCATAGTTATACTAATGGTGAGCTCTTTTTCCTGGAAAACAAAGACTAATTAATTTCCTTATTTAACATTTAACAATCCATCTGTGGGACAAGGATTTTACACTGCCCATGAGCCACTTGAAAACACAGAAGACATCCTTTCGTCTTTGGTGTAGAGTGGTATGAAGCTGCATATTCACCTTTGCCAGTGAATGGGAGCACAAAGACAGCTCACGCTCTTGGCTTTTGATCTTCTCATCGCGCCAGGTGGTCTCATCATCAAGTTTCTGTTTGGCTCGGAGAAGTTTGTTCTTGTGTTTTTCCTTCATCTCATGGTATTTACTGTGAAAATATTGAAGAAAATAACACACAGAAATATAAAATGCTGATTTATAGTTTTCAAAGTCCTCATAAAAAGTGTTTGCTAGCCCAGCCAGGCCTCTTGTTCTGTCCTTGCCCTCCCTGTCCAACTGAAGATCTCGCTACAGACCCTTTCCTTGAACAGGTTTGAGTTGTAGGGGCCATGTTGTATAGTAAGTGGTATCAGCATTGTTACTACCTAGAGCCAGCATGTACGCAGCATACTTCAACTGAATCTGTTAATGTTGTTGGGTTGTAACATAGGGAGGTCCTACAGGGGATATGATGGGCAGCGGGAGCTTGCATTGAGAGGCGTGGCTCTAAAATGTCAGAACGAACTGTTGGGCCTCTTGTGGGCAAAACATCTAACAAATCTAATCATTCTTTTTTATAGCTCACATCAAGTTTTAGAGTTAAAGTGTGCATCAGTGTCAAGAACATAGACTGTATAAAGAATGGACGCCATCTGCCTCCTCGCTGGGTGAAGCCACCACGAGAACAGCACCCCCTGATGACAGGCTGCAGTATAGGTCATAAATCTCGCCTCCTCCAGCAATCCCTATGGAGCTGTGGACAAACTTTACAAATTTATTACACAGAATATAATTATTTTCCCCCCCTGCTTGCAATATTGACATGTTGTTACTTTAAGTCTGGTTTGTCCTCAAGTCCTCCATTTTTAAAAGTTACTTGGGGGTTCATATTTTCTATGATTGACATGTGATACAGCCTATGGGCACACAAAGATTGTGTAGCTCACCCGAGGGAAACACTGTTTAAGCCGAGCGTCATCACAGCGACTCTCCAGCCGAATGCATACAATGCTACTGCACTAGTGGTGGAGTGCATACAAGTGATGGTTCCAGAAATCCCGGAAATACCGAAAGCAATTCGGCTTCAAATTCTTCTAACAACAGAAGGCGAAACCAAGTTGTCCATGGTATTTACAGTCTACGGTCAAGAAACAAACGGACCCTCTTACCTTCTCTCTTTGTCAAGACATTCAAGGAGTTCACAGATTTCCTTCTTAAGCCTCTCACACTCTTCTTGAGTAGCCATCAGATTCGTCACTGCCTCTCTAAATTCAGGAAAGTCCTGTTTTCACAGGGACGCACCATCAACAGTTTAATGAGTTCAAACGTGTCATCTGAGATAGACCTGACAAATGTTTATATCCAAAAATTATCATTTACCATGGGTGTTTTATTTTCTTTGTGTACCAGCTGTGGTATTTGTGCCAGTGAATCTTCTGTTACAAACGAGTTCTCCAAGTTGTTTTCATTATCACATGTATCTGCCTCTTTTGGGGTCTCCAGACTTTGAGCACACATGAGGACATACTGTGAATCTTTCACATACAGATATAGAATTGCAACACCAAGAGTTTGCATGCATGAAAAAATAGAAGCTAAATAAAACTGTACCTTTTATCTTCAAGATATTTTGTTTTTTGGCAAACGGTAGCTATAATGTTGTCCATTTTTATGTGGGAATCATCCAGTTGCTGCTTGAGAGTATGTATCTAGAGGGGTTAGAAAAATTTTAAATTCAATAGGAACAGAGGCCGTTGACAGCTAAGAGTATTTACTAATGAATTTAAATTGGATGCAGTTGTCAGAAAATTGTTAAATCACTTACCTCTGACTCCTTTTCCAAAAGGCATCTTGACTGAGCACTGAGATTATTTTGTAAACTTTTGCAGATCTCTTTGCTCTGATTCAATTCAATCGTCTGGGACTGGAGACATAATACGACTAAAATTTACCACATCTTTTTATTTCGAATATAGAGTTCACCAAAACAGATGAGTTTGAAAAGAATACAATTCTTCAAAAACCAAATTTCTTAAAAAGAGTGACCCATACAGATGCAAAAGTTGTGAGCTTCATGTGTAATCTCCTCAAGGTGAAGTTCAGGGAAACTTACCTGGACTAACTCATTAACTTGACTGGCCTGAGCCTGTGCAGTGAGGAGTTTTTGCTCTGCCTGCCATTGCTGCTCCTGCAGGGCTGACTGCAGCTTCTTCACATTCTTCTGCAGATACGTGACCTGACAAACACAAAATACGGACAGGTGGCACAAGGTTATCAAATGTCTGTTTTAAGAGCGGTGACCATATTAATAATCCACTTCAAATTTAATAGTTGACTTATTAGTGAGAGAATAAATCGAGTTAAGAGAATGTTGTTTTATGTTATCAGCCATGCCAACTCATGCTTTATGTACTTACAGTTTCCTCCTTTTCCATAAGGCATGCTGTTCGAGCATCAAGTTCCTTCTGTAAATTCACGCAAGTCTGGTTAACCAGCACCAGCTCTGCTGCTTGTGACTAAAAGGAAACAAACAGAAATCCTGGTGGTTAAACTTTTCCTGCGTCACAATCGAAGCTCAGGGATCTAATTCATTGGATTCATGTAGTTTGACTCATCACCCTGGACCTACACAGAGAGGACTCTTTGTATGTTCAATCTTTTGCTAGATCAGATCACTTGCAATGGCTTTTAAACATAATCTTTATTAACTCCTATTAACTGAGTTTGAGGAAAATGGTTTACTTTGGTCAGCTCTGAGTCCTGGTTGTCTTCAGTATGCACAGTGAGGAGCTGCTGTTGCCCCTTCAAGTCTGACTGCAACCTCTCCACCTCCCTCTGAAGAGAGACAACCTGTAGCAAACATACAAGAAGCTCATGTTGTGACTATTTTTCTTCTTTAAGATTTATTAACAGGAAATCTTTGAGGCCTTTAGCTCGTACAGAGGATGCAGTTACACAGAACACAGCGGAAACCACATCAAATGTGTTCAGATGAAAGGGGTCACAATCATAACGGACGAGATGCTTTCTTAAGAGTCCACCAGTGAAGTTTATGCTCTTTTTCCAGAGGTTTTAAGACCAAGGACTCAGTGCCAGAATCAGATCCGTAAAAGTGACACAGTTTTTTCAGTTCAGAATGGGATAGAGGTGGAACAAAAAATTTTACTAGTTTTAGGGGGATCCCCTCTCCGTTTTCGAGCTTCCAACACTTCATTACTTGTATTCTAGTGTTCTCTATTGGGACCATCACAAAATGATACTACTTGTGTATTTTCCATCATTTTCAGCACCACGTCAGGCCTTTAAAAGCACTGGCTGCCAGAGAAGAACAGCCTCTGCTCTCCATGAGAGTCAGAGCAACATTTTACACATCCGGCCCCAGACATGAGGTTAGTGAAACCTTTCCTAGGTGTCAAACAGATACCCAGAATTCACAACCACAAGAGACATGCAAAAATGACTGAGTATTTGCAGGGTGAAAGATTATAGCTGCACAAATCATCAGAGCCTGGGAACACACACACTTTTCTGTATGAATACAGAGGAGCTGTATGATTCATACTCGGAATTACTCGTCATTTCACTTCGTGTTACTTATTAACTGAAATAAACATTTATAATAGTTGCTCTGTACACCACTGTGGCAATAACACCACTCATTTTTTTAATGCAAATAATGCTACTTAAACAAGAGCTAGAACTTGAGAGAAAGAGAGGACGATGCATCTAGCTGCAACTGTGGTTAGAAATGAAAAGTTCAGCGAGTGCTCTCCTTGAAAACCGTATCCTTCATAAAGTCACTAACCAGTCAGGGTCTGATAAGAGCAGGGGTGGTATGAAATTCAGCTGAAGAGGCTGCCTCATAATTTGATATGCAGGAATAAGAGAACATGGCATAGACCAATTTACAGCCAAACCTCATCAAGAAGCTGCAGCACGGCATGGCAAGTGTCAACAAATTAGCCTACTATTTTTATACAGTTAATACCGATGTTTACATCAGATCGCTGCTCTGTGTGTGCGCGCGTGTGTAACATTGTGAAGGATCCTCGGTGTGTGAGCCTCTCTCTCTGTAGTGACTGATCGTCACCGGTCGGTCGTAGCAGGACACTTGTCTTGCTTGGTCGTTTGAGTGGCTGGAGCTCCCATCATGTGCTTGCAGGTATCTCACCGTCTGCTGCTGAATGTTTTTCTCAGCATCCAGGGAGCGCACCCTGTTCCTCAGGGCTCTGATCTCCAGATCCAGACGATCATTTAGCTCCTTGGTCTTTCGCAGTTCTACCAGCTCTAGTGAAAAACAGTCGGATAATGCACTTTCAGACCCTAGAGTTATCACACTACATCTTTAAAGTGCTGGTTAACAATAGAGTATTCCAACATGATGTATTCTGAATATACAAACAATTTTCAGAGTTAGTGTTATAAATTTCATCAAGATGATATCTAGTGGATTATAAATGCTGTGAGGCATGATCAGTTTGAATATGTTTGTTCATGAGTGTCACAGACTTCTGATCCACTGCATGCTGAGATTATATCTAACCCCTGAGCAGGTTTAGTGAGTAAACTCATCAACTTGAAGTAAGGCAGTGTTGGTACAAAATTGCAGATTCTTATCCATGCGTTTGCGAGACAAACTCAACAGCATATTTTATACACAAATAGTTTAAAAAAGCTTGCATACCATATCCAGATGAAATCTTACCGTATTTCTTTAGTTTTTCCACTTCCTGTCTGAGTTGCTCTACCTCCTGCTGTGCTGCCTGCAGCTCAGGCTCTACAAACAAAAACACATTTGCACTTGTTTTTCCACAATGCTTTTCACGAGGTGACTGGAAGAGTTTTACTTCAGTGAAAGATGGCTGAGACATCAGTTCAGCTCACAGTTGTTTTGGACATTGTATGAAAATAAGCTTCTGAGGGCAAGGAATTTATGACATCCCTTTTTTTTAAAATGACCTCCAAAGGTTTTAGGTGTGTCTTTTTTTTTGGCGCACGTGGCTAGAATTATTGATGAATAAAACCAGTAATGCAATATCCTTCAGGAAGCTGATTTCTACCTCTCACCATAAGCTCTCTGAGTCAAATGAGAAGACTCCAGCTCATCAGTCAAACGCCTGATCTCATTGTGGGCCATGGCCAGCCGACGTGAGCCTTCCTCCAGGTCACGCTCTAGACGGGAACACTCCTTCTGTACACTGCTTGCCTGGCTTGCCAAATGCTTGGCCTCAGCCTGTAGAGAGAAGGGATATGGAATAAGCTGAACAGCCAAGGTTTCAGTGATTTCTTTCCAAATCCTTTTTATATTTGCAAGTAAGAACGTGTGAGACCTTGAGAAGTGATCTCGATCGAGATATTCAAGTCATAGTATCTTGAATTTCCTCTACCATGCAAAGCTCCCTATCTCGTGCAGGAAAAAGTGCTTAGAAACACTGGAAGAAAAAGAAAAAGGTTGTGATTATTGTGGATGCTGCATGACTAGAGTGCTGATCACATGCTGAACGACCTTCATACTTACACATGCAGCTTGACTGACCTGAGTGCAAATTTTAGTGTTTGTTAAAAGTGGATGCAAGTGTGTTACTGAAGGGAAAAGGGGCATACCGGAATAAAGGTATTTCTGCCCTGAGAAGCTTTGTGCAGCCCAAAAAGTCTCTTCCATGGGTTTTGGTGATGACGTGGCGCCCCCTTGTGGAGAGACTGTGGAGTAACATGTTACAAAATCAGAGCAGTGAGTCAACTTTAAAATATGGTAATATGAAAACATCATGGTATTATTTAAGAAGCATAAAAGCATACTCTTAGTGTTTAGATACACTGGGTGTCAGTGTGTATGTGTGTCTTAAACCTGGTATGTGCTCTTCTGCTCGGCTTGGACTTCAAGCACTCCTCTACTACCGTGACCCTTTAGGTGGTCTGGGACTTCAGTCGTCTCAAGTAAGGAAGCTCTCTCCACCAGAAGATAGGCCACCTGTTCACTGGCACTGCTGTGAATCAACTCTGTGAGACCCTGCTGGTACAGCATTTTAGCCACCTCACTTATCTGGGCATCTACGGCAAAAGAAGAAAGTGAAAAAGGAGGTTTGGCGTTTGCCTTTAAATGTACGACAAGCACCCGTTAGACAGCTCTTTAAGGGAAGCAGAGACGTTGAGATTAAGTACGTCTTCAAAATTATCCACTCAGTTTTTATCCTTCAACACTCTTTCAATTATGAAAAATACAGTGCTGCAGTTTCAAAGGCTGATATTACTGGATAATGCAGAAGTTTTGGTGTCATAGATCCTGATTTTGCTTTTTGGATTATTCCATTTTTAATGTGATGTACAGATTAACCTTTACAACCTTGGAGGGATATTAGACGCTGCAGCTGGTCCTTGAGCTGATCATTTTCATTTTCTATCTCCTGAGCCAACACATCTTTGTGCTCTGTAAAGATCCTGATCTGCTCCAAAGACTTTCGAACCTTAAAGACAGAAAGACGGTCAGTTATTCGAGTTGTCAACCTTATTGTGGGTCTTTTTTTTAACAAATCTGGTACCATGACTTACTTCTGCCAACTCTGCTGAGTGCTGTGAACACTGCTTCTCCAGATCCCATGTTACTCTACTCAGGCGACTGCTTGTACGCTGGAGGGCACGCCACAGCAAACACAGCTGAGCCTCCTTGGGGGAGCCTGGAGAAAGTCCCTCCTCGCTTAGCCATTTGGCAATCTGCTGCAGCTCCTCCAGCAGAGAATGACATATGGACACAATCACTAACAACCAACTGTCTAATACAAACAAAAAAGGCATTAAATCCTCACTTATCTGAATGCAAACAGGTAATCTTATTAGTATGATCGTGATATTTAAATCCTACCAAGATTTAAGTTTAGGCAAAAACAGTTGGAAAAGTATGGAAGTAAATCTGTGCCATCTGATTTTAAATTTAAACTTCTAAAGCTGATTTTTTTTTTGCAGCAAAATCAGACTTTGAATTTCTAAACCATCGAATTTCATACATGCATTTATATTTCTTACACAATTATTTTTTCATAATGATGAAAGAAATTCAGTGTAAAAAAAAAAAAAAAAACGGTCTCTTAAAATATTCCAGCAATCGATTGCTTCTCCCTGATTACCCGGATGTTGAGTCAGTCTTTTTTACACTAAATTTTTTGGCAGTGAAATCTTTTTACATTGATTTTTTTTTTTGATGTTGAATTTTTTTAAGTTGAATCTTTACCAAACAAATCATTTGAGAGACTCCCACACTGTCCAATTTTAAAACTCCTCTTAAAACCAATTGGCTTTCAACCCTGCATGAGACTCAGCTCCTGTTTTAGCGTTTTATGGTTTGTTTTTAGTTATTTGTTTCTATTGTTTTTAAAAACATTGAAACTTCATTTTACTTTTTTCACATCTGCTTTTATTTTATCCATTGTTTTAATTGTTTTTGATTGTTTTTTTATGTCTGTGTTGTTTTGTCAATTTATGTACAGCAGTTTGTTCAGTTGTGGTTGTTTTAATTCATCATTGTGATAAAATAAGTGTCAGAAATAAAAAATGCATGCTTGAAATTCAATAGTTTCGAACTTCAAAGTCTGATTTTAATGCAAAAAAGTTCAGCTTAAGAAATTCAAATTCAAAATCAGATGGCACAGATTTACTTCCATAGCAAAGTCCCCAAACAACCACGTCCCTTTAAGATTGACAATTCATCTCAACATTTCAAGAAGGATGTCAAAATGTTTGTATCAGTTAATACTCTCTGTGACAGAGTCTGTACCCTGAAGTATGAACTAGCTGTGTCCCAAACTAATCCACTCTGAGAGCAACAGCTGTTTAACCAGAGACAGCTGAAATCACTGGCATGTTTTTGTCCAGTTGCTTCCTTTTTTAGTCCGATAACTCAATGTAATGACAAAATAATCGCTGGGGTAACTAAGTTTTAGATCAGCAGCAGTATTTGCTTCAATTGATGCATTAAAGCTTCAAAGTCGATGTTATAAGAGATGGCAAAATGGGGAAAGAGTGGCCTGAGGGTTATTTCTAACACTAGTAGACCTCAATCAACGCCACATCTCGCGATTTTTTACATGTAACTGACTAAATTCGGGGTAATGTTAACAGAATTCTTGCTTAGAAGCAGTGCAGTACCTCTGGTTGATCCATTTCCTCTCCTGCGGTGAAAAAACGTCTTCAGTCCGGGGATTAACCTCGCATTTTCGCCATTTTAGGTGGAAAAGTTTAACGCTCGCAGATTTAAAAATTAAACTGTCGTTCGCGTGCACCAGTCGGCTGTTGCTAACGGTTTAAATTTGCGTCACAACAACGAACGCACGCGCTGAACTCCTCATAAACTCCGGTATCTAATAATAAAAAGTCAGTCGAAACTTTCACGCCCAAACCAACAACTACAGAGGGAGAAAGCATGGTGCTGACTGACTGACTGAGGCAGGAGAAACACCGAAATATCCCTGCCTGTGGTTTCGGTACCGCGGTGCTGCTATGTGAGCGGTTCCGTTGTTTTCCTGTTAAAACTCTCTGCTTCTGCGCACTGTGATCTTACGGTCCGGAGAACCTTAAAGAAGAAACCTCCAACGGTCATTGACAGTTTGAATCCATCTGTGAACAAACGGGATTTTACCGTTAAAGTTAATTTTAGTTGCAAGTTTAGGCTTTTGTTTTAAACTCATTTGCTTAACTTTTGCACGATAAAACTGGTTTATGACTGTGGTAAAAAGCAAATTGTTCCTCTCAGTTCAACTTTTTACAGTTTTGGGTAGGGGAGAGTGGGGTAAGTTGAGCCAAAAGGGTAAGTTGAGCCACCTCCTGTTGCTTGTAAATGGTAAAAGAAATTGATCATGTGACCAAATATTTAGGAGATGGGCATCAATTCATGGAGTCTGTGAAGGTAAGAAGCACATGGTTAAAGGGGTTTGACATTTATTTCCCTCCAAAAAAAACACGTTTCCAAAAATTCCCAAAAAATATTTGGCCCTCTAGTTAATTTGTTTGTGTAAGGGACTCAATCAATCAAGCTTTATTTTTTAAAGCATTTTTCATCAAAGTTGACACAATTCAAAGTCTTTTACAGGGATTGAAAACAAAGCAGCTAAAAATAAAAATAATGACACCAAATGGGACAATTATATAATAAAGAAACAGGGTAAGTATAGACAAATGCACACCAACAGTAACAAAAAAATATGTAACTGCTTTAATACTGGCAATTGCTTTTTGTAAACTTGATATAAATTGCTCCCCTTAATTTGGTATGAATATGGCACAATTGCAAATGCGTGAAAATCACAAATTTCCTATTAGGGTGAAGTAGCTATCCAACTGACCAATCACATTTCATTCACTTTTGATTGTACTGAGTCCTTTTTTGAGCCACAAATTTTTCTTCAGGGTGAAATCATACTCTTTGTTTTAATGGTAACTGCAGCCATTTAATTAAACTGTATTTAAATGCAGATTAAGTTTTCCATTGGTGTGTGTTGTGACTTGGGTGGTCTGAGATTTCCTGCACACTTACAATGAGAAATGGGCAGTGCTCAGTTTGGTTTCCTGCCGTTCACTCATCTCATTCTGGTAATACCATGGAGGTCCCATGCCCGACTGCATATAATTAGATGAACAGCGTGAGTGTAAAAGTGTTTTCCCACATTTAATAGGAGTTGCAAATATACTGAAAGTGAGCGCTTGTACTCAAGTTTTACCAAAACTTTATTCTCTTTTATCCCAAATTTTACTGCGGATTGAGTAACTGCAGTGCAGCTTTTAGGAAAATGATGCTAAACCAGAGGAATGTTATTATTGGTGTCAAGTTGGTCCGGGCCACAGATTTGAGGGGGAGGGCAGTGAATGTTTGGAGGAAATGGGTGTTGAAAACTCCTCCTATATCCAACTCTACATTCCCCTTTTGTGCCCTTCTGTCCAAGTTTTGGAGCTGAAACGTCAAGACAGAAAGAGCGCAGAGGGAGAAAAGCAGCAACTGGGAGAAAACTCACTAAATCTCTCGAAGGGTGCAGACTTACAGAAGCAGAGGGGTAAGAAATCTGAGGAAGCATTTTGATTTCGCAGGATGAAACGGAACTGACATGCCTGCATTTTCTACCAATTTATTGCATGAACTTTTTGGTATGATGCAACCTTCGTTTTATGAGAAGCAGATCACACCCAAATGTGACAGCAAGCTTGGAAGTCCTTCATTTTATTGTTTGAATTTACAAAGATACTTTCTGTTCTGACGTGCAAACGATTAACGTGGTCTTTACTGAGTTCTGCTTGTGCCAGGTACCTCAAACTGTTATATAAACCAGATGTACAAGTGTGTAATCAAAGACATGCCTCTCTAGGTTGTCCACAATCTAAGAGCAACAATGTTTTCCCTCTATGGGTAGAGCTGGGTGGGAAAGACAAACATGCACAAAGCGTACTTTACCAGCTCCTTTAAATCTGGGTATAGTGGACGCTCAAGGATGTGTAGTTTGGAAATAAAAGTGAATGTCTCTCATCAAGTTTGTGCATCACATCTAGGAACAAAATAGCAGACAACGCTAACATATGTAATTAGCCTTATAGGATTGATAGACGCTCTTCTGTAGGTGATAAATTGTCTCTTGCTTGTTTACTTTCTCAAACATCTGTATCTGAGGGAACTGAAACCCAGAAAGGAACAAATCTTTCCAAATAAAGGAGTTTCCTCTTTTCTGAATTTGATGGAAAGAGTCAGCACTTATTTAAAAAGAAACGTGAGTCATTTGATTTCGCTCAGAGTATTTCTCTTTTGCCCGTAAAGCTTTTATGCGCAGTTTTCCTGAGCAGTGTGGTTTTCAAATCAGAGTAGCTCAGTGTGGAACATTTTAGAAATGTCCAAAAAGGGTGGAGATTTATTGTGCGTTCTTATTAAACCTTACGTCTGTACCCTGATTCATTAAAACTGCACCAAAGTGTGTCAGACCGTTGGTAGATACTGTTTGAACTTTACAGCATCCAGTTTGTTTACAACTGATACAATTACAGGGAGCTGATGTTCTGATGTAGTCCCGGGAGACGGACAGAAACCCCCTTGTCTGCCGTGCTTTAATGGCCAGAGATTGTCAGTGCAGATGTGGAGATGCATGATCAAAGTGCTTGGAGGCAGACAGAGTCCCCCCTGTTTCGGGAACAGCCCCAAAAATATGCTGTCCATTTTAAACCACATGGATGAGTAAGACCCTGACAACAATGACATATGAGGGTCCTCTGACTGCGGCTCTTTATAGAAGTAAATTTTTGACACGTGAATTTCACTGACTTAATGAAAATGTCATCTTATAGGACTGTTGCTGAAAAGGATATCAAAATCTTACCTCACACCCAAGCAGACATGGTGTGTCTACTTATATCCATAACGGTGCTGCACCTCAGCACCCTGGCCATGCTTCTCATCGCCACTCTGGAGAAGGTTAGACACATTGGTGGATGTCAGAACTTATGTATGCTGACTCCCTTTAAGTCCTTACACTTTAAGTCCTTATGTAATGATCACATGTCCTTTTTTTTTCTTTGCAGTCTTGGTGGGTATGGACTGAGTTGGAAGTCTCGGACCTCTGGTATAACTGCTTCCATGATAACCGCAGTGACACCTGGTTGTGTGCAGCTACAGATGAAAGCGGTACATTTTCAAAGCATTTTCCCACTTGCATGTGCTACCTGTTGGTTTGTTTCCTTACAGGGGATATTTTGTGTTTCAAAATATATCTTAAGTTTTTGGTCCATCTGTTATGTCTGTGTCTCACTCTCACTCTCTGACCTGATCCCCCAGACTGGCTACAGTCCGTCCAGGCCCTCATGATCCTCTCTGTGGTCTTCTCCTGCATCTCTTTCCTGGTTTTCGTGGGTCAGCTGGTCACCATGTCCAAGGGAGGCCTCTTCTACTTCACAGGCCTCTGTCAAGCCTTTGCAGGTCTTTGAACACCTATTCATAGACAACATGATTGCTACTAATTAAAATGAAAGACATTTTACTCAGAAATGCAGCCAGATGATGTCCTTAACTGTATTTTGAGTCATTTAAAGTCAAATAATGTACGCCACATTTACGCCAAAATGTGTGAATTGAATCTAAAACCTCCTTATATGACACTCTTTCAGGTTTCACTGTCTTCGCTGCTTGCCTCATCTTCACCTTCCACAGAAAGGAGATCTTGAACGACTCCAGAGACTTGAGCAAAGGACGCTTTGGCTACTGTTTCATCTTGGCGTGGGTGTGTGTCCCCCTCCTCCTGATCAGTGCAGTCCTGTATGTCCATTTACGCAAGAAGCAGTGAGGAGGAAAACTGCTTCTAAATGGCGACTTTATTCACAGGGCAGACATTTTTCTCTGATCTTGAGCTCAGCGAGGTGAGCTCGAGTGCTGTTATAATGTCATTAATGCAAGTTGTATAGGTAAAAGATATTGATAATGGTTATGTTGGCAAGAAACTGGTCAAATGCAAAAAAAAAAAAAAGTGTCAAATTTGTGAAGTGTGAATTTTTAGCTAATGGCAGACAAACTTTAGCTTGAAAATAATCCAGTGCTTTCAATTTTACCCTTATGTTTAATGTAAATATAGCCTGATTTTCCTTCAGACTTTTATTTTTTTACTTATCAGATGACATGACTGTTTTTATGACAAGACTTTTTATGAACTATTTGCATACTGTATCTAAAGTGTTATTAAAAGCATTGTAGTTTCCCACCCTGAGAACGATCAGAGGAAAACTAATGCTGTGTGAATGTGATAAACTCAAAGACGGATACTTTTCACTTACTGTTAAAAAAAAAAAAGTACATATATGGACGCAAGATGACAGAAAATGAAATATCTCTCTCAAAGACACAGTTCTGCTTCTTTATGACTTGAGTCCCACCCTACCGCGCTTCACGGTATCCAGGACATTATCTCATCTCTGTGGCATCTCTGTCTGTGAGATAGTGCTGTCACTCAAGATCAGAGCAAGATAACTGAGGGTCATTACAACCCAATCATGCTGTAAAATACAAAGCTGAAGTGCTGCAAGAGTGATTCAGAGATAATGTTATATCGTTTTTGTGCTTAATGCTTAATTGTGGTTATGGAAGTACTGTACAATACAGGGTTACCTGTTTTTTGTGTTTTGTTTATATTATATATTTGTATGCATTAAAAAGCAATAGACTGATCTTTGTCTCCTTTTTTTTAGTATTGCACAATTCCGTATTTAAAGGCTTACTTCGTGTTTTGTTTGGTACTGAGAGCTCTTATTAACTTCAGTATGAGTACAATCCTCTCCACAGCACGCAGTGGTTGCATAATAGTGCGCCATTGAAGCTCCTATTGTCTTTGTGGTATTTATTGTTTACTCTGGTTAAGTATGCTCACGCTACCGGGGGGAAAAAACAAAAGAAAACAAAAGAAAACAGATGTGTTTGACTTGTCTCAAGAAGCCACCACCAACTAAACTTTCAGAGCTGTTTCCAAAGAACCAAAAGAAACTGATGATTGAACCTTAGCTTGAGTTTGACTCAGACTTGTGTGTTCTGCTCGCTGACAAACCTACCTGTCAGGCTAGACTAGTCTTAAAAAGAAATCCGTGATGTAAAGGGCTGTCTTTCAGATAAAGTGAACATAACAAAACAATCACACATTAAGATAATAGATGGACTGAAACAGGAACATTATGAGGGAACTTTATTTCATCTAAAATTTACTGCTTTGAAAGTCAAACAGAAGGAGATAGCAGGTTTTTCTTTTTTTTAAGAGGATAACCAATCCGTCAGCTGCTCAGTATTTCTGGAATCTGACAGTAAGAAGGAGTGGAAGGTTTAAGAGGAGTGAGGCGACAGGGGAGGGAACACATGAACAGTGACAGAACCTGAGAGATTATTAGTAGTTGAGCCGGAGAGGTGAGATATGCTGCCCCGGAGGAGGTGAGTTTTTTCTTTGTGTCAGGTTTCTATGTGTTCAAACTGAGCAACACTCAGAAATCACTTCTACTCATTTCAATATTTACTTACTTTTTTGTGTCAGGATGAATTGGGAAACAAGGATGCTCAAGAAATGGACCAAGGACTGAACTTGTAAACCTTTACCAAGCTTGATTATCAAGATCATCGCAAACATCCAAGATCTTGGATATCTCCTGACTTTCTCTCAGAAGGATGAATGAACGATTCGCTTCAACTAGACTGAAGAGTAACATGGGCTGGCTTGGGATACCCTTGTTGTCGCTCAACTGGAGTCGGTAGTGAGGGCTTTGACAGATTGAGAATTTGTTCCCAGAGAAATACCAAGTACCTGCAGGTATGTCTAACTCACAAGAGCAGAGCCTCGATGAGAATGTTGTGTTCCTGCCGGTTAAAGAGACCTCCCCAGAGTTCCTCTACTGTGAGAGGGAGCGTCATGTCGTGGAGAGACTCCTCAGTGCAGGACCAGAGGCCTTCTATAGCTCCATTGGGCCAGAGCAGTCTGGCTGCTTCCTTTCATCAGAAGAGGTCAGCCAGATTACGAGCTGGGCACAGGACTACCACTTCAACCCGCTACAAGTGCAAAGACTAGAGAATGGCGAGGAAAACGGCACAGACGTGAAAGACTTCTGTTCCACTTACTATCCCTCTCATTCGGACATGCCAACCCCAGACCTAGAGCTGGGCTGGCCTGAGAAAAGTCCATGGGTGCCTAAGGGGAGTGTTACAGTCCACACCAGTCCTCCTGCTGAGGGGGAACCTCCTGTCAGAGAGATCATTAGACGTCACCTACAGAAGGCCACCCAAGTATGTAAATATAATGATTTAGTGTCGGTTAAAGCAAATAAGCATAAACTCGAGTCATTTTCTAGGGCAGAACTTGTTGTAAATTGAAATTTTATATGCGATACTACTTAAAAACAGTAAGTATATGGGTAGTTCAAACTGAAATATTCACCAGGTAGTCTGATATGTAGAAACGTACACTAGATGGAGCCCCTAGAAAACAAAAATATGTTCAAAAGATCTGTATTTTTTCCGCATTTTACTTTCTTTTTTACTTATTTCACCCTTCCGGTTGAGTCAAGACTCATAGTTTGTTTTTATCCTATAGGATAACAAAAGGTTTCATTGACACTTTCGAGCTATCCTGTCAAAAGCAAGCTAAGTCCCCTCTCTTGTACAACAACACAGGTTATTGCCATCGTGACAGACAGATTGACAGACGGCGCAATTATTGGGGATTTACACAAAGCTGCCTCTCGGGGTGTCCCTGTTTACATCATCCTGAACCAAAGGTCCATTCAGGAGAACTTCACGCTCAATAGGCTCAGGCATCCGGTGAGTCACCTCTTCTGCACACACCTAGCAGCTATCCGCTCCTGCCTGTTTCACATTGTACTAATAAACAAAAGATTTTATTTAATCAATCAATCAATCAATCACCACCTGTCCACCAAATCGATGACTTATGTAATGGGTCACTGAAAGTGAGTTTGGTATCACTCTTATTAAAAACTTGTGACACTGCATTTGTACTCTGAGGTATCATATAAAGTGCAAGAGTGTCTTTTCACTGTGGCATTGGTATGTGAGGAATGTGACACGTACGTTAAGCAACACAAAGCCTAACTGGTTGCGCAGCATTCAGTGTTATCTGCGTTTCTTCCAAGAGATGAAAACAAAAAAAAAAAACTGCCCGATGTTGAAAACCAAGTCAGAAAAAAATGCAGTAGCTTGTGGGAAACTTACCAATATGACTTATCAATGAGCATAGTTTATAAATCACTGATCAAAGAACAGATTACCTAAAGTGACTGACAAATAACAGGTTGGATTGTTATAGAGACGTAAAAGACTGGATGGCCCTGAGTGTTTTAAATTTCAATGAAAAGGAAACTGAATTATTCATCTTTGGCTCCAGTGGGGCCCAGGAGACCCCTCTCAGGGAGCTGGACCCTCTTGTACCTCCTTTTAAACCCACAGTTTTAAATCTTGGTGTAAAATTTGACAATTATTTTCAGTTGGATCAACAAATCAACTCTGTTGTTAAATCCAGTTTTTATCATCTGAGACTTTTATCCATGATTAAATCGGTTTTATCTTTTAGTGATTTTGTGCGAGTCATTCATGCTTTTATTTCCAAACGGTTGGACTACTGTAATGCTCTTTCCGTTGGTGTTACTCAGGCTTCCCTCATGTTCCTTGAGGTCTGCTAATCAGCTCATTGTACCAAAAACTCATTTGAAAACCCATGGCGACCAAGCTTTCTCATCAGTGGCTCCCAAATAGTGGAACAAATTGCCACTCGAGATTAAAACATCCTGATTTTTCTACTTTTAAAACACATCTTAAAACTCATTTTTATTCCTTGGCTTTTAGCTCAGCATGAGAGTTGTGTGATCTCTGTCCTTTTATGTCTTTTAATGGTTCTTTTCTCACTTTTTGTTCTTTTATGCTTTTGTGTTTTTATTTCATTTATTTTATTTCATTTTAAATGTTTTTAACTTGCTTTTATTTATTTCATCTTGATGTTTTCTGCAGTGTCTGTTCTTTTAATTTTATTGTGCAGCACTTTGGTAAACTTGAATGTTTTTTAAAATGTGCTGTATAAATAAAGCGGATTGGATTGGATTGGATAGCCAAAACTGTAATCTTATACATATGTAGCCATACTAAAGCTTTTACACTATCCGAGCGATGTAGCTAAAGTTTAAAGAAACTCTTGTAATGTATAAGTATGATCCTCCATTTTTAAAAACTGTTTCCATTACAAATATCTTGACGTACAAACTGTTACACACACAACAACAACTACCACTCAACCGGCAGCCACCCAATAAATATAAAAACGCATATGGCCCTATGGTTAAAAACATGGCGGTGCAAGATAGCGTCCTCTGTAGAGGAGGACTCGCTTATTATAAATGTTATAATTAATTTCTACAGAGTATGTTTGACTAAACACTTTATGTTATGCTGTTTAACCTTACTGGGCTTCAGCATCAGATTTACAGCCACTAAAATTTGATATTCATTCATCCTCAAAACTGAGTTAATTTCAAAAGTATTTTTTTAATGTGTTTTTTTTGGGTGGTTTTTGCCTTCATGGATAGGACAGTGTGGAAATATGGGGAGCTAGAGCGAGAGGGGTGAGGACATGCAGGACATGGTTGGGGCCAGACTGAGACCCACGGCCGCTGCAGTTACTGTGGTCCACATGGGGCGCACTCACCAGCTAGGCCATCTCCGCACCCTAATTGTTTAAAATTTTCTGTAGCAACAATTACTTTTCACAAATCTAGCCATATCTAAAAGTCATGCTAAAAAAAACCTGCTTAATTATAACACGTCCATTAGTTTGAATTTGGGGTTTTGTCCCATCAAGCAAATATTAGCGTGCTCGTGTGCTACTTAAACTTGAACGTTGCATATTTCAGTGACACTTCCAGCAACCTCTGCTGTACGTAATAAGATTATACCTCATAGTGTTTGTGCAGTTGCTGTTATTGGGAACAAGCTAACTCTTACGTTAGCCTCATTACATCACCGTCATAAACCTCACAGAGCTATGTATGAGCTAACTATTTCTTTGTAGATATTTTATCATGGATAAACACAGACTTTTGGTCTGGTCCATGAAACTGCGTTTTAATTGACTTGAGGGGATTTTGCAGAACATGCAGGTCCGAGTTCTTGGAGGGAAAACCTTTTGTTCGAGAGCGGGAAGGATGGTGGTCGGAGAAATGAAAGAAAAATTCCTTCTGGTGGATTTAGAGACAGTGATTCATGGCAGCTACAGGTGAGTGGTTCACGTCTTTCAACTCATCCTTTTTCACACGCTTGAGAGTTGTGTAACAAGCTGTCTCTGTTCCCTGCAGCCTCACATGGACAGATGCCCACTTGCACAGGCAGCTCATCACTGTCCTCCAAGGACCTGTCGTTGACTCCTTCGACAGAGAGTTCAGGATCCTTTTTGCAGCTTCACACCCTGTTTCAGACACATGGAGGGTTGCGGGGACTCATGCAGATGTGACTCAAAAGCTGAAAGACTTTTCACATCACGGGTTTCAAAAACAGCTCTCTTGGGAGCCCGAGATAATCAGCCCTCCTTCTCCTCCTGCTGACTCCCTCCTGGACTGGGAGGCCATGGGAGTTATCCACAGAGACTCCAACCTCCTGGACAGCCCTTTTGATCAACATGAGGAACAGGAAGAAATTGTGGCCATGGAGATACCGCTGCAGAACAACATGCTCTTGGCTAAAAACACACCTATTGTGGATGGTTTTACTAACAATGGATACCAATTTGTGGAAAAGAAAAGGTACATATACAAGTTGACATTTGCACACAAAAGATCCGTTAACAGATTCTGAGTATGATCACAGAATAGTTAGGGAAGACAAGATTTTGGGTGTTAGTTCAGGCTAAAAGGTAGGATCCTAGTGCAGATGGTGATCGGCAGACTTGTGCAGTTTGTTGTAGGACGGTTGACGGGTAAACAGAAATGAGGAAACAAAGTTGAAGTCGGAAAGTCCAGGCTCAAAAACATCAAAATGAAAACCCAAAACAGGGAAGCAGAGAACATTTAAAAAAAGTAAAGTAGCAAGGCAGAGTCAACTTACAGTATGTCGAGGAGGAAGAAAGATAGAAAGACAGAAAAAGGCGTCATGCGTCATCGAAGTAGAAGTATTACAACCCCAACCCGAAGGCTCAAAGCCCAAGGTCAAAAACCAATGGATCTTTGGGCCTAAGGGTTGGGGTTGTAATACTTCTTCTTCAATGACGAGCAAAAAGCATTACACCTTTTTCCGTATCTCTCTTCCTCCTCAACCTAAGATGACTTTACCTCGCGACTTTGCCTTCTTTAAATGCTTTTTGCTCATCATTGAAGTAGAAATATTACAACCCCGACCCTAAGACTTAAGGTCCAAGGTCAAAAACCAATACTAGATAGCTGGGATCTTTGGGATTTTGGGTGACACTGCATTGAAAACAGACAAAAAAATGGAATTCAAGGGTGCAAAATCACTTCCAAGACTTCCAAGTGAATAACCTTTACACACTCTGACTAATCAAAATTTGACCTTTTTTTGGAAATTATGGACATTTGCCCCTTTTTAAAATAAAATAAGTCTTTGAGTACTTTATCTCCTCTCAGGTCAACATGTTTTTGTGCTTCACGTTGTGTTCGCACATTTTAATCGATGTTTTTTTGTGTGTTGCAGGATCAGCAAAAACACCTCCCCAGTGACAAAACATGCGCCGGACAAATTAACATTCAAGTAAGTCTTATGGTATAGTTCGGTTTGATATTGATCAGCAATGTTGTATGTTTGTATCCATTTTGACTGTTTTATGCTGATCTTATCCAGGGAGGATTATTTTAGTAATGCAAAGCAGCCACAAACGGACCCGAGGTCTCCTGAAAGAATGAAAAGGTACCTGACTACCAAATGTGAAGAAAACACATCATATAAACTATTCTTTATCGGTGTGTCATAGAGTAAGTGTGTTTTATTTCTCTACAGGGTGGAACAAGACATAGAGAAAGCGATTGCCAAGCAACTTTCCACAGAGACGAAAACAAAACCAGAGGACAAAAAGAAACATGTAGATATCCCGAAAGAGTCAACACACAACATGGTGCCACCTTCTCCCACAAAGAGAAGAGAGCGCATAAGGAAGGACCCTATTTTAGAAGAAGAGAGCAGCACAGATGAAACAAGCTCCAAAGTGGAGAACACACCATCCTCGAGAGTGAGTAACCGTCCTTTGCTTTCATAGCACTAGAATTAACTTTGAGACTAAAACTGAGACGTGTTACTCACCTCTCCCCACAGAAACCTTTAATCCTGAGGGTGCCGCAGTCTGAGAGCTTCAGCTCCCTCAGTGACATTATGAAGAGGCTTAAGCTTCAGGAGAGCACCCCGGTGCGGCTCAGGAAAGGAACAAAGACCGCTGCGTCAGAGATGAGTCGGTCCATGATGGATCTGAGTACACCCAATGCAGATATGAATCATGATGAGAGAGGAATCCCGGTACCAAGGTTTAAGGCTGGTGTAAGTGTAATTTATCTCTGTACTTATGAAGAAGGAAGGATGGAGGGAGGAATACTTTATAAAAATAAGTTAAAAGCTTCCAGAGATGGTATTTTACAGTTAAATGAGATGGAAAACAACATTAACAATAACAAATTAGAAGAGTACCATAAAATCAAAACAATGAAACAGATTTATTCGGCTTCCCACAGATCATCAAACTGCGGCTTCGGTTTCGTCATCATTTTTTTAGGTTTTCAGACGTGAGAGGATTTCGGTTTTTGATGCTCACAGACTTCAAATTTAGAAATATTTAACCATAAATAAGCATTTTTCCATTGTGATTGTTGTAAGAGCATAGGGTACAGTTTACATTTGGGCTTTTTAGAGGTTGAGGGTTTTTAGTGTAATGCTGTTTGTGGTTTGGGTAACATGATTCTTGTATCAAGGATTTTTTGACATAAATTTGTATACGTATCGGAGGGAAGCTGAAGTGAAAGTACTGAAAAGTTTAAAAGAAGTACCTACTAATGATCACCTATCAAGGATTATAGAGGAGAATTAAATGACTGTATGAAGACTTTTTTGATAGTTCGAGGTGTTTTTGTGTCTGATATCTTTTCATACCCAAAAAGCTAATTAAAATAAGTTTCATGTCTTTGATTTTTATTTCGATCTCTGTTACCTTGGCAGTGCTTTGACCCGGGTCACACACCAGCTTCCTCTCTGATAAGGCACAGGAGTGAAGACTTGAAACCTTTGTTATACAGAACTCCTAAAAACTTTGTGCCCAGAGAGAGGCCGCGCAGCTCCAGCTATGCCCTCAACATGAACTGGAGGAGGTCCCTGGCGGAGATGACAAGCGAACAAGAATGAGCGCCAAGACACAAGAAGATATGTGAATGGGTTCATTGTCGTAATATACCTTGAAGGAAGGAAACAGGGCTGCCAGCAGTGGATACTCATAACCTCTAAAGTGTTATCTACACAAACTTTAACTATAAGACAATGTACAAGATATTCTGGTTCTATTTGTTGATTTGTGGTCCCACTAAATGTGTTGGTGTTGAACTGTTTGCCATGTACAGTGTGTTTGATGCCATGCTACAGAATATATTTAAGTCATTCAATAAAGTTGGTATTTTAACGATGCACATCATGACCAGAAAAAAAGTGTTTTAAATATTTAGCTGATGGATGTTCGATTTATCCATTAAAAAAAATATATATATATTAATGCACACACCACAGTGACTTTTTTTTGTACTGGATGCTCATCAATAGGCAAAATAAAAGAATGATTAATGAGCTGAATTTCAAAAGAGGAGAAACAGATTTCAAGCAACAACGCAGAGATAAGAGTCATTTTATTGAAGTGCTGTGTGAAGTCTTAATAAAACTAAAATTTATGATTTTTGCATCTTTAAAATCCAAATCAAAGGCAGAGACAACATCAAAAGTTACTTCGGAGAGATTCAGTCTTCCTGGCATTCCTGTTTGATATTGCTATTCCCAGTCATGTTACTACAATGCTGCAAAATAATTGGATAAGTTGTGAGATACATAATAAAAATGATAATAATAACATTAATGATGTTAATACTACTACTGCTGCTACTACTACTACTACTACTGATAATAATAATAATAATAATAATAATAATTCATATTATTATCATATAAAAAAGAATTATTATTATTATTATTATTATTATTATAAGAAAAAGGATATTTTTTTCAATTATCATTTTATTATTATTTTTTTGATCACACAAATTTCCTAATATTTTATGTTCTCCATCCCAACTTTTTTAAAAACATTTTTCTGGCATCAAACTTGTGATGAACATATTTTTAATAAAAGATTTTTTTTTATAGTTTCAGTATCTTGTTTGTTACCGTTGCACTTTTTTCAATAATATATTGAAAAAGTGTAATGTATTTGAAACCATCAAAAGTCTGTTTTATTGACATTTTACAAAGTGTCCCTGATATGTTTTTTTTTTATATATATTTATTTTTTTCACTTTTACAGCCTTAAGTCTACAAAATTCTACTTTAAAAGAAGTCACCCAGCAGAAAGTTGAAAGCTCACACAGTGGCAGAAACCCCTTTGCAGTAAAATACAGTGGGAGACGTCAAAGGAGAATAAGTTGAAACAGAATAAGATAAAAAGTCTAAACAGACTTTGATATGCCAATTTACAGGTCTTGGTAGACTTTGATAACCTGTTTGTATCAAAGAACCATTTTTAAGAGGAAGTAAACTGTGAAAAACTCTTCATCTTACCAAACATCTTCAAGGTAGTTTTTCTCTCATACTTTGATTTGTCTGCTTTTGAATTCTGAATCGTCTTTTGTATTATTTAGGGGAAAGTTTGATGTTTTTCTCTTTGACTTCATCTTAAAAACACAACTGGTTAAAATGTTACACCCTCCTCTCCAGTAGGTGGCGGTATGTACTCTTCACCTTTGAGTGTTGACGGTAATTATCAGCGGTGAAGAAGAAACCACGACAGCACATGGTTGAACTGGTCGGAAATCTACATTCGTCTCTTGTATTTGTCTCAACTTTTGTTTTTACACGGATGTTATAAAGTTGTTTTGCTCTCCAGTCTTGTATCTATTCGCTGGCACGGTAGGAAGTGCGTTTGATTCAGCCCCACCATGGTTCGAGCACAAAGGTGAGTTTGGTTTACATTAGCCTTGATCACAATCTGCGAGTTTACATGATTTAATATGAGTGTTATTCGATTTTTTTAAAAGCCTTTTACAGCTAATGATAAAGATATTTTAAGTCTTAGTCCTTAAATTGTCACCTGGATCTTCAGAAGTGATCCACCTGCTCATTGACACGAACAGTCTGGATGTTTACCTGTTCATTTTCTGTGAACCATTTAGAAGTAAAAAGGTACGGAGGCCGAGAAGGACGGAGCAATATGATGAAGATGATCCTGAATCTTACAAGAACATGCCTGTCCCTGACAAGGTGAGAGGACTCTGCAGGAAAAAAAGATACAGACTGACATCTCATTAAATTTACTTTGGTCTGATCTGAACATGTCATCTTTTGTTTCTTTTAGAAGTCATCAAAGTACACGAAGGACAAAATCGACGAGTTTCACGATGAAAAGATAGCAGTAAGTATTCCTTATAGATATACTTTTCAATAGTCAGCATTCTGCCATGTCTCAGCCCTATTCTACCAATAGTAGGGCTGAGACAACATACCTTTCTCCTGATTCGATTCTTCTACGATTTTTTTTTATGCCGATTTGATTTAAATTGCGATTCTACGATATTGTCGATTATCTTGATATTAAACACACCGGGGCCGACGCGAAAATAGAACACGAAATTACGAAATATTCAGAGATTGGTCAGAAGTGGACACACAGTATGCGAAACTTTTGAAAAATCGACAGTGATACAAAAAATAAATAGTGCAATATGGCAGGATGGCAAAACGTCGCTGATGTTAACGCTTGTATTGACAGGACACGGGTTCGGAAACAAATATTGACGTCTGCAAAAATCGCACCAAAAATGCTCTCAGTGTGAAAAGACCTTAAGTCTGCATTTTTAACACCAGGGAAACAGTTGAATGATTATGATTGCCTACTGACTTTTCCAAGAACCATATTTCCCCAAAAAATATACATCACATCTAAGTCAGTTTTTAAGATTTATTCTTAAACTGAAAAAAAAAAAAAGATTTTTGAACACGCAACAATAACACTTTAACAGTGCAACGCCTCATGACAAAACGTCGAAGAGACACAAAGACCTCACAGATACAGTAGCTTATTGTATTGCAAAAGACATGCTACCAATAAGCACTGTTAAATTTTATTTTTTATATCGTGATATATATCGATATCGATTGATATGACAGAAATATATTGTGGTTAACTTTTTCCCATATCGCCCAGCCCTACTCATTAGTAGTTTTTCAATGAGGTGTTGTTTTTGGGTTGTATTAAGTTGTTTTTTTTGGTCTGTTTGCCACAGAAACTCCTTGCCAGAGGTGTTCAGGTGGAGAGCGATGTGGAGGAGCTAGATGATGAGGTAACAACTCATGTTTTTTTTATTTTTAGCTGGAACATAAATGTGATTTAAGAAAAAAAAATAAGAGCTTGACTATATTTAACAGGATGAAGTGATGGCCTTGGATGATTCTGAATCAGAGGAAGAAGATGAGGAAGAAGAAGAGGTGGAGGAGGATGAAGAAGAGGGGACAGACATGGAGAGTGATCTAGAGGGGAAAAAAGAAGAAAGTAAGTGTAAAATCATGGTTTATGTTTAAGAATTGTTTGCACCAGTACATGTTTTTAACTCTATGGTTGTTGTCCTCCTCAGGTCTTCCTAATGAGCTGGCATGGGGCACCAAGAAGAAGATGTTCTACGACACCGACTACGTGACCACGAGTAAGCATTTAATCTGCGTTTTTAAAAACTGATATTTGTTTGTCTGTGTGGTTGCTTCTTCTCACATTCAAAGTGTTACTGCAGAAGGAAAATCACAGGAAGAGCTGGAAGCTGAGGAACAAGAGGAGGAAGAAGAGGCTAAAAAGATTCAAAACCGTTTGGCTGAAAATCTCTGTGAGGACGACTACGATTTGAACCTTTTTCAGGTACATTTTACTGTTTTTATTGCACATATATAGAGCTGCATGTACTTCCCATGTGGTCATATTGGAAAAGTAATGTGTCTTGTCTAAATGCAGGAGTTTGCAGTGGAGGAAAAGGATAAAGATAAGGCTGAAGAAAAAGAGGAGAGGATTGTCAAAGACCTGAAGCAGATGTCCCAGAAGGAGAAGATGAAACTCCTGAAGAAAGAGTCACCAGAGCTGCTTGAACTTATTCAGGACTTCAAAGCGAAGGTAAGGCATATCACAAAAACAGAAACGGTCCCAACTCACATTTTTACTAAGTAACCAAATGTCTACAAGCTGCTGATCTTGAATTGTTTCCCTTTTCAATGATGTTTGAAGCTCACTGAACTGAAGGATGAGCTGCAGCCCTTGGTTCAGATGGTTGACGATGGAAAGATCCCACAAGGCAAGGTGAGTGCATTCAGCGCCAAAGTACGTGAGGGACAAAATGTGTGAATCTGCTAACATGCATGCTGAGAAATACGAAAAATCTTAAACTGTGGCGCAGATTTTTTCATTTAAGTGCATGAAGCTAGAAAACCTTTTGTTTTTGCTCTACAGGGTGCAGACTACCTCAAGACGAAACGGCAACTATATCTCAAGTACGTTTAGATTTTTACTGTTTACAATTTTAAGTCCTGCCCCAGTCTTTCAATGAATGACCGGTAATCTTGTCTTTTCAGTTACTGCACAAACATCAGCTTCTACTTGGTGCTGAAAGCTAAACGAATCCCTGCTCATAACCATCCTGTGATCGAAAGACTGCTTACCTACAGAAATGTAAGTCTACATGCGGAGCCTGTACAGTCAGCGTTCAACAAAACTGCACTTAAACTTCTAAAGTTTGGAGACCATCTCTGCAGCTGCGATTCATTTTCTTTTTTAGACTACAATTATTTCTGATGAATTAAGTAGATCTGTTGCAAGTACAACCACATTGTGTCTTACTGACTGTTAAATACCTGCAGCTCATCAATGAACTGGGTTCAGTCGACGCTCGGCTTGCACCACAGTATCGTCAGTTACTGGCAGGTGAGGAGGGGGAGACCTCTTCTAACAGACCAGCAGAGGGCAAGAAAACCAAAGTCTCTAGAAAGAAAGAAAAGGTGAGCTGTATTTTTCATTTATTGATATGCATGGGTGTGAGTGGGGGAAGTTATAAATGCCTCTTACGGAGGAATTAAATGAGAGTATTCTGTGTTTGCAGACTTCTGGAGAGGCTCTTCCTGACGTAGCAGAGGACTCAGACTCTGACCTGGATGAGGAGGCAGCTTTACGTTTCTACAGAGATGTGGAGCAGCAGGCGAAGATGAAGAGGAAGAATAAAATGCCAGAAGCTGAAGAGTATGTGTGATTTGAACCTTGATTAGTGATCCTGCAAAAAAAAAATCATTTACCTCTAATGACAATGTCACATTTGTTGCAGGTTGGAGGAAAATGAGGATGAGGATGAGCTGGATCCAGATGCTAAGAGAGGAATCACTTACCAGGTGCTGAATAGCATTCTCTGAGGAAGACAATCATGATTTAATTTACTTGGAATTGATTGATTCTTTAACTACTGCAGTACATGGAGTTTTTAATTTTAGGCAAGTTTTTGGTTGTGTGAGGGCACCACCTGCTGGATGGTTTCGGTAGCATGCGTTACATTATTGCTGTTCACCCATGCAAGACAACTTGGATACTTGGATATATTTACTTTTGCACACGATTTAACCTAAAAATTTAAGTATTATTAAATATTTGAAATTTTCGACTGTGCTCTGCCCATTAACCTTGAGATTTTGCATGCTGTAGATATTTTGGGACTACTTGTACCATATTCACTCTATGCATCTGATGTCAGACTTTGTCACTGGAACAGCTGCTCTAACGCTGTCCTTTACGTTTCCCACAGATGGCAAAGAACAAAGGGCTCACACCGAAGAGAAGGAAGATCGACCGTAATCCCAGGGTCAAGCACAGAGAGAAGTTCAGGCGAGCCAAAATCCGCAGAAAGGGACAGGTTTGTATTCCACACATGGATGTTAACGCTCTCTAAAATTAGAGTTCAGATTAATGTGTTGAGCGTCTCTGAGGATGGTGAGAAATTGACCCCAACTTGTTCATGTCTTCCAGGTCCGTGAGGTTCGTCGGGAAGAGACGAGATACAGCGGAGAGCTGTCTGGTATTCGTGCCGGTGTCAAGAAGAGCGTCAAACTTAAATAGCCGAAAGAGAATCCAGATTATTCTACCAAGATTAGCCACATATGTGTTTATTATGGGTAACCCTAGTGTTAAATCATCTTACTATTCAACTGTTGTAAAAGGATTTTCTTTCTGATCATTTGAATAAACATCATACAACCCTCAAACAAGCTGAAGCAGAGACAGCTTTTAATTAGCTCAAGGGCTCACTTTTAGAGCACGGGTAAAGAACAGGGGAAGGCATTATGTGTTAATAATTACAGTTATGAATGTAGTTGTTCAATTTGACAACATACTGAAAAATAAAGTTACATCTCAGCAGAAAAGGAAAGAATGACTTAAGCAAAAATCAGGATTCAGGATCATTTTCGAGCACTGATGACACCTAAAGCTGAGTGACTGACTAAGACATGCAGGCGGGATGATCACAGTCAGTTTTGTTGATTCATAAACTTGTTATGAGCCACAGTCAGGTTACTCACTATCCTCTCCTCTATGTCTACCTCATTCTTTACATCCTGCTCTGAAAGGATCAGTTCCACCTGAGTCTCTGGGGTCACCACCACCACGTAACCCCGTCTAGAGTCCAGTATGTTAGCCACCACTGCCTGGTGCCTGTACGTGTCCAGAGCCCGTCGAGCCTTGTCCAACAGGATGGTGGCGTCAGTCTCCAGCTTGAAAGATATGACGAAAGCCTGGGGTGCCCAGTCTTTTACCAGAGGGGAGAGGATTTTTGGGACCATGTTCAGGCTGAGCTAAAGGGGAACAAGAAAGTACAGCTATTCATCAGTCTAACAAGAATTAGTGTCTACAGCAGTGTCAACAGCTCTTTGAGGATAATGCTAACATGCTGATGAAATTGGGACCTCAGGCGAGTCCATCGCCTGCAGTGGGGTGACACAGCTCAAGAAAGAACATTATTGATCATTACTTTATCATTTCCTTGAAGTAATAATCATCATATTAATCATTTTGCACTGCAGACGTGGTAGTTCTTCTGCCTTAGCGTCTCAGTCTGATTGTATTTCCATGAAGTAATAATCATAAATGATCTTCCTTGAGCTGCGTCCCCCCTGCTGCATTCGATAGACTTGCCCTGAGGTCTCGCTACAAACAAGCGGCTGCTGGAAGAGAGTAGGTGAGTTATGTTTAGTCTCTTTGCTAAAGAAATCAGGCAAAACTAAAAAGATGTTTGGTGGCTAGTGCTGTGGGTGGGACCCTGTATGTACTGTTGATGAAGTTAGGTGCTGTTCTGAGCATTATTTGTGGCTATAGAGTGGCATTTTGGTTGAGGTTTGTGCATGGAGATGTAGACCGCTGTGTTTTGCTATTGTGCGGTCATTACTAAAGTTGGCATAACGAAAGAAGCAAGCAGTCAGCAACATTCATCTCTTGAGGGGGTGTCTAATTTGGTGTTACGGTGTGTTTGACCCTGAATTAATTTTACGCTGGAATCGCCCTTTAATGCCCTCAATAAGGCTTAAAATTTCAGATTTCTCATATAAAATAGCATTTTTCAGTGTTTTACTCACTTGAAGAGGTCCATTGGAAGACTGGATTTTGTGTTCAGGCATCTCAGAGGCAGGGATATAAAAGTCAGAAACAGCTGCAGCCAAATAAAACATGGCTTTGGATCCTATATGAAGAATAAACATTCAAAAACATGTTGTGTTGGTATGTAGGGTGGATTAGATCAATAATCTCAATATCACAGTCGAAACATTTGTGTCAGTTCTTACCTATTGTGCTGAGAGCCTGTGCTGCTGCTTTGAGAAGATGCAGATACTCAGACAGAGTGCTGAACTCAATGGGCAAAAGAAGTCTGCCCTCTTTCACTTCTTGGTATCTTTTCAGCACTCTGGCAATGCTGGGAAGCACCTCCTGGTTAACCACCACCTCGGCCGATTCACTGGAAGCTCCCTCTGCTCCTCTAAATGTAAGGGCATCCAGCATATTCATGGTTGAGAACATGCGTGTGTAAGGGTAGAGCGAGCGATGCCTGTGAAGGAAGATGACGGCGTAGCCCGAGTCTATGAAATACTCTGCAGAGCAGGCCCCTCGTCTGCCGCTGCTGAAGTTATCCAGGAAGCGGACAGTACGGGACTCCAGGGGGACTTTGGTGCCCCCTGATGTGATGAGGACGACCCTGCGACCTGCAGCAGCGTGGTGTGCGGCGAAAACAGTCATCTTCTCTTTGACCTCCTCAACATGGGAGGGAACCGCAAACTCCTCTGCTAACTTCCCATCAATGGAAGATATTCTGGGTTCAGCCATCACCTGATCAGAGGGAGGACATCATCAAACAGGAGGAAAACCTCAATCATAATTACTCTTACTTAGGGCGCCATGGGCTCCTTGCTACGTAACCTTTTGCATTGCGCGTGCTCTGCTTCGTGGAACTGCTTCAGGTGGTGAAAAGATTTGAGGTATTCCCCAACTTTGCGGGAACATGTACTCGACATAATTTGCAGTGCACATTACTCTGCTTCATGTCCTACCTAAAAAAAAACGAAATACCGCCACACCACCAGGGTTTTCGTAACAGTGTTGTCGACGATGTCGTCATCTGTTGAGCCTTCAACTGCATTTCTGTCGGGGGCAGCACTCATTTTCTTTTTTCTAACGGACAGTGCTGTCAGCTTCACGTGTTTAAGAGCTATGGTTGCGTGTAGCTGCAGCCTGCTACGACCGTTGTTTGCTACTTGGTTCTAATTCAGCACATGATTGGTTCAATGCGAAGCGGACCCAGAGCAACTCCCCTTTTCACTGGCTATTCGCATGGTCTACCAAAACATGGCAGAATGCCGACTACCGAAAAGGTTATTGACCATGTTTTATATTGATATTGAGGGAAATTAATTTTCGATAAGTATCTCAGGATCTTGTTCACGAGTGAGGGTAGGATGGAGCGGGAGATCGAGAAGTGGATCGGAGCAGCGTCAGCAGTGATGCAGGCACTTAACCGATCTGTCGTGGTGAAGAAAGCTGAGCCGTGAGGCGAGACTCTCGATTTACCGGTCGATCTACGTGCCAATCCTCACCTATGGTCATGAACTTTGGGTAATGACCAAAAGAACAAGATCGTGGATACAAGCGGCTGAAATGGGTTTCCTTTGCAGGGTGGCCGGGCTCAGCCTTAGAGATAGGGTAAGGAGTTTGGACACTCGGAAGGTGCTCAGAGTAGAACCGCTGCTCCTCCACATCAAGAGGAGTCAGCTGAGGTGGCTCAGTCATCTGGTTAGAATGCCTTCTGGACGCCTCCCGTTAGAGGTATTTAGCACATGTCCCACTGGGAGGAGACCTCGTGGACGGCCCAGGACCAGGTGTAGGGAGTATATCTCTCGCCTGGCGTGGGAGCGCCTGGGAATCCCAACAGGAGGAGCTTGTGGAAGAAAACAATGACGATGTTATCGTTTTATCGCTCAGCCCTACACTTCCTAAATGGATTGTTAAGCCTGTTTGCCAAACCAATCAGACATTTTTGTGCGTTTGGAGAGAGCTTTCAAGTGTCTTATGCTAATTGAAGGTTAGTGGAAATCAGAGGTGCCTGTAGCCAAGTAAAATACTTCATTGCCTCAAGTAAATAGCAAACCTTTGAAGACAGGTAATGAACGATATGCTTGAATGAGCCTGGAGAAATGATCAAACTGGTCATGTGCTGAACAAGATGAAAAAAAAAAAGAAAAGAAATGGTAATGTCTAATAAATTCCTGTTTAAAAGCAGGGTTGCAGCCATTTGTCATTGAAGTACATTTAAAAAAGTGATATCAGCATTATATATTAGTCAACCTGCTATCTCATTATTGACACTGGCCACTGAAAAACTGACAAGAGTCGACTACTACACTGTTAAAGTTTCCAAAAGTAGCTCACAGATTAGTTTTAATGTTCACTGTTTGTGGGGAAATCTGGTCAGAGAGACAGAAAATGACAGTTTTTATTCACTCCCACAGTAACAAACTACTGTATCTCTTGGGGACAACCTTTTTCTTCGTTTTTTTCTCAATATATGGTGTTAAAGGAACATTACAAAAATATAAACACGTCTTTTGTTGAAGGTTTAAGATGAAAAAACATGCATTAAATGACTGCTGGTGATTATTCACATAAATACTTAAAGCCCGATCACATGCATCTTATTCACAGCAGGAAAATCACATGTTGTTTTCAATTTTTTGTGAGACATGAACTTTATTTTCTCTCAGTTATTCATAAAAGTGACCGAAATGACAAAACTCACCTGTCCGACGTAACGATACCTGACACTAAACGCAATTTACCGCAGTGACAGGTCGATAAATCGAGGGTTATTTCTTGTCAAACCAGTTAAATGCACTAAACTCCAAATTTTCAACCTTGTATTCCGATGTTTTTCTCAGACACTCTGCAGCAGGTTCGTCTGACCAACTTCTACACTTCCTGAAACCAGCGGGCTCATTCTGCGGTCCTCATACAGGCAGAGGAGAACCACCAGCGCCACCAGCGGCCTCCAACGGTACTGCATCTTTCGCTCACGCTTTTGTCATACCGGATGAGGTCGAAGTATCTGTGCGTCAGTCACTTTCTCACTTCAACAGGAGGTGCCAGAATGTGTCTCACCACTACTGCGCACAGATTTCTAAAGAGCAGTGGGGACATTTCTCTTAATGGCGATTTTTTTGGGAATTGTCCCACTCTGACTCAGCGGTTGTTAGTGTTAAAATACTTGTCCAGATATTTCAGGCTATTACTCATCTATTCTTCTCCTCAGTCTCTTCTGACTAATGCTCTTTTTGAGAATAGGTTTTGAAAGTTAAAGTGGAATAAATGAAAAGTTTTCTTTTGAGAAATTGGCTCAGAGATGCTGCCCCAGAGGACTTCTTATGTTTGGTAAGTTTTGCACTTTTGTTAACATTCAACATGGAAAGATTTAAGCAGAGCAGCAGTGTGCATGGTGGGGGAGTTAAACTGTTGCTTCAGAGTGTGAAAGTTATCAGTTCAAGGTTTCCGGCTGGTATTTGCATATATGTGTAGTGGCTGTAGGGTATGTTTAAAGGTTACCTCTACATGGTTTGATTACAGCCTGTGGTAAAATCCCTTCTTTCGAAACTGTCATTATCTGTCCCACCAGTCTATAAATATGAAACAATTCTATGTTCAATTCAAAACACCAAACAACTCTTTCAAAACATATCTGCACCATTATGGCACATTTTTGTGTCATTTTCGTGCCTAATTTGTGTTGAGCTTTCAGTTTCAGATACCCAAAGTATCATTGCTCCTGTTTACTGAACATGCTGAATACCTCAGAAGGTTTCTCCCTGACAAAAGTCTGATTTCATGTTTCTAAAATCCAGTTCTTACCTGACTGAAAGGCCAAGACATGATTGGCCAAAGTGAGGTCAATTGTTCCAGTAACACTGACATACACAGAGCCGGCCCAAGGCATAAGCGAACTAACTGCAGCCCTAACTGATTAGGGCCCCGCAGCCAATAGGGGACCCCCTATTATAATAATATATCTTTTTTATATATCTATAATAATATATCTTTTTTTTATTTTTTGAGTGATGCTTTCTGTATGATCAAATATATATTATTGTAAAAATAAAGTAAAAACATTTTAGTGCTGCTGCTGACGTAGGCCTATGATTCTTATTGCCGATATGTCAAAGCTCTGCTACTGTTATATGCCTTTTGCTGTGCAATGTCCATCCAAAAGCACAGGAAATAGAGGGCCCCAAAATCTGATTTTGCTTAGGGCTCCATTGAGGCTTGGGCCGGCTATGGACATACATATTGAACAATGTCAATTGTGGATAGTAAGACTAGCCCGGTTGGTATCTTTGGTACACTTCTTACTTGTGTAAAATCTGTTTCAAGCACCACAAATGCTTTTATGGACATTTACTACTGAATTACAAATCGGAGCGTGTTTGACCCAGGATTTCTGGGGCATTATTGCTTTAACCATATATTCACATGACCCCTTAATGGTTAAAAATCTATAATTTTATTGTTAACTATAACATCCTGAAATTTTGGCAACAAATTTAAAGCACTTTGAACTGCTGACAACAAGTTCTCCCCCAGACTGTCAGTGTCACTGTTTGACGCTTATATCTCTTCAGCAGCAGCCTCGACTCAGACTTGTGGTCTGTTCAGAGCTGATGACAAGTGTCAGCTGGTTAAATACAGTTACATGATTGATAAACTGTTCTGTCTAAAAAGACTGGCAGCATAACTACAAACACATCTTTAAGTCCAAGCTACACTCTGAAATACCTCATTTTGGCAGCTAAATAGATGGACATAAATGATGAGATGAAATATAGTACTGCACTGTCTTCACTTTCCACGTTACTCATTTTCTTTATGAGCCTCATATTTCAAAGGACAACTGAGGCTTTTGGTAGAATTGCTGAAATCTCTTTCTATAACCTCATGTTCTGTTTCTCATGCCCCTTTTTCAAAATGAGTTATCTCAACTTGTAATTTTTTCATCAAACCCCAACCCTGCATATTTATACTTACATACTGATATATCAAACCATTTGTATGCCTTAAAGGAGGCAGGAGGGTAAATGAGATATTCTAAACACGCTGTTTTATAGTTTCTGAAATACAAACACAGTTGGAGAACAATTAGATATAGAAAGTAAGAAGAATTAAAAAGATCTTTTTTTTTGGTAGCACATAGCATTCCCCCTTCCCCCAAATGATGTTCAGATATTAAGGTTTCTATTTGTATCTTAACTAAGTAAAAAAGTCATAAAATGCACCACCTAAAGATACATAAAATGATGATTATTATTTTAATGTATTAATTAACATATGATGACGCTTTTCCATGATTTCTTTTCTGTTTATCATTCTTTCATTGATCACGTTCAAAACAAGTCAACAAAATTAGCCTTATAAACACTTAATGAGTCTTACAGTTTTAATTAATATGTGCTAACTTATGTTACGTCTGAAATGCATACATAAATTTCCTGACACGATAATGGCATCATGCAGAATCTAACGGTTGTTAAACACTTCATATTTTTCTATATGTCACGAAAGAGGAGGGAATCACAGTTTTTCAAAATTTGTATCAAACATTGTAACAGTGTAAATTTAAGTTCCTTTTTTAATCATTACTGAAAAGGGGGAAACATTAGAATAAATGAATAAATATCATCTTGTATTTTTGCTTCAATATTGTTAAGCCTTTTTCAAAATATCAGAAACCAGATATTTTCCCCCCTCCTCTGGTTTAAGACAAGTGCATACTCCAGTACTGAACTGTTTTTTTCCTAATTAAAAATTACTGATGATAGTGTTGTGGCTGTCTCAGGCAACCACATGTAATGTGAATACTTCTTTACAATGTTAAGAAACTTAGATGCGTAATATTAATACTGTGGCTGTTTGGAAGGCTTATCTTCAGCAGTTTTGGAAGCATGTCATTGAATGAATTGATGTGCTGGATGAAGACTTATGCCTGTTAATACAGTTTGATACAGTTAGTACAGTTATTATAATCAGAGTTTTGTGTATAGTAATTCATCAACAGGTGTTTGGATTTCAAGCTGCTAGGGTGTCATATAAGGGACAACGTTTAGGGAGATATTATGGGTCTGTGGCTGGCAGGGGCCCCAAAATATTAGAATACTTGTGTTAGAGAGTAAGGGCTAATCTGATATCTTTTTTTCCTTGGGGCCCAATGGACCTGGCAGGACCTCTGAAAGCAGCTGGAAAATTTGGAGGAGTAAAAAAAATCATTGAAAACGTTGAGAAGATTGCCACATCATGTATAGCAATAAAATAAAATGAAGGTCTTAATTCTTTAACTGAGAAATATTTCCCATTTTAGTGCCTTTTTTACAATTTCTTTCACAGCAGTACCCTGCTTAAATCCACAGGAGGCGCTGTTGTCCCGCTGAATACTGAACCTCAACGCTTGAGCGGGCCCATTGTAATACAGGATTGACTGAGTTGAGGAACCAGATTAGTTTTTGAACATTTTGCTTTCACATTTACAGTCACTGTGTCACCGACACACTGCCGGTGAAATGGACAAATTCAGACTCTGCTCAGGTTTTAATAAACAAACACTTGAAGGTCTAGGTTTAAAAAATACACTGGCAGGTTGTTGAGAATTACAAATGGAGGAGAGACATGTCTTAAAGGGAAATAAATCTAAAGCCAGTGTGAAACAAAACACCTACTCCCACATCATATAAAAAATTTATATTTAAATTAGGTATAAAAATAAGAGGCTTGTAAAGTATTATAAGAAAGATAATTCAGTTCATGATTTACTTCTAGTGCATAAATCTATAATGAACTCTGTAATGACATTCATGCATTCAGTGAGTATACGTTTAAGCACATGAACCTCCCCTTTAGAGACAGGTTTAAGCGCACACACACATGCAGGCACGCACACACACACACACACACACACACACACACACACACACACACACACACACACACACACACACACACACACACACACACACAGAGCCATTTTCTGTGAGGTAAAACAAGGTCAAAGTGAGCTCAGTAGACTACGGCTGCAGATACCTTTGAGGACACTGAGGTCATGTCCTTGTTCTTTTTGTTTCTGGGAATTCAGCGGTTTATTAAGTAATCTAAACGGCACATTAAAGCCTGCAGAGTTTAGAACTTAAGAGGAGATTGTTAATAACTGTGGTACATTTTAATTCATTTGGAGAGAAACAAAAAAGAACAAATGAGTTAGTTGGTTACTCATGACAAAAAATGAATCCATTAAAAGTTTAGAGATGGGGACTTTAAAACATGCGAGTACATTCAGAGTGAAATGGTAAATGATTAAGACTTGTACATGTGTGTTTGTGTATGTGTGAGTGTGTACGATAAACGAATGGCAGTGGTATTTTTAAAAGATAAAAACTACGAAACATAAATGATTGGGTAAATAAATGAGTTATGTTTCTGAGGAAAAACAACATTAACTCCCAAAAAAGTTTTGTTATCACAGAAGGTTTCATATTCCTGCAAAACTGTTGGTCTCTGTCTCTTCAGTTATACACATGGTACATATTGATATTGAGTGTTTTCTAATAATGTAACTGAAATGTTTTTAGTGCATTATTCCTATTATTTAATTTCTTTAAACGTATTCACAGAGTATGCACGTTATTATTAGAGATTCAATTTTCACACATATGTAGGGTGTTTGTTTTTCATTTTCCCTAGAACTATTTTAATGAAATGGCTCTTTATAAATCATAAATAATACATTGCACCTTTATGGCCTCTGAGATAACAATTCTAGATCAGTTATCAGCCATTAATTAAAACTACTTTTTCATTAATCCTATTACAATCCTATTGTATGTGCTTATCCTCCAGCAGGGCATGTAATCTTTTGAGCTCTTTAATTCATCAGAGGTTCTTATACACTGGTCTTGCGAATAATCTTGACCAAAAATC